TCGTTACACGCGCTGATACATTGAAATACAAGGGCATTTATTTTTTAATGGACAACTCACAATTTTCATTTTTTTTGTTTACGATATTGATTGAATTTTCCGAGTTTCGGTGCATTAAGACATCGCTTATTGATTTTTCTGAACTGTTCGCATATATTTGCTAGTAGCAACAACAATATGATTGTACTATAAATGATTAACTAAACATTGACTTGAATGAAATCGTTCACATCAATTCGATAATTTTTGATTTTTTTTTTCTTCAAAGCAAAAAGGTAAGCATATTAAAATAGAAAGATTTTATAGGTATTGCTAGTGTAAAAGTGATAGTGATAGTTCGTCCCATGTCATTCCTATGATGGTGTCGTGCCGTCTCTAGGGATCACATGAGAAAAATTTAGCACCAAACCCATCTTGATTTATAAAGCAGGAAGTGCAGTACTCATCAATTTACTTGAAAAATTTCGAAAATTTGAAAGTTCAAATTCTTAACATTGACAAAAATTTCATTTGTGCTCATACAGATTCCAAGAGCTAATACTATATTTTATATTGTAATAAAATTTATATCACAAGATAACGTTCTTACGGAGGCGTGTTATAAACAAACGTTTTACTCCGGCCATCGTTATTGGATTCCATTCGTCATCTATTCAATCTTCTGTTAAAATGTACAGGCATTTCATCGTCTAATTACTTCAAAATTCATAAGTAAGTGATAATCAGGAATAATATATGTTCTGAGACCGAACTTTCTTCTCGTGTGTCATTTCGTTCCCATTGTCAATTCCGGCTCTCTTCGCTCAATGTTTTGTCTTATATATTTTTATTTGGTGTGTCGTTGAAACCACCAACTACTACGATATAAGCTATAAAACGGTGATGGTGTGTATCTTCTTCAAAAAAAGAATGCTGCACAGCAGGGACCACTGGCTGGCAGCCATTTTTTGGTGTTGTCTTTCGGGTTTGCGGCTTTCTTTTTTGCCTTGTCTTATTTGGAAGGCGCCGATGAAGGCGAACACTAGTTCGGCTTGAATGCATGGCATGCAACATCAAAACGGCTCCCATGCGTCTCACCGAGTACTTTTTTTTAGGACACACCATAAAAATGAAGAAAAAAAGAGACTAGTCACAATATATTTAGTCGAGTGTTGCAAATTTTTCTGGGTATTTGGCCCGTCCATAAATACGTAGTTTTTTTGCACGAACATGTTTGAAAGATTCAGATTTACATCTTTTCTCGTCACCTATTTTTTTTAATCTGATATACAACTCGAATAACAAAATGTTTGAATTAACTATCGGCAAATTTTCAAAATCACGAGCAACCATCTCCAACTCTTCTCATTTTAGAACGCGAGCTTTACTGGAAGATTTCGATTGTCAAAATGTTGTATCAAAAGTTTCTTTGAGATATTTTGGATGCGTTCGAGAAACTCCGAACATTTCTCTTGGCTCACTTTTTTGATTTGTCTCTGTTGTCCCAATTTCTAGACATTTCAGATTGCAATAAGCCGTCGGCAATACATAGCACTTTTTGAAATGACACTCTTTGTTTTCGATAACTTCAAATTTAAAATTTAATTTCTTCCGAAACACACACATTCGGTTGATACGTCTCTTAATATAACTTTAAATATTTTCTTTCAAATATTGTCTAAATTAAATTCACGACCTTTCCGTTTTTTTCTCACCAATACCACCACTGATCAAAAAATTTTGACATACTTTATCTGTGCGATTAAAAGTTGTTTGCAAAACTTCAATGCCGGGTTACGCTATCACACCGATGTCGAAATTCAGATATCTAATCAAATGCTAAAAGTGATAATTTAAAAGTTAGATGCGTTTGTTGTTACGCGCCCCACAACATGCAAATTTCATCAAAAATTCTTTACGCTATCATTTTTTCCAATCAAAGGCAAACTTATTTTAAAATCAATTTTCACATTTCATGCATGTATTTATTGTGTTTTTGGGGCGTATGCGTGCACCTGGTCAATTTTCCAGAGGTTGTCGTCCTATCGCCTTCTCACATGACATCTTACACCCATATTTCTTTTTTTTTTGTTATTCACCCGTATTTAAATTTGATTTCTTCAATACTGCATCACAACACATATAATTACACATACTATTTTTTATTTTGTTTTGTTTCCTATCATCTGTTCAGCTCTCATTTTTTTCTCTTTACGGAGACCAGCTGCTTTCCTCCGACCAACCCATCGACCAATGGTGTTTTTTTTTGCGACCGATTGATGATTCGTTTTTTCGGGCTATCTTTGAACTGCTGAACGGAAAATGTTAAACAAAAACGGCGTAGGTGGCAGGTAGGATAGGGTAGCGTTTTGAAAATCCCTCATCAACAGTTCCACGTAAACGTAAAAATAAACAGAAAAATACGAGAGATTATATGAGGAACACCGATCAATTCTCGATGTATGCTTCACGTTTTTTTCTTGCAAAAATAATAAAACTAAATATGAAATTTTCTGTTGGAATGGGTCTCATTTTGTTTTGTTGTTTGATAATATTCCGCAGAAATGTCATCAAAAAAATGATTACGTGCAAAAAGTGTGCGGTAAGCTTATTTTGCTCGAAACCTCGGCTTCTCACTTGATCGAAAATCAATTCAAGTAATCTTATAAAAATGAAATAAATTTCAATAAAACCTTTTGGTTCTCAAAATGTGACCCTCGACCAAGTGTTCCGTAATCATCGAGGTTCATTAAAGTTTATCATCTCAAGCGCCGATTTTCCACACCATTTATGGTGTCATTATCAATTTTTTATCGTTTTTTGAGCCCCCATTACCACTTAACTCCATAGGGCTTCTGCGATAATGCAATATTACGGTAACATCACGTACAATCACGTAAATAGGAATTTTGAGGTTACCGTTTCAGGCGTAAAAAAACAGTTTCCATATATTGTCCTCCTCCCCAATATTTTTACCCCCTAGCCCAATTTTGTTTTATTATTATTTTCTTCTTCTTCTTTATGCCCTTAGTTTTTTTTCATAGTTTTTTTCTATTATTCTTTTTTCTTTTTATTTCGTGTTTTTTTTTTCAAACATTTTCTGCCTGTACACACTCACACTCTTCGAACTGTACTGACTCATCACGTCCCATCCGTTTCGTGAAGCACATCGTTCGTTTTTTTTCTTCTTCTTCTTCGTCGTCTTCGTTGCCGTTTTTATCACCGCAAAAAAATTGTGGAGAAACAAAATTATGAGGCGTAAGGTCGAATGATCGTTTGAAGGAGGCCGTGCCAAAGTCGGGCGACGGTATGATGATGGATTTGAACCATTTGTGTTCAGCGTTGGCATTGTATTCATCGTGTTCCCACCATATCATATAGTGTACAAATAAGCACATAAAAAGTCAACAAATTTTTGAAAAGAAAAAAGAAAACCATTTGATTTTGATTTTATTGCATTGTATTCAAAAAATGGGGGCTTGGCTTGACTGGCTTGACTGGCTTGAGTTTCGTTCATTTTATTTCTTTTTGTGTGTGTGTGTGTGCGTATGTTGATATATGTTGATATTTGTCGTTTTAAAATTCACTGTTGGGAAATCAGGCAACGAAAAGCTAACGGAAAAGCTATCGACGTATTTTTTTTTTGAAGCGCAAGTTTCTAGTGTCGGAGACGGGGACTTCATCCTTTATTTTTGTTTGCACGTTGTTAGAGTCGATTACCATAATCATCATTAAATGATGTCCTAATGTTCATTTCATGATGATTACCCAGAACAAGATTGTGCTCATTATCTGTCAATATTAAAATATTTATCAACTCTTATTTCTTTATATATTTTCATTCTCTCGTTGGACATACGTTAAATATGATAAGAAAAAATCGCACACAGAACTCCCAAACAACATCACAAGTTGAAATATTTAATCTTTTGCTGTACAATGTTGAGAATATCAAGCAAGAATAAAACATTTTTATCATGGAAACAATATTAACTCTGATTCTCATTTTATGGAAATATGTCATTTAATATAGTGATATATAGAACCTTTTGCAGCAAATTTGTAATTTTTGCATCTGAAATATTTTTTAAGTCCACCTTTCGTTTCATTTTTTTCTTCGTATCGATCCATATATATCGTTGGTCGTCCGCAATCGTTGATTTGATCAGAAACCCATTAAATTTCAAATATCACCCATTCCATTTTTTTCATCTTCCATGAACTGCAAATTTTGGTAACAAACAATAAAACATTTCTTGAACATTGAACACCATGAAAGCATAACGTATTATTAATTCTTATATTGGATGTAAATATTTCTTGGTAGGCTTTAATTTAAATAAACTGATGTTTGATATTTATGTATAGTTTCTTTGTCAGCGTTTGAAAAACTGTTTTTCTTTCAACTTTGAGCATTTGTCACAATTACATTTAAGAAACTTTGGTTACTGTATTATTATTGCCCAGTATATGAGATTTCTTTTTGTCGGGGAAATCTCGTATTTGCAGGTTCATTTATTGAAACAGATTTTTTTTAAATCTTGAAATCGCATGTTGAGCCCTACAAAATCCAAAGTCGACAAAAAAGCAAATTTTTAGCTTAAAATTATGAAGATTGTGAAGCCTTTAATGTCATGTGGGCAAGTTTAGAGGGCAGAAAACTGTCAAGAAACGGGGAGATTATTTTGATGTAGGAGATTATCTAATAGTGCGAATCCCTATGATTTTAATAAATATTTCACATTTTTAAAAAACATTTATCGGTAGCTCAGAGTTCATGCCAGTTGTCAAACGTACGTATTCACTTGGAATTTATGTGTGGACATTTGTGCAAAACTCAATATTTTTCAGGTCCTGTTTAGGGGGACTAGAAGCTCGAAATGCACACTCATTAGCGAGCATACAGGCAACTTCCCATGCAGCATACGCTCCAGGTTAACTTGCAAAATGCAATTCGTGTGAGTTTCATTTACACCTTTGCTTATTCAGGAAGATTGCAAAGCATTTCCAAAATCATCTCGATGGAAAAGCAAGAAGGCGAATCGCCGAAACAGGTGAATTTTTGCATTTCGCTTTTTTGAACAAAGTTAGTTAAGTCAAAATTAACGTTCGAATAATTTCAAATTCGTACTTAAAATTCGAAATTCGTACTTACATATAAACACACATATGATTAGTAAACCCGAAGATTTGTCATTACCCAAAAAGGCAAATCACGATCAAACTATAAACTCAGATTATTGCTATGTAGGAAAGTTTGAGGTAATTTAATATTAACTCAAACTAGGAATTTCTTGAAATCGTAAGATTACGAAGAGCATTTGTCAGTGAAAAAATTTAATACCATTCATATTTAGACCTCAGCTTCAACATTGTTATTCTCCAAGGGAACATCGCTGCCTTCTAAGGCGACCGCATTCCGTGAACATCATTCAATCAGCAACGATGAACCTTCGCCGAGTATTTCTTCCCGTGAGTCTATCAGACAATTTGGCGCTAGTCGCAACTTTATTTGTTTGAACCAAAATGTTTCAAAACAATAGCAAATTTTTTTTTATTCTGGTGTCGCCTGCAACTTCTCCTCTTCATCGTATTATTTACCTACTTTTTCGCTTGAAATATTCATAAAAAATGTATAGGGAATCCGGAATTGCGCATGGATAAGTGTGCCAAAAATGGGGAGCGCTCAAAAACATGCTTATTATTTGGTCTGTTTGTGTTACCAAACTATATGCGTCAAAAATGAATAAATCCGCTAATCGTAACGTTTCAGAAGCGGAAACGCCAAGTGCGCCGGTCGGAGCATTCCGCTTCTCTTCTGGATTACTAAATAGCGACTTGATTCGTTCACTAGCCATCCAGAAACCTTCGTCACCTCGTATGTGACAGATTTACATTGTTTCGAGCTTAAAGAATCATTTGTTTCAGAACAAGATATTTCTGGCACATTGTTGTTGTCCGATTGGGTCGGACATCGAATATTAGCACGGGTTCCACCTGGTGTATATCAGCCGGGTTTCATTAAGTGTGCCACCAGTAACAAAGACGTTATTGTTCAGGTTAAAAAATATTTAAAATCAAAAGCCAACTATTCCGCTTCCTTATTTTTAGTTCGACGATGGGAGGGAGGCCAAATATGACGATATTGTAAGCGAAAATAACTGGACGCTGATAATCGCTGACCAAGCTCCAATTCCAGTAGAGGTATGTTTACAAAATAAGAATATAAAGAGAATTTAATCAGCTAAAATGTTTGTCACGTTGCCGAAGTGCACATATTTGTATCATTTTTGAAATCAACCATTCAACAATGGGCATTTATCAGTTAACCCCCATTACTTGCATGTTTTTGACTACATTATCTTATTTATTAGGTATTGGAATTCTCAACAATCATCAAACAACTTGGTTTAGGAATGCATAAGTGCATTTTAAATGCCACTATAAACCTATATTTAAAAGAGTGTGTTTTTTGTACCCTGAATAATTTCAGATAAAGCCAAAATCTATTGTATGCGTTCGATTGCCTCTCGAAAAAGCTGAGTCATTTTTTCGAACTGCTGAATTGCTATCATCGGGCGGTAACCCTTCAAAATATGTGGTACGTTGCTCATTTTGTATTTATTTATAAATGACAATCAATATGAAAAGCAAATTCCAAATTAAAATTTTAACACACAATCACTTTCTTTGAAACTTCATTATTTACAATATCTCGATATTCTAGGTACGAGTGACCAATGCTGAATGCAGTAGTAGTGTTTCGAGAGCCAATCTTCGATTACTGAGACCCCCTTGGTTCGAAGAACTGACCCAAATTGCACTTATGGAGGAAAAACGACGGAACCGCAGCGTCCAGTAACACATCACCGTTGTACTTTTTTCCCCCGATAAATTCCAGCTGTTTCAGAACGTCAAATGGACCAACGTCATCGAGCGTCCTTCCTTCTCCAATCGCACCAAACGGGAATCCACCAACTGGTCCAACTCATTATGTTGATAATATATTAATGATGGCATTTCAACAACAACAACAGCGTTTACAACAATACCAGCAATTACAGACACCGAGCACTTCAATGTATGGTTTTTTTATGCTGCTGATTCATTATAACCGAATGTTTTCTAATTTTTTTTTTTCGAATACGGAAAGCGAAAAAAACTGTGCAGATGATTTATACAAAGCAAATGAGGGCGTTGTGAAAAAGGGAACAATTGAATTTTTTAATTATTAAGCGGATGTTGGTATATTTAAAATTTTTAAAATTTCGTGAAATTTTTGAACAAATGTAATGATTTTATTTGAACAAACATAATCCTTGTTCTAGTTTCCTATTTATAGATCGATCATTGAATCAGGTTAGATTAGTTTTTAGTTTCTTGATCTTAATGATCTATTGGATGAAACGCAATCTGAAAGCACCTAGAATTTCACACAATTCTGCAACTTTTTCCAATAATTGAATTTTCAGCAAATCTAACAATCCTGGGGTCTGCTCAAAAAAGTCATCTGGAGTCGGTAGTGTGGATTCGGACGAGGAGCAGCAGAGCACATCCCAAGTTGGTTTTTAAGCGTTGCATCACAATATCCTAATAACGCCATAATCCGTTGCGGTATTGTGGTGCTACTCAGATTTTTGCCTAAATCCAGGCGGTTAGCGTAATGTCGCAAAACGTCATCCATCTCCCGTATTGTGATGGCCTTAAAAAACAATAATAATAGAGGTATTAGGGACTCAAAGCTGTTATCAGCTAACAATTGGTCATACGGTAATCCGCGAGCTCCCATGCAAAACACATTGCATTCCCGTTTATTCTATTATTTTAGGCCGAGCCCGCTACTAGTGAGCAATCTGCCACAACTTCCGCAGCACCACGAGCTGGTCTATTGAACCCATCGCAAGATTCTGGTATTTTTGAAGACACCGAACCTTCCAATTCGAGCATGTTTCCCCCAATATCCGTTCCGCCTATGTGTACATCGAAGACGTTGCTGGATCAAGTTCCGATTAGACGGATTGTGCTCAACCTTATTTGGTTTCAATTTCAGCAGCGGTACAAGAAGGGAGAGATAGTAACAACGCAATGTGGAATACGAAAGAAATTCAACGGCAAACAATGGAGACGGTTGTGTTCTAAAGAAGGATGTAACAAGGTTTGTTGTTCGTATGTTATAGGTAGCAATAAATCGCCACTTTCCCTTTCGTGACTTTCACCAAAAATAGTTACCAATACACGATACCGTAATTTTATTTTTTCTTAAAAATTATATTTACATATGGTTAATAACCGATTTTGCATCAAAACAGAATTATATTAACTAACCCATCAAATTAATAATGTTTCCGTTTCCGGTGATTTATCAAACTATTAATTCAAATAATTCTTTTCAACTTCCCCCTCTCTAATAAATGATTGTCCCCATTATAAGTGATCAGATCGTGATATCATGTTTATCCACGAATAATCGTTTTTTTTAACCATTCGTATCGAATAAGCCGTCACCAAACAAGCCAATCGGTTAATTAGATGAAACAATAGATAGGTGATCATGAATACTGTTTTGAGATGCAATCGAATTCCTCATTGATTCCACTTGATTGTGGTTTTGGCTATTTGCCGAAAAAAGTTGACATGAAATGTTATCTGGTTTGGTTAATAAAAATACACAAAATACGTTTTGATTGTTTAATTAAATTAATCTTACAAATGTTTTCGTTTCAGGAATCTCAACGACGAGGGTATTGCTCGAGACATTTGTCTATGAAAAACAAGCCACCACACGGCCATCATCTTGAGCGACATTCACCGGGTATAAGCGCCACTGGTAAATAAGATTACAGTAGGAAACTCTCCACCCATTACATTCATTCCAACCAATCATCCACTTAATCTTATTAATGGTAATTCCAGAAACGAGAGAATCGCGTAGTAATGTTAAAAGAGAAAATTGGTTGGAGATAGTGTTGAACCAATTAAGATGATAATGATTTTGCGGATTGTTCTCTTTCTCTTTAGGCGATACACACTTGTTTCGTTCATATTGATGATGACCAAACAAGGTGTTAAAAAATGACGGCATGTCTGCAAAACCGCCTGCAAAAGCTGAATTTTAATGATTTCAGCTGAATTTTAATGATTTGTGAAATTAAATTATTATATATTACAGATACATGTGATAATGGGGGCATCAGAGAACTCTTCTATTTTATAAAATCACTACGAAAAATTGAAATATGCATTTTTTTAGTTTGTGATTCTTTGAAACCGTTGAAAAAAACAACCTTCCAAGTTCAGGAATTTTCAACATTTCAAAGCGATACGAAAATTCAAAATTCCACAATTGAAACTGCCTAATAATTAATTCGCAAATTGGTTCTTTCTTATCAAAATATCTTTTCGCTTTTTGGCGTTGTGATTCCGACACCATACGAGTAAGACTCAAATAATTAACAACCTTCCTGTTGACAACTTTTAATTGGTTTTTCTCCGTTTCAAAGAAAATTCAGTCATCACAAGGAAACAGTGCGTTGTTCAAGCAATTGATTATAAATCACTGATCTTGCTGTAGACGTCCCGCGTTTGTTAGTCAAGTGATTCGTGCGCCAACTTTGTTCTACAAAATATCTATGGAGTGTGTCTGATGGAAAGACGAGAAAAAATGTTGTTGATCAGTTCCTTATGTATCTATTCCGATAAGAAAAATTCTGTGATTTAAACAATTAATGAGATCAATCTTCGATCAGATGTATCATTCCATTGTTTCATTCATACCATCCCCCAATCAGACAACATAATTGGTGATAGAGAACGTAAATATGCGTCATGACTTGAACGTATGCATTTAAATAGTAGAAGTGTTTGTTTTATGCCCTATTTAGCATAATTTGCATGAATAGAACAAAAGCAAAGAGGATCCTTGCGCATCAGTGTCGTTTGGTATATACGTTCTGAAATTATTCAAGTTCAAAATAATTAGCAGACCAATTTGAAGTCATAATCTCGCTTAATCTATCCCTCGAGGTTACAATTTTTTTTTTCAAAATTTAACAGACATGTTCATATTTCTGAAGCTCTCAAGAACATGCGCTATCTCGATAGAAACACATGTGTGCATCAGGACAATAGAGTCATAAATTATACGGCACAAAGGCGAAAACAATTAAGCATTTGTCTAGAAGATATATGTGCTTATTGTGATATGAAATTTGATATCTTTTCGAAAATGCGCGAAAATTTTTGTCGAAAATGTTGCGAAATATTCGAGAAAATACGATTATAATATTAGTGCTTAAACCAGACAAAAGTGATACGACACCAATTAGACTTAAATATGTGTTATAGTTAACGCACAATGGTGATCGAAGCATGAGAAAATAAAATGCTCTTATCGTCAAGGACTATTCATTTTGGAAGTGTCCAAACCGAAATTCCCATAGGAAAAAGATTTTACCAAAATTTCACCAAACCATAATGTTACATTTTCCGCTTCGTTTTGTTCTCAAAGTCCATATTTGATGAATAAGCTCAACAACGCACAAATATTTGGCTCATTGACATTTGAATAATTAAATAGTTGGTACCAGCGGTTTTTGTTTGAAGCAAAATGTCAATGCGGGAGGCTTTGCTTATTATTTGTGTGTTATTAATTAAAGAAATGTCACAATAGCATGTTTCATTCCTAAGGAAGCTGAATATGTCGGGCTTTTGAATTATATGTCTTTTGAATTCAAATTGACCCCCTCGTAGTAACGTTTGAGAGCTTTATATTGCTAATCATATGTCGCTCTCTTCATAGTAATGGTGATTGTAATTTCAACGATTTCAGGAGAGTCTCGTTCCAATATGGGCAGCAATCCAACCAATCCACTTCTTGGTCTTCTCCCCAACAGTAAGTATCGTAATGAAAAAATTCATTCCCAAACGTCGAATGAAAGCAATGAATAATCAATGTTTCTCCTCGTACATTGATTTTTTTCTTTCGCTCATTAAGAGAGAAATGATTCCAAACATTCGCCAAATCGTACAGTAGCGCCTCGAGCTTCTAATAAAAAATTTTTCCTATATTCTTGCATGCACATATGAATACACTGGTAAGTTTCATTATTGTTCTTTTTATCGAAGTTTGAGACGTATGATGAAAAAAAAAAACTAATAATGAAAACCGTGGTAGGTTTCACTTTGCGATTTATTGTCCGGAAATCGAGAAGAAATGTAATACTATGTAGTAATGTTTCTAGTATTGTGAAGAAGAAAAAAATACGGAATTTCTCGAATTAGTCATTGCTGTTATGAGTGGGAAGAAAGAAAAACCACGATGAAAACGGAAGAAAAGTCGAACAACAAGAAGAAACAATTGAAAGAATTGAAAAGGTTCTTCGGATGGCACGACAATTCAATAGGAAACAATAATTTTTTTTCCTGACGATATATTATTTTATGTTGAACGCCACACGCTCATTTGGTACTATTCGTAGTACTGCGGGAACGTTGCCGAGTCAGAAGTTGCATTATTTCACTTCTTTCTCACTTTTCCCTTCAATTTAAATTATATTCAATCTGCTGAAGCTACTGCAGATCTCGGTTAATGATGGGAGAATCTCGTATCATATGTCACGCGCGCAACATTCCGCCATTTTTTGAGCTTCATCTCTTTAGAATGTATAACATTGGCCCCAGTAGGGTGTGGATTACGTTTTTATTTTTAATAAATTTAAGCCACAGTGATAAACAGAAACCAAACAACAGCTTAACGATTTTAAAATGAAATGTTTCAGATAACTTATTGCTACACCCAGAAACCGGCAACTTGATATCAAACTCGGCGCCACCGAACATTTCAACGTCGGCATTCCAATCAAAGTTCAATCCGCTCTCAGCGGCTCCGCTTGCTGGTGGTGACGATTCAGTTGGGATCAACGCACAGTTTCCGGTGGGTACGCGTCGAGCTTGAAATTACACAAAAAAACACCAATTTGAACAATGAAAATGTAATCGGATTAATGACGTAGTCATACGAAGGTTCCGCGCAGTATTGCGTTAAATGCAACATTTGGTGACCTCAATGATTCTGTCAGTATTTTGTTTAATTCGATCAGAACAAAATGAAAGTATCACCGCCTCGCAAGTGAGAATTTTTTTCAGGTGGATCGTGTTCATATCCAGCGTTTGATGCAATTGAACCAGGTGACTGGCGCCGCATGAGTCCACTAATCATGTTTAATCGCTTTTTAGCTTCAACAAGTTTTGCCGCACCTAATGCAAGTTCCGTTGGGTCGTCGACGATTGGATGAAATGCCAGCAATCACCACGTCAGGAAATGTGTTCTGCCCACAACTTCCGCTGTCAAACCCGAACATTTTCAACCTGAACCCATCACTTCTTCAGCACCTGACGGCACCAATTATTCAGCAACAGGTTAGGAATTTGACCAGCCAGTGATGCCTATCACAAACCATTTCCAGGCGCAACTCCTTCAGCAACATCTAGCCACCCAAAATCACACTGCAAACAACAATAACGTTAAAGATGTAAAAGTAAAAAAAGAGGAAGAGGATGAGGATGAAGATCAGGAAGAAGAGGATGATGATTCTGATGGTTTTGACGAAAATTATTTTTGATCAATCTAGCTGATTATAGAGGTCAGCGTTTGCCAGAAGACTGAGGAGCACTCCGATGATGACGACGACCTTGACGGTAATTCGAGAGGTGGCGGTGTTGGTGGAGGAACTTCTGGAACTGGTGGCGACGCAGGAGCGCCATCATCGTCAGGCTCATCAAATCCCAACGGGTCTAGTTCAAGTGAGTAATTGAATTTCAATTATTGTTATTAATATTTTTCATAATCGCCAAATCGGCGGATTATTGTAAAACCCTTATATCGTTCTCATTGTTCCCATTTTTTATTTGTAGGTTTTCAAATTAATGGTGGTGATTCGAACGGAAGCGGTGAAGGACCCCTGCCGTCTGAACGCAAAGGTTATCATCAACAATCCATCGAAATGGAAGCAGGTTTGTGAAGCCCCGCCCACTTTTATTGGACACTCATCTATTGAAACAGAAGAGAGAGGGTACAAGTACGTTATACATATTATTCATTTCCTCTGTTTAAGAAGCGTGACGAGTTTTCTCTTTTTATTTTTTTTTGATTAGTATCAACTGTTCATGACCGCAAGTTTATCATCATAATAGTAACGTAATCCACAGCTTACTAAATGCTTTCACCACGTGATTTCATGCTACTCTATATTGTTAAACGCATATTCTATTGGAAATTTTAATGCAATTCTTAATACCTTCACGTCATTTCTTACTAAAACTTATGGACATTTATACTTTAGGTAATCTTATGTCTGACCAACTATCTATTGAAACTAGCGAGCTGAGAATTCCGTCTGCTCCATCAGAGGTGGCAATTTGATCACCTTAACATGACTTATAAACAATTATTTAGATGTCAATTCCATCAACTACTAGTGCTGGTTCTTTCTACCGCTCACCAGATATGCAAAGTAGTTTTTAACTCTTAATAGTTTCAATAACTATTGAGATTTTTAGTTAAAACTGAGCCAATGGAGTTCGAACGCGCAACGAGTACAACAGTTGCCGAAGTGTTGAACATGAAAGATAAGAAGAAGGTAAAGAAATATTTAAAATGATAGAATAATTTATCAACAAATTAAGAATCCGGATCATATCCGTCGTCCAATGAACGCGTTCATGATATTCTCAAAGAGACATCGCCCCATGGTTCATTTGAAATTTCCGAATTGCGATAATCGCACGGTGTCCAAGATTCTTGGAGAGTGGTGGTATTCGATTCCACCGGATCTCAAAGCTGAATATCATGTGCTTGCTTCTCAAGTCAAAGAAGCTCATATCAAGGCACATCCCGATTGGAAATGGAGCAACCAGCCAAGAAAGAGCAAGACGGTATCCAATTCCCCGGCTTCGACTCATGCAAAGTCGCAGGTAAGCTAATGGATTGCCGAATACCGGAAGTCGCAGTTTTTTTTTCAGGTCTTCGATTTCGACTTCCAGGTTGCTGATGAACTTGCCAAGTCGTGTGCCGAAGGCCTGACGGTTTTGACCCCAAATACGCCAATTTCGCCGTCAATGCAAACTGTAAATTAATTACGAAAATTAAAATTAGTTGCTTGATTCAGTCCACTCCCAGCATTGCACCATCACCAATGGTGTTCACGCCGACTCCGCTTACATTGGATTACGAGTTCAACAAAAAACAATTGGTTAGTTTTATCATTTAATTATTTATGACCACTTGTGGCGTTTGCATTTAACAACTCTAACCCGCGTCTTTAGCTCTTATCGCAATTCACCAACTTATTCTGCAATCAGTTGTTTGCTGCCGGCATGATGAACACGCAACCGTTCCAATTTGCAACGCCGACTCTTTCCGATCAATTCCTTTCATTTCCTCCAGGACTTGCTCCAGTGGTTTGTACTTACCAAACGTTTTTTTGCAGAAAATAACGAGCTTAAGTTGTTTTGTGTAAAATGCTTATTTTTCAATTAATTCAACCAGGGCCTTCAGACGAATTTTGGCAACTTCTGCGGTTTGAACACAGTTCCATTAGCGCCATCCATGTTCAATGATTCAACCTCAATCCAAAATTGGCTGAGCGTACGAATGACCCATTATGTTTCAGTGGATTCATGTAAATTATTGCAGAGGGCGGAATTGAACTCATCGAGTCTTTTGCCTCAAATTCAGCAACAGCTTGAAAGCGTTTCATTCAATGACAAGGCTGCGTAAGTATTTAAGAAAATGCATTATTTCACAATATTGAAATTAAGAAAACAACCTGATCCGGTTTTGAAACCAAACGCTTTCACAAGCCCACCATCTCAGGAATTCGTTTTGGCTCCAACGCCAGCTCAGCTTGGATTGAAAAAAGGTTAATTTTTTTCCCAATTCTCACTTCAGCATCACAATTATTATCAATATTATGATTTTACAGGAAGAAAGAGAACGCTTGAAACAACTGAGGAGCCAAGTGCTTCGAAGCTTTTCAAAAGGCAGGATGATCAGATGAATAAGCTTCTTGATGGTGTTGGATTCGCTCAAAAGTTTGCTCAGCTTCCGGAGTTTGCTCCATCAACAATTGTTAGTATTTAGTTGACATGCATGATTTTGAGTTGCGAATTTCAGCCGACCCAACCAAAACCACGTCAAAATGAAACAATCGCGTCATCGCCAGTTTTGCCATCTCCATTCAACGCGCAAACCTCATTCTTCAGTTCGACATTCAACTCAGCTGATCAGTTTGGTTCTCCTGAAGTATCGCATAATAATTTGAAGAAATGAATAAAATTTTGTAATCCTTCAGAGACATACTAACACTGTACAATGTCGCTCTGAAAAATCAGCTGGAAAACGATTGCTGGAAGAGCGCCGGCGTCTTGTTTCCCAATTTCTTACCGAAGCTGGATTGTTTCCAACTAGTACGTAATCAACCTGCTTACGATCTTTTTTTTTCCGCTTGTTGTGGGCTCTTTCTCTCATTCCAAACTTCGCTTGAATGTGTCTCGTCAATTTTCAGCCGAGCAGACGATCTTCTTCCAAGAGACTCATCAAAACGTGTTCCCAACGAGAAATTCGTTGGTTCTGAAAATTCGCGAAGTGCGCCAGCGTCTGATGGCAAACACCGATGGACTCCTTTTAGATGAGAAATGTGGCCCATGTGAGTGTGTTGTTCAATTGTTGTTTTCTCATATAGCGTGACCTGGAATTGCAAGAATAGCTCGATCATGCACTGAGAAAAGCCAAGCATATATTTAACGTTTTGCAGTTCTTGCCAAAATGATTGCCGCCATGTACGAAAAGTATCCAATCAGTGAAGAACTCGAAACTCTCAACCCAACTGATTACTCCAGCATTGCCGTCTAAAATAGCCATTCTCACTGTTTTAAGCTTTACATCAATTACTGTAGAACATCGATCGTTTAGAAAGCACCCCAAATTGCATTTTCCGCTTCCCAAAAATGACATGTAGTTATATCAAAGATTTGTTTTGCACGATAGAAACATTCACAATGTTCCCTTTGCCTCCTAAGTATTGTTTTCAACTTGCACACTAATTCCATCATATTTTATTTTATTACTATAATGTGCCTGAAAGGCAAAAGTTTACCATATTTGTTTCACAATTTTATTCAATTTTGAATATCCCTTTTTCAATCTCATTTTTTCAATCTAGCCTCTTCCTACGAAAAAGCACATTTTTAGTATTTCAACGTAGAAATGATTAGTAGAAATCGCACATAGTGAGAAAACTACTGTGATTTAGACTTTGCATACGGCGATTGTCAAAATTAGTTTTTCATATTGTTTTTTTTTGGAATATTTATTCTTCAAATTCATCGCTTTTAGCTTTTGTGTCACTCTTCTGTATTTCATTTTTATTTGCTCTTTAGTTTCAACTCTTTTTTATTTTACTTTACTCGATTTTTGACATAGATAATATCTTTTTTTCTCAAAATAATGCCATAATTCAACTGTTTGCCCTCCATGTTAATCATGTTCAGTTGCAACACATTTTCAAATAACTACTACCCTTACAACCTTCTCGAAAAAATTTTTTTTATTTGTTCATTTTTTTTTCTCTTAGTTCTTCTTGGGATTCTGAGATTCTAACGCATGGAAAATTGAAAACATTGTAACTCGATAGTCGTTATTGGACCAAGAGCTTTTCCTTTTTTCATTTTTTATATTATTTGTATGTTTTTTTTTAATTGTAATTATGAATAAACATTGTTATTTATATTATTTATTGACTGAAAAAAAAATTAAAATTCATAAAAAATTTATATATATATATGCGTTTACTGATTAGCCAATCCAGCATTGCCATAATTGTAGTTCTGGTTTGCGGGATAACGGTTGCCATAATTTTGACTTCCGTCATTGTTATCGCGGTAATTTGTGTTTCCGGGGTTGCGGTAGTCTTGATTGTCGTTGTACCCATATTGGTAACCATTGTTCATTCCATTGTTATTGCTGTTGTATCTATCATATTGGTTGTAATTTTGATTATTCGAGACATCTCCAGCAGATCCCGGTGGATAATTTCCATTAGTTCCACTATTGTAGTTGTCGTTCGAATCCGAAGAAAGCCAAGAAAACGTGCACGAAGTACACTCGCAAGTTGAATCTCCATTTCCGTTATTTCGGCATTCACCAGTTTGGCACAGCTGAAAACTTATTTAAAGTTCCTCGTTGTTTCGAAACACATGACGAACTTTGACTTTGCAATATGCGCTGCACAACGGATCAAAGATACTAGTAAAGAGACCAGTGTTCACGCAGATTGATTGAGAAGAAATCCTTGCAGTTGAAAATGCCAGTAATCCAATGGAAATGTAGAGAATGTAGTTCATATCTTAATAATCATGTATAAATATTTTCTGACACTTTAACCTTAGAAAAAAAAACACTTTAAAACGTCAATTCAAAAATTGATCTTAGACTTACTATCGAGTTCGGTGTATTTATAGGATTCGTTTAAAATAAACTTTAGATTTTTTTTGAGTATCGAAAAATTTGTCACAATGGCACACTGTATAACTACTGACTCACTTTATTTGCCTTAACGGCGGAAAATGAAAAGAACTACTTCATAAATAAATTATATAAACATTGCAGATAAACAATGTTATATATGGCAATATTGGGCACAATTACGATCAGCTCCCTTGTACACATTTATTAATATAACAGCAAAAAAGGTGCGACTAATTATATTCGTTATTATCGTAGTTGCTCTGGCTTCGGTACAACGTGTCCCTTGAATATTGAGGAGTCGAAGATCCTTGTTGAGAATCCTCGTCATATGGGATAGGATACCGATATTCTCCTTCAAATCCGTCATCATCTGGTTTTATCACGTTGCCGTCTCCATTCCGATAACATTTCTCGCACACGCATTCATATTTATTGGACTTGTTTGAATTCGGGTTTTCCAAGCATTTTCCGGAACCGCACTTCTTCAATGGATAATACGTTAATAGGTAGTCATATGGTGTTTGACTTACTCTCAAATGGCACCAGACATCGCATAATGGATCAAGAAATACTGAGCCAAATTGAGCCCACTCATTGTCTCGGCCGACACAAATCTGTGCAGTTACTGGAATCAAAACAGAGACAATAGCCAATAGCACAATAGTCTTCATATCAAATTTCGTGAATTTCATCGGTACTCATAAGCTTTTATACTGACAGTAGCAACAAATCGGTCGAAATGTTTGGCAATATGACTCATACGTTTCGCGAAAAAGTTTTTCGTTTAGGTTTTGTTTGTTCGGCATTGTTTATTAATGACATAAAATACATAAATATAAATTTTAATGAAGTAAAATAGACGACCACTGTAAAAAAAAATTGACTCGTCGAATTTTCAATAAATATACAAACATTTGATTTAGCAATAAATAATATGATAATCATGGATTTTGTGATTTTAGGCAGCAGTTTTGACTTTCTTCTCGTCCTCCAATTTGCGATATACTTCGGTAGGATTCATTAGCTCGTGGATGTATTGGTATTTTCCACCCTTAATAGCAAATAACTATGTAATTATGTGAAGCATATAGTAATATACCTCTTTGAAGTCTTGCACAGTATGTCCCTCTCCACGAAGGATCCACTTAGTGGTCAAAAGCCCTTCAACGCCAACTGGTCCTCTCGCGTGTATTCGTCCAGTTGAGATTCCAACTTCGGCGCCAAGTCCGAATCGATATCCATCGGCGAATCTGGTGGAAGCGTTATGGAACGCACAAGCACTGTCCACATGCTTTAGAAAATGTTCTGCAGTTTCGCCTGCAAGAGTAAATCTGTATCTCAAGAACAAATGTGAATTTTTCGACGTACTGTTTTCAGTGATGATGCTCTCTGTGTGTCCAGATCCGTATCTGATGATATGAGCAACGGCTTCTTCGACGTTATCAACAACTTCAAGTGTACATTCAAGAGACCCATATTCGAAGGACAAGCTTTCAGCTGGTGGTGGAGCGAACTTAAGAAGAGAAGCAAGCTTTGGTCCAGCATGAAGTTTAACGCCTTCTGTTTTGAACATAGTGCACAGAGAGTCAAAGAATGGAGTTGTGGCAAGGTCCTTGTGGATCAAAATTGTCTCAACAGCATTGCATGCAGATGGATAATCGCATTTTGAATCACGAACTATTTGAATAGCCATCTACAACATTCCATGTATTTTTTATCACTGGGGTACACCACTCACGTGCTCATCACAATCCTTGTCAATGTAAACATGGCACACACCTTCGGCGTGTCCGAGCACAGGAATACCCTTGCTCTTCTCTTGCATAGAACGAACAAGTTCCGAAGATCCCCGCGGAATCACCAAATCAATGCAATGCTGAATTATTGTAATCAATTATATTTAATATCGTGTTTTAGATGATATACCTTTAATTGAAGAAGATCAGCAACATCTTCTCTGCTTCTAACCAATGTGATAGCATCTCTCATATCAAAACCATGAGTTCCCAAAGCCTCTTGTACAATGCTGTGAAGCATTTTGTTGCTCTCATCGGCTTCTTTTCCTCCTTTGAGAAGAAGCGAATTTCCAGAAGCCATCGCCAATGATGCCACTTGTGGCAAACAATCAGGCCGAGACTCGAAAATCACCATAAGACTTCCGATTGGAACGGTGACTTGCTCCAAATAGAGATTATCAGAAACCTTGACTTTCTTCAAGCATCTTCCAATAAGTGTTTCCGCCGAGTCAGCAATCATATTAAGACCGCTATGCAAGTCTTGGAGCTTAGCTTTCGTCATTTTGAGGCGGTTCAATAGTTGCGGTTCTAATCCGGAGTTTTTCGCGTTGCTCATGTCCAAGCGATTCGCCTCCATGATGTCATTCTCTCTAGCAATGAGGAGTCCTGCTAAATGACGTACCATTGCAGCACGCTCATTATTAGTGAGTGCAGCCAATTGGCGTCCAGCATCGCGGCCTAAATATTAATAATAGTGATATGTTGCATAACGAATCAATGTACATCTCTCAGCAACTTCCTCGATTGGGGGTCCTTCGTATCTCTGAGTTCTACAAAACATTGTTCCATTTTTCTTGCCAGCAACTGCATCGGTTATCGCATTTTGAGACAATCCGTTGGTGATTACGGTAGTGACACCATTTTCGAGGGCAGTAACGCAAGCATTCACCTGAACAAAATTGTGTGCACCTCATAATTATCAGCGTAAATTACTTACCTTGCTTTCCATTCCTCCAGTTCCAAATTTGCTGTTGGCTCCGAAAGCGACTCCAGAATTTTCAGAAGGCACGAAAGTGTGAAGAAGACGGGATCCTTCAAGATCCGGTGGTCCGGTGTACACTCCATTCACGTTTGAGAGAATTATAAGGAGCTCCGCTTCGATTTCAGCGGAGAGACGGGCAGCAAGAGAATCGTTGTCAGAAATATGCTGAAACCTTATGATATTATCTGAAATTCATATAATTGTTTACCATGTTCAGTTTCGGGTCTGGAGCAACTGCATCGTTGGCGTTAACAATCGGAATGATGTTAAGGGAAAGCAGACTTTCAATAGTTGCAGTAAGATTCTTTCTTCTTTGTGGATCATCAATATCCGGCTTGGTGAGAAGGACTTGAGCCACAGTGATTCCATATTGTTGAAAAAGTTGCTCATATAGTGACATGAGTCCTGGCATACCAGAAGCAGCACACGCTCTTTTGTCTGCAGTCATTCCCGATGGACCTCTATAATAATTTTAAAAATTATTTTATTATTTTTTATTATTTTATTATTTATTATTAAAGTTATTTTATTATTTTTTTTTATAAAAATTATTTTATTATTTTTGTTTTAGTTCATTGTTGTTTTAATGAACTTCAACTTATACTTGTTACTAAATAGCAATTTTCTAAATTTTTCGCGATGTGCAGTTTAATTAGTTACCTCAAAGTCTGCCTCATGCTCATGCTCATCACCAATTCCTGCCTCAGTTTTTGTCTTCCAAATGCGACTGCTCCAGATGAAACAATAAGCATCTGACGTCCTGATTGTTGAAGTTCCGAGACCTGAAATTAATCATTCCGACCACTCATTACCACACATATGTATGTCCAAATGATTTCGTGTTCTCATTTTTCTCATCAATCTCACTGATACGTGCGCTTCTCGAAATATTCGATTACCTGTTCCACAATCGATGCAAGTCTTCCCAATGCTAGACCGCATTCATCTTCTCTCGTAATCACTGCGCTTCCCAGCTTGACAACAACTCTTTGTGCCTTCTTCAAGTCATTTCTAGTATTGATCGATGGATGTTTCTGACGAGTTTTGGTACTGTAATAATAAGCTCATTAGTTGAAGTTTTATCAGTTGGTGGAATAATCAATGTTGACCTCCATTCTTATCAAGTTTTTAGGTACACAAAATATCGCTTCGAAAACTAAAGTAATGAAGCGAAATTTTAAATCTTACCAGAAGTTTCCATTTGCATCACCGACTGGGATTGCGCCAACTGCTGGGATTGGGCTGACTTTTTGATATGGAGAAATAGCGGCAGACGACCTTGTTTTCAACAATTCAACCTTAAAAATTTAGGACAATTCACGTTTGTTAAAAATTTTTCAATGATTACCTGATTTGGGCGCAGGATTCTAGAGCTAGAGTATCTAGCATAAGAGGCGAAATAGCTAGTAGCTCGAAGCATTTTTTACTGACCTAAAACGATAAAATCTCATCAATTTATAGATGAATGTTGACAAAATTTGCGCCATATTGCGCAATACGTTCAAGTTAGTTTAAACAAAAGAAAGACAAGGAAATATTTAAACAGACGTTTCAATGGCCTATCTCCGAAACACCAAAAATTTGTATCTCACTGATCCAATAAAATCCGGTTCCAGTGAATGTTCGTAACACTGATAGACGATGCTAAATCACCTTGAATATGGCACGCAATACAAATGTACTCAGCGCATTTTTTTTTGTTTAATAATGCCGAATTTTTCAAAATGGTTGACGGTTAATTTTTTAGTGGCTACAAAGAACGTCCATGCACGGAAAGATGCAAATCGCAAGGAACTATCATTCCAATGAAACTGAAATGATAATGATTCTGTGAGGAGTGCGAAATGTTCAAATTTTACAATTATAAAGGTACAATTATAAATATATGAATATTAGATCAAATGTTTAATAGTAACTAGCATCGATGGCGACAGAGAAAGTGTATGAATGAGCTGATAACCAAACTTGGGTTGGCGTACAGGGAAGTGGTCAACTATACAATGGATCTATACTGAATGTCCCCCCCCCCAAACGCAGATACCACTATACAATGATAAGAAAACATGATATCTCGACTCATTCCTCCGCCCATCACTTTTTGCTCGCGGCAACTGCAATGTAGGATGATTATCAATCAGAGTTGCTTATGGGGTTTTTTCCTTTGTTATTGGACAGTAAAAATGGGGAATAGTGCTCCCGAATGACGACCCTTTGATACGTCCGCTGATAAAATGTGCGAATAGATCATACATTTTTGAAGAATGTGACAAATTCGATTAAAATGAAAAAATTATGCTAAGAATAAATTTAAAAAATAATCATTTTAATAAAAAAATGTTCTACCGTCTCAACAATCTACCAAAAAACAAATAAAATTTCGAAAAAATTATTCCCTAACAGAAAAATCCCTAACTGAAATTACAGATTTTCACGTTGTTGTTGCTTTTAGAATTCATTAAAATTATTTTGTACAGTAGCATTATTTAGCAAAATGGGTTTACGAATGCGTTGTGGTTATCCGTAAACATACTCGTATCGTAATCCCTTTGATATCCTGCATGCGAATTTTTCCATTTGCATTCAACATTTTATTTTGATGAAACTAATTACCAAGAATAGTTTTGTGCGTTGACGACATTCTATTTCTAATGGTTCCTTGTTCGCTTGTACTATAAAGATATCAATGTACGTGTCGTCAAAGTTTTGATTTTGAAATTCTCGTTTTAGACAATTTGGTGTGTATTAATGTCTATTATATCAAATAATAGGGTGCCTATTTCGCTCACTGATGTCATTAAGAAATCCCCAAACAGCTGAATTGTTCTGTAGGGTAGTATTAGGTTACACAAGGTTTCCAACATGTATATGACTTTATGGACAATTATTCATTTATTTATTTCATTATCATTCTAGTTTTATTTCTAGGATTATTATAACGTGATCACAAATCATCTCAAGTTGATTTTCTCAAACAAAATGTGTTAGTTTTTTTTTCGAAAAACCGTAAAACGTTCAATATATTTATTTTTAAACGACTTGAATTAATTTGATTATTTGAATATAACAGTGTCAAAGCGAATCTTAAATTTTTAATTGAATTAATTTGACAATCTTATAATAATAATAATATAAAAAAAGACCAAAACGTTCCAATCTTTTAAAGCTTTTAGTAAATAATAGAATATCAATTTTTGATTATTTTGTTAATATTTAACACCAATCTAATTTATAAAAGTATTCTATGGTCTATAATAAATAAACACATTTTTCAAAACAATTTTAAATGAATAAAATGGTTTTCCAGTATTAATTGAATTCAATTAGTGTGTTTTGATATAATTAAAACGATTTTTTAGAATTTACATCTTCTAAACTCTCTGTTGTTATTTAACCTTCTTTTTTCATATTTTACAATCTAAATGTTTTTGCAGACATCGGCTTCGATCTACTTCCGTATTTTATGATCTCATTAAGCGCTTTGAATAATTGAATTTGATTTCCCTAAAATTACGCTCTACCCATTTGCAGTTCAAATTTTAAATTACGACTAATAAAATTTTCGATAATATATTTTATTTTAGTCTCTGTGTTTTTGATTCCAAAAGTTTTGAACTGATATTCAATTTAGACATAGTCAAATTCCCTTCCAACAAACCGATCATTGGCATTTAAAATTGATATGCAATAAATGGGGGTGGAACATCAAATATTCTGTGGCATCATTTGTTTATGAATGCAAATTATTCGGTTGGACCGAAAAACAAAGTTGAAACATGTTCTAATTAATCGTTTTTCTTCTTCTCATTTTCATCCTCCACAACTTCATTCAATAGCATATCTTTTGCTGCAATTTAATTTCGATGGTCTAAATGAGATAACAAGTATCGAAACATAAGAAAAAAAGTTATTTGAGAATTAATATAATCTATGAAGAAACTAGTATGCAATACTCGGAATACAAGAAAAGGTCATAGCAATGTTGAAAAAAAGAGATTAAAAGAGCGTGTTTACCTAATCTCAAGAGGAATGATAAGAATAAATCAAGTTATGTGAATACTGTAATAACGATGAAATGGACAATGCATAGATTAAAGAAATGATTTTATATTGATTACTTTAAAAAAAACGATAATAATTTTCCAAATAAAAAAAATTGCTAAATATCTCACAACGAAACTATTTGAATTAAATATTACAATATAATCATTACAAGCAAACAAATTAAATTAATATAAACATGCCAACTACAAGCTACATAACTAATAACTCGGAAAGAACAATTCCGTGAGAAAAAAAAATTAATTTCGAGAAATATAATTGTTTAAAAAAATCTTGCAAATCCATTTTCAGTTTAATAAGTTTTAAAACGATATGTAAATAAATAAAGTTTTCTGATCAATAATTTCCTGATAATGTAGACTTGAGCAATTTTGAATCAAATTTCAATATTCTACAAACTAGGTTTTTATAGTTTTGTTTTCAAATCTAATTCTGTTTTTATATCTGTTTTTGTATACTTGTAGCAACTTTTTAGTTCGTTCAATTTCTCAACAAAGCAGACCCATAAAAATGAGAAAAAAAATATATAAAGGAAGGTTCAGAAATTAATAGAAAACACCTCTACAGGTAGTAAGTATATCAAATAATTTTTTAAATATTTAGAATTAAAAAAATTGCATTTATGCGATATGGTTTACCACAGAATATCATGAAATGGCTTTTCCAAAATTTAATCTGCTTTTCCTGGAATGGTTTAACCATGTTTGGAAGAATAATATGAATATTCACATTTGTTTATTAAATTAAGGCGAAATTCCAACAAAAATGTTCATTTCGGAATTTTTTAAAATCTAAATTCATGTATTGAAACCTTAAAATTGTATAAAAAATTTAACAAAAAAATCATAACATTGTTTTAATGAAAATCTCTATGAATCAAAATTTGTTTTACCTATTACTAGTCATCCATTCCCTTATTTCAACATGTAACAATTCTGATTTATCGAACTAACCCACGTCAAGCTATTTTTAAAACACCTGCCCAAATTGATAAATAATGTAAAAGCCTTAAACAAAAAACGTCCAGGTTCGATTGTTTCAGATCGAATCTTTATTTTCCTCAAAAATTAGGGAAACATTATTTTTCATTCAAATATGAATATAATTAGGAATCGATAATTTGAAAAGAATTATCCAAATTATTCAAATTTGACTGAAAACCATTTTTAGATAAATGTATTTCTGGACAAATTACACTAATCGCATAACAATGTGGGGGCAACAGGCAATAATTGTGTTATAACGAATGGATTTCATTAGGATCAATTTCACGTTCTTCATCGATCAAAAATGATATACCACTATTGGTTTAGCGTAGCCTTGAAAATAGATTGGTTCTTTAATCTTTCCCAGTCTAATTTAAACTAAAAGAATCCAATGGCCACCTGATTTTCACGATTTTTATAGAATTGTGTTGAAGATTTTGAACTCATATTACACCTTTTTTTTAACTGCATCTTACTAAGAACAATCTAGGCTCTTCTTCATAATTTCCTGGAAATGTTATAAAAGTTCCGATTGCTTCTGAGACTGACATATTTAAATAATGCAAAAATGTTCCCATTATTCAAGTATCTGAAACGGGAAACATCATTGTCATTATACTTTTTACTTGTCTTATCTCATTCAATTTACCGATATATTTGCATGTTGTGGCATCTGATTCATTAAACAGTCTTACATCACTTTCATCCAGCGCATATATGCAAATTATCCGAGGCTCCTATTTTTCCTGAAATTAATTATGCGTGCATGAACTTTTGACGCCCCCATTTTGAAAATCTTCAAAAATATGCCTAGCACATTCATAATCATTGCAACGCATCTCTATCGCTCCGCCTCTCGCCGTTTAACGCTTAATATGAAAAGTAAAAGCGAAAAGTGGGCGGAGGACAACTTTCATATGAAATAATTTATAGAAAATTTGAGCTACAGTGTCCCTTTTGGCAAACATCACTTTCAATATCTTTTTATTTTGTTTGCATATTCAATAATTATGTATTTATTTTATACGCATTCATACATAGCCATCAATTTTCAGATAATGTTTAGACGGCATCCCAATCTTCCAACTGTTCAGAATTTTTACCACATTATTATCATGCTTGGACACCTTACTTTTAACGCAGAGTTAGTGATTTTAATTTCCATCGCCGGCATACGATAGCGCAGAAATTGTCCTTTTTTCTAGTTCCGAAAACAGGTGATATTTAAGAAAAAAAATACAAAAAAATTAGTTTTTCTTCTTAGAACTCCGAATTAACGATCAAATAAAGAAATTATTGTAAAAAAATGTAACGATATAGTTTCAAAAACAAGAACATTTACAAAAGATTTTCCTATGCCATTCAAGTGATATGAAGCGAATGGAAAATTGAGGGGGGCGGGGAAGAACGATGTCCCAATCATTGGTATTTTTTGAGATTGGGTTAGGTAAATTATATATTACTATGTGAATTCGAAACGCGAAACGAACAAGCATTTTTTAAGATCTTGGAGGATACGAAGAGAAATGGACGATTACGCAGACGACCTCTTTCCACCTGAAGAATGCTATCATCAGTACAACCAAGAAAATCATTACAAAATTTTCTCGAACTTTTTAAATCGCAAGAACGCCACTCACTATTCACCGATTGCTCCTTCGTATCAGCAAGCTCTTATGAAACTTAAGGTATGTGTTTTTATTCTTACTTATTATTATTTAATCGCGATGACCCACCCGAAAAGTCAAAACAGATTGCGTAATACTTTTTAATAAGTGTGCGAATTTTTGTCTGTCTTGTGATGTTCATGCAATTTTTTCTTTAGATGAAAGGGCTCAAACACGGAGAGCAAATTACGAAAAGTTCCACGAAGTGCAACTCATATAAACAAAAGACCATCACAGCAGACACACCTTTGCGAGAAAGAGCGCTTTGTAAATTTGAATATGTTCTGAATTACAATCCAAAGGTAAGATTATGTTTTCCAAAATATTTTTACGAATCAATTCCGTTGTTGCAAAAAAACGGAAAATTGACTATATGCTAAAAACATTGTAGAAGGGTGCGCGTTGTGCGCTTTTAACCTATCCATTTGCTTAGCAACGTAAATCGACAATTTCAGTTTTGCGCCAGGACCGCTATCATTGTTTTTTGGCATTTAGCCAATTTTCGGCAGTCGCACTACGTCGACAATAACATTTTCTGAGAATTGGTTTCATGATTTGTTTAAATCATTCTGTTTGTGTGTTACGTATTGAGTTGTTTTTTTTTGCAAATTGTTGAAACCATAGAATATTCTGTTGTTCGAAAAATGCAAAGACATTGTTGCGTAGGGGGGACAGTTATGCAAATGAAATGACAGAGGGCTTTAACATAATATTTCTTTTGCAGAGGTTGCCAGCAGCACTTACAGAAGTCAAGTGTAGTTGTGCGCGACCAAACTCAAAGCTTGTAGGGAAGCGAACATTTGAGTGTGAACATCTGAAATATCAGGTTAAAAATTCATATATTGTTTTTATAATAACTTTCTGTATTTTTTTCAGATTCGCGTTTTATTATGGGATGATAACTGCCATACCTTTAGAGAACATGTTGAAACAATATCGTTAGCATGTATACCAGTAGTACAGGTATTATTAACAAATAAGTTATAAATGCTTATGATTTATAATTTCAGGCAACAGCAAATGCTGAAAGCGCAGGAGAAGATTTCATAATGGAGATCAAAGCAGACGTACCTCTGCGATAATCGCCGATTATGAATTATCATAGACTACTTGTCTTTCTTCTATCCTATCCATACAATGGTGATACTTGACAATTTTCTACGGGCAACAGTTTTAAAAACGTCTATTGCTCTCTCAATGCATTAATAATTTTTACTATTAACGATGCAACGTGAATTTGCAAAAAGCTTAAGCTTTGCCACCACCCCCACACCAGTTTACAATGTGATATTTTTCAATATACAAATAACATATTTCTCTAATACGGGTTCGCAATATATTATTGAACTGAATCGACCAAATCGTCGTGTTTGATTCGAAATAATCTCATTATACTTGCCTGCACGTGTATATGAACTTATTATGATCTCATTGAAATTGTTTTTTTTGTATTAATTCAAACAACGGTGCATTTCATAAAGTTTTATCTTCGGTGTTATATTTATCAAATTTAAAAAAATTAAAAGAAATATGTTATCTAAAAAATTATTATCAAAAAGTTATTTACATATTTGTTGGCCCGAAATATGACAATTTAAACTAACAATAATTATATATATGAACTTAAGTAGATAAATACTGATTACAGGAAATTTGAAAAAAAAATATACGAGAAATGAGGCAAAATAACGGAACAGAGGGGAAGATAATCTAAATTATTAAAACATCCTCGTCGTCGAATTTTCCTAGTTGGACTTTAGGCAAGAATATATTGGTTTCCATCTAAATCGATTAGTTTCACTATCATATTTTTTTATGGATTTTAACTACGTTTTCCGGAAATAGTAAATATGTCTTTTTAGGCTCTCTGTTACCCAACACGAATATATAAATATTTAGGAACTCGCAGAATTGGCGACAGACGACTGTGCAATAAATAAACAGAGAAGCATAACAATAGATCTGAAAATAATGTTTTTTTCAATTTATTTTGTTGAAATATCTTACAGTGGCAATCCACAACAAGATGTACTCGCTAATTGGGTACTCATAGTATTGGTTCAACATTAATGCCAAAGGCCCGATATAGATCCAATCCCAATGTCTCAATTCACTCTTCGACATATGTGCAATAACTAGTCGGTTGGTTTCCTTTGCACCTGAAACTTTCATATTCACAAACTATGTCAAAATTTAATCGTGATGATTTTTTGATACCGACAGCCCCAAAGCAAAGACAGAACAAAGTGATGTTCTCATCTAAAATTCCTGATTCCGAACGTGTATAGATCATGACGAATGGCATTATTACCATAAGTAATGGGAAAAGTGGGAAAATGACAGAAGTTCCCTGGAAACTAAAAATTGGCACAAAATTCTCCATACTTTTCTTACAGCAATGGTGGATCCATTTTTTCCAACACCTCCGCTTAAAACCACATTCATATAACCGTAGATTTGGTAAGCAGAAACGATTAATGACGAAAACAAAACCAAATGCTTCAAATTATATCCGAATAACTGAAATTGAAAAATGATATAAACGTTTCTTATAGATAATCTGACCAAAGAAATGTCCCAAATATTATTTCCAAACAAAGCCGTTGTAAGAAGAACAGCAATGACTGACATTTGAGCCTCAGTGACATCAAATCTAAGTTTAAAATATTTGTATTCAATATTTGTATTCAGTTTTTATTTCAGTTTTTAATTTTTTTTATTTAGCACGACGAATATTTCATTTAAACATTTATATCTAGACAACTTGGCTGAAAATAATTTTTTCTTTTTTTATTATTTTGGATATCATATAAAAAATGTTTTTACCATTTACTGTAATGTTCGTCATCAGTGTCCTTTAAACATTTATCAATCAACCACAATTATTGATATTTTTTCTTTGTTTATGAAGTAACACGCGCCATTGGAAAAAAAAAACGTTCATTGTCTGCTGCATATATGCGCTGCTGTGTTCTCTTCATCCTCTAGCGAGTATGTGTACGCGACTCGCGCTAGAACGCTCGAGCGGTCGCGTGGTGTAGTGGTTATCACATCTGTCTTACACACAGAAGGTCGGCGGTTCGATCCCGCCCGCGATCATTCCTTTTTGACAAACCTTGAGAATCTCAATTGACCGGTGCAATAAGTAGACCAGTGTGCACAATAGAACAACGTGACCGAAATGATCGAGACAATGAGAACGCCGTTGGTAACGGTTCCGAGAGACATCGCGTAACATATATTAAGAGTTACAAAAACTGGAAAACGTGCTACATGACCAGAAAGTGAACTTTGATATCGCACCTTGCGTCATGCTGTCGCAGCCATGATCAAAGAGTTCACCTAATGGTGAGCTACTACCCGTTCGTCTTGCCTGCTTGCCATCAATTGCATCTAAGGTTTGATAAAAAAATAAACCCAAAGCAGCTTGATGATATGCCCAAGATGGTGCCTAAACAGAATTGTTTAACGTTTGATCCCTTGTACTAACATACAGGCTCAGTTGCGGAATACGAGAAAGACGAGAGTATTAAGACGGTGACTAGATTGATGACGAGGCCAATAAGTGTAATCAAATTCGGAGCAATCCACATTGGGCAGAAATTGATGACATACTCCCACCATCTGTAAATATTTAAAAAATTGAATTCAATAATTTTTCTGCTATTATTAAAAATGTTAAGATTAAGCTTTATCAATTTTCTTAGAACATTACGCTAAACTCAGCTTTTTTTATCTATTATGTATTAATTTAATGTGTTTCAGACCAGATGAGAAATTTGATAACGTCTTAGATAAGAATTTTTCTGTGGACCTGTTGTACCTTAGCTAGGAAGTACTTTTTTTGAAATTTCTTTCATATTTACGACTTATCTTTATTTTTCGAGCTGAAAACTCATTTTCGTTATTTACCTCTTCATGCACAATTCATCCAGCCAACTGTTGTCAACTGCCGAATATTTGTGCTCTTTGAGGCGTTTCAGCTCCTGCGCTGTCAAAAGAGAGTCCGACTGAAAACGAATGTAAAACAGTTCTGGTCTAAATTCATACTTCAATGTAAGACTGCACAAACTTGCACGCGCTCGATCGAACCCCTCCGCCGGACATACCTGCAACAAAAATCAATACTATCAATAGTGGAAATGTCAATCCAAAAGCGGCAAAAATTGAAGGATGGATGATAAATAAATAAACATTTTGCGTGAACTCATTGTCACATTCGCATGCACTTTGATTGCATCGAAACGCCGCAATTCGGGTGGAGAAGTGTGTACTGATCTCTTTTGCCGCTGAGAGCGAGAGACTTGACAAAAAATTTGGGGGGTTGATAAGAATGAAAAGTAGATGATAAACTATAATGGACATACTGGACTTGAGACACGTGGAGGTGATTTGTTTCTGTTACACTGCAAATCAACACCCAAAAAAGTTTCCAGCCGATTACTAGTAACGGCGAAAACAAAAGCGATTAATAGGAGTTGTATGAATTGCAACTAAGCAGCAAAAAATAAAGGGAACACGTGTGTCAACAGGAGAAGGTAAAAGGTCAATAGTTTAAAATTGTGTTTATCATCTTCAAAACCTGAAATGCTCGCCCGTAATTAATCACATGACGGTGTGTGTTGGCCTGAAATTGATATCAATTATATATTTTTAATGAAATCTTTTATGAGTTTTCATTAGCAATGACAAGGTTTCATCATTTAAACAGCCATCTGTAAACATCTTCGGTGAAACCATCCAAAAGTAGCAAATCGAATACTTCAAGTTAGGGTAATGTGATTTGCGATGATGAGGTCAAATTTTGTGACATGAATTTAAATTTGTTTCGTTCTTCTGCTTTACAAGAATCTACTTTTTATAATTAGGTTGACTCCGTAAACTTTAAGATAAAATCTAGTGTGCTATATTTGCATTTTTATTTGCATTTTTTTATTTGCAATGCTATATTTGCATTTTTTTAATTAAAGAATATCATGCTTAAATGCAAAATTTTTATGATAACTCAAAAGTTGATGTAAATATTGTCAATGACAAACGACTTCATAAAAATTTGACCAAAAAAGTGTAGGCAATTTGGTCTTGTAGTCGTTTGCGTTTTGCCTGTATATCAAACACATACAAAACCACAGCATGCATCAAAGGTGCATACAAAAAATAGTTTGATTGGCGCCAAACTGAACTAAAACTCAATTTGACCTATAATTTTTGAATTTCTGTCAGTTGTCCACTACTTTCAAAAATACTTCTTAGGTGTTAAGAAAATAAAATTCCCGATAAGATAAGAGATCAATTTGCTAAACACTGTAGACATTTCATTTGATTTTTTCTTGAGTTAAGCTGTTCAAATGATAGTGCGCGTTTTGAAATTACACTGTTTGTGTGTGTGTGTGAAAAGTGCTGCTAAAATTGGCAAGTTTAAAGAAAGCAATGTCTGTTTTGGTGTAAATAGACCAGTACGAAATGAGATGAACGACAGATAAAAAGTGTATTGCTAAAGGTCGACGTCTAGAAAACGCGCAGCGATCATTTGGTTCCTTTTTTGGCAAACCGAAATGAATACCCAAAGATGGGGTGATATGGAGCGATGAGCGTAGTATACATCGCAACTCGATAAAAGAAAGAAGAGAAACAGGAGAAACGATATTGTAGAGCAATTCGATCGATGAAAATGTCGGTCTCCATGTGGCGAAAAAAACATTCGTTTTGTCTGTCACAAATGTTTCGGCTCACACTTTTGTTTTTGCATTCTTCTTTTTTCGTTTTCGCGGAAATTACAAATGGCATGAATCGAGTGTTTTCGATTTATAAAAACAACCGATTGAAATGGTGTGATGAAAAGTGAAGAAGAAATTCAATGTAATGCCTTAAAAATTGTTAAAAAATTCAAGAGTGGAAAAAATATTACAACTAATTATTACACTAATTTTGCGTTAAATATTGGTTTTAAAAATTTCATTTATCAATAAGAGGTAAATCTATGGGAAAAGTTTTTGTTTCGCAGAATCGAGTAAAATCCGTAACGTGTGTCTAGTTACTAAAAAAGTTTTTAATTAATTAACCAATTAAGCAACAAGAAAATTGAATTTACAATTCGCAATTTACAATTGATTTTGTACATTTAAGGTATGCTTTTAGAAAATTTGAGAAAAATTCTGCAAGTTTCCAAAGATTAGCAGAAAAATAATGCGATATCTGATATTAACTTGATATGTTATAAACAAAATCTCTTGTGCACTCTTTCCAATATTTGTCTACAACGAATTTTATAAAAATGTTGTTCCTCAAAATGAATGGTGTTTTTGGCAGAAAAAAACGCATTAAAACACATTTGGGTGTGAAGAATTGGCGTCAAGGATTTCAATAAAGGGAATACGATCGTCATTCTTCAATTTCAGGATGAATACTGAGCCGAACACCATTCATCAAATGCTGTGGCAATTTCGATTTACATTTAGATTGCTATAAAAACAATAAATCATTAAATTTACAACGAGAAAATTGTTAGTTTCGGCAGAGAAAAAAAGAGAAACTCGTAAGAAACATGCCAAGATGTGCAAAAGATTTATAAAAGCCTTTCAAGCGAAAATAATCGAAAAGCATTTATATTTATTGCAAATAACTAAGAAAAATACCAAAAAAAAATCATGGTAAAAGTAAGCTTGAAACTTGGCTAATTCTACGAGATTATGCATGTATACGACGCGCGTTGTCGCAAAACGGAGAGGGTGCGTACGTGTGCCAGCAAAAGGTGCCCCAGCTATAAATACAAAATATACGACAATGTAGTGTGTGTGTTGGACTACTTCCAATCGATAAATTATTAATTACATCTTTATTCCAGAAAATTTTAGAAAAAAATTAACAATTTAAATTAGAACAGGATTTCAATAAGACTTCGGATTCGATAAAAAATTTAAAATTTAAATTCATAACTTTTATTTCAAATCTTCTTCTAGCAATGAAATCAAATGTTAAATTACTAGCCATACGTAGAAATGGTGCATAATATGCTTACCCGATTCAACAAGACTACGTTAAATAATTAATAAAGCGTTTAATAATAAGCAAATACTAAAAAATTATGTGGCAAGGTCTTGCTTCTTAATAAGGTTGTAGTATTTTCCCTTCCGTTGCATAAGCTGTTGGTGGTTTCCGGCTTCTTGCACTATTCCGTGTTCAATATACACGATTAAGTCTGCGTTTTGAATTGATGACAATCTATGGGCTATTGTTATGCATGTTCGCCCTGTTCTTGCTCGGTCTAAAGCTTCTTGAACTGCCTAAAAAATGTCCAAATTTTCTCAAAATCAGCCGCGCACAATTGAAACCTTTTCTGATTGAGAGTCAAGTGCGGATGTTGCTTCATCGAGCAAAAGTATTTTAGGATTGCGCACAAGAGCTCGAGCAATTGCAATTCTTTGCTTCTGACCTCCTGAAAGCTGCGAGCCTTTCTCTCCAACTTCCGTGTCGATTCCTGCAGGAAGACTTGACATAAATCTCGAGGCGTTTGATAGTTTCAAAGCTTCATTTATCCTTTCGAGCGGCACCTGTAATCAAATTGATTTAAAGATATGTGATAATTATATAATTATCTGACATCCTTCAATCCCAGGCAGATGTTTTCTTTAATTGTTCCCGCAAACAGCCTAGGCTCCTGACCAACTAGCGCCATTTGTGTTCGAATATGATGCAACGAAAGATTTCTGATGTCATTTCCATCAATTCTAATGCAACCAGCATTGGTATCATAGAAACGCTCAAGCATGCTGATGCAGGTACTTTTACCGGATCCTGAGGGGCCAACAATAGCAACTGTCTGACCGCGTTGAGCTGAGAAGTGAAGGTTAGTCATGACCGGTTGAAGAGGACGTTGTGGATATGAGAACTTGACATTCTCGAACAATATATTTCCGCGAATCTCAGGAGTCTCCCCTTGCATCAAATCACCAGTCTTTGACTGACGATATATCATTTTGAAGAGCATTCCGGCAGCAGTTTTTGCCTTAACAAACTCCGGAAAGTTATGAGAAGAGTGCATCACAGCGACGGAACTCAGCAGCATTGTATTGATTGCACTGAAAATGAATTCAAATGAAGGAATTGGGAAAATGCAAACCTAAAGGCACTTGCAGCATCAACAAATTGGTTGTGGATCAATGGTGTTCCTAATCCATAAGCCATGCACATCATAAAATACATGAATGATTGTGAAACTGCATTGTTAACAGCTTCTATAATAGCTTTTCGTATGTCAATTTTCTTTTGCGAATCCGAAGCTTGTTCATATTTTTTATAAAACGTCTTAGTTGCGGTTAGAAGTTGAATAGTTTTGACGTTTTCGATTATTTCAATGGAAATCTATAAAATCTGATCTAGTTTTATTATTATTTTTCATTCTTACTTTTCCAGCTTCATCTTTCTTGATCTGACGTAAATTCTCTCGACTTATTCTATACGCGAGACTTATCATCAAAAATGCAAATGCGACTGTTGCAAATAAACCGAGAAGCGCTATTTGCCAGCAGAGGAAGAAACCAACGATGATGTTTACTATTATGGCAGTGATTGAATAAATGACTTGGAGCATTCGTGAATCAACGACCTTCAAATATTGATGGTGTGGAAAAAAATGTTATTATAAATTTAGACAAACCGCTTTCACATTTGGCGCATCACTAGCCAATCGAGTTATCAATTTTCCCGGGGAATGCGCGGGGTTGTCAAAGAATGAAGCATCTTGATGCAAGAGGTTTCGAAAAGATTTTACACGGAAACGTAAGCCAAGGTTCTCCGCAACAATGGTGAATAATATAGTCTAAATCTTACTTTGATTTTTACTCAAAAATTCTACTAGCTTACACTTGCAAATTGTCCAAGGAAAGTGATGAGCCCAACAACAATGTAGAAAATGAAGCAGAGTAGAATAATTTGCGAACGTTCATCACCAGTTTTAGAAAATCCGTCAAAAACTACTCCCATAATGACACTGAGTAAAGGAAGTTCACAACCGCGGAATAGAGCTGTTATAAATCCAAAACACAAATACCAGTAGTTACCTAAATTTTAAAATTAGCGGTATTCATAAATTTGTTAGTAAACCTTCAGCGTTTTTAAGAATATCCATATAACCCGCCGTAATTGCTCCATCTTCATCCATGACACGTGTGACTTCTGCAGCGAAATCTTCATCTTCCTGCCCTCTTTGGTCCATAATATTGTGATATGGTGACAACGTGTTTACAAGCGATTCGATATCAAAACTTTCATATGATCTGATTGAAAGTTGACGGGAAACTGTTCTTGACCTAACGGTGGGGGTAATACTGCAAATAATGATTTCATTTTTTTTCCAAAATAATCATATACTTTTCATCATCTTCAAAAACTTCATCATCGGATTCGGATGATTTGAATTGTTGAGCTTGAACCAAATTATAATAGCGGCCGCCAAGTTCAACAAGTTCTTCGTGAGTTCCACTTTCCACAACAACGCCATTTTCGAAATAGACAATTTTATCGGCCTCTCGTATGGTCGACAATCTGTGTGCAATCATGATAGTTGTTCTGCCGGCCGCTGCATTGTTGAGTGCGGATTGCACAATACTTTCACTTTCTGCATCAAGAGCAGAAGTTGCTTCATCGAGCAACAATATTTTGGGATCTCTGATCAATGTGCGCGCGATTGCCACTCTCTGCTTTTGACCTCCGGACAATTGCACTCCTCCATCGCCAATTAAGGTGTCATATCCTTTAGGCATTTTGATAATGAAATCATGAGCATTAGCCATCTTGCACACTTCAATCATTTTTTGTCTAGTGGCTTGCAAGTTTCCAACGAGAAGATTATTATGAATCGTGTCATTAAAAAGAATAGGTTCTTGTTGCACAATTCCAACGTTTTGGCGTAACCAATCAATATTCAAATCTTTGACATCGATCCCGTCAATTTCCACGCTTCCTTGTTCGCACTCGTATAATCGCGTCAGCAATCCGACAGAAGTTGATTTTCCGCAACCCGAATGTCCTACAAGAGCCACTGACGTTCCCGGTTCGACCACCAAATTCAATCCGTTCAAAACTTTGACATTTTTTCTCAACGGATAGCGAAAATGAACGTTGTTAAATGTAACCCTTCCATTGATATGGATCGGTTTTTTTCCCTCGTTTGAATAGGCATCAATTTTCGGTTCCTGAAAATTAATTTCAATTATAAAACATACTTGGATGAACTAACTCTTTCAATGATTTCATATATTGTAGCAGCGGCAACTCTAGCATTTAGTAAAACCATGAGATGTGGAGAAATAAGACCAAGAAAATAAGCTCCAAGAAGCATAGAGAAAACTACAGTGAACACGTCTCCGGGAGTTTCAATTGTTTTGATTTCCATTAAATAAGCTCCATAATAGAATCCTCCACCAAGATATGAGAAAAGAAGCAGAAAAAAGAGTCCGCCAAAGAAACCTCCAGAAACTCCTTTCAAAATTGCGTATTTTCTTCCATGTGACAATTCGTTGGTGTATCTAATGCAATATTTAATAGCATTTAAATAAGTGCTTACTTCTCCGTCATTTCTTCTTGCCCATTTAATGATTGAACAGTGCGTACTCCCATAAGACATTCTTCTGCAATCGAACCAGCCTTTCCGATATCGCCGAGCTCCTTTGATGTATATTTTGAAATGGTCTGATTTCACTGATTTTTGCAACGTTATCGAATGACTTCTTACTCTTGACATCAATGACATACAGATACAACATATTGGCGCTGTACCAGTCATAAATAGTGCTAATCTCCATTCATAAATATATGAAATAACAAGACCCGACGTGAACATCACAATTCCACGGAGAAGAACTCCCAGCTTATCTCCAATTCCGTCGCGAATTCGATTGATATTACTGTAACATCGTTATCGTCTGAAGGTGGATCGAAATTGATTACTCATTAAGTTTTGTGGTCAGTGTTCCCGAATGATTTTTGTCGAACCATCCAGTGTTCTGTCGAAGAATCGACAAAATATATTTGTGCCTGATTTTTGACACAATTCGTATGCAACAAACTTGAAAGCACAAATACTGAAACAATGGTCTTAGAATAAATGGTTAACAAACCTAACCTGCAAGAAATTAATGATAAGCACAACAATTCCAACGCCACCAAACAGGTAAACGTTCTCAATAGCACTTTCAAAAAACTCGGTACTTGTTGGAGAGTAGACAATCATTGCATTTGTGACACGACCTCTAGAAATTCGGTCGGATTATTAATTATTAATAATGGGATATCTTACGCTAGAAGTGTTAAAACCGGTTGAGCAATTCCCGACAAAGTGGCAAATAAAATACCAAGCAATAATATCAAAATATCAGTGGTATTTCCAAATTTAAACTGAAAATTTTTTAGAAGAAAAAAATAATAAAAACGAGCTAACCAATCCGGCCAATGTGACGGGTTTCACATCTAATTCACGCTTCGCCAAATCTCCTCTAGAAGGTTCGATCTTTGTTTTGTTCACCTGTTTTTATCCTTACCGGCACAAAAGATAGTTCAAAAACTTTTCAAATTTCGAGGGTTCGTAAATTATTTTTGATTCGTTATCTTCTTCGACATCGCAATAAACTTCTTCTCGCTCAATATTTATAGTTTCCTGGAAAGAAAATTAAATCCTCATTAAACCATATAACTTACTACATCTTTTGGTTCGTTTTCCGCTTTTTTGACCCCATTATCAGTAATGGGACCAATTTTGTGATTCTTATTCCAACGAGACATTTGCAAGAAAATATAAATAAAGTTTGATAGCTGAAGTAACTTTTCAGAGCGAATTTCTTTCTACCTTTATATTGTTCACCAAACCACACAAAACATAGATTTAAAACAGTGATTAAAATAGGCAGACCACAAAAATTGGATAACGATATGCAAATTCAAAATAAAAACGCAGAGTTAACGTGATCAGTTAAAGAGAGTTCCGAAAATTGTGATCATAATTCAACACAGAGCAAAAATGAAAATTATTGTGTAACATTGCACAGTCTAAACAGAAGTAGGAATGGGCGGAGTTCTCTCTGAATTGAAAATGTCATTCGATTCATTGAAGGGTGCCTGTAAGAGTTTCCATTTCCAAACACTGATCACTCAACTTTCCACTGTCAAACATCGCTGGATAGCACCGTTAAGATGTTTATTGGTATCTTCGATCCTAGAAAATATGGAACCATAAATAAAAATTTTTGTTATTAGTTCTAACAAAGATAACTCGAAAAAAATACAGTTGAACGAAAGACACTGAAAAGACAACAATTTTACGATTTTTAAGAATCACATTTTTGTATTTTCCGAATGATTAGAGTTACTGCAAATCAGATTTCAAGTATATCACTTCTTCAGCTAGCGACAGAAAAGACTCTGAAATAGTTTTCACTATGTAAAAATGAATATTTTTTATGTGTGAATAACGTTCAATTTCTGGTCAGCTCCATTCATAGCGTGAAAATATTTGGTATTTTGAAACGTGCCCATTATGATATCATTATATGGAAAAAACGTTGAATGATAAAAATACTTTAATAGAATTCTGATCAAACGAACATCGAAACACCTATGCATTTTCATCAATTTATATCTATATATAAAATATGTGAATGCAGTGTATATATACAATGAAATTTATACATGCTATCCTTTAAAAAAACAAATATTTGCGAGAAAGCAGTTATACTATAAATTAAACTTTTATGTAGTAATTAACATCAATAGTATCCGATCAAAGTTTTCAAAAAAATTTTATTTTAGAACCTTCTACTTCTGATGGCAACCTGCATCTCACATAAAAACGAAAACATGTCGAATATCGTCCAGAATTTCTATAATCATGTTACGATATCTCATTGTTCATGAATTTTTTGATTCAAAAAGCGTATAATTCTATTGTTGTACCTAGCCGGTTCGTGAGATATGCATATTGTACTCTTAAGCTGATACACCCCGGTTTTTATTCGTTGCGACGCGCTCAACACTTCGTTGGGCGGCGTGGCCCAGCTTTTCATAATCTCATTATTTATTTTCAGAAGAAACACCATCGTTTTCTGTTTACAAGTCTTTATGCAAACAGTTTCCTCGAATTCCAGATTTCTTTGCAAGCGATTTGCAAGCAAATACATGAATAACACGATACAATTGGGTTCAGACGTGTGCCCACCTAGTTAAACCTTGCCTAATGCCATTGTTATCGGTGAAAAATTCTATTGTTCTCCATAGTGACCGTCGCACGCGCAGATATTTTCCGGTGCGTTCTATCGGTGATGTTTGTGACCGGAACACCAACCTTCCTCGACATGTCACCCTTTGTCTATCCCAGTTTTTCACAAATCAACTACCAAATAACTCTGAATGTTCATTTTGTTCAGCGGTGGTGTGTTCAAAAAGTGGCATTTTTATTCAGCAAATGTTTCATATATTGTATATGCAAATTTTTTTGCGCTTATTCTATTCGACACAAGTATTATATCCAAACAAATGCTTCTTAGTAATTCCTACATGGATTCATAATGAGTAATTCATTTCCATGTCTACCGAAAATTTCTTCTCGTTGCATATCCTGACATTTATTGGGAACATTAACGAACATCGTTAAACGAAATTAGGCCTATCACATAACATCGGCAATAGAAGTCGATAATAAATTGGTTCCATGACACTTCAAATTTTGGAGTAGTCTCCGAATCACAATGGCATTAATCTAATCGAAAAAAGTAATGACGATGCCTTTTGTTGCTGTTATCCATGATGATACACACAGAGACACACAAGACGTCGTTAATCACGACAAGTATTACAACCAAACCGCTCTTCATTGTTGATGGCGCATGTTCGGTTGAGATTCATGCGCGGCGAACATGATGCGTTGTGGGAGGTTTCTGAACATCCGACCTAATTTCAATATGTTTCAATTCCGGTATCACATATCAATTTTGCTAAACTGATATATAAATGCGTTCGAATCGTTCGAGAAACCCTGCACATTTTCATTGTTTATTGTGCTCTGACCAACATAATTCTCACGGTTTGCGGCATTCGTGTTCGTTTGCAACGTGCAATATTAATAGTTTTCATAGGTGTTGTGGGGTTGAGGTTAGTTATTTTTTTTTTAGTTGTTTACTCTGGCTTTTGTTTCCTCAAACGGATTCGCTCCGTACTGGAAAAAATCCTAATCAAATTCCAATGCGCTTTTATCGCCTGTTATACTAATATTAAAAATTATATTTTCTCCATCTATCGCCGATTTAATTAAAAAATAGTAGTATATCGAACACTGCATCGTTATTGGAAAAAATTTATCGACTTTACAATTTTTGCCTCAACTAGCTAGTATATACAAAAAATTTTATTTTGAATTGAATACGCGTTTTGAAAATTCTAACATAATCCTGTCTTTACACCTGTGGCCAGAGTCTAGCTGGATAAGGTCATATTCGACATATGGTGCAGAACATTGCTGGCAATGTTCATTTCTCGAAATTTCATTGTTTTACTTATTACCGTTTTTTCATATTTTTGAAGCTTCTTCGAAAAATAATTTTGTTTCAATTTCGTATATGTTTAGATAGTTGTTTTTTTTTTCATTCTTTCGAGATCAATAATTGTTTACGTCGTGTTGTTCGTAACAATAGAATAAGAATACCATAGCGTGAGCATTCCTGAATAGATATCGCCGGTCAGTTGAGTTAAGCAAGCGAGTGCGCCAACTCGTGGTCTTCTTTTCATTTGTCAACACGCCGTCTTGGTCGCAACCATTTGGTCGCATCGGCTCGAATTACTCTCACTTCCTCTCTTTGGTGGGTGAACATCTGAAGAGCGTCGCAATCTGCACAACAGTATTTGTTTGTTGTGCTCACACTATTTTGCCAAAATGTTCATCTTATTGATTTTCCATCGGTCTGGAGACGCGCTATATATTTGGTTTATCGTTTGAAGTTGCTATTTTCCCCTTGAAAAAATGAATGTGGATATATTTATTCCCAATTGTTTAATATTGTTACATATTCAAGTCAAGTATTCATTAAAATGTGAACAAAGATTCCAATTTATAAAAAATGATTTTTTTTTAATTCATAGTTTTTCGGATGTTCTTGGGGGAAGATACTTCAACTAAAATTTGGATTGTTTTCTAGTTAGCTGATTGTGTTGTTTTTGCCAAATTAATGAATCACTTTTGACCTTTCTTGGGTAAACGAGTTTTCTAAGGAATTTTTCCTAATAAAATTTTATATAATTCTCAAGTTGTATTGAACGCAATTCCCAGCAGAGTAGTTGAGTTTCGAAATCTTCGCTGTGAAATGTGAGCCCAATAAATCTTCGTATGGCTATTTGTATATAGGCCATGTCCGATACATATTTCTCAAGCTTATAAATTCTTCTATAATTTCAATGATGCATCACTTCAGCATAGTCTACACTCCCAATGTTCACGCTTTTGTGAACATACCGAATGCATGATAACGTTGTGAAAGCGACTTGAATTAGCACTTGACAAGTATATGCGAAAGTGTTTTTTTGGAAGGCGATTGCGACAACGTCGCCGTCCAAGATTCTGACTCATTTTTCTCTTTTAAAATCGCCCGCACCACTTTTTAAATTAACAACATACTTGTCAATTTGTTACTTTCTTTTCCAGTTTTTTAAAATTTTAATTATGTTACAATAATTATTGGGGAACTAAGGAAAACACTTTTTTTTTTCAAAAACCTGCAGCTGCGCAAATTCGCTTTCGGAAACTATTACGTGTTTAGATTTTTGTCCTTTGTTCGATTCTTCCTAAATCCCAGAACAGGTTTCGATCGCAACTTTAGCTTCTAATTAATATTACATAATGATTAAAACATCTGGCTTACTATCCTTTTAACGAATGTGTTAATCTCAAAGATTCTTCTTTTTTTTTTAAGATGGTTAATCAAATTCATCATGTAGTCTGATCTCATCTCCCCGAAATTAATCTGATTGATAAACTTTTTCTTGTCTTTTATCCGAGGGTAAATAATAAACGGAAAATCAAGGTGCCATTCTGTTGATTTTGATTGATGTTTAATTTGTTTAGCGAATAATCATTACATTTTCCACAAATTTCTTCGAAATTTTGAATAATCTCAATAATAAATAAGTGTTGAATTAAAAATTGCCCAATTTGAAAAAACAAAATGCAAAAACCTTAAATGGATGTCAATTTGTATTTGATGTTTTCATCAAATTCAAAAATATAATTTTCACATTTGTTATTTGTGTTTATAATTGATATTAATTGTTTCGTAACCATAAACATCATATTATTGGGCCTCTTGTAATACCGAAATTCGTCTTTCGCAAAACGTCGACATGTTGAACCAAGAATAATTGACCTATTGAGAAAAAAACGTAGTTGTGTTTGAAGTGGTGAACTCAATCCGATTTTCTCGAACATAAACGCGTGTGTGTGTGTGTGCGCGCGCGAGCGTCTTAATCGCGTTTTTGGCATACACCTCGCCTGTCGAGAACGGCACACACACACACATATAAAGAAAAAAACATGTACGTGTACCGCGGACACATGCATACAAATAGAAAATTCGTTGATTCGAGACGCCCAACGGTCCAGTCCTTTTTCCGGTTGCCGCGCAATCTTCTTCTTCTTCTTGCCTCACAACGGCTGTTAACCCGAATTACTGAGGCTTGGCGGCGGCCGACGCAAAACGAATTGTTTCCTTAAGTTGTCGGCTCATATATCAACCGGCGGTTCTAGCTGCCAGCGCAAAGTCGTCCATATGTTTTATAGTCTTCCGAGGTCAATCAAAATCCAACACCTATATTTGTTTTTCCGATAATTCCATGTACTTCAAAACATATTAAACCTCATATTTTTCTAGAGAACTTGTATGAAAAAATGGAAGAATTCCATTGTACCCGAAATCAAGGAAATATATATTGAGTTTCATGAATTATTAACAATATCCAATTTTTTAAACTGATGTCTGAAAACTAGTATACGAGCAAGTATTAAAAGGATGACAACCTGTCAAATGTCAGCGGTTTTTTTTTGAGGGAATAATTTGAATAGCGCAGTTTATTGATGCAAGTTTTGCAAACAGAAGAGTTTACCGGATTAGAATTTATTTACGTTTAGACACATCAAGTTCCTGTTTATTTTATTTTCTTTGACATTTTATCTATCTATAAAAAATGAGAATATGTATCCTGTTTTGATTAGAATCTGAAATATCAAAAAAGCAGAATTATTCTACTTCTTGTCTTGAAAAAAAAAATCAATGATTCAAATTCTATACAATTTATGGATAATACTACAATATGTATACATTGTGATGTTTTAAATGCAAAGATTTGTTTTGATATTCCTAACCAGCTGTTCGGATCTTTTCATTGAACAAATCACCAAAACATAAAAATCCATTAGTATTTCCCGTAATAAAATTCATGAGCATTACTTTCTCTTTTTATTTCAATTCACGTAAAATTAACGATCCGCAACCAGGTGAACGTCTTGAATGTTGTTTTGCCAACCCACTTCCCTTTGATTGAATGTCAACATTTGGGAACATGCGTTCATTCTATAAAACCATAATAATTATAACTTATTAAAGCGAACGACCGCGGACCATGTAGTGCGGTGTGACCTTTTGGAATTTGCCGAACACCATCCAATCTTTAGGTATCCGCAGAGAGTCGTTTGATTATTGAAGCCGATAGCATTCCCGTGCATATGCATATTTTATCTTGATGTAATTCCGGGATGAGTTCATTGACGTGGTGAATGTATATGTTTTCAACAGATTTCATCTCAATTTGACACTGACATACATAATTTGCACTTCGCAGTTATGTCCTCATTTTTTTCATGTATTATTGATATTGTGAATGTACAGTGCAACTCATTATGTCATCCGCTTTGGTTTTTTCCTTGTCTGTTGTCTTTGTGGTGTTTGTCGTTCTTCTAATTGCCGCTTTTTTCGGTTGCTTTTCTTCTAATTGGTGACTTGTTTCAAAATTTGATGTCATTCAGGTATACACCGTCAGGTGCAGCCACGCCATCAGTTTCCGCGCGGTAAACGACAGAGTGTTTGTTTCTTTATTCAGATTTTTTTGTAAGTTTCTTTTTCAGAAGCTTAAAATTAACTAATTCATAGTAATTTCAGTTCAACGAACGATTGTATAACTTTTCATTATGGACTTCAACGGGAATTCGATTAGCGATAATCCATTCTTGAAGGTTGGTACTTATTCTTTGAAATATAACTGATGGTGTAAACGGTTATTTCAAAATTAACAAGTTATATGAAAAATCGTGATTTTTTCCTTTTAAAAATGAATTAAAGCGCTTTGAGAGGCATTTATTTGTATTTTCTATATTATTAAAAGTGATAAATAAGTAGAAAATGTATTTGCTTAATGAGTCAATTCGATTACCATTCACAACATAATTCATGAAATAAAAAAAAATAAAAAAGTGTCAGTTCTAAAAAAAGTATTTTAAACGCTATTTTAGCATGACGGAGCTTGCAAACGACTATTCAGACGACGCCCAATCGTTATTCGCGATTCAGACGCCAAACGAAGTAAGAGTTTCATTGACGGCAATAAAAACGTGTGAACAGGAAGTAAAACAGGGCGTAGATATGTGAAATCGCAAAAATATCGTAAAATGAAAACGACATCACGATTCGGTTGCAATTATCGCAAAGCGGCATTGTTCATAAAATGAATGCGTTTACTGGTGATATGGCTGATATATGCTTATCAATAACTCGCCGTATTTGCGTTTCTGTGCGCTGTTATAACAACGCGTTTTTGTGTACGCTTGTAGTACTAGTAGTAATAATAAGTTTAGACTTTTTGAATTGTTCATTAATTAAATTATACACATTGCTGAAAAATTATAACTATTTTAAAGGGTATGCATTACTTTTATTCTATATGCACTTTTTCATATTGATAACGCACAATCAATGGCATTTGAATGTATATTGATTAATCGCAGTGTTTAATTTTGAGGCAAAGTTTTTTCAAAAATTCTTTGTTCTCATGAAAAAATTTGAGTCATCTAAAAAAAAGAATTTTTTGAAAACCTTATAGTCAAAATATGTTCAGTTTTCATGTACGCATTCATACAAAATAATTATTAGTTTTAATTCCCAATTAAAATTCCATTCTTCAAAACATTTTCATAATTAATTGAAAATTTTAATGAAAATTTATATCTTTACACATTCCAATAATATCAATTTCAGCGGATACTGGTTTCAAAATGAAAGATTCTAGCGGTTTCGAGTCGAATGGCGGTAAGTTTTTTGTAATGTTTTTTTTTCTCACACATATTTTCCCCAAAATCTTGATTCAATCATTACCACAATGACAAACTTATCGCGCAGGTGTCAAAAGTTGGTATGCGCAGCAGCAGCCTCCTAGATCTCCAAGATCGCATTTGATGTTTGCTCATCACCTCCATTGATTGTTTGGCTCTATTTATCATGAATTCACGTTTTACTATATAGCTTGACGGTTCAGCGAACACCAGTCGTGTTGAAATATGCTAATTTCCCAAATCGAACATCGAATCTACGACGACAAAGTAGAGAAAAAACATCGAGCGCTCGGAGATCTTTTTTAAAGATTTGTCATATCGGCCATTAAAAAGTATTTTCCATATATTCATTCGATTTGATTTTATAAGTAGAACCGCTAGCAATGGTATGCAAAACAACCAAAAGGTGGCGAATCCCATAATGCGTATTTATTCTTTTCAAACAAGCATTGTTAGTGATTTTGATTCGCATTTTACCGGGAATCACTTTTTTTTTAATGTGGAAAAACACATTACAGTTTTGCGCATCACCTATCCATTTTTCTTGTTTTCCGAGCTTTGTAGTTTCAAGTGATACTCGAAATTTGCATGATACCAGCAGCATTCGTGCGCTAATACATGCCAATATTCTTCGTTTTCTCACGATTTGCGAGGAATTGTTTTTCTTTCGCAATTCGATCGTGCACAGGTTTGTGCATTTTGGCTCAAGTGCTTTTGCCTCATCTTCTCGTTGCATGTTTGCCACGGCGAAAATGATTTGAGATAAATGAATTGGGTGATTTCTCAATAGATCTACCTCCCGCGTTGTTGACACACTCATTGCTTTTTTCCTTTTTTCTTCGACCAATCAATCGAAATTTATTTTTGATAATCAATCAAACAGTATTTTAACAATCATTTTTCTAGTTAACAACCAACAAAAAATTAATTAAGTATTCTATTTACACATAATCGCCTAGTTTTCATTGATTTATTTACATTATCATTCGTTTGCGCATCTTTTTATGCTAACCGTTTCAGTAGATGAATTCTCGATGGAACTCAATCAATTTTAATGACTACACACACGATGACGACTTTTCAACACCTTGCTATCAAAACCTGGCTGATTATCAAATCGAATCGTTTCCTCCTTGTCGCCGATTGGGTTCTGCCTACGTCCATCGTTATGTGCAAAAACCGGACTCAAGCTTGAAAAAGAGAATCGCGCGAACTCAAAGTGAACGGAGACCACCATCCGAAAACGGTTATCGAGCTCAAAAGAGTTCATACGGGTTTAAAAGAGAACCAAAATGCGAACAAATATATTGCAATTTGGTGAATGGTTCACAATTTGGATCAACTCCTGATTTGTATGCCAGTCAAACGAACCAATCATGTGATATGTCATCTGAGAGGAACGCCGCGAAAAACCCTTCATCGTTTCAATTTTCGGAGTATCAAAATCTTCCCAATTACCCACAAGATCAATTGGATAACAAAAATTATTACAAGCCGACATCAATCTCACTATCATGTCAAAATTTGAATCAAGGTTTCTGGGGAAAAAAATCAGAGTTTCAACAAGAGCTGTTTATATAATTTTTCAGTTTCCGATTTTGAATATGGTCCTGGTATAGTGGAGAAGCTTCGCGCCAGATTTGCAAGATTGTCGGCTGCTCAAAAGGTGGATAATCAAACCAGCCAAACAAAAAATAATAAGAAGTACTCGTCATGCGACAATCTTCTCAGTGATGAAGAATCTGGGTAAGTTGCATTTGTACGTTCTGAAGCATCAATCTATTACAATCAAATGATGAAATAAGTAGGAAAAATATTTAAGCTACTAAATTTTCATCGACTCTATATTTGGATGCGAAAATATCATTTTGCAATATTGATTATTACCTTCTAGACCGACTCATCCTTCAAATCGTACCGAATTATCTCGAAAGACTTCTCGCTCTATTAGCGACATGATTAGTGAGTGAACTAATTCGGTTTTGAAATTTTGTTAATTTTCAAGGTAATACTGATAGTGAACACGCCAATGTTCATAAACAGCATCCTATTGAAGAAGAAAAAACTGAGGTAATAGCGATGCACCCCATACACCATAAAATAATTCTTGTTTCCAGACAACGTCTATTTCATCTTTGAGGCAAAGATTTGAAAAAAATGGAGCTCTGATGAGCTCTATGCGTTTCGCCAGAGATCCAATAAAATTGGTGTCGAAGGCGTATCCGGATCAACCGGATCGTGTCCCACTTGCCACATCTGCTCAAATTCTGAAACCGCCAGTTCCTGCGCATTCCAATTTTTTAAATGGTATCAAAAAGAATAGCAGCGAAAATTCATTCAATCGTAATAAGACTTCAAATGTTCTAAAGGTAACACGGAGACATTCTTTTCATTGTTTGCAGGAAATATTTTTCATTAGATACTTAATGATGCTGAGCCAACCGCCGAGCCAGAGTTCGTGCAAATTGCGCGCCGTTTGCGTAGATTTCAACCAGAAATTCACGAAAAGCCCATCATGAATCAAAGCAATGTGTCTGAAAATCATCAACAAGTACAAAATAAAAGCAATGATGAACTCGATCAGTCTTTCCGTAAGAATTATTTCGTTCATTCAGTTTACCGATCTGTTTCTTTTTTCAGCAAAGTGGCACCGTCGTCAACCAGAAGTCACCAAACTAACATCAAACGCAAAAATTATTCGTGATGCTTGCGACATTTCAGCAGCTCTACCTACCGATCCACATTCCGCTAGGTAAACCTCAATTTATCTATGTAAAACTGTTGCTGATTTATTTAAGGACCACAAAACGGCCAATTCCAACAATTAAGAATGATATAACAACAAAACCGACATTGCAATCAAGCCCGCCACCAGAGGAGCCAAAACCGACAACGACACTTTTGACATCAATCAGACGTGCTCCGGAAATTCCAATTGAAAGAAATTGTAAACGTTTATATTTATTTCTGATATCGAACTTTTTTTTTAGCCATTGTTAATAGTGTTTTCAAATACGATAACCCACCGTTGAAAAGCGCATGGAATTCAATGGATAGTGCTAATAAGGTATTATAAATTGAAAAGGTTCTGAGAACTTTTTTTTATTTCAGGTAGCACTTCCGAGAAGAAAAATTGAAGACGTGGGTCCAAAATCAGTTATAGCTTCCCAAACTTCACCAATGCCCAATATTGTTTCAATCACAGTCAAGGGTCCGGTATCAACCAGGACATTTAAATGTATGTTTGATATATGTATATTTATCAATACATGAGCGCCCGACACCTAAATTTGTTTTGACAATAATAACGATAACGATTTGCTATTTTTTACCGCCATTGTACAACCGAAAAAAAAACATTTTTAAAATGATTTGACAAGATTATTCATTTCATTTAATTTCTTGGGTAAAAACAGCGGAACAAATTAATTAAAATTAAAATTGGCCTCATCGAAGTTTGGTTATTGTAAATTTTTTAACGTGAAAAATTGAAAGAATTTTCACTGTTTTCACACATTTTAAATCCCATGATAATCTAGTTTTTAATTTCAAAAGCCAATATTAAAAAATGTTATATAAAGAAGGACAAACTATCATCATTGCACGTAGATTTTTTAATGGATTTTCTTCTTCTTGGGCAAAACCGTATCTCATGTATTTTATAAATACAAAATTTGCTATAGAAAGTTTGTTTGTTCAAAAACAACATTGATTAGCTAAAATTTAACTCTCACTCCCCTTTCCACGAATGTTCATTTGAACCGTTATGAATACATTTTCACCACCTCTGGTCAATAACCTTTTTTGTCTGCGGTCCGGCCTTGTTTTCATTCACCTCGCTATAGATCTAGTGTTTTGACACCCAGTGTGAGCGCGATTCTCGGTTGTGCCCGCGCGGTTTCCCGGTGAAATATCTCACTAGCGCCCAGCAATTGTCTTCATTTGAATGCATGGACTACGTTTTACCTCCGCGGTTTCCTACAACATAGCCCTTTTTTCCATTCGCAATAGTGACTGACGGTTTTCTATTATTACCCTCATTGCTTCTTGACACACATTCTTTCAAATTATGTATTTGCTTGATTTTATTTGGTCATATTAGGAAATATCTTTTCAAAAATGGTTAACCTCCGTATACTGTTTCTTATAACGTCTATAAAATAATTGATATTCTCCAAAAATCTTAAAAGAAGATATTGGTAACATCGAAATTAAATTTTAGTACAGCATTTCTGATGGTAAAATCTGAAGTCAAATAATCTCGAGTTTTTATGACTTTCGGTCAGATTAAAAGACATGTTTTGAGGTTAAAGTATAATCGCATTAGCTATCCATATTTGGTCGAAAAATACCCCCTCACAGCGGCTGGAAATCCGGTCTCCACTTAGCCCGTGTTAGTTGCTATTAATTCGATTGGTTTTACCCGAAATCTGACGATTTTCGATCGTCCTGTTTTTGAGTGGAACATAGCGAGAAATATGTTATTTACCGACAATTAGATAACTATCAAAGCGATGTGGTGGTACGACAATGTTTCCCGAACTTCTCGATCTAACCCGTTTTGTCGGGAATTGGCATTTCTACCTCAAATTTAATTGGTATCTGTTTCATCATTCGTGAAACAATTCACAATCGCTAATTTTTGTCATTTGTTAAGCTCTTTAAATGGGTAGAATTTCATTTTCTCGGGTCTCTGTTACTTATGAAACTCTCACATTTGAGCAGGTGTTCAAGAAAACCACGCTATTACGAGACAACGTTTTTATAACCATTTTCAATGCTGAACATCTGGCATCGTCTTCCTTGGCATATTGAAACTTATATTACTTTTACAATACTGTGTGCTAGCTAGGGCGTATTTCATCTCACTATGTCAGTGTCCCAGTTTTCAATCACCAATTCGAACGATGGCATTAATTTTCTTTTGACCTTTCATCGTGGCCCTAGCCGTCTCGCCTAGTAGTCATGTACCTCATTAAACCACCACATAGTTAAATTAAAACCAATGTTTGCTTCCTTTCTCAGTTCTTTTTGCACAGGAGTTAGCGCAGACTTATGCAAATAGTTGACCCAACCCTTCGAATCCTCTCACTTTATGAAAGCCACCTGTCACGGTTATGAACGATCGTTCCATTTTGTTTTTCTTCCTTGTCAATCTCTCATAAAACAATTTCTAGAAAACAAACAGAATGATTTACACATCGCGTCCATGTAACGAAAATATTGGATTGCCTAAGTGTTTAAAATTCCAATTGAAATGGGTGTCGGCCGCTCTAAGAACATGTAAAGCCAATTTGTATTTATTCGTTTCGAAAATGCTTCATTCAGATGACAAAGAGTCGGAGGATGCAAGTCTGTCTAGCCGAAAATTACCGACCACCTACTCTCCTTCATATTCATCAGTTTCTTTATCAACCAAGTACGCTGAAGAAAAAGCGAAATCGCCGCAGCAACAGATGAGCAGCAGCTTAAATGGATTGCTATCACCACGTGAGAAACCATATGGTGATGATGTGACACTTCTCAAATCGGTGAGTAATTTTAAATAAAAATATAGTTGCCGATTAATGCTGTCAGCTTTTGCGCTAACATTATTGCTTCCTTTACAGACGGTTGAGACCGAGGGGCATTTGCAAGATACTTCATCCAGTCAAGAGACAATCACGACAATCACGTCGATCTCACCAACCACTCAAATTCAGGTAACGCTGTGTAACTGTCTCGACTAACTAATATTTTTCTTAACAATTATAAAACGCTTATAGTAACATTTTTAAAGGACGAATCCGATGAGAGCTCCTCATCTGATGATGATAGCCACAATGGAAATGGCTTATATGAGGTGACACCACTTCGTCCAAATTCGCTACCGGTAAGTAAACGCTCTGAAATTCACAAAATTGACTTTTTCTTTGTATCTTTGCAGTTTACTCGCCTCGCAAATGAAGATGAAATCGGTGGTGACGGCAATCTCATAACACGCAGCTTGATTTCATTAGTTGCCGAAGAAGATCTTCCCGACTTTTTAGTCGCTTTGCATGAGAAAGTGAGTTGCTTCCCAAGGATTAAAAACTCAATCAAAGCATTTAATTTTAGCCTGTCAATTACACATTCGTCGAAGAATCGGAGAAACCCAGCACTTCCAGCATCCTTCGCGTCAAGGACGCGAAAAAGGAAGAGAAGAGCAAGAATTCGCCGCGGATTCGCTTCTGTACTGAGACTCCGATGGCATATGCATATCTTGATGAATGCACCGCTGTGCGATCGCTTCAATGGGACAACGGCGAAATCGTTGAATATTCGTATTTCAAGGAGCTCGAGGAGCGAGAGGCAATGCAAAACGACCGGGGATTTTCGTTTATCCAGCAATGGGAGGAGCAGATAATTAAAGAAACAGGTAATATTCTGAGTTGTCAGCTACCAATGCTTACCATTCATCATTTGACCAATTCCACGCTAATTATGGACTAGCCATATGGACATTTAACTTTCACTGGTTAGAGTAGAATTCCGGATTCTGGAATAGAAGCATTTAAAATTCGATAGAAAAAGAAAAAATTTCAGAATCTACTGGATTGCATTCCGATCCCTCTTTCACCGAGGCTCTCATAGAATCGGCATTGTAAGCTCATCGAATTTGTATTTTCAGCATGAAATGATTTTGCAGGAACTCTGCATATTGATTCAGTAGGATCTCGCTAGTGTCAACTCGAAGAGTTTTACCTTGAAATAAACCAAATGTGGTTAATTCCATCTAGCCTGTGAAACCACAGGCAACACGAACCCGAACCTTCTGTGGCAACAACTGTACTTATATACTCTATTTATTTTATTCGCTATTTCATGTAAAACCAACTCATCCAGTTATTTTGTAACCTATATACTTATTTTTTCGTGCTTCCAAACCAATAAAGGGTTCTAAATGTGGTTCGCAGAAATACGAAAGACGAAAATCTCTAAAGACGAACATAAATATTTTTGAGCGTGCTTTCGACCAAGAGCAAATTGTGAATAACGTTAAATTATGTTAACGCGAACGGCAAAACATATTCTCAACTTTCAGATTTTTTCAGAATTTATTTTTAAATTTTTGACAGATACACAGTTTCTTTTACACTTTCTTTCTCTCTCAGGTGTATAACCACTATTTGCTTCGTTTATTATTCACGTCCAACAAACAAATAGTCATTTTGAATTTAGATTACCAACATTCTGGTTTATTGCAATGCATACTGAATATATTAAAAATTGTTTTGAAACCATCTAGAGAATGATAATTAATTTTCTAACAAGAGCTAGCGAAATTTTTATGTTTCATTTTTCAGATTTATCATTTAAAACGAGTCTCATTTTCCTTTGATTACGGATTTGAAATTGTAAAATATTTTATTTTCAAAATTTATGGAAATGAAGCAGATCAGTAGTTAACATTTTTCAAATAAATGCGTAGATACGACATGTGTGTGTTTAGAAAAAGTAACGGATGAACAACAAAATGTTGAAAAATGTAATTACAAAATTATTAGCAGCGTTCAAACGACAGGTTGGTAGGAGGGCTTTTGTTGGCCGGGAAATCATCTCGCGTACGAGCTGCCAAGCGCGATAACCACATTCATAACGAATTGGATATTTTACACAATCAATATAATTTCTCATAGCCCTGTAAAATTAATACATTAAAGGTCGGCCGGCATTTATCCAACCCGCAAACAGCTGTTTCGCTTGCTTCTCCTTCCCCATGAATTTCCGAAATTTTTCTAGTATCCGCAATTAGCTCCGCTTGGCACTGCATCATTTCGGATCGGGTCATTGTTCTTGTGAAGCATTCGAAATTGCGTAAAACCTCTGCAGAAAAAAATTATTAGTCTCATTCATCACTCCAAAATACCTCCATATCCATCACGACACAAAAAATCGAGAATTTTCAGCGCCGCATCATAATTCATACGAGCCTTATCAGCAGCGAAGCAAACATTCTTATATGGATCAATGCAATTATCGAACAAGAAGAAATTACTGCAAGTGCATATTTTCTTTTATTCATTACACTCGTTGGATGATCTCACTCGCAAACTTCGGAAAAATAAGACTTCGTTTTAAACATAAATCCTTCCCATCCAATATAATGTGAATTTTCCGATAACGCACCCATTTTATATAATGGTTCTGCACACTCCTTGACTCTGAATCAAACAATATCAAAGAGAATCCTCTCACTCGTATTATACTTCTCCTGCTCAATCGGCCCACAATAGGTAGGTTCATATCTTGATATATTTAGCGGCGATTCCAGCGTCTCCTGTGACTATAAAAAATTTAGAACTGCCATTAATAGATGATGACCGCTAACAACTCACCGAGTATTCGTAATAACCTTCTGTATGGCCCCCAGAGTCTTGAGAATATTTGAATTGCGCTTCACAATTGCTAATGAATAGAAGAATGATGAATATTGAAATCATTCTTAGTTGATTTGGAAATAAATGAAATCGCTCTTCGATTGAAAATCATATATTCATATTTGCTTGCGCTCATGACAGCACGTCATCCGAACGTCGATACTTATTTGGATTGATCGTGATATTATCACGCGATATGTGCAATCAAAAGCTCGTTCCTCGTAATAAGCATATTTTTAAAGGGGAAATGGAAAGTAATTCATTTTCTTGGAAAGTCTCCACCAACTTCCGCATTTCGCCTTCAATCAAGCGAGCCGTTTCAATGAATGACGCAAATCCTCCATTATCGGGACCATTTTTGTCACATTTTTTTGTTTGACGCAGTGCGAAAAAAAAACACAAACACGCTCGTCGTCAAATTCAAAGTTGATTATGGAGACACTCTAAACAAACACCAACAATGGTCTCTGAATGCATTTGTGGCATTTTTTCCTTAAATCACGAGACAATTAGGAGAGTAGCCTATTACTTAAAAAAAATCCCTTGTAAATGCAAAAGGCGACAGTTTGTCAAAAAATATTCAAATATCCCAAGGTTTGAAAAATCTGAGCAACAAGATCTCGAAAATCATTTCATTTCAATTTCGAAATTCAAGCAAGTTTTTACAAAACTCAATATCCTGAGAAAGAAAATGTGACGTATCAATGCTTGTTTCAAAGTTAACGCCAAAATGTAGACTTAGGGCAACAAGGATCACCTAATGATATTTATTTGACGCAAGTTTCAGTAATTCGAAAGCAGTTCATAGATTTTGACGGCTCACCAATTTTTGACCCTTTTTTTAATAAAGTTCGTTTCTTATGATTTAGGTCAGTGTTTTTTATTTCCCACTTTTTCTTCATAGTTTTTGTATACAATGTTTTTAAAAAATAATAAGATAGTTTTAAAAATTCATAGATCTCAAAAAATTGAACACTCAAATTTCATCACTTATTTTTTTTGATGTATTTTTTGTAGTTATTCACGAGTCCATGTAAATAGTTCACAGCTTAATGGTAAAGTGCACTTAAGCCTATTTTTCTACATATTTTAGGATGATGTGACATTTGTTTAAACTTTTCTGGGAAAATGAAAGATGAAGCTCTTGTTTACGTAAAAATTACAATTTTAGAAGTTAGGAGATGTATTTCACATTTCTCCAACTTCGACAAGTTTAACTACATGGTTGTTTAATGCCTTAAACTATTTCGATTTACAGTAGCTAATTTTTAATTTCATGTAATTTTTTGTTAATTCCTTCTCCAAATTTCCCATGTTTTACAATTTTTCTCCTTTTTCTTGCTTAAAAGCATGTTAAATCGTAATTTAATTTATCTCGTTCATACATAATTGGTGGAAGTTCTTTCTCGCTTGTCTAGTCAGCCCTTTCTCGTCATCTTGAGTCTACAAAGAAAATTTACAGATGAAAAATAAAAAAGATGCATTTCAAATTGTATTCATATTATGCTCTTGTGGATCACATTAAATTTAATTGTACTCTAATTTCAGTAAATGCTTGGACATGGTGGTAGCGGATTCGTGACCTTTGTTGAGCAAACTCAACACAGGAAGCAGACAATAAAAGGTTGGCGTTTTTTCTCATCGCAAAATCAACTTGCTTAGCAAAAAGTAACTCCATCGTACAATTGTTTCGGATGGTGCATTGAGCCAATAAAACATTTTTTGAGAAGGAACTAACAAAAAAAACGTTCCGAAGCATCTGGTTTCTTTGAAACAACTAGGACACCTTGAAGTTTTATTTAAAACATATGGGGAAAAATATTTTTGCTTCCACTTTGCCTCTCATAAATATTAATTTTTATACATTCTGTATGTTTGTCGTCTTTAGTTATTACAGAATATTTTTTGTTGAAAAATCATAATTCACATTGAAACTTTGTCAATATTAAATTTCATTTTAAGGGATAATCTGGATATGAAAAAAGACTATCACAATTCGAACACACCACATTGCCCTGAGCAATATTGCTCTAACACCTAAGTTTTACAATTCCAAAATTGAAGCACATGACGTCTAGGATATATCAATTCAAAATAAACAAACAAATGCCCCCTCAATTGAATTTTTGCCACAATTGTAGACGACTCCAGGCATTTGGAAAAGCGGATCTCAAATGTTTTTTCATTTTATTATAAGAGGTTTATCGAAGCGATATCACAGAAACTGATTAAATTGTTGAATTTTTTTTCCAATTTTTGAAACATACTTTAAAAACAAAGAGGTGTTGTCGAACTGCTCCGTTTAACTTTCTGTTAGTTTTATTGAAAATTATTACAGTAGTCTTGACTCATTAAAACCACATGCTTTCAAATTACGGTGAAGATCATAACAGACATAATGTATTTCGCGATTAGCTCCTTTACTTTCTTTTTTTTTTAATAGCTTTTAGAGTGCTTTTCAGGTAATTAGAAAAACTTAGAACACGGTTGACCTTTTCCCTTTCCTTTTTCTTCTTATTCTGCTTCATTCGGAATCATGGTCTAGACAAAAACAAGTGAGTGTGCTGTCTTAAAATTGTCTCATGTTTTGCCGAACAGACAAAAATTAATTATCTTGATGAAACACCGGTTTTACTATAAATAAATATATTTACATCACTCAAAGTTACCAATTCATGTGAAAAATTTCTAATTCTATTTGTACCTCTTTATTCATTTTGATCCAATCTTTCCTTAATTTATTAAATTTTTTTTTAATTTCGGATATTTCAGTTTTAAACAACACACCTTTTTTTAAATATAATATCAAGTGAGATTCAATATGGCTGCCTAACTTCAAATATTTCTAAAGTAAAATAAAAATGTAACATCACTTTTAATGTTTTCTTCGAATACTGTACTTTTCCGCTTGAGTAAATTGAATAGAAACGCGTTGAAGTATAATTAATAGTATAACTTATTCATTTGTTTTTTCTTTCTCTTCGACGAATAACATTTATTTGTTATTTATATTGTTGGTGAGATAATGGATTAGCGACATTCTTTAAGGATTCTACTTTTTTTCTTTATTTTATTTGTTTTTTACATGAAAAAATTATGTATAAGTATAATATTTTGTTTAAAAAAACAAAATTTATTACGTTTTCATCACAATATTTTTTAAATATTTGTATTGAAAATACAATGAGTCTCACAATTCTGTTTGCATTTATTATTGCGTGTAACTTTTTCAAGCATACAATTATTATTGTTTTGATTCCTGAGGAGATTATTTAAAAACTTAAAACGTATGAAATTGACCTGCTTGCAGTTTAAAAAAGATCCATTAGAATTTTCACTTGCCAGATATTCCCCTTAAATTTGTTGCCCACATACAGACAGGGTTTTACCTTCACAGTATTCATTTTTTACAACAAGAAATGCGAAAATTGTTAACGAGTTCAAATATCTCTTTTTTTATTTTGTTCGTGATATTTAAGAAGCTAAATGAACATTTTTCTTAAAAGAAATTATTTAAAAAATTATATTAAAATGCTAAAGTTTAGCCAACAAACAGGGACAATCGCAAATTGTTTGTAAAAATCCATATGATATATGATCACTTTTGTAACAATACTTATTAAATTTTTGCTCTTACTTCTGTTATAAACGTCAATTATTCATATATATATATGAATATTTCTAAATTTCGATTTGAACACAAACCGATCATTCTCTTCTCAATTTTCTTTGGTGCAATGTTTCAAAAAGTCGGCGTCTTCTTTGGCGTGAGAAAAAAACGGACGAACTTTCTCAATTTTTTTTTCCATTTTTTTGAAGCTATTGTCTTCACACAAGGGATTGAAATGAGGATGAGATGAGCTTCTATTTTCAAACTTTTGCCGTTCAATGTTTTCTGATGCGATTAAAAATCATTCTCGCTTGCTCATGAATTTTGCAATTTTTATTTGGTGCACACTTTTTTTTAGTAATTAATTAATTTGAATCGAGAAGTTGCGAAAATTGTTATGCTTACTTTTTTTTTACAGATTTTACCTTGTCAAATTGTGAATATTTTTATTTACTTATTTTTTCATTGAATTTTTCTTGGAATCGTTTCCAGTCGAACGAAATTTCGCGAACCTAAAAACAACAAAAAAAACACAAACAAAATAAAAGCATTCTTTGCAATGAATACAGTGCCAATAAAATGTATCTACAGTAATGTTTTTTTAGATATCATGAGCATAATTCCCTCCTGCCAAAGCAAAGAAAAATTACTATTATTCAGTTAATTTCTACAAAGTTTCATACTGTAAGTTACTGAAAAAATTGAAATGAAATAAAAATAAAAATGAATTGAAGTGTGAAGCAATTCTTATTTCAAGAGCATTTTCTAAATTCAATCCATTTTCTTAGCAGAGTGCATTTTTGGATATGGTAGGCGAAAATCTTCAATTTTATTTGTATGCGTAATAAGAACAAGCTAATCGTTCAGCTAGTAGCTATAGTGCAATGTATATTCGGTAATGAAGAATCCACGTGAAGAAAACATAATTCATGTTCATGCATCAAATTTAATTGAAGTGTTTTTATCCTTGAGCTCCTCCCTTGTTTTCACCAGTTTCATCTTATTTTTTGGTCGATGCTTGCTTGAAAATGAAATGCGTAACAAATATTTTGGCTGCTATAATATCGGAAAAATCAAAATGAAGGGCAAATCATGTTCTCAGTATTTTTTCTAGTTTCATTCAATTATTCGACTTCATTTATGATGCGTGAGCTGTTATGAGAATCAGACAATTCGATTTTATTTCCGACTATCCTCTAAAATGTCTTATGAAGGAATATTCTCATTCCAAGTTTGTCTACACTCCGGATTTTACTCTATCTATAAGCTTCTATTTTAGCGTTTGTTTTGATTTCCTACGGTAGTTCCGCTTACGCGTATATATATATTAAACGGATTCCGAGACAGGAATGAGCAACAATGACAAAAATATGCGCATATATGCGTATGTGTTTATCAGAGATGTATTGTTGGTCCCAATATTCATTTTTTGTGGCGTCTTTCTTTTGCGCAATGCACAATGCCCCGCCTTCTGAATATTTCACGAGATAGAACAGCTCGGTGCAATGACGCTCTCCACGTTTTAATTGAACTTTTCGTTCTTCCCTGTCCCTTTTGTTCAAACGTAATCAAATTTGCAATAAACCTGACTTTTTTTTCGAATCGCATTCAATATTGGTTCAGATTTGAATTGCCCCCTGGCCACTGGCTCTTACATATGTTCACCTTCTTTTTCTCGTCTGTTTCTTCCTGCGTATGTGCTATTATTTTTTTGATTCTGGTGTAAAAACTGTTGTTATTAATACTAGAAATTGATATTAACAATTTTCGATTTATTGTCGAAATTCATTTAAGTCTAATAAATCCAAGTGTGAATGTTTTCCGAATAACTAGTAGCCTCAAGGCATATTCATTTTCTTCTAAAAATAGATATATTTTCACTCTTTCTGTTTCCGCATAATATTTTAAGTTGTTATCTATAATTTTTATAGAACAGAAAAATTATGAAATTGAACATGATTTTTTTATGCAGCCTACCGTAGTACTAAAAAACCCAGTCAATATTATTTATTCAAGAAGTGGACTCATTCTGCTTATCATTTTCTCCAGAAGTATTTTTCTGCAGACATCTGCATTTATGTTTTTCACATTAAATAATTAATGCATTAAACATATGAAACCCGTGTTTTGCTTAATGAACACTCACTATCAAATGTCGTTTTGCCGAATGCGAATCTCAAAATTTTCTCAAGGATTTGCCTTCTTTACATCGCGTTTGGTCGCCTTGGGAAAGTATATAAACTTGGCAATATTTTCGTTTTTCGTCATTTTTTTTTCACAATGTTTTTATTTTCCCGTTCAATTCTTAGTTTTGTAATTACAAATTCATTATATTACAGGTGTTTTGTGGTGGAACACATTGAAGTCGCAGAATATAACGAATTTAGCGCAAGAATAATGGACACGGAATTTCCGTGTACGTAAATTTTTTTCAAAATTCGAAAGACTGATATTTGAAGAGAAGTGATATTTTGAAAGTTGGAATTTCAACGGTTCATCTTATTATTGTTAATATATGTGTTCTAGGAATTCATTTTTTATGGCTTGCACACGAAATTTTGTTTTTGGAAATTGAAATGAGTTCTGATTTCTTTTTTACGGAAGTTCCTCTGTCGGTTTCCTCTTCCGATTTGCAATTCCAACTTCTCGTGGAGGGAAATTGATGAGAAATTGATATCATCAAATTGTAAACGATTTCTTCTTATTACCTAATCCACAAAAAATTATTATTTATGAAACCCACGTAGGAAACTTTTTTTGTTCATACTGTAGTTATCTTGAGAGTAATAATTGGACCAATAAAATGATCCGTCAAAAATAATTGCAATTGTGTTTTAGGTAGTCTTTTGAGAGCGAAATGAATCGATCCATTCTCTTTCTCGTAAAATTTATTGGTTGGCTTTAGGTAGTCATTGTTGTATTATAAATCTTGCTCGCAGCCCAAACATACGTTTTCAATTTTAGTCTTTCACGCCAAAAACAAACCTCTTGTGTTTTTCATGTCGTCGAGGAATTGTCTATCCGTTTGAGATGGGTGAATTGCTTTAAAAATCTTCTTGTACTGAATAATTTATTCAAAAATCAAGGACTTCAATTACTTGCGAGCTAATTATGCCCAAAAAGGTTCTTTAATTGTCCCTTGATGATTGCTCAAAAGATCAATTTCAAAAACGAAATAGAAAATTGTAACAGAAGAAGCAAAATTTGATTGAAAAAAAAAACAGTTCGAATATTTCAAGCCTGGAAAAGTTTCTCTGATTTTGGTTGTTAATACTATGACAACTAATAAACATGGATTCACAAATACGTAATCCTTCCAATTATTATTCTATAGTGATAAAGAAACAAAATGTAATATACGAAATGTATATGCAGAAAACGGTATAACAGTATACTCACATGAATTTTGAACAACTGCTACACGTTTTTAGTATAATTCCAAAATAAACACTTTTTAGACATGTGGCTTGTTGTACTTTGCTTCGTTCTCCCTGCAATCGTATTCTCATTCTTTGCGCTTCTTGCTTGGCTCAGAGTGCTCCAGCTTAATTATCGGTAAGCGAGGGAAAGCGCGGGCTCCGTACATCCGGTCTTATTCGGTAATAGATGTGATGTTCAAAATGAAGAATAAAAGAAATATCACGGGTTTCCATAATGCGTTTGACACATATTTCCGGCTTAACCCAGCGTGCATTCGTTCATTTTTCTGTTCTAAACACGTCTTATACGCATTTCTCTTTTTTGTTCGCAATAAAACTTGTGCAGGACCCCGGAAACATTCAGGAAACACGCGGGAAAAAATTATTCCCTAATTTTTCCATTCAACCGTGGAAAAAATGTAATCGAAACTTCTCTGCTCAGTGAGCAGAGTAATTTCAAACGTGAGTGGTAGTATGGAGGGGGGGGAATGATACGTGAAGATATTTACAAAAACATTAGTATACAGTCATTTCTAAAAAAATGTTAATTGGTTGAAAAGCATCATTTCAGTCGAAAGATGGAAGCCGAAGCTGCGGCTGCAGAGAAGAATGATAAACCGAAACCATCTCAGATTGAGAGTCTCATCACCAAGTAAATATTCTTTCAAAATCCAAAATAAAATAATGTAAACGTAATCTGAATTCTAGGAAAGATGGCAAAGTTATTTGCCACATACCAATCAAGGTTGAGGACATCGAAACTGGAGCCATGTTCCTTTACAACTCTGATGACAATCTGACTGAAACCAAGGTTCTTGAAGTCACCAACGAACATGAGGAGCCTTTGATCGTCGACCAGTAAATTTAAGATGAACTTTGTAGAGTTTTCCGAACTATTTGTTTCAAGTCCAAAAATACTCACATACATTTAGACGACGCGTCATGATTGAAAGAAAAAAAGAAGGAAATAACTAACAAAATATGCACTGTGATCTCGTATTAACTGGTACTTTCACCAAAGTCCCTACAAAAAAACATTGAAAACCCCATTGAAATTATTAATACGATATTTTTCAAAAGCAAACATTCGGAAAAAGAGTTTATTGTATGACATTTCATTCATAATATTTTGCCACTATTGGAATTGAATAAATGATTAGCTTCGAATTTTGTTTTGCCAAACCGTGATAGCCCATCCTGGAAGTTTGAACCACTCCGGACACCAAGTTGCCAATGAATGATATCCGGCAAGCATAAGCAGTCCTTTCAACGAACGAAGATTAGTTGGAATTCGACCTGAAAGCTATTGCATTTTTTCTTGCAACTTTTTCATGAATTATTGAATGCAATCGTGTACCCAAACTTTGTATAAAAATTCGATAAATATTTCAAACAATGATGTGTTTTGTTGTTCTGGTCCCATTACATTTTTCCTTGAAGAAAGAAGTTGGTTAGTCTTTTAATTGAATTTCTAACGAAATTTGTGCAACAAACATTGAAGCGAATGCCTACAGATGGGAGAAACCAACCATCGATATCTTTGAAGTTGTAATAAGCACCCAAATCCGAGGTTATGAGAGTTGCACCGTTCAATTTATGATGTTTTGGATCTGATGCGATTGCCACCACAGCTTTTCCGGGATATTCGATGGATTCACCCTTTATGAACATCTCATTTTCAGTCTCAAAGTTTGATAGATATTTATATTCTTGTAGAAATAGCCAAATTACTTTTCCCCATGACCCCGCATCGTTCTCGAGCATATTGATAATGAGCTCTGTCCTTACAGCACCTGGCCAAATAGAAACAACGGTAATATTTGAGTTTTGAAGCTCAAGTGCCATATCGGCAGACATTCTATCAATGGCCATTTTTCCTGCACCATAAGGAACATTGAACAAGTATCTGAAGACTTAAGATTATACGTTCTGTAAGACATTTCACGAACAAAATTCCACCGAGAGAGCTGACATTAATAATCAGACACTCATCATCAGTGTTTGCCATCATTCTTGCGCCATAAACGCTGCAATAGTAATGGTTACGAAGACCGACATTGTTTACTTCGTCCCAAAGATCAACTTCTCTTTCATAGAACTTTTGAGTGTTTCCTGAACCGCATTTCTAAAACGAATTTTAAATAATTAACAATTGTATAATCACACTCACAGTGACAGCAGAGTAGGCGTTGTTCACCAGAATGTGGAGTTTTCCGTTGGTGATGTTGGAAACCTCTTCAAAGAATTTCTCGACTTCATCCATATTTGAATGATCGACGTAGAACGGATGGCATTCTCCTCCACGTTTTCGGCACTCTTCAGCAGTGTCTTGCAATGTGGGAAGATAGGTCAGCTTCGAAGAAAGACTGTTGTTCGGCTTTCTTCCAGTGATGAAAACAATACATCCAGCTTCAGCTAATTGAAGGGCAATACCTGAAAAATTATTTTTTTTTTTAAATTAATATCATTGTAGCTAACCTCTGCCGCATCCTCTTGAAGCACCAGTCACAATTGCGTATTTACCAGACAGACTCATGATTATGTTTGGAATTGAAATTAATTTGTCGACGAAATTCTTTTATAGCGATCGAATCGTTTGGTTTTTTGGATTCTCTTTCCAAACATCAATGCCCAATTTGTACTTTGAAGTGCTACTTTTTTTTTGAAACAGGTGATTGATAGGTGTCTAGAATTTGGATAAACAAGGCCTTCTAAACTTCAAAAGAATTTTGATAAGAGGAAAAAGAAGTTTTTGCAAAATAATGCGATATGGTGACTTGAATTGATCATAAAGTTCGCACATCCATCACATGATTTCTGGATTAGAAAATATAAGAAATCGCAAAGTGCATTTTTTGAATAAATATGTTTGTTTTGAAAAGAAGGTTTTTTAGTCTAATATAGAATCAAACGACTAATTGCTATGAGTACTTAATGTAATCCACCGCCTTCTCAGGAAATTTTGATGATTTTCAAAGAACATGTGTCCAAATTTAAATTTTAAGTGCTATTATAAACAATAATATTTTTTTTAGCTTATAATGTTTTTTTTTCTTTGCTTATGATATAAAGTAGTCGTTGTCTCCTTCTGTTCACAGTTCGTTCCATTTCAAAAACGCACCTAATTTTGTGATTATAAGTGATTTATTGAATAATTTTATAATGGAGCATTGAACATTTATTCGGAAGGTTATTATGCATTTTTTGCAGTTTTTTGTATTTTAAATGTTTTCTTTGTCCAATATTACCATACAAAAGAACACAATTTGGATCTTTCATGAACACTATAAAACCGTGTAGAAATAATTCAACCGACATCTTTTGCTAGACGACGCCGGAACCATCGAATACTGTCAACAAGGATCATCGGTTTTCGAGTGGGGGATCGTCAGAGTTGAAGTGCAACACTATGTATTTATAATCAAATAAATAATAAACATAAATAATTGAGGCTGGATGGAAAGGTCGCCGGGGGGATTTGGAGTGAGTCAGGTATGCCAGGCAGTAACCGGAAACGAACTATTGACGTGATGAAAATCGGTTAGGTGACGGTCGAAATCGCGAAAATCCGCCTGCCGCTCACTATTACATTACCGATTATTAAGCCGCTTATTAAACATCACTTTTGCCGGTAAAAACATGAACTGTTCAGTTTTGCAACAGATGTTTGTTTAAACAGAAAGACCGGCTATATTTTTTATTAATTTTTTTTGTTTTTAATTAATAGATTTTCTGGCTGAATTTTCGAAAATGTATTATGTTGCTTTATTATGTTTTGTTGTTTCAATAATTTTATTATATTTTTGAATAGTTTTTTATTAGGAAGATTTCATATTACTAGTTTAGATTGAAACTTCAATTTATATTGCCGATATTTGATAATAATTTAGTTCAGATTTCCAAAATTTTTAAATAAAGACTTTTAAAAGCAAAAAATGCGAAATCAAATCTCATCAAATTCGCTTCGAAATATCTTGAAAATTATTCACGCACCATTTTATTTCAATATAAACCTGTCCGGTCCCCAACGTATCCAATTATAATTTCACATTCTGACAAAAATATGGTTTGTCAACTTTTGAATTATTAACTGTGCCAACTGCCGTCGAATTTCGATTTGAAAAATAACAAAAAATGTTCAACCATCGAGTAGTGCTCATTCCAACACGTTATACTTATCCAAATTATGGGTAAAATAATTTCTAATTTTATTCCCAATCTCCCAGGTAATTTAAATGAATATTTTAGGCGTTTCTGCATGCCTGGAGCAAGAATTGTAGATGAATCAATCTCTGAACAGCAGACAGCAAAAAAGGCAAGTATAATCTCCTGGAACAGTAAGTTTTTTTTAGCCCCATGAGCTGCTTCATGATATTTTTAGGTACCCCTACTAAACATCGCTTGAAATACTATATAACATGCAGTTTCATTATCTCATTGATATTTCTTGTGTTATTTGTTTATGTGTGTTGCCTGGCGAATATGTCCACAGCTTTTGGATTGCTTGCAAGTAGAGGATTAGGTATTTCCAACTTCTTAAAACGTATACGGCAAATGACAACCGTATCAAATGTGCATATTATTTTCGATAATTGATTCTAATAATATTCATTTATTTACAAAATTGTCAATAACTTTCTAAAGTATCGCCTACTCACCAAACCGCAGACTACCACGATTAATAAATATGGTTTCCATGTTTTAGGAAAAGCTATCCAACAATCGCCGTTGATAAATGATCCAATATCTGCTGTAGTCGTCGGAATGTTGGCTACAGTAATATTACAGAGCGCCACAACTACGACAAACATACTTGTGACCATGGTGGCAGCAAATAGTAAACATATCTTTATACGAAAATATTTATTTATTCTTCGTTACAGTGATTACCGTGCATGATGCAATTCCAGTGATGATTGGAAGTGAATTGGGATCATCCTTAGTGAATGCAATGGTTTCCTTAGCATATTCTGGAAAGCCGGAACAGTTTGACTCGTTAAATGATTAATTAAAAATCTGTATTTTTTAGATTTCGTCGTGCATTTTCTGCAGCAATTCTCGGAGATGTCTTCAATATTTGTGGACTTTTTGTAATATTTCCAATGGAAATGATCACTGGTTTAATTGAAAAAGTTAGCTGGTGGATTGTGGATCCAATGATTTCGGAACAAGGATTGAGCTTTAAAACACTCGAACTTCTCACAGATCCCATTAATCAGTTTATTTTACAAGTAATTAAAGTTGTCGTTAATTATAATACATGCATTTTTTTTTCTAGGTGAACGAACCCGAGTTATTGAATGCAACAATTCGTCCTGAAATGTTTGAGGCTAATCATTCATTTGTTCAACGCTGCCAGTTTGCCAACGGGTCTCGAATTTACAATTGTACGTACGTTTGTGTTTGCGAGAGAGAGAGAGAGAGAGTGGTTAGCGCATACAGTTAACTCATGAAAGATGCTTCCATCCCACCGGCCTCATTGGCTCAGTGGCAGAGCGTCTGTCTAGTAAACAGAAGGTCGCTGGTTCGATTCCAGCATGAGGCAGAACCATTTTGTCATTGTTAATTTTTAACTACATCGGTCCTATTGTCGGCGGGGTACCGTTCTTTTTAAAATCATCCACCTTTTCAAATGATTTCATGCGGTCCAGCTGATCATTTTGCATTCCATTGTTAGTTTTGAAAATTGTTTTGATAACGTTAGAAATTTTAGCTTGTGGTGAACTCACAACGATGAATGATTGTTATTGTCAAGTAACATAGTATATCACATCTGCCAGTACGCTTCGTTCCAAAAACACTCATGCTCGTGATTATAAAATGTGTGTGGCAATTATCTAATACTCGAACACATAATTGTGTTACAGTAGTCGACCAAAAAACTCAAATAATTTAATTGTCGTTCAAATATTGAGGCCTGTTCGGTCGCAAATAATCGCTGAAACCATGTTAATAAATTGTGTTCCACTGTATTTTTTATAAGCGATCGTTTTAGATCATTATGAACGTGTGATTGAATCCAATTATTGGGATATGACACGTTGTCGTTCTAAAATATGTATATTCCCAGAGATATAAGTGCTTTGTGGCAGAAAAATCCTAGAGACATCCGAATACGTAACATTTTCTTGCATCATGAAATCAATCATTTTAAAAGCAATGTCATCAGTAGAATAACAAAAAGGTTAATAATGATAATAATGATTTGTGCTCGAAATACAAAATTTAGCAAAAGATTGTCTGCCTCATGCTGGAATCGAACCAGCGACCTTCTGTTTACTAGACAGACGCTCTGCCACTGAGCCAATGAGGCTGATGGCGAAAAACAAACTAAAAAGGTGAAAAGGCGGGCTGGTAGTGGTAGTATGAACATGCAGCGAATAATGGAGAGGCAACTGCATTATCAAGAAAAAAGATTTTTATCAACGTCAACTGAAGAAAGCATTCGATTTCGCAAAATCAGTGTAAATTAAAAAAAATGAAATGCAGTCACGCCAGAATTCGAAGTCTTCTCATTGCTTCGAGCCAATATGGCATCTAGCCAATATGTTGTTTTTTTTATTACGTTAGATCATTTTACTTTCTACAATAGAATTGTTTCAATAACAGACAAAAAAAACTTTAAACGAACTTACATTTTGAGTATATCGAAATGCCATCAATAAATTTTAAATTTTTCTTGTTAATCTTATCTCCTAGTTACAAGAAAAAACATTATCGATTTATGCAATTATATTATTAACTTGACTGAATTTAAATTTTAACAAATCTAACAAGAAAATGTACAACTTTTCGAGAACCGCAAAACACTTTCTGCCTCATGCTGGAATCGAACCAGCGACCTTCTGTTTACTAGACAGACGCTCTGCCACTGAGCCAATGAGGCCGTTGGAAATAAACTAAAGGAGTGCGCATAGAACATTGGCAATTTCCGCGATCGCAGTCGTTTGCCCTCATAATTTTAGTGGTTGACGCCTTTCGAAAATGAGATGAACAATACCAAATTGAAGAAAAGTGACGTACGTATGTGAAAAATTTCAAAATTAATTATGTTAATTAGAAATAAGAAGGAGATAATAAAAATTAAACTTTAATCGAGAAATAATTAGTTTTAATTTTCATTGGCAAATATCAGGACATGTTAAAATGATAACTAATTTTATCGAAATGATTTTTCAATGTTTGTTTAGATATTGATAAAAATCTTGAAAATTGAGAATTATTACATTTCTGACACATCCAAAAAAAATTTCAAAAAGTTGAGCGCAAAAGAGCTTTCTTTGCGTATTTTACCAATGAAGATTTCTTCAAACACCATAAAGTTTTCAAAGAATTCAATTTCAAATGAAGACACCACGAAGAAATTCATTACGTTAATTTAGAGCAAATTTTTTAATAAAATAATTTTACAAAACGTTTCTGCCTCATGCTGGAATCGAACCAGCGACCTTCTGTTTACTAGACAGACGCTCTGCCACTGAGCCAATGAGGCTGCTGGGGGGTACGCCGGCAAATGTGTTCATATCGCTGTTATTCTGCCCTCTAGCCGTCAATTTCTCTCACAGGCCCGTACGATCACTTGTTTGCCTACTCAATGTTGGGAGATCGAGCGATTGGATGGATTGTGCTGATTGTTTCGATTGTTTCCCTCATTTTCTGCCTTGTCGCAATCGTCTATTTGATCCAGGCACGTGAAACATTTATGGTAGTATGCAGATTTTAAATAAAAATAACTCAAAAAACTGATTAAAAGTAGATTTATTGTAATCTGCATAGTATCATTAGACGCAATACAAAGGGGGGAATAATATTTAAACATTTTCAGAAGCTTCTCGAGGGTCATGCTGCTATTTATATCCGAAGGTTATTATCTAAACAATGTCCTGGAGTGCTCAAACCATGCACTGGCTACGTTGTAATGCTAGTTGGTTTGATAGTTACAGTCCTAGTGAGAGCTAATAAATCGTGAGTTAGTTTCACGATTTTTTATCGATTCCAGATCCAATCAAACAGCATTTTCTCGTCCTCTTTAACCCCATTGGTGGGAAGCGGTGTGGTCACATTAGAGCAAATGTACCCACTTGTGCTTGGAAGTAATATCGGAACTACGTTCAGTGGCGTTCTTGCTGCGTTTTCCACAGACCCTTCAAGATTTGAAAAGTTCGTTTAACGATGGGAATAATTTGGGTCACTGTTTAGTTTTTAGCTAGAAAAATTAATAAGTTAATATTACTGCTTAAACAATAAATATATGTAATTTTCATCAATTTTATGTTTTCTTTTCAGGGCTCTTCACATGGCAATGTGCCAAGTAAACTACAACATTATTGGAACTTGTTTGTTTTACATTATCCCATGCACAAGAAAATTTCCAGTATATTTAGCTGTGAAGCTAGGAAACCTAACAGATCGGGTATTATGATGGTTGCTCACCAATTCTAAACAGCCAATTTTCAGTACCGATGGTTCATTGTCGTTTTCATTTTGGCATTTTTCGTGGTCATTCCATTCACTATTATTGGTTTAACTCTTCTTCCAGACAATGTTATTGTAATTACATTTATTGTAATTCTTATAATTTCAATAATAATCTGCATAATTAATATATTACAGGTTGGTTGGTATTTAAACTGAAATATATCGATTTTTGCAGAACACTTTCAAGCAAATTCTGCCCGAATGTTTAAGAGATTGGTCATTTATGCCCATTTGGTTTCGTTCTCTGAAACCATATGACCCTTTCATGTCAAAAATTTTCACAAGTCTTCCATATATTGGAGGTTTTTTCAAAAGAAATCGTCCATCCGAGGAAGAAAAACACGACGATATTGCTATAACCGACAAAGTTCAAAAGCTGGTTCGATTAAGCGGGCAAACACAAGTTTGAAGATTTTTTGCATATCACTATAGATACATGGTAGTTGTAGTCATTCATTGAACATATCATTATATGTTTCTGAATACTATTGTTTTATGGGTTTTGGGTTTCATAAATTCTTCATTATAAGTCTGTAATTTATGCTTATTTGAGAGATTCGTGATTTCCTCACACAGTCGTCGACTCGTTGTCGAATTCAACATCCGGGTCAACGCGGGAAGATACGCCTGAAGAAAACAAACAGATTTATGTAAATTAGAAGAAGAAGGTTTAGAATGAAAATAGGACACTACGTCTTGCCAAGATAATTGAGCTTTTGAATGTGAAATGACTTACATAGGAGGAGAGCAGAGAATAAGATTGTAACGGAGCTCGCAACGGCCAAATAGAACGACCATGAAAGAGTGTTATTACGACTCCCCTGAATCATTAATTACATGCAACAAGATGTCCAATTTGTTTTATACATAGTCGTACTGGTATACGTCATTCATCATTTGTTGCAGTGTAAAAGTTTTTCCTTCGCGATTTGCATTCAGATAGATCAAGCAACCCGAGCCGGCAAACACTCCTAGAAGTCAGTAAAAAAATTAAAAAAAAAAACAGTTTCCACACCTGTTAAAAATAAGAGAAGTGTGGTTGAAGCCTTGCACCTTTGGCAGCAGAAGGGCCCGAAGAAAAGTATAGTGCCTGCTATCAAGGCAGCAATAACAATAAAAAGTGCGACAACTACTTCGAAAGCTGAAAATAATTACGTGAATTTTTCTATTTAATTATTTTATACTTTGAGTCGCGAGATGTTGATATGTAGTGCGCTCAGTTAGCACATCATAACTTTCCATGTAGTTTCGAAGTTGCTTGAACATACTGGAGAGTCGAAAACTGCAGCTCGCATACTGACGAGTGCTAATACATTGTTTCAAGATGCCCCGATTCATAACCAGATTATCTTCAAAAAATTGCTGTCGTTTCTAGGTTTGTACAGCGTTTCTTTTTTAAACCACCATCACTGAATTCTCTGGAGTGCAATACAGCACAACTGCATATGACACAGCTATAAATAATCCTTTAATGTGCGTACATTTTGTGGGTATCCGAAGTATGATAATAATAGCAAAAATCTATGATCCCGAAAATATCCAAGCCGGTTTTGAAACGTTAAACAACGTTTTCCACCACCAATTTCACCGACCCGCCGGCTGAATATATACAATTTTCTCGAAAATTGCATTCCCGTAATTAGTATACTAATTGGATTTCACTATTATAAGCTATAAAAGCATTCGTCTCGAACCTTGTAATATAAGTTATGCATGCTTTCATGCAGAAAAAAAAAGCTCGGCACAGATTGAATTTTCGCCAAAAAGGGCAAACTTTTACGGACATTTTCATGTGGGAAAATGTATTATTTATAACAAAGTTACCAGTTGGACTGCGAGGCTCATGAATTGACCAAAAATCGGATATCAATGAAATTGCCAGCATCCCAGTTCCCACAAGGAGAAGAATCCAGGATACAACCTGGATGACATTTATGTAAAATTATCCCTACTAAATTTGACAACCTGAAGACCAGTGAATTGCATTGCCATTTCGTTAGTTTGACATGGGATAGCTCGGTTCCTCCTAATAATATGTTTGATTAATTTGAGAACAAGCGAAACTAACAAAATAAGTACTATAAGGGATAGAAAAAAGAGCTATAGAAGGAAATATAAAAGGAAAACAAAAGGGAAATCAAAGGGTCTCCGGCTTGAAGAAATGAATGATCCAAAAGTCGAGGTGCACAACGTGCCGCTATAATTAACGCGTTTTAGTCGTCTAAGGAAGGAAAAGAGCATTGAAGGGGGGGGGGTTAACTTACCGAGATTCATAAATATGTATAACACGTTTTTAGTATCTAGTTCACATTTGAAATGTCGTTTTTGACAACTTGAATTTCGCACGCTGCATTTTTCTTGCGCAATGCAATTGGGATACATGGATGGATGGATACCAATCAGACACTCTATTAATTGCGAGTAATTGAGAATAAATGTCGCAAACGAATTATTGTTGCTCTTCTTCATTGAGTGCGCGACGCAAATGCAAATTTGGCACAATGCATCAAGATTCTTTGTTGTGTCCGCCAAAAATGAAGACTTCGATGTGGAAAGGCATGCATATATTATTATTCACATCAAAATTATTGTTCGACTAATTTATCGAGGAAAATTTGTGTACGACCAAAAACAAAGATGCAAATTAAATTCTCACACCCAGTTTTCTTAATTAATTGAAAATGACAAGAACATGGAAACTTTATTGGAATTTCAAACTTCTCGGCAAATTGAACACTAGAATTGCAATATAATTCTGAGTTATTGCCCGACTTCACCTCAGTGGCTCGAAATTTTTAAACATTTCATTACGATCTAAATTAAATGTATCTTCGAAAAAATCGAAAATTAAAAAAAAAAACAACAACAAAATGGAACCGGGAATTAGATACGCATAAGAAATTATTCTTATCCGACGACTCGATCGAACAGAGTAGATGGTTCCCAAAGGATTCATCGCCAAAAACTTCAACGTTGCAATTTGAGAATGTGGTTAAAAAAAGCGGCAAGGATGTGCGTAAGAAATCTGTTATTTTTTCTTAGACACTCGAGCTTCATTAGTTGTCTCGTAAGTGTGTTTATTATCAAATTTGAGACTATACGCTTTAAAGAAAATACATGTGAAAGTAAAAAGAAATAATTGTCAATTGAGACAGCTTGGCCGCAAAACTGAATGAAATCAATTTCAATATTTGAAACAGATGTTAGAAATCTGGCGAGCAAAACTTTCGGCGTTTAGAATGAAAAATTGATTTAAGATTTTTTTTCAATGAGCATTGCTTGCCTTCAGGAAAAAAATGTGGGAACGCTATTAAGTGCCAATTGTTGCATAGGTGTGCATAAAGACTCACAATATATAATAATTTTACGTGCAGCATTCACATGAGAAGTGCCAAATGTGAAGGGGCTTAACAGGAGTGGATACTCCATTCATTCATCATAAATGATGAAAACCCCCTTCATTAATTTTGTTTATTTAAAAAACCGAATCGTGTTTCTAATTATATTATATAAGAAGACTCGATAGAAAATGTTTACTATTTCTTTTCAAAACAGAAAATTGGTTTCAACTCAATTTTAATTTTTATTGGGAAAATTTCTTCGCCCAATTATCCCAATCAAATTGAGATTATCCTAACCAAATTTCACTTAAGTAGTTGAAGTTCAGTCACTGTGAAATATCATTTCTAAATGGAATATTAAAGAATGGAAATAACGTTAAAATGCAATTTACAAAAATCGGTTATGAATAAATTTTACTAAACCAATAATGGAATCATATACCCGGTTTACTTTGTTATATTGAGTCAGTCTAATCCCATTTTTTAAACCTTCAGCAATGAAATTTTTTGTCACAATCTCTGAAATTGCAGTTTGATATTTCACATTTCTTTATATTAATTAATTGGTTCATTATGAAAATACTCGTATTTAGTTAAATTTTGAAAGTAGAATTTGGAAAGAAATAAAACATATCACAAATTGAAACAATTAAAAAATATTGTGTCAGTGTTCCAATTGGATTAATCAGTACTTCGCTTTGATCCTGTTAACGACTTCAATATGTTACGCAACGTTGGCTTCGAATGAGCTCTTTGAACAGGAGATGAGCACCTTAATTTTTTACATTAAAGCATGTAGGGATCATTGAAAGAAAGGACAACTAACTGAGCGATTACAGCAAAATCATCCATCAGCTCCTCATCAAACTCTCCTGGTTTCACGTTGTTCTGGAACCACAATACGTAGTTTTAGATTTAAGTAAATTTTTAAAATTTATCCACATGACCCCTACACTGGCAAAAATTGAATTTGAGCTTTTGTTCTCTAAAACTGACATTACCCGTTGCCCTTTTAATAATTGTTGTCATGAACATGTGATTCAATCATTATAAAATAATTATTGTTTTTGTTAGCTAATCACCTGCTCTTTTGTTACGTCTTCAACGAGTTTGACTAAAGGAGTTGACGCAGCTGCTGGAAGGCTTACAGCCAAAAAATTGTACAAAGAAATGAGAAAAATTTCTTGCCACGTCTTATCAAAATATTTTTTGAATGGTTCGCTATTTTTCGCATTCGGATTGTATGGAAATGCTGAAATCATGCAAATGATTTATGTTGATAAAAAATCCTTACAAAACCAGTCTATCCATTGAGGATTATTCTGGGTTAGCGACGATAATCGTTGAAAGAATTCATTGCATTTTTGAATGTTGTTCTTCTGAGTACACCGAACGAGGAATAATCTGTACGTGTCCGCTTCATATTGTTGTGCCAGTTTCACGCGTTCCTGAAAGAAACCATCAAAATCTCAAAATTGTCATTTTAATTGGCGTTATTTGTTATAGAATAATTTCAAACATTTTGTTAGTGTATCCCATCAAAATCTTTTAGTTGGTATCACCACTTTTACAATTGATTTAGTTGTTGAAAATGAAATGTTAAAACATTCTTTATATTGAAATATCCACATTTTGGCTAAAGAAAATTGAAAATATAAATATCTCAAAGAGGTTTTTTTTTTAGAAAATCCATCAATAATTTCACTTTTTTATCAAATCCACAAATAAAAAGTTAAAAGATTAATTTTTCCAATTTTTTTTTCAATTTTGTGTAAAATAAGAAGTCATTTAAAACATGTGTTCTTTATTGATGACTGTCAACGTTCGTGAAACAATAAGCATTTAAGTTCAAAATATAATACCCTGTAATGTCATATCAAAATGCGTAATGGGACGCCAATGCAAAAAAATTTACCGGATCCAACGAGTTGAAAATTTTCCCGTTCCATTCTGCCCATAAGATTGCAACTTTTTCAATATCTAAATTGTCCATTGCATTCGATAATTCCTCCATAAATCTATCAACCTAAAAATTTCAGCACATGTAATTTTTTTTTTAAATCAATTCACTTGATATTTTCCATCGCGTGCAATTGCACATTCGGTTTCAAACGATTTCGCTGTATTAACAAACGAACGAGACGTCAAATAAGAACGAACAAGTTGCTCAACTGAATCGGAAGCATGACTCATTCAGCTCTGTAAAAAAGCGTAAAAGGAAAAGTAAATTAACGCGTTAAATTTTGTATATAATAAGACATAAGCAATTGAAACAACGTTTGATATTGTAAACATATGCATTACAGAGAGGCAAGTGCGCCCTGATGAACAACAATGTGAAAGTGTGAAATGACCTGACATTGATTCATGCAGTCAAATAAATTATTTTTCAAAAATATGAATAAAAATCGCCCATACAAATTTTTAAATGTTTATTTACGAATGTAATAAAATCATAGAACCATGAGATTTAAATAGTGCGGATTGATTGTTATAAACTGACCACGACAAAGAGTCGTGATGGATCACTTTCATCATGGCGGACGATAACATTAAGAACAAGTAGCAGCCTGAAAAAGAAAAAAAATTGAACTGCAGTACTTAATTATTTACTTGAAAAGTTCCGTCTCGAAGGTTTCTTCTTTGTCGCTCGCGATCGGCTTTTCATTGTGTTTAACTATTTCGCCAAAGTTATTCGTTGAGCGAAATATCATTTTTCCTAATCAACAAAATATTGAAATCTGCATCAATCTAATCATCGGATGTTTATGAAAAATAACAGCATGTTCAAATGATCTATATTTTACAAGGCACCCCTCTTCTGCGATTCCCGAAAGAGTGGAATTTCGTGCATCGATTTAGTTTTGTTAATCGCTCATGGATTTCCAATGTGGTAATGTACCAATCACAATAGATTGAAGGATGTTAAAGTGAGTAGCTGAATGTACATTTCGTAGAGTTGACAAAATGACAGCGATCTCAATATCTCTGTTATTTATCCTGCATAGAAAATTAAAAATAGCAAAAAAATATTTTCCAATGTGTTTACCCAGAGTGAAACAAGGGTCCTCGTTCGTGTGATGTTCAGTGATTTTGCCAACGTCGGTCAATGAAGCATTTTAAAAACAATCATATTTCAGACTTTCGAATATATAGAAGATTACCAGCTCACGTTGCAGCGATTACAGGAAATTCATGCTTTGGATCCAATTTTTCATTGTCATTCATTTTCTGCTCTTATCCGGCATCAAAGACATCATTTTTGTTCTTAGAGAGCACTTCGACATCATTGAACTTTACTCACTTTGGGCAAGTTGTTAGGGATTGTTTTCCTAAAAGAATTGGTTCTAGTGATTCAGTGGTACCAGCGGCTGATACAGTAGTGTCAGTGATGATTTTTTTTCCGCCGCAATTAGCTGAAACTTCGGAGAACTCTTGTTTAGACTGACTGAGTGTTATGACATTATTTTGTGATGGCAAAACAGTAGCTGCGAAGAATCTTCTTGCATTGTGAACATCGTGATGGGTATCTATTGCAGAAAAAAACATTGCTGATGTTATCCTAATTATCGAGCAAAAAATTTTCTCATCAGTTCTTTCTATGGATAAACGTTTTCCTGAAACAACAAATTCATATAAAAAATATTATAGTATTTATTATTTTTTTAATCAGCTACGCAAATGCTAATGTAAGTTATTTCAGAGTATTAAAATAATTTCTAAACTCTCTGCGCACCAATATGTGTAGATGGCGTCATTTTGAAAAGAAATTCCTAGCGTAATTTTTGCAAAATTCTTCTTCTATTGATAAATATAACACTATTGGTTTTTTCTTCTTCAATAAATTTAAAATTATTCTATGAAAATTGGAATATTTCATGAAATATCCTGTGTTGAGCGGAACCACGTGGATTTGTCTAATTTGTAAATATACAACAATATTTCAAATCTAATCTCTTCAGTACCTGAAATATTGCAACCATATCTTTAATTTCACGTAGCCAATGTGACTCATCTGCCATTCATAATCAAGTATTTGTTGAATACTTTCTTTTTTGGTTGAAGGTGTACATATATTGACATTTAAATACAGCTGTTATGTATTACACTTGCATTTATAATGATTTAGAAATGCTAAAATGAAGTCCATTTACTTCCAGAAATGGTTCCCTCATAAATTATGAAAACCATAATTAGATGCTTATGAGATTGGTTGGATAATTAAATTTGGTTCAGCTTTTTTGAACAATAGAACTCCATGTGGTGTAGTATTCCATATACTCACGTTTTCAAATATAAAAATAGGTTGGTGTGTGTCGTAATAAAGCGATATCAGGTGAAACATAGTTTTTCGTCATAATTGCAAAATCAAAGCTTCATCGTATTTTTCAGTGTTCTATCGTCAGTAGAAGAACCCCAACGAAATATATCTGCCGAAACAAGTTTGTTGCAACAAAAAAAATTGAAGCGAAACCCATAAATTTTGCACCGAAAGCATTTTTTTATTTTCAACCAAAATTGTTCTGGTTTTCTGCATTCAGAACAATTGCCATTTGTAAAGTTTCAAAATTTTACTACTCGACGAAATTCAAAACTTTGAAAATAAACAAGAATGAAGTTTGAAACCTAGAAATTTGATGGCGAATTAATACGTATTTATCAAATTGGATCTAAAAGATCCCTAACTTTGAAAATTTATGCGAATTCGAATAACTAACGATTCAATTAACTTTGGCTATAAATGCTGGTTATGTGATAACTAATAAAAAAAATTGTTGATCATAATAATGCAATGTAATAAAAAAAATCGGGTTTTAATTGGATTATTTTTCATGTCTCACCAAATAAGAACAAATTTCAATTAAAACCGAAAAATATTATTTTATAGATAACATTTATCTATCCAAATTCGCCTTTTTTCTTTAGAGTTATCTTTTTTTTTAATTACCCGCGTTTTTTGTTGCTTTCAACAGAAACTGATCTCATTAGGTTAATTTTTTTGACATAAAGTCGTGTTCACACATCAACACATATTAGCGCCATTTACTCATATTTATCTAATTATCATAGTGATCCATCGTTGATATGAAAAATGATAATTTAGTGCTGAACACATAAAAGCATCACAACGTGAGACTGAAATTGTGTTGTTGGTAACTTGAAATCTGTTGTCAAAATGCTTCAAAGATCATTTTAGTCGTCTGTCGCCAATTTTTATTGGTCTACAGAAAGATTCAATTATGTAATCGTCATGCTTGTAATTTTCACGGAAACTTTTCCCTCTAATTCCGCAATATGAAGCTCTCCTCTGTTAAACATGCCCGAAACATTCCTCGCTTAAATTCTAGGAAATTCTCATAATTGGTTATAATGTTTCATAAAAGCTCATCGCTTCCTTCCTATGTTTCCTGTCAAAAACGTTTTTCAATTTTCTTCTATATGTTTCATTGCCAAAATTAAAATGTATTCAGCCGTTAGCTTTTCAACTTTTATTGTCGGGGAAAATCATGCAAGAATTGAAAAACGTCATTTGTCAATTACTCCCGTAACCTTTTGTCATATGAATTTTAACGAAAGCTTTTGTTTCGGGGTCCAGGTTTCCAATTTCGTTTATACTTGGCGATTCATAGAGGTTAGAGTTATCGACTTGGCACGAAACGCTGGAGAATCTGAGAATCAGAATTTACGCATTTTTGGGTCTTCGTAGCCTTCTTAATCTTGCCGGCAAATCCGTTTAATTTAAAAGGCCGCCGTTTCAAGACAATGGGGGTGTTTCGTAGGATGACGCTGGTAAAACGAACCAGAGGGTCACGACAAACATCAAATCAATTAGAACGACCAAATTCTGGAAATGATTTCGTTCATAAATAAATTTTAAAAAGTCTCTAGAGTTTTGATTTTGCGACAGATTACGGCGAAAATGTGTCAGCCCATTGTTATTTTTCGATCAAAACTTTATTAGATTTACAGATTTCATTAGAGTACAGAGTTCCAAGAACTTTAGGTTCTTTTCACGTAAAGCCCTCACGATTATTATTCCCGAGACAATGAAAACGCGTGAATGGAAGGAAAGGGGAGACAAGGACACGTTGAAAACAAAGAATTTGTTTTTCGATTTGTATTTTGCTTTGAAAAAAATAATACTCAAGGAGAACTTCTGACTCGGTGTTTTAAATGAATCGGAGAATAGTGTGATAATTAAACGAGGGAGAAAAGAACACATGTTCGATTCAGAGTAATTAAAGCGAGTTTAATGAGAATCTGGAAAATTGCGTTGACCTTCATGGAAAACACTAGAATTTTTGTTTAAAAAAAGGTTTTTAATAAAATGCTTAATGACAACAGTCAATTTGAATTTTTGTGAAGATCCATGTTCTTGGACCCCTAAAATCGAAGAAAAGCCGGAAATGTAAAAAAAGTAGCACACACAGCCATTTAGATTAGCATCTTAAATGATGTAAAACTACATTTGACTTAATGAAGGAATAGAAGCCAATGTATGTTTATGATCTTTTCAATTCCCTGCAATGAAAAAAAAAAACAACTTCTCTATTTCTAGTTAATATAAATTTTGTTCCTTTGACAAATGGGTAATGAGTGCTCTTTATAAGGTCATCGTGCAAACATGTGGGTCCTCACTCCAGTTATTCTTTCAATTATACAATATTCCTTTTCATCAGCGAAAATGTCACAAGCAACCAATGTTTTTTTTTTCGGCGCTGCCGGCGACCATCGAATTTTTCAAAATTATGTGCGTATAATGAGGATAAAAACAAATCCATCAAAATTTATTGCGGGTAGACGGCCATTGAATTATGCAAACATTTTCGTCAAACGAGTTCCATTTGTGAGCACGGCAAAATAGGAGCAAGTTTTTATTTTGTTAAAATGTTATTCGCATTGCTGTTTGGCACATCATTCATGGAAATGTGACATCTTGTTTCATCAATTTCATCATAGCTGCAGTCATTTCTTGATTCGGCGTCGTTTCCCTCCGCCCAAACGGCTACGGTTGAGGTGGCGAGCTGGAGGTGGGCGTGGTCAAACGCCTCGTCGACGGGCTGTTTGGAATCGCGCAAAAGCTCTGCCCCCGCCCTCGTCTCAAATCATTTCTCACAACTATGAGCCAGACGATCGTCGTCTTCTTCATTGCTTCATTACTGGTTCTACAATTGGTCGCGGCACAAGAGCTCAGGTACACTACATAGATTTCATTATGGCATTTCAAATCAGCATTCCAAACATCTTGTTTTTTGCTGTCGCCCAGAAATTCCACATTTTCTTATCGAATGAGAAAAGAAAAGAAGAAACGCACGTCACCGCAACTTTATTGAACAATAAGGTTGCGAGGCGTCCGCAGGAGTCAACTGTAATTTAAAATTTATAAAATTTTTTATGCATTTTGCCTGACAGTTGACCGAAATTTTGCTTTCCAGAATTTGAATGTTAATATTAAGACGTATATTCGGGGATGCAACACAACGTCAAAACATTCAAAATTGATTATAACTCGAATTGTTCTTTAAAAAATCATAAGCTTTTACAATTTTAATCTGAAAAGCAAATGAAAAAAAAGGGGCTTTCAAAAATGAGGTTTTTAATTATTCATTTTAAAGATCAGAGCCACCAAATTGTTTCGGATACACGCGAGTCGGTGAAAATAAGATTTAAAAAATACCAAAAACATCTGTTTGAAATTTTCAGGATACGTTTAAACATGTATATGTTTAACAAATTAGTAATATAGAAAATATCTTCTGATGGTCATCTAGTGACGTTTTATTTGTTCGATAAGGTTCAAATTTACTAGGAAGTAGTAATTAAATTCCACTCTAATCTAGATTAGAAATCAATTGATGTTCTAATCCTAAACCCGAGCTAATTATAATTCCCAACAGTTTGTATTTTCTAAACGATTAAAGATCCAGGGAACTTTGACAATATTATTTAATGATCCGTGAAAATTTGCGAACTTTTTGATGACGCACCTCTTGGAGCTGAATTGTTGCTCAGTAAAGCGTTAAACTCAAGGGAAATTCATGAGATCCCCTCAGACACAATCCAATAAATGTTTTTGCTCGAATTATATATGGCAATAGTGAGTTGTATCAAAATTCGCTGAAGCGTCGCGGGAAATTGAGTCTATGGCAAAAGCAACGAAGTATTCATGAAAATACCGTTTTCAGCGATGAAGATAATGAATGGATTGCCGACCGATTCCAAAGAATAGCGCGAGCGCCGAAACCGAAATTCATCCGATTTGGAAGAGCTGGAGCAAAATTTATTCGATTTGGACGAGCCGGTGCTAACTCCTGGGTAAGCATCCCTATGCTTGTCGATTGCATAACGAACATGTGGTTTCGACACACATAGTTTCGCAATTTATCATAATTTGATTAATTAGTTCTAGTAGAGCTTCAAGAAAATAATTCATAAGGTGTATAGAAAGAAGTGATGTCGTTTCTTTCCTTACTTTGATGAATGAAGTTACTCATCTTAACGTCAGAATTTTGAAAGGGGGCACATCCAATATCAATATTAGCTCATAAAAAATGTACAGAGACAATAAGGAGAAGCACGTGATGTAAAAATTTATTTCAGGAGAGCAACTACGTCCCAACTGGTAATGAATACTACGCAAAACGTGGCGCCAAGTTCATTCGATTCGGCTAAGTACTTCTTTCACCTCGGACCGTAAGCACAACTCCGCGCTTCTTGTCATCCATCTGCTCTATGTTGTCTACCAAAGAAGACGATTAGCTATACTCAAATAAATTCAATCCCATTCTAATGATATTGTTTCGTGTTTTCAATGAAACTATCATGTTGAAATCAAAATGTGTGTGTGTATTTGATAAATGTCAACGACTTTGATGCAACTCGCCACCCACAAATGTTTCGTTTTACTAAATATCGAGTTTCGAGGCGTCAGGATCTGGTTTCTGGATACATTAAGTTTTGCAGCTCAAATTGAATGATGTTGAGTAATTTCCCAGACAATTGAAGAGAATATTATCTCAATATCTGTTTTTGAAATGCAATTTGCGCAAATGCGTTAAAACTTTTTTGTTTGAGCAATTTGATAAATTTAATATAGAAAATATAACTTGAAAAATGTTCGATAGACTCTAGCATTCGTATTTCGAAATTTTCAAAACATAAAATAATCTACAGTATTTTATATTTTTCTGTGACGCTACTAGAAAAATTTTGTAAATTCATGTTTAGTAAAAAAAACTTGTAAGTTTTCTTCTGAAAAGATAGTCATCTAGAAAAGCAATTTTGCTGATACTAAGCTGAATTTGCACAGAATGCAAATTTTTTTTCAAAAAAAAAAAAAATTTTGTATCTGCTAGAGAACAGCTATGTATAAATTGTAATTGATTTTCTAGTCTACGAATTACAACTAATTGACAAGAGCCGTACTTACTAGAATTTACCTACGTAATTTCATTTTTTTAACACGAAATGATTTGATTTGGAGATTGGAGTTCTTACATCGTTTTTTGTCTGATACAAAATGTTCATTTGCTTAAATTGAAATGAAGAAATCAGTAAACATAAGGGGCTAAATTGGTAAAGGATAAAATAAGGCGTCGTAATTTGATGTGACGCAATAGAAATGACGAAACTGGAAATTAAAAAAAAATTGCTTATTAAATAAAGTGATACGGTAACTAAAATTTGATTGCATTGTATTTCATGCAATGCAAAATTTGCTGTCAAAACGATTTTCAACCGTTTATTTCTTCTACATACCTAACCTTTTGAATCATTTGCAATGTTTGTTTTTTTTTAATTTTCGAGCTGGAAAATATAAAAGCATAAAAGGTGAGACTGAATATTTTAAAACTTTGTAACGAAAGTCTGTCTGCCGAAGACAGAAGGATTTCATAGTTCAACAATTTGAAATTCACAATCCAATTCATTTGAGAATTCTAGTAGCATATTTAATTACATCATAAAATGGGTCATAGACATGCCTCAGTAATGCAATTGGTCAAAAAACGGTTCGGTTATGAATATTATATCAGAAAGTCCCGGAAGGCAATTTTCACTGAATTTTAAATACCCAACTAGTTCAAAAATGCTTTTGTCTTTCACTATTTCGAACTTTCTTAGGAATATTTAATGACCAAAAAATAAAGCTATTATTCGAGGGGCTGCGTTCACTTGGTTTTCAAAGAAAATACTTCAAAATGTCTATGAATAGTAGTACCTAATGATGACGTAAAGGGAGAGATTGTTCGATAATTATATTTCTGACCAAAAAAAACTTTCAGAAAAAAGTAATGTTCATGGAAATTCAACCAATGATCGCCTAGATAAGAAACACAAAAAAAAAACTAATTAAATATAAGCAATTTGAACGTTTTTGCATCTTCAAACATTCAATTAGGTTAGAAAAACTCAAAAGTTCAACAAAACATTCTCTACATATAAGAAACGTGGTGATGGAATGATAAAAGAATATATTTAGTACACTGGGAGGAAGTGACCAAATCAAGTTGTTTGCTGAAGTATTCTCAGTGAAACATCTTCTATTTCATTTAATACATTAATCAACTTTCCCAATTATATATATATATGTAAGAACGATCTTCGCGGCCAATTCATTTATCAAATTGTTTTAATTGTCGATGAGATCCGTTGCAAATCAATATATTGTATTTATCAAAAAAGGTGACAGAAATTGATATTATCTCAATACAATTCTCTTCTCGCCATCGCTTATTGTTCTGTTTTCATTTTTGCGAGCGAAAATTTGCGAACAAGCAATAAATTGAAAACGACATCGATTGTCAATTGATCGAGGTGAGCTCCAGCTTGGCTGGCAATGTCTGTTTGAATTACACCGCGTTTTTGTCTGACCTCAATATCGGCAGCAGGTTGATATTAGTTTCTTCAATCATTTTTTATCGTGTCTGAATTCAACTGTTTTCCAAAAATTCTTCTTGCAAGAATTCAAAACTTCCAAAACCGCATGTAGCGACCATATTTCAACTATAACTGTTGACGTTGGACTTACACTTGTTGATTTCAATAAATCATGTGAAAACCATTACTATATTTCAATTCTAGAAAGTTTGCATAAAAATGTACAAAATCATAAAGTATGACGAAATGAACAATGACACCCGGCTTTGTTATACATAATCCGAGGGTGCAATTTTAAAATGTTGATGAACACTAGATATAACAAAGGATCAACAATTAAACAATACAAACAAAATTCGCTTGGATTACCACATTTTTAATGATGTTTATTGGAATTTTTTTTTACATAAGACATATTCCATAAAAAAAAAATGATTATTTTAAATTAGTTGTCGATTCTAGATTATTTTGCGTTATCTCGTAATAAAAAAAACCGTTTTTCAACAAAATTTGAATTTTTAAATTAATCCCAAAAAGCACTTGAGATCAAATATATATATATATATATATATATATATATATATATATATATATATATTTTTTTTCTCAAATCAAATATTTACCACTTTTGCATCGATATGAAGTTTAATTGATACGTATTCAAGTCATTGAAATGTTTAACGTTTTCGCCACCCATTCTTTCTTATGCTTTCTTATTGAGCCAATCAGGCTTATTCACAGCGAGAAATTGACATAAACATGTCCAAGTTCTTGTACTTGTGTTTATGTGATTTATATTTTTCCAACATAATCCTATTACCATAATGTTTTGATATTAAAATCAGTATATAACATTCTCATTACCGTTCAATAAACGGCAATATTTCAGAAATGTTGACGGGTTTAATTCTTCTATCGCTTTTTGTGCAGTTAATGGCAGCGGAAGATGAACTCGTTTTAGTGCATACAGTAAGTTTGTTCCTTATATGTCGAACACGAATAATTTATAATATAATTGCAATGTATATATATATATATATATTAGGTATTTCGCCATGGGGCACGTTCACCAATTGGGAATTTCACCTCAGATGAAGCCAAAGCGCACTTTTTCCGTGGATCCGGCCACTTGACCGATGTAAGCTTGTCGTGGGGTTTCTTTACAACCCTAATTTTTTCGTGATTGATATTTGTTGACGCTACTTGATTAATTGTGGATTTTCTTTTGTGAGCAATGGTTTATATTACAGCAGGGAATCAGGCAAGCCAAGTTGCTCGGCAAAATCCTTCGCTCAAGATATGTTGAGACGGGATTTCTTGATGAGCGAATGCTTCCGGACGAAGTTGGAAGAAATATGAAAAATTTTGGAAAGACAGTCATTGTTGCAGGTACTTTTCCGAAGCAGCTCAGCTGAAAGATGTTTAATGACGATCGAGAATGTGGGAATGGAAATGTATCCAACTGCAGCGCCTCCAATTATCACCATGCCTCGGGATGATGATTATGTGAGTTTGCAAAAAAAAAAAACGCTTAATATGAAAAAATATGGTAATTAAATGAATTATGGCTTCATGGACATTAGAATGACAAACGTAATTACAGCTACTAGTCCCGAAGTACACATGCCCACACATTTTGGAAGACTATCGCAAAATTTTTAATTTGACGGACGAAGAGTTTGAGAGATCAAAATATCAACCGGTTTAATTATATTATGAAAAAAAGGTCATATCTCATTTCAGTGGGAAATTAGTGATATTGCAATGAAAAGAGCGCAAAAGAAAACGACAATATTGAAAGATAAAGTTGGATACAACATTCCAGCACTAATTTTAGAAGAGGAACAAGGCTTGTCGGTTCCAGTATGGTTTAATAGAACTGCACAGAAAGAGGCCCACTATGTTTTCTACCATGTAGGTTTTTTTTAATCAGGAATGTGAAACTTTTGTTAAAACATAACGTGCCATTTATAAATTCAGAAGTTTTTGATAACCATTGTACATTGCTTCTAATAATTATTAAGGCTATCGCATCACTTTCCGGATCTGCACCTTACTTTAATCCTTCCTGGCTCCGACCAAAATCAGGATATCTTTTGTACACAATTTTTAAAAGTTTGCAAGAAGGAGCCAAATGTATTCGATCAGCAAAAAGTAATTGTGCGGAATCTCAAAAGAAATTTTCAGCTTATAGCTCGGTCAGATTATTTGTATTTGTTTGTTTGAAAATAAATTACTATTTAGCACGATACTTTAATTGTCTCATTGCTCGAAAGTCTTGGTATTCGGGTGGCTGCTATTGGCAATGACACATCACCAGATTTTTGCTCAACGGTTATTTTTGAATTATGGAATATCAATGGAGAACCTATGATTAAAGTAATTTTCTTTAATTCCCAATGTGTGTATTTAAAGAAAATTTTCCTTCAGGTTTTTTATAGATCACAGCCTAATGAAACAGAAATTGTTAATTTGACACCATTTGTGAGAAATTGCGCAAATAGCAGCGAACTTTGTCCAGCAGAAATCTTTGTATCTTGTTGCGATGAGTTCATAACTGCGGATCCTCAAAAAGAATGCTGGGGAAGCCAAAATGGATCGCAAATAAACTTGCTTTCCGGAATTATGATCGGAGTATCTGCTGTATTACTCATTATCATTAGCATATTGATTGTTCTTCTAGTCTTGAAGAAAAGATCGGCCAAAGACACGCAAAATTGTTAAATTTTCTCATGTGGGTACCAAAATCGTTTTTCATTTTGTTGTATTATATTTATTTATAAATATGTATATTTTCAAATAGAATACAATTCGTACATTACAGGCATTGAAACACATTAGCAAATTCTAACCCTTCGTACTTATAATCCTGATCTACGGGAATATCATCAAGTAATACGGTGCCATCAATGCGAAAAACCGTAATGAATGTGGCGAGACGTTTGTTCGCAAATGGATTAGATTGATCACGAGGAACCTCTTCTGTTTTGATGGCAGCGATAATTTCGTCACGAGTTCCTGGGACGAATTGGAATGCACTGAAACCGCGGTGATTGTTATTCTTGCCAACTTCAACTGCTTTGAAATCACAGAAACAATCCGATGTACTCAGAAGAATGTTGGAACCTTTAATATTTGGAATATTTTTTCTAGAACAATTCTCTTTACCAGTTTCATAAAAATTTCTTGCGTTGAACGGCTGTTTCGATGCGTATCGAGGAAGGAAAAACCATTTCTGTAACATTTATTTGATCGTTCCTTTAAATGTGACTTTTCGAACTCGGTGCACATCCGACCATTGAACGGCTTCATGAATCATAAACCCTGGAAAATTAATGCCAATCGAGCGACGAAGTTTTACAAATCTAGATGTCCAATTTTCCGTCCGCATTCCTCCATTGGGTGAAATGATCTGGAAAATGCGATGCATCCTTGTTTTTAGCTTCATCTCTTTAGTTTACGTCGATCGTACCCGAATAAACATCTCGTCATCGTTTATATATTCTCCCTCCGCACTGACGACTTCGTGCCCGCTACTCCCAAGATAAAGCTCATTATTTTTAATTGTCATCCATTCTCCCTTGAATGCTGAATTCCAAAAAAATTCTTCTAACTCGGGAGCAAACCGGAAGAAACAGGGACTTACGCGTGCTTTTTGATCCGTCACCGGTTGAAGCGATAACCCAAGGAATGGCAGTTCCATTTCTTAACCTGAAAATATAATTAACAACAATTGCATCTTGTGACAACAGAAGAGTTCTACGCAAAATTGCAAACCAATATATAATTCCCAGCTTATCATCAACCGAAAGCAGTTTGTTCTGAAAAATCTTCAAATCGCTCATTTCCATCGATCTTTGATTGATATTAATTGTGGATGTAATATTGACAGCGCCGAGCCAATGAATAAACGATGAAGTGCGATTCTAGAAAAATTGCCAATTTGACACCTCATGAATTTCTAATTGCGACCTGAGAAAACGCCAAGGCTCCGTACTTGATAGTGCTGAACCAGTTGTTTGTATCTTTCGTTTTCAGATCCATATCACTGATTAACGCAATGGGAAGTAAAATGTCGGTATCATTGTCGGGGTCAACATAAATCACTTCACATTGAGCTGAAAGGAGTATCAAACATGAGAGGTCACCCAAAATTTTGAAAATTAATAGAGTTTTTATTATTTGCGAAATTTTGGAATTGTGGATTGTAGAAAATTTTGCTGAGTTTTAATTTTTAGTTCGAATAAATAGATAAGAGAAACGAGATACAAAAACAGAACAAGTTTAGTTTAACGTGTTAATCTTTCATACCACAAAAAACTTACGCTTCTTTGATATTGTCGCTGTTACAGTGAAAATTGGTAAAAGAAAAAGCAAAGAAAACATTACTCTGAAAAAATGTCAAGAATTTGTAACAAACGGAGCTAGAAAAAATCAAGCTTTCGGGGGTAATCAGTCATTTTGAGTTCTCTGAGATTATCTCTACTCTTTTTTTTTTGTTTTTTTTTTGCCATTTTCTTGTTACAACAGAATGCTAAATCAAAACAAAAAGAGGAACGAGAAAAAATCAAAATGAACAGTGACATTGAGGAAAAATGGACAATCGCGATTGGCTAGTATGTTTGCTTTTCCGTTTTTGGCGACGAATCGTGAAAATTAAATCGAAAAGCGCACTTGAGACGATTTGAATTGACAGAAGATGTGTTTTTCGCATTCTATTGGGACTAATGAATGATTTGTTTGGAAAATATTCGAGCAATAAAAGCTTCCTTCAATAGAACAAAATTCATACTTACCCAAAACAACGTTATATTCAGCGAAGATTTGAATGATACAGGCTTGAAGAAAATAAAATGTTGAAGACTTCAAATTTATTAGGCATAATGATTATTTTTTAATACCCTTTTCAATTCCATAGAACTATTTATTTAAAAAAAAATGACTAATCGTTACATTGCACAAAAGTTCAGTGAAATTTTATTCATAAATGGAAATAACACAACACTGCTTGAGATGCATACTTGAAATGGAACTGGAGAATTAATTCATTTTTTCCTACAAATTTCCAATATACAATAAACTTGTTTTTTCCTACGTATAAATTGGAAATTTTAAAATTGCGTTCTCTTATCTTATTTTAATTATTCATGATATAGCAACATATGACAAAAAATGTGAGAACCATGTATCATCAATTTGTTTCTCATCTAGAATTTATTATTAACATGTATGCTTTCCAAATGTTTTTTTTTTCAAATTATAACTGATCGAGATGTTGTTTTGAGAGAGTATCGTGCTAATTTGATGAATAATTATTCTGGGTTTTTTTATTCCACAAATATATTCCAGAAAAAATCGATCAAAAACCAGTAAACCACTTCCATTCAGGTAATTATACTTATTTTCATGTTTTCAATAATAAGTGATACTTACTATCAATACAATAGAATAATAATACGCTATTGTAGAGTAACTGCTAAAATATAAGCATAGACGAATATTAAAGCTCTTGTAGTAAATGCTAGTAGGAAGTTTAGTATATTTTGAATATATGATACAAACATCGTTTTTTTTTTGTAATTTTTTTTTCAATTTATCTTGTTTTGTTTAGACAAACCTGTTTTCCAGTTTCAGCTAGCGAATTTTATTTTCATATATTTTTTTGTGCTGCCTTTACGTTAGTGACTTTGTTATTTTTTCACCAATATAAGTTTTTCCAAATTTTACAGCACGCTCGCTGAATGCATAAATGCATATTCATTTCAGGAAAAAAATTCTGAGGCACTTCCTAATGAGCTCTCTATATTGGATAAGCGGGGGTCCTTGCTTCAGCGCATTCTTAGATTTCACATTAGGCTCAATTTCCTTACATTATTCTTACCCGAATATACATCCAATTAATTATGATGTGCGATGCACAAAGCTGTATGTCGCCCACTCTTTCATACGTAGTACGAAGAACATACTCCTTTCAACAATAGTATTACATGTATTTCATTAGTTTAAAGCAAACTTGCTAATAATTTATATCAATATGCGTAGGTTTTTTTCTTTTCAAAAAAAAAATGATAATTAGTAATTCAACTATATGCATACGTTATATGAAGATGGATGACGACAAAAATGGAAATTTGGGGTCCTTTCAATTTTTTTTCCGGTGTTCGACAGTTTCAAGTGTTTGCGGTAAAACAATCGAAAAAATGCTTCATTTTTCATTAGTTTGTTTTTCGTTGTTCTAATAAAATGAAACACAATCTTAGTGTTTCCAACAATTCAAAATAAAGATACATGCACACGTCGGCCTGCATTCATCAATTTTTGCCACATTTGGGCGTTTTTCTAATTGAATTCCATCAAATTGTGAAACATCCATTCCGCCAGCATATGCCTTTCCAATTTCGCCCCAATGCCTCGGTACATTCAATTTCTACAACAAATAACTTTGAGATTTTAGCTCGTGAAAAAATGAGCATTTTTAAATCTACCAACTCTGCGAAATCCAGCATTTACACTTCGGATGTTTCGACAAGCAAGGTGGGTAGTTTACTCTTATTAATTATGCGCGAATCCAGAAAATCGTCATCTTTCTAATCTTTTGTTTGTATTATTTTCAAGTAAAGTCAGTATGTTTCAGAGATCTAATTGTAGTGTTCAAACTATTTATAAATGCTTGCTTTATTATGAGAATTCTCAATCTTTCAAAATAAATCAATTTTGCATATTGTGTAAGAAAAAAATTCATTCTTCAATAAAGAACATTAAGTTGACAAGACACTAGATAATATTTTAATAAAACTCAGTTTCCAGTCTTTGTTCAAAAAAGTAATATCATTAAAAGAGTGGAGTCTTAAATGTTGATGTATTTACTATCTGGAATTGACACCCTTGTTGCATAATTATATATATAGTTCTCCAATTCTGTTTATTTTTCTAGCTTGTTAGTTTGTTTCAATTGACTATAGAATTTTAAAATTCAAGCTATTCCAGAAAAACCACGAAATTTTGTGAATAAGAATTCTATGAAACCGAATCAATCTTGATGCCAATCTGTATAGCCCGAATGAGAAATTGCTTCTCATTTTTCAATACCGTATACTGTACCACAATTATTCATTTTTGAGATGCGCAATACGTCACCTATTGGTGCGCTTGAAGATATATAAACCATCAATTTTTAGTACGATTGTTCCACTTAATTATAATCTGACACCTCACTCCAATCCGCCCATTTTTCTAGAATTCCTTCGATTTCAGCTTTTGGAATCTTGTCGCGGCTATTATTTTGAATATCCTAAACATTATTATTACAACAGCGTTCCTCGAAAATTATTTACGTGTGGAAATTATAATGACGAGTTTCACTTGAATAGTTTGATCACATTTTGCGAATTGGATATGTGCATTTATTAGAGTGAATTAAGTTATTACGATGTTCAACCAATACGCACATAATGTGTGAAATGAGTGCATCTTGAATTCGATCAACTTGAATTGTTAATATTTTTTTCTGCTAAGCCCGGTATTTTCTGAAAGAGGATTTACCCACTTTGATTCTGCAAATTCCAATTATTTTCAAAGCAGAAACAAACTAATCCACTTTTGATTGCATCATAAAATATAATGATGAGTTCATTGCACCACGATACCAAAAAATAAGAAATATTGTATTGTGCCCACACTATTTTTTAGATATTGCTGAAATTCTATTCGAATGCATTGTGCGAATTTTTCTTTTATTTATCCAATATGTGATTAGTGGAGAAGACAAAAAAGACAACTAAGGAATGTTGTTGTCGTTATTTATCAAAAATAAATAGAAAATTATAATAACGGTGTTGGAACTTATTTTTACAAAAAAATTACAAAATTTTATTTATGATCCGAGTTTGTACAAGTGTCATTTTTGAAAATGCTATGGTAACCAGCCGAGTCGTTTCGGCTTGCTGGCCACAAATTATCAAGTTTAGTATAATATTAAATAATTCTGCCATTGAAACTATTCAATAGCATTTGTATCATGAAAATTATTTAATTCTCGAGTTTTTTTAAATCAACCAATTGCATGAAAAAAAACAGCAAACATGAAAGTACCTACTTCCATTGTAGAAAAAAAACAAACCTTTTCCGTATCTACTAAATATTCAAAACTACATCGAAAGTTTTCGTTCTAGAAATATATCCATGTAATTTTTTCAACAAGTGAGACCTGTCCAAGTAAGTTTAAACATTAAAGGATTGTTTGAATTAACTTCTCTCGGAAAACAAGCGCACGCTTCTCAGAATTTCTAACAGCCTCAATTACACACACACTCTTTTTATGTTCACATTTGACTAAAATTCATTCAACTATTACAATGAACATCCACAAAACGGTAAGAACTTGAATTCTGAATATCAAAAAAAATTCGAGAAAAAAACCATGAAATTTTGTCGAATGTCTAATAGACATCTTTCAAATTAGATCAACATTGACAAGTGGGTTATAAATATACACATATCTAGACATATGCGTATTTTGAAATACATATCTGAAGACGAAGTGACATGGCTCACTTGATGATTTTTGGGTCGTGTGCCAGTTGCAATTTATCGTGTATATACCCTCCCCATATTTCGCTTGTTTATCGAGGCAATAGGAACCACACCGAATATTACTCTTAGCTGAATTTTTGAGCATGTCGTTTGACGGACTCGAGAATGATTTCCAGCATATTTCAGTCATTGCTGAAAGGTCAACACGTGTCACATTTGCCGACGAGGTTTGCCGAATTGCGTTTTGAAAGCTGAGCTCAACTAGAGATTAATTGAAAGAGCTCATTAAAATCATTCTCACATATATGTTTTCGGAGAATAGGCGGAATATAAAAACTGGTTTTCTTAATCTTCTGACAAGTCCCGCGTAGTAAATTCATTAGAGAAACGGCAGAACAACTATTACTTTTCTGGTCGCACGTTTGTATTAATTAAACAAGTCCAAAATGATGTGAACGTACTTTGCATGTCACATTACACTTACGTCCAATGTAACAAAAAAGCAAAAATAAAAAATAAAGCATCATGGGTCCGCATGAAAATATTAAACTCCCCAAATCTCTATTTTGTGAATATAAAAAGTGCAATGTTTAATAAAAATGTGCCAACAGTTTAAGAAAACCACATCATATTTTTGCCGATTTCTAGCCACACATTATATTTGGCATTTCAAACGCGTTATTACTCCAATAAATGAATAAAATGATGTTGCTATACCAACGTTCCATTCAAAGTCATTAGACTGTGACTTTCTAGGGAGACGCTTTATTTATTGGGTTTTGAATGGCGTTCCGTCGTGTTTCACAAAATTATTTCTTTCTTTTGTTTATACAAGCATTTTTTTTTTCAAAAATTAATCCTCACAGCTATTTTTTTTTTGGAAAATTGAAGTGTTACATCTCTTCAAAAAGGTTTGGATAGACACAATGCGTGCTTCTTTTCATTGAAGCATTCTGTTTTATTCAATTCTATTATTTCGAGTTGTGGAAAGTTTAAAAATCAGAAAAAAACCTCAATTTATTATTATTTTCAACTAATTGAAACCTTATCAGATGTCACGTCTTCGATCGGACACCTACATCAAACCAGGTTCAGAAAGTAGTTTCGATAGCGATGAGGGTCCAGCAAGAAGGTAAAAAAAACAAAAGTCGTTCTCAAATTCATAGCAATAATCATAGGTTCGGACAATCATCAATAGAGTCATATTGTTGTATGGCCAATATTTCATTAAGGGTATGAATTGGAAGGAAATCAAAACGAACGCAATTTCTCTTCCAGAAAGCAATCATTGGCTCCGCTTTTGCTACGATCATTCAAGCGGTCATTACGTTCTATTCCATTCTCCTTGGATGTGGCATAACGATGCAAGACATACTCGTGTCGTTTGTGCCAATAATTACCGCAACTCTTGCGACAATTTCTCTCTCGTTCTCTTACCTTCACCAAAGCGCAACTTCGATTCGTCCATACATTGTTCACCATGTATGAACTTTTATTATTATTTAAACATATCAGCAGTAAAAAGAAGTTAATTTCAGCTTGTTTTTCTTGTGATGACCCTTCTTTGGTTTACCTTATATATGCTCGTCTATTTCCGGCAAGAAACCGCATTGGATATTGCCGAAAACCTAGCTAAACGTTCATCAATGTTTGCCGCACTTCTGAAAGAGGGTACTCGTAATTGATATCGATTACAAGCTCTTCAATTATTCATTTCAGATATCAAATATTTATTTGGTGGTTACCTAGTCCTTCAATTGTTGACCAGTATCATTTGCCTCCACTTTGGCATCGCTGTTTATTTGGTCTTGGACAATGTCGTTCGCTATATTAGCGCCGAAGGAACCGAAATTGTTTGAATCGAATCACGTCAAGCTTTAAGCTTCTGTACCGGTTCCATATCTCCCGATTAGAAACCGCTATTAAAACGCTGTGATTGAATAAATAATAGTTCATTATTAATTAGCTTATTAATATAAATTATTAGAAATGAAAGAAGAATGGCGAAGTTAATAATAATTGCATCGAAATACTGGCATTTTGGACCCGCGATGATCAATGAAAGAAGCTATTAGAAACTGATTAGAATCCACCATCGCAGTTTATTCCATCGAAGTATACTGTAGTAGCGTCATATCCAATCATGTCAGGTCTACGGTAGTCGATGAGAGAATCTTTGTAAAGTTCGCAACTGTTGAGGTCACCTGAGCATTCAAATATTCAAATGTACCATTTCAAAATATGATTAACCTTGTGAAATGAGGTTAGCTGACCGGCATCTCAAAGCATAGCAAGCGGCAAAGCAATCAGCTGGCGATTTAACTCTAACAGTTTTCAATAATCTTCTTCCGAAGAATGCAGTTTGGTAAAGAGCCGAATATGAGCATCTTCCTGCTGGTGGATATCCTGGAGTTGTTGTGGTTGGCTCTGGTGTAGTTCGTATCAACGGTGGCGGCATTTCCTTTTCGATTTTTTCATCGAATTTGTGAGTTTTGACTCCACTCGCTTTTGATTTCTTCGTTGTTGTTGCCGTAGTAGTAGTTGTCGGCAGTTTTCTTGTAGTTGGCTCATCAAGTTCTGCCGGCTAAATTGGATTAAGATGCTAGAAATTAAAAAATAATGCAAACCAGTTCCTCAGTTGCATCGTCTTCATTTTCATCGTCAACTCCTTCTGCTTCTGGTATAAGGTAATGTCTCTTCTAAAAGATATTTCAAATTACAGCTGATTTTTTTCCGCGAACCTTCTGAGGAATGTTCGATTTGACTGCAGTTTGTGTGTTTTTATCGTTTCTTCGTTCAGCCGAAGTAACAGGGATCACCGACTTTTCCTGAACAAAATGCAATATAGTTACGCATTATCATTTTTTACCTCAATCTCTGAAAGTTTTTCAAGAATTCTCGCTTCAACTTTCTTCATCTTAACTCGTTTTGGATCAACTTCTTCGTTCTCTTCTTCGCCGTCAAAAACCGCGTCTTCCTTTTCTTGCACAGTTTGATTAATAAGCTCTTCAATGGTTTTCTCGTTCATTTCTCTCAATCCAATTTCCTTGGATTCGAGCTTCTTATCATTGCCCGTTGATTTATCTTTCGAGGTTTCTAAAAAAAAATTAAAGAATTATGTCTATATCGAAAATCATACTAGATTTTTTCTTGTTGAGGATCAGTTTCGCTGTGGTCGTTGGTGTTGGTTCAGTGAGGACGAAAACTGGGGGATTTGTAGTGTCAGTGGACAATTCATTTTCAGCATCTTCGATTTTTTTAATCAGTTCTTTCTCATCAACCGCATGGGTTTCAACCGTTGTCTGATTTGAATTGGGGTTGGGATTATGTACATGCTTTATATCATTATCGATTTCGGCACTCTTTTTTTCCAATTCTTTATCAGCCTTCTCAATTTTCTTCAATAGAACATCTTGATCAGCAGGGTGAGTCCCAATTTCTGAATTATCCGCTTTTGAAGACTTTTCTTCGACATTTGCTGATTCTGTTGTTGCATCTGGTTCAGTAGTGGTGGTAGCCTTGGGCGGTGTAGCCGTGACTTTGCTGAGCTTTTCATCAGACTCTTCGATTTTTTTGAGTAGAGCGTTGGTATCGACCGTTTTAGTTCCAACCTCCTCAAGATTAGATCCAGTCTCCGACGTCTTCTTTTCCAATTCTCCATCGGCTTCTTCAATCTTTTTGAGCAAGGACTCTTCGATCTCCTTCACAACCACTTCCGTTTCCTCATTTTTCGTTGCAGCAGTAGTTGTTTCAGACTCCGTGGTAGTTGTTTCAGCCACAGTGGTAGTTATTTTTTCAGTAGTCGTTGTTGTCTCAATTTGTCCTTCAACCTGCTCAATTCTTTCCAAAAATTCTTTCTCGTCAAGTCGCGTAGTTCGAACAACATTGTTTTCAAGTTTCGGGGTGTCCTGTTTGACCTTAAACAATGAAAATTAGAACTTTTCAAAGACATAGACGTACTTCCACGGTTTGCCCTTCACTATTCAAAAGGTTTCCTTCAACAATTTCTTGTGAAATGGAACAAACATCTGATAGGTATTTATGACGTGCTGCATCTTAAATTTAACTATGCTACTTTTTACAATCGCTGGAGCATCTTACCTTTGTTAGCACAAGTCCATTCAAAGTAGCTTCTTGACTGATTCAAACTTGGCACAAAATTGAATTTTTCGGGGTTTGAGAATCTATAACAAAAGATATAAAATACGACAAGCATAATTATCAATACCTGTTTTGTTTATTGATAAGGCATGTTTTGCTATCATAATAATACAAGAATGAAGCGCAGTCATCAACGTAAAGCTTTTCGCCTTGAGCGCACTTGCATTTACATTCCTGAATTAAATATAATTAAGAATAAATTATTGTTATGTGTACCGCAGCAGTTATGCCAGTTTCAACAGCGATTGCAGTTCCTTCAAGCACAAAATCTCCAAGCTCAACGTAGCATTCATCTGAATTTACTATAAATATTTTTCTAGGAGAAATTTATATTTGAAAAATTCTGTTACCTCCATTCTTCTTCTTTTTTGGAGTCGGTGCAGTTTCCTGAACAGATCTTCTGCAGTTTGTCTTAGCCAAGTCAGCAGTACTAGTAACGGCCTTATCTGAACATGAGGCAAAATATCATCATCATCAGTTTGAATCATTTTTTACCTGTTGGGCAAGTGATACCAATGTAAGATACATTGAAGTTAACGACTTGTTTCTCAAACAATTTGCTCTTCATGAATCTATTTTCCAAGTTCAAAATACAGTCTCTTTCTATGTGATAGTAAGTAGCCGATGCACATTGGAATGGATACTTGCCAGACTTTCTCAAAAACGAAATTATTTATATTTAATCGAAGAGAACTGATAATATACTTGCTGTTTGCGCAAATGCATTGACATTCTTCAATTGAAACATCATGCTCCAGACCGCCAGCAACACTGACCATCAAATGATCATCGATAACTTCAAAGCAGTCATTTCTCTCTTCAAATTTAATTGAATATATGTATATATGCATTATTGATTTCTTACTAATCAAAGTATCTTCTTTAACTGATTCGTCATGTCCTGTTTCTTTTGATTTTGGTTCCGGTGCTTTTGTTGTAGTTGGTTCCGTTTTGCTGACTGGTCTCTCAGTTTTTTTCGGTGTTGGTCTTGGTGTTGATTTTGTTGTGGATTTTGGAGTAGTTGGTTTTGGCTTTGCAGTTGTTGGTTTTGGCTTCGCAGTAGTTGGTTTTGGCTTTGGAGCGATTTTAGGAACATTCTGAAAAAATAAAAGATTTTAAGATTGGTAAAAATGACAGGTAAACCTTTATTTTGGGTGAAACTTTATTAGTTTTCTTGTTATCAACAGCTTTCTAGAAATAATTTAAAGAGTTGCAATGATTTGAAATTTACCTTGTTATCGATCTTCTTTTCTTCCTTCTTGTCAGCTTTCTTATCGTTCTTCTTATTTTCTTTTTTCTCATCTTTCTTGTTCTCTTTCTTCTTTCCTGGTGCCGCTTCCGGCTCTTGCTTATTAGATTTCTGGAATTGAAACAAAATTTTACATGCATAATTGAAGAAAAAAGTAACTGCAATGAGGTAATTGGGACTTACAGATTTGTCTTCTTTAACTAATGTTTTGAAGTTTGGACAGAATTTAGCAGCAACAGCCAAAAGAACTGTAAATTGCTTGAATGAATGTATTTAAAAGATTATTAAAATACCTTCAACGTCACAGTCAACGTATTGATAAACCGTTTTACGCTGTTCAATTAAATCGTAATGACCACTATAATAATTAATAAATCATAGTAATTTCAAAAACCAATTAATTACAGGTGGTTTCCCTTATTCAGTGTACAAGTTCCGGCTCTGTATTGGAATGAGTGGCATTTGTATTTTCCGTCCTTGTAAGTGGCGGCGCACAAGCATCTATTAACTAATGCATTAATTCGATCCGACATATTTTTCTACACACCTGCACTCATTTATCGATGAGACATCGTGTTGTTCGAAATCCCCGCCTAACAGATATCTATGTCGAATTGTGCGATAGCAAATTTGCGACTTTCCTAGAAAAAAGACATACGTTCGATTTCATTTGATCTTGATTCAGTTAAATTCTCTTTCATAAATGGCCCACTATTGCAGTCATCCATGAAATGAACTGTCGGAAACTAAATTTGTTTTCCTTCGAAATGCAATGGAGATTGTAAATGTAAAATTAGGGAAAACGTCTCGCCTTGCTAATTAAATCGGCAAATCGTTATTCTACCTTTATTTTTCTTCTGGTTGTTAACGTTTCCGTCGCTCTGTGGAAGAGCAAGAGGTTCAGCAACACCAACACCTCCTTCTGGGATTCCGCTAATATTTGCCAGAACAAGACGAGTCACATATCCCTGAGCTTTTGGTTTTGGCAGCTTCTCTGTCTCACTATCTTCTTGAGGTCTATTTCCATTATTTGGTTCTCCAGTTATAATTCCAATCTAAAAAAATAAAATATCTAATGATTTAGGGATTTTTAATGTACCGGAACCTTCCCTGGACCCTCCTGATCAAGCTTATCATTCTTGCTGCTATTATTCTCTGAAAATATTTTGTTTCTTATCTTAATTTTCTCTAATTACTCACTATCGGAGCCCTTCGGACACTCATCCACACATGCGATTTGGATCAAATCACCATTGTTTGAGTCCGCCTCGTATTCCTTATATCTCTCAACATGAGAAACGCATGCAAGTGTGTATTCATAAGAGATTCCACAAGTTTTGGTGCGACTATTATAAACAGCACTTCGGCAGAATTCACGTTGGGCACAGAATGAGGCACAAGCGGCGGCAGAAGCTAGATTGATTCTAAAATGAGATCGAATTACTGGCAATCCATTCAAGCTTTATCATGACTGATGTGAGAAAAATGCTGGTGTTCAAAGTTCCTTCCGAAAAGCTTGAATCGAAACGCAACCATAAAAAACTTGATAATGGAAGATTTCTCTATGGGCAGCCACTTAAGCGGACTATCAAGATGTTTCGAAACGAGATGTGGATTAATAATGTTTTATTTATTTGAATACCCGGTATAGTAAAAGTCGATCTCAACAGCTTCTTCATATTTTATGCTCTTGGCGAAAAATGATGGCGAACATGTTGCTGAAAATTCATTCAATTTATATTACCATAATGAGTCTTGGTACCTTCAACGGAATTGAGTGCTAATAAGCCACAAAAGAGTAGGCCGCACCAAGTGTGAAGAGTCATTTTGTGACTCTGTCGGAGAATGGAAGTGATCTGCAACAGTAATATGAGACAATGTGAAACGGTCATCAGTGTAGTGAGATAAGAATTGGAACGAATCCGCATTCATGCGAAATTGGTCAAGAGCGGAGAGGGGGGGGAGGGGGTACTGAAAAAGTTTGTAAAAAACCAGCACGAATTTCAAATGAAGTGAACACAATATGCGCAACAATCGCAACGAAATCGGAATGAGAGAATGAAGGTGGTGTGAGCGTGTGATATGAGGTCGGAACGAACTGACGCTTAGCCACGGGGACGGAGGACGGAGAACAAAGCGGCGATGAAGCTTGGCGACGAATGCAATGAAGCCAGCCTGGCAAGCAGCATCCAGCAGCGAACAAGTGTCACCATATTGTTACTATTCGATCGCGGAATGCGATCTCGTCAAGCTTTCGAAACATTTCGCCTCATTGTGTGAAATAACCATATCTGATTGAATTCGAGAAGGGTGGCTTTTATTAGGTTGCGGGCGACAACACAAAAAACCAAGAATGAAGAATGAAATAAGGCGAAGTGAGAAAATTGAATATGATTAGTATCAACTAGAAACCAATGTTTGGGTGCAAACGGTACCACCTCCCATAATAGGAATTTGTGAAATTCTAAAATCTTGAAAGTCGCGAAAAATTCAGTTTAATGCAATAAATCTCCTCGAATTTTGTTAGCTACTTAATATATTATGTTTGAAATTTCAATTCTTCTAATAAGATTAACAAAATTTTGATTTGTTTTCTGGAGGATAACACCGTTATATTTCAGACACGCCAATTAAAACGATGCCCCGCTAAGGAGTAATTAATTTGTAATTACAACATACGACAGACAGAAAATATCGGCGAAGGGGGAATTAAACTTGAATAGACATACGGGATTAATGAATAGACAAGGGTGGAATGTTTTTTTTTTTCAATGGACGTTCTCCGTTCCCAAGTGAAATAGCGAGTTAATAGAGGTATCCGAGGGAAATGATGATGGAGTCGAGATGTTGGCGAGATTCTCAATGTCGTATTCTTCCGAATATAATCTAGCGGCTAGCATTTAATTCGAAACGGAACACCACAACCGATTTTCAACCGCCGCTTCTCTCGGTTTTCTTGAAACTGATTCGCCGAATGGATTGTTCCATATTTTCGCCACCCATCCAACGCGTTTTTTCGTCGTTTACATGTTGCTGATAAGATTTCAATGGAATGACGGAAAAACGCACATACACAAACACACGCAAAACCTCATTGTACACCTAGACAAAAGTGAAAATGGAACTGGGATAGAAATGGAAAATTCTGGCTTTAATCCGACAAATTGGGACAATCAAAGTCGCGCGCTGATAAGACGTTCACGAAATGCGAACTTTGTTGAAACATCGAGATCCTCACGGAGCGAAACTCGATTATGACCGCGGATAATTCATAAAATGATAAGAAAAGTGGATCGCACGCACTGATCGCCTGTAAACACTTATTCGGCCGTGTCATGTCTGATATCAATCCCATTAGGTATGCACAACAATTTGTTGACCCACTGCCGATTTCGACTATTTCCCCGATAAAGATATCAGTGTGGAAAAGTGGCGGAGTATAAAATTTTGCGATTTCATTCAATGTTATGCAAGATAGAAGAATAAAATCACATATAGTATTTGTGCAAATTTATATTTGTCTAGAAAAAAAGAATAAAATTACCGTAATTTTGCAACCAAGAAAATTAAGCACTTAATTTGAGCTAATAACTCCAATTCTTGCAGAATTAGGAACATTTCGAACTGCGATGCTTGAGATTTGAAATCCAAATCATGTAAAAATCATTAACTATACATTGTAAAATTACGTCGAGAGTGATGGTAATAATCAAAATAGAAATGATGGATATAGAAAGACAAAACTACATAATGAAAAAAATAATTCAACTGTTTTACAAAGCCTCTTAAACGAAACTCGTAGACAAGATGATTTCATTTTCCCAAAATTCATCGCCGAAAATTGCTAACAATATATTTATCCAAAATTGATAGGTGTCATGTTGAATTTATTATCTGATCGAAATGCGAACCGATATCAAAAATTCTCACCATTTAAATTTCGAAATACAAAAGAAAAATGTCGAAGTTGGACTTTGAAAAAGACATGTCGCACCAATTATACGCCAAAAAAGTGGTGCGCGAGACTGTCGCTTGATTTATGAGTTGTGGCGAAATTGCGGCTTCCTTTTTTTAACCATCGACTTGTTTCTTCGAGAAAATACCGACATGAAGATTTACACCTACGAATCGGATCTAGCGAATGAGGTGCAAATACCAGTTCCAAAGAAAATCCATGTCGTCGTCCTTTTTAGGAAATGACATACATGCATGTTAGGCATGGCTCATTTGTCGTCGGATATCCGCAGTGAATCTTTTAGCAACTGCATTATTTGTTTAGTAACAACAAAACAGATTTGAAAAATGCATAATGTGGGTGCAAATATTGGCAAGAAATGGAAATGTACAGAAAGTGTATGAACTTTCACGTGAGAGCACTTGAGGTGTTTCCTTCCCGACCCAATCAAAACTATTCGTGTTTACTCGTTGAATTCGATCCGATACTGGTTAATTTGACCGCTGTTTATTTAGTTCGCAAGCAAGCAAGCCTCCTTATAATTTCGATACGCATATTCGAGTGAAAGTTTAATGATTTGCTGATGCTGAATGTGTTCTTTGAAGAAATTCATCACGGCTTGAAAGAAATACAAATTTGACCAAGATGAAAAGAATTGACGAAATAACTATTCATTTTTGTGCAAAAAATGTTTTTAATATATAGAAATTTGCCTAGATTGAAAATAATTACATAAAATAATAATAATAATAGTTCTATTTAATCTAATTTCTTCTTTCTATTCTCTTTCTATTTTACTTTGCAATTCGTGCTTGGTATATTGATACATTTGACAATTGTTAATTTTGCTCATTTGACACCGTTTTGATAAATAATAATAAATATGATTGCATAATTAATCACAATGTCCCAGGTTTGAACGCCTCAACCATGGCTGCCGTGAACAAAGCCCTAGATGCTGCCGGGCGGAGTGGTGGAGGCGGTGGCGGTGGGGTTTTTGGTTTCATTGCAATCTTTAAATAAAATTAGGTTTTATTTTGTTTTATCAACCTACCTTAGCTTCTTTGGGAGTAACTGGGTTTCTTGGAGCAGCTACTTCTTTCTTCGGATAATAGTTTTCCCTTGAAGGACGCGAAGGCGGTCTTTTGTTGTAATGATCCGATTGATTTAGTAAAGCTGGACGAAGAGCCGTCATTTCCTTTCTTGGATACTCTTGTCTCTTGGGTGGTGGCGAAGGCGGTGGTCCCGAATTCTGCCTTTTCATGGATACCTCAAAATGTACACAATCAGATATGCTTTATAAATTGATTGAACGTTGCTGTGATCCGATTGATTAGGAAAAGCTGGACGAAGAGCAGTTATTTCCCTTTTTGGATACTCTTGTCTCTTGGGTGGTGGCGAATGCGGTGGTCCCGAATTCTGCCTTTTCATGGATACCTCAAAATGTACACAATCAGATATGCTTTATAAATTGACTATACGTTTCTCTGTTCCGATTGATTAGGAAAAGCTGGACGAATAGCCGCCATTTCCTTTCTTGGATACTCTTGTCTCGTGGGTGGTGGCGAAATGGATAAAGACATAGATGAACGTGGAAGAGAATATACCTAAATTAGCTACTGTATTATACTACTTTTCAAAACCTATTTAAATGATAATTTCTAGAGAATATGAATTCCGCCATACACTTGGACAATCTTGAGGTCGAAGCTGTGGGAGTATTTCCCACGCTCTCAGTGCCAATGGCGAAATCATGGATATTTTCGGATTTGCCGGCGGCGGTAGAGGAGCCGATAAGCATCTCATGTTGAAGGGAGAAGCAAAGTCTGCCGATGATCTTTGTGGTGGTGGTGGTGGTGGCAACGACGAAGCTCTCACATTATCATCAGATTGTTTTTCGCCACGCATCTAGAACAATATTTTATTTTAAGCGTTAAGTTTACTTTGAACACATGAGAAACACTATTAGGATTCTCATACGTCTTTGCGTGTATTTGAATAGTTTCTAAGAAGTTGTTTGTAACACAAAAAATAAATTCTTGAGCCAAAGACTTACCGAATCGTCACCAGTGCAATTCAAATGGTGCAACGGATTTCTGCGAACTGCTGGTGGCGGAGGTGGTGGAAATGCGAAAGTCTGGAAATATGATTACTGCAATATTATTTATTATTTTCGTCGTATATACTTGTTTCGTTTCTCGCGACTCATCAGTTTCTTGTGGCAGCGGAGGTGGCGGAGGTGGTGGAGGTGGTGAAGATTGCGGTGGTGGAGATTTCGGTGGTGGCGGAGGTGGTGGAGAATTCGGTGGTGGTGGTGGTGTTGAAACTTTTGGTGGTGGTGGTAGTGGTGGTGTTGAAACTTTTGGTGGTGGTGGTGTTGAAACCTTTGGCGGCGGCGGACGAAGAGATGGTTCCTGCTTCGTAAAACGATCCTAAGAAAATCAAGCTGTTTTTTTTTAAGAAAAGCAAACAAATGATACCGTCTTTATCTTTATGGTAATAGGGTACGGTCGAGATCGAGAAGTTAGTGGCTTCGTCCCATTCGAACCTCGCGGGCTTAATGGATTTTTTGTGTTTGCAGACTTTGTCATAATTCTGGAAGCAAAAACTGATTTTAATAAATAAGAAAATCGAAAAAAAAACAACTGAGGAAGCGAGACACGAGAATAACGACAATAAAAATATGGATAATTTTTCGACGCATATGCGCAAAAGTTGGCCACAGGCAGTGATGCGACCTCTCTTTTCTTACTATGTTCGCAAACAACAGCTGCGTGATAATGAGACAATTGTTTTTGGAGAGACGTAGTAACAAAACAAAATAACGCATTGGAATATTGAGATTAAATTACTTATGGAATCATATATTGATCGAAACGTGGAATGTCACTCCATGAGAAATATGAGGGGTTCTATGAGAGTCAAACCGAAAAATATGAAAAAAAACTGTTAATCTTATTTCCATGCATACGAATTAATTTCTATTTTTTTTTTAGATCGCCCCTACGAAATTACTAAATTTACAACTTCTAAGTTAAATATTCTAATGATTTACTTGAGATATCATAAAACGATTTTTGCATATTCGCGGGAAATCAACAATAGTTATTTTCCAGGTCACCGTGTTTCAAAAAAACACAAATATTAACTATAAATAATTAAGCATAAATATATTAAAATCTGCAGTGAGAAATAATAACTAGCATTTTATACTGCAACCCCTAAGCAAGCTAATCAATCTCTTAAAGTGGTTTCTGGATCAGGCAAGTGAATTGGATAAGAAACATTTATTAAATTGGAAAATTGATTAGGATAACAGTGGATGAACAAAAACCAACTGAGACTGCTGTGAATTCAAAAATGAAAGCGACGGCCACGGTCGATGATGGTTCGGCCGCATGTACGTTATAACTTCTCTCCGCTTGCCACACTCTCTTATCATTATTTAATAACCCGACATGCTGACTTTCGCTCTCCTCGTCATTAGTTGTATTTCTATAAAATGAAAACAATTGATGCCATAATTTAATAAAATGTTTTTATCTCAAAAAAAAACAAAAACAACTTTTTATTACAGAAAAAAGTCATACCTGAAATATTCACACAATCTTAATTTTTACTTGTCTCATTCTTTATGGAAAAATACAAATTAATAATTAAACTGCAAATGATTTCAAATGGGGGAATGAAAAAATGGCAAAAGAGCCATCGTGATTAAAATATACATACTAATTGAATTAAATAAAAAAAGCAAAATCAAATAAACCGTAAAAACAATTCGTATATTCAAAAAACAAAATAAATTTATAACAATTTTTCAAATTGTTATTTCTAAATTTTTTCCTTCTTCCTTGATCGATTCTACTTTTAACAACGAAATTTTGAGAATGCCCAAACACGAAAAAAAACACAAATAAAATTTATTTGGTGAGAACAATGAAGTCCATTCATTTCAGTTTTTTTTCCAATATCAAAGAGTCTATAATTTTCGTTCTCGTATTTTTTGTGATTATTGCTGCTAGGCATTCACAACTGCAGAAAAGAAATTATTGAGAACGTTTTGTTTGAAGAATTATTTCGATCGATGTTGGAGATTCCAAAAGCCTTCTCCGGTGACCGCACACTTATTGACATTATGATGGATTCAACAAAAACAGAATCCATGTTTAGAACAGAATACGATAGCAACACATAAGTATAAATAGTATATGGGTCTTTTATCCTTTGTTACTTGGATAACGCAATTTAACTATTAAAAATATAATGTAATTTATCTTGAAACCTATATATTTATATAAAACATTTATTTAGAGTAACCTGATTCATCTATAAGTTCATCGTCTATAAGTTTGAAGAGACATGAATTGGAGAAAAGCAAATTTGTGTTGAATTGAAAATCGTAACCATATTCAATTTTTTCTGACTATCATTTTTTGTAATATATAATTACGGATTTATTGTAATATTATGAAATAAAACATATTCGAAAAAAATAGTTAACATTTAATATGTTGTGCTCATAATTATTGAAGGAAAGGCATATTAACTGAAGAGGTTAAAATCACGATATTTAATGAATACAGATTTTTCAAAAAAAAAATTATTCAAAAAAATTATTTATCATCCACATGTTCTCAAAAAAAAACGTAAACTCTTTTTAAGTATTCGTATTAGCTCTAGAAATTGATATTTTGTTTTGGAGAATTTATCAATAGTCTGCAGCAAAAAAATGTTTTTTTTTTAATTAAAAAAAATTAAATATTTTGAAATCTTTTATCACTTAATTTTTGCAACAGTTTTTCCAACATTTAGCTGTTGAACATTGAAGACTTGTCACGTGCGGAACATTAAACACTTTCTGAATAAAGCAAAGAATCCTTCGATTTTTAAAAGTATATCTTGAATTTCAATTTTTTTAACGGTTCCTAGATGGTATAATACAGTAAGTTGCCCACAAATGAGAGATTTGAATAATTAATCGCCATTCTAGAAAAATAATGGATATTTCAAATCAATTTAATTTTGAGTTGACATTAAAGACTGAAGTCAAACTACACCTTGTGAACCAGCAAAGTAAACGTTGGGTTTGTAAAATTATTTTAGAAAAAGTTCGTAAAATTATTTAAAAAAAGAGTATAATTTTAGAGAAACACTTTTAAGTAAAAACAATATCAATTGATTTTTCAGCCAATCGGTCAGAGTACTCACAAGTAGACAGTTTGACGGGCCAAATGACGACTCCGTTCAGTTCAATCAAGATTTTATTCATCTTAATGATCAAATGTAACCTTTTTTTTTAATTTTTTTCCTCATTATGAAAATTTTACAATTCAAACTCATCCAACAAGCATCAGGCAAAAGACAGATTCATTACGAAAAAGGAAGAATTTCGTATTTTTCATTTGTATTTTTGTTAGTTATAAACACTAATTCAACTAGAAAAAATTTACTACAGTTGCTTTGAACATTAATAGATTTTCTATCTAATTTAACTAATTCTAGACCAATATAGACATTAATTTTTTTTGCTACGAATTGATTTTTTCAAAATAACTAAAGAGAATTTTCCATGGAGAAGAAAGGAGTCACAACGAGTATGCGATAGGTTAACGGCCAAACAATCAATGGCCGGGAACTGCGCGCGCGCGAAAATTTAAATTCCGCTTGTGCAGATGTTATCGTCATGTATTGTTAAGAGTACAATGTTGCGTGACCCAGATGTTTTTGACCGCTATGGGCGCGAAAATGAGCAGTATACAAAACCGCTAGCCGTTCCATTATTTCACATCATTTTGTTGTGCGCCGCCGCGTTGACTGTTTTCTTTAATTTCCTCACGTTAAAACATACTTATCATTTCAGGCAATGACCGGTGATCATAAAAATCAAAAAAAGGCTACATCAAATACCTTCAGACGCTCGAAAAAACGCCACTTCCGGCGACATCATCCCTATCTTGTGGTTAAGGATGAGATGGTATTACTGAATCGGTTCATTAAACAATATAGTTATTTAAGGACCAGGATGAGCTCTCTTCTCAGCCACCAGAGCCGGCAAAGCCTCAAACGTTTCAATACTCTTCACCGCAAGATTATTGTCCCTTTGAGCTGACAAAGGAGGTAAACTATAAAAACAATTAAAAACAGTTGATTATAATATCAGATAACGCCGCCACCTTGTGCTCCTTTACCACCACTTCGCAGCAGTCTTTTAGATTACATGGAGCTCCCTGAAGATTACCCGGTTAGTTTGTCTATGTGATATTTGCCGGTTTTCAAGTTTTCATATAAAATATGAGACCTCTGTTTTTAAGGTAAATTTTCGCATTGAGTAACACGATGCAAATCTACGTGTAATTTGCCACTGAGCCAATATTGTTTATAAAAGCAAAAAATAAAACTACTGAGATTAGGAAAAATTATTGCAGAAAATAGAAAAACTACGTACGTTTTTCATTAATTTATTTTCATACACGGTTCCTTGTTTGGTAAATGAACGCTTATTGGACATGACCTTTGCGAACATATTCTGAAATAATCTAAACCGCACAACTTGGCTCCAGGTTTTACTAATAACATTAACACGATTTGAAAACTATAACGAGTGTTCTTGGTTGAACGTTTTTTAGCAATGGAAAAAACTAAAATATTCAATGTCATTCCTTTAGGCTTTTATAAATATTTTATTTCAGATAGCTGTAAGAAAAGCACGAATGAATCGTCCTGGTGTGCCGCTTCGTCTTCGGTACATGAGAATAACCATGAAGAGAAAAATCAACGCATTGTCAGAGGACAACTTCACCAAATACCTTATGTGTAAAGGTCTTCAAAAATATGCCACAAACGAAATTGAGGAGAATGCCACAGATGAGATGAGTATCGAAAGACTTATTGGCGACTTCAAGTATCATTATCCATTTATCTTTCGAAATGTGGAGCCAATATTCCTGAACGTTCTTCGCGATTTTATGGTACATGAAATTCAACTCAGAATGTTTGACTTGGATTGGGATCGCGAACTTCTTCGCAAGGAATTTTTGCTTAAAACAATTAATATGCTAGAGAACGAAGAGGTAAATTGCAAGCGTCTCGCGAGATGTATCGAAAAGGTTGGATATTGTATGCTTAATTGTTGTTCATAAATGATTTTTACAGTTGCCAAAGCAATTGAAATTTCGGAATAGACCTCATCCAGCTCCTGCAAACTCTGATTCATCGGAGGACACAGATACGGACTCTTCAAGTTGTAGCAGTGAGGAAGAAACGGAAGACGATGAAATTGAAAAAACGCAAGACTCTCCGGCTCCATCTTCAAAATCAGTTGATCCAGCTCCTCAAGTACGTTATTTAAATTCTTAACTCAGAATATAGTCGGAATACGGCGACTAATGTGTGAGGTTACAAACATTCGTCTTTCGATATGATTTCATGTTATTTATTATGGCTTCTAGGGTTCATACCAACTCTTTTTGATTTTTATGTGAATCACTCAAGACATTTAAAAACTCAAAAAAATTGAAAAGAATTAATAACATAATAATTTTAAAATATAGGGCCAGGCAGAAAAAACAAATTAAACAAAAAAGAAAAAAGGAAGAAGAAAAACATCTAAACCCGGAAAAAAATAGAATTTTTATTTTCCACGCATTTGAATTTTTAGCATTGCTCCATAATTATTAACTTGTGGAATTAATTTCAAAATCGGAGTTTCTTAAGTTTGTACAAAATTTGCTTAAAATATTGAACCTATTTATATTATTCGAGTATATTCCTTTTCTCATTTGTCATCGTTAATTGTTCTGTTCCAGTTGTAATAGTTTTTTTCTGACATTCTCGACAATGGATTTAGGTGACCAAAAAATTTATGCTCGTCCTTCCAATTCCCGGAAGTCGTGCGTAGTTTCTCAGTGCGGCAAGGAGTCATAGCTGTTTTCTCGAGATATATTGATTAGAAAAAAACGACAACAGCAGCGGCATGTGGGCAGCACTTCGGCATACGAAGAAAAAGAATGAGAGAATGGGACAACTCAGTGCATTGCGATGCAGTTGGACTACGTGCCTTTCGATATTTCTCGATTCATCGGTCAATACGGATTCGTCAACATTGTTTGTGAGAAAAACTGTCTATTCGATTTTAGCGTCTCGCGCAGTGTAATCTCATTCGAGACAATTTAACTAGTTATTGATCGTGTCCATTTGATTTTTGATCTAATGATTTATCGAGATTGAGATGGCAGATATGGGTGATGTTTTGATTCCGCGAGTGTCATTCATATGCGCGTTTGTGTCCTTTTGTTGATTTATTTGCAAAAATCAACGAACTGCCTCAAAACTTGTTTGTCTTCGTTCGCAGTATTTCGTTTCAAGTTTCGCGTCAAAATCTAACCGCCAAACCTTTTCTTTTTTTCACAATTCTCAGTTCCATTAATTTCGATGAGGGAAAGGGAACACTAAAACACTTTTTAAATTTCCTCTCTTTGAAGTGTCGATTTTTTCTGGATGAGAGAGAAGAGGACTTTTCTATTTTCTTTTCTTCAACATGTAGACGTGCAGTTTTGCATATCAAAAAAAGGGCCGCGTAGCAGCTGAGCCGTTGTTGTCCCTCCCAACGCGTCGTTCTTCGTTTCTCTATGTGTGTGTTTTTTCTAGGCCATGTGTCTGCGAATCTGCCCTTCGCATAAAATCGTTTTTTTCCTAGCACAATACAGAGATTTGGCGAATCTCTCAGTTTCACATGCGCTCTTTGCCAACAAGATATGCCGGGCAACCAGTGTTGTAATAAAAAATATATCGAATCACTACTCTTATCAATGTTTCAGAACGCGAATATTTTGCATTGAGTTTCATGCACCTTCCTTATATATCAATTTTGTATGCATCTTTGAGCCCTCTCGAAATTATACAGTTACAGAACATGGCGACTGAGGAATCTGAGTTGAGCATGTCTGTAGAGGAACTCGAGTTCATTCGTCAACGAGCAATGCGTCGTTTGGATTCTATCGTTCCAACTGCTGGAAGAGAAGGAGATGAGATCACTTCTGACATCTTTCGTGGCCGTACTTTGGCAATTTATACTTCTGGAGGAGATTCCCAAGGTAATTACTGCTTGCAATAAAAAAAACGAATTCTAATGATAATTCAGGTATGAATAGCGCTGTGCGTAGTATCACCCGTATGGCAATTTACTGTGGATGCAAGGTCTACCTCATCTATGAAGGTTACGAAGGAATGATTGAAGGAGGCGATTTCATCAAGGAGGCGACCTGGAACACTGTCTCGGATATCATCCAACAGGTGCAAAATATCCTAAAATATCATTTAATCGTAATTAATTAAGGGAGGAACAATCATTGGATCTGCTCGTTCGGCTGCATTCCGTACCCGTGAAGGACGACTTAAAGCTGCATACAACCTATTGGTTCGTGGAATTGGACGCCTTGTGTGCATTGGTGGAGATGGTTCGCTTACTGGAGCTAACCAATTTCGTCTTGATTGGATTGACCTTGTCAAGGAATTGGTGGCCAATGGAAGTGTCACAAATGAACAGGCCAAAAAGATTCCATACATTCAAATCGTCGGTCTTGTTGGCTCAATTGATAACGACTTCTGTGGTTAGTTGGTAATCCCAACATTGAACAAACCTTTAAAAAAACTTTGCCAGTTTTCCGTCAAAACCGGAAATCATATATTAAGATGTTGTTTTCTGAATTAATGGATTAATTAAGATTAATAATTTACAAAATCGAATTTATTCCATTAAAATTATCAAAACAAAACAAATTATTAGAGTGAAAATTAATCTTTCAGGAACGGACATGACTATCGGAACCGATTCAGCCTTGCAACGAATTATCAGCTCTATTGATGCCGTAGTGGCTACAGCCCAAAGTCATCAAAGAGCTTTCATCATTGAAGTCATGGGTCGTCATTGTGGTTACCTGGCTCTGGTTGCTGCGTTGGCATCTGAGGCCGATTTCTGCTTTATTCCTGAATGGCCGGCCCCCGAAAATTGGCGAGACGTTCTCTGTGATAAACTCTCATCTATGCGCTCTGAGGGACAACGTCTTAACATCATTATTGTTGCTGAAGGAGCACTTGATCGTAATGGAAAGGCTATTACTTCGGAAGATGTCAAGACTGCCGTAAAGGAGAAACTGAAATATGATACAAGAGTCACCGTTTTGGGACACGTGCAAAGAGGAGGTGCTCCATCAGCTTTTGACAGACTTCTGGGATGTCGTATGGGCGCTGAAGCTGTGTTCGCTCTGATGGAAATGACAGCGGTATGTTTGAGAAATTGAATAAAATATGAATTTAAACTTGTTTAGGAGTCTGAGCCATGCGTTATTTCTATTGACGGTAACACAATGGTGCGTGTTCCACTCTTGAAATGTGTTGAGCGCACCCAAATGGTCCAAAAGGCCATGGCTGATAAGGATTGGGCAACTGCTGTTATGCTCCGTGGAAGAAGTTTCCAGAGAAACTTAGAAACTTACAAACTTTTGACGAAAATGAGAACCGTTGAGAAAGATAATCTCTCTGGCGGTCACAAATTCAATGTTGCTGTGATCAATGTTGGTGCTCCGGCTGGAGGTTTGAAATAATCTAACTGCTTCATTTTAATTCGACTATTTAAGGAATGAATGCTGCTGTTCGTTCATACGTTCGTATGGCACTTTATCATCAGTGCACTGTTTATGGAATTGAAGACAGCTTTGAAGGAATGGCCAACGGACTTTTTAAGAAATTCCAATGGTCTGATGTCACCAATTGGGCCATGTCCGGCGGATCGTTTCTGGGAACCCAGAAAAGTCTTCCAACAGAGGAAACAATGGGAAAGATTGCGGAGAACCTCAAGAAGTTTGGAATTCAAGCTCTTCTTTTGATTGGAGGATTTGAGGTTGACACTTTAGCTTCAATTTAATATGGAGGAACGTTTTTAGGCCTACCACAGCACGATCATTCTCGCTCAAAATCGAAACAAGTACGAGGAATTCTGCATTCCAATGGTGGTTATCCCATGCACAATCTCAAATAATGTTCCTGGAACCATGGTTTCTCTTGGATCCGATACTGCCGTCAATGAGATTTGTCAAATGATTGACAAGATCAAGCAATCGGCTACTGGAACCAAACGAAGGTTTGCAATAAATTTTTGAAACTTTTATAATGCTTTTAATTTCAGAGTCTTTATTGTTGAAACCATGGGAGGATACTGTGGATACCTCGCCACCGTATCCGCGTTGAGTTCTGGAGCTGATAACGCGTACATCTATGAGGAAAAATTCACTGTGAATGACTTGGTTGATGATGTCGAGGTAAGAGATATTTATATCACTCTTTTTTTTTTCCAATAACCGCATTTTTTCAGGTCATCCGCGCCAAGATGGAGGTCGGAGCCAAAAGATATTTAGTTATTCGTAACGAATGGGCAGACAAACACCTTACTACTGATTTCGTCCAGCATTTGTTTGATTCGCAAGCGCAGAAAAAGTTTACGACAAGAGTCAACGTGCTTGGGCACGTACAACAAGGAGGAAGCCCAACTCCCTTCGATCGAAATTTGGGAACCAAGATGGCTGCTCGCGCGTTAGAGTATCTTCTTATCCAGCTTAAGGTTGAAATATTGATTTTCCAGCTCACTTAATATGAATTTGGTTTCAGGAAAACTTGAACCATGAAGGAAAAGTGGTCGCTAACACTCCAAACACAGCCACGCTTTTGGGATTGAAGGGAAGAAAGGTGGTGTTCACACCAGTTGAGGAGCTTATGGCTGAGACTGATTTTGTACACAGACTTCCAAAAAATCAATGGTTAGTCATTTTGACGAAACATTTCAGAATCAACGATCAATTTTCGCAAACCATCACAATTGCCATTTTCAGGTGGATGAGCTTGCGTCCATTGCTCCGTGTTCTTTCCAGACATCGTTCAACTGTCGAGAGCTCGGCGATTCTCGAGACATTGGAAGAAGAGTCAGCTGATGATCACATGTTTTAAATTGTATAACTTTCAAAGCATTAGTTTGCCCCCAAGTTCTCATGATTGATTTAAGTATTGAAATGTTAGTGTGAATGTGTGGAACTTGTTTATGTTAAACATTCACCACAGCTTTTTTGAGCTTCATGAAAATTGATTAGTTTTATTATAGTTAGCTATATCGTGCATTTATGCAGTAAATATTTGTTCGTTCAAATGAAGCAATAAAAACATTTGTAAAAAGTTGTGAGAATGAGGATGAAAACAATCACAATAATGCGAGTCAGACATGTAGGTTGTGGCGGGCTCGGCTCGCGACCCAATTTCTTATCACGCTCTTCAAGATGTTTTACAACCTAAAACTAATGACGTGGTTTCTTAAATACGTATTTACTTCATTTAGCATCGATCCTTCTGGGAGGAATCCAAGATCTTGCTTAGCTAAATCCATGCTGTACGTATTGTCAATTGCAAGAAGTTTGAGTTCAGATACAGTCAAAATCGGTTCCATTTGAAAGACATAGAAGCAGATTCGTTCGTAGAATATCGCGAAAATTATCAGAATCGAAAATGGAAAGTAGAGCTTTGGGCGTCTTCTATGCAAATAGTCAACGATTGGATTCCAAAATTCAAACGCCCCACAAACTCCTTCGTCCAGTATATGATATGCCTGAACGTTTTGACATTTTGCATTTTATTTATCAAAAATTGACCTTTCCGTGAGGTTTGCCATCTTTTTGCAGCATCTCATCTGCCAACAAAAAGGCATTCACACAGTTCCTGATGCTGCTGTGATGGGTGATGGCTTCGCGATTGCCATGTATCGAAACTTTCATCATGAATAGTCCAGATTCAATTAACTTCTACAACCAAAAGTGTTCACTTCAAAGAGTTTTTTTTTCTCTCTTTTCTCTCCTCAATACTAAACTACTTAGCGCATTCTTACCACAACTCTTTGCGTAGTATGCGGCTCCGCTGGTCCGTAAATTCCACGAAAGCGTAAAGCACATGTTTTGAAGAACTCCGTTGATGATTTCAGAACCAGTTTCTCCGCCTCCGCTTTTGACCAACTATAGTAGTTGAGAAACTGAGAATATGATCATTTCTTGTGGTGTGTTAGCATTTCTATCTCACCACGTTCTTATCCGGATACTCAGTGGTTTCGGAATGATCATAAATCGGTTGCCCTATGAATTCAACCGCCACTGAGCCGGCGTACACAAAACGTTTGACTCCATGTTGCTGGCATTTTTTAATTAAAAGTCTTGTTCCTTCTATGTTTACTCGCACAATGTTGTCATAATCAACCTGAAAAAACCGATTTCCGGTTCAAAACCCCTCCTCAGATTCCGTTCTGCTCTCACCGCACTGAGCCCCATCATTCCAACAGCCGCCAGATGAAATACTACATCGGCCCCATTTAAAATCTCATCAAGCATTTCCTCGTCTATGAATGAACCCTATAGCAATATTATTTGTTTGTTTTGCGAAAATCTGATTTCCAACTCACTTTCTTAAATATTATTGCATCTCGATCGATCGAGACATCCTCGAAGTCTCTCAGAGCATAGTCGACTATATATATTTTGTAGTCGGTTAATAACTGCAGCTTAGAAATAAGATGAACACCGAGGTAGCCACCACCGCCTATAATAACGATTCTTCTCATTTTGTGAAGGTTTCGAAAAAAAATTCGAAACACTTTTATAACAAAATTTTCCGAGAAGCACGAAAACAATTGATTTTCGAAAGAAACGCCCAACAATTGCTGTGGGGCAGACAATGAAGGCAGACTGTATTGAACAAAAATCAAACTCTGACTGTGTGCGACGCTGTCTGCTCTTATTGCTTTATTTTCGTTCTTCTCTATTGAAAATTATTGGAAAGTCTATGAAATGAATAATATGAACGACAAATGTCTCATGGCTTTTTTGCAATTTTTTTTGTTTTGTCATCAACGAAAATTTTACTAAGTGTAACGTTCAATGAAAAACACCTGAATGGAGGAATATCGATGAATAAAATTATTGACATGTGTTATGTCATTTAGGGAAAAAAACAGAAAAATTAAAATGCCATTTACAAACATTTTGAACGAAAATTATTGGATTGGTAGAAGATTTTCAAGCTTATAATTAGGCGATTACAATGTTAGAAATAAAGAAAAAACAATACAGGGCGAATAAATGCAGTGTATGCCTCTTATATCATGATATTTTTGTGATATTGAGAAGAAAAATCCAGAATTTGTAGCTAAAGACGCATACTTTGAATTTGAGCCAGACTTTGGCGCAAATCGTATGAATATATAAAATCATCTGTCGAATTTTCATTTCTTTTTGGAATAGTTGTTTTTCTTTTGTTGTCAATGGATTAACTCTATTTAAAAACTATATGACTTAAAATGATTTTATAAAATTTAAGAAAAAGTTTCATAAGGGATGGACAGACGTCAATTTTTTCTCATTACTTATTTAATTATTCAAGAGTTTATTAAATAAACAAGTATTTAGTTAATTTAATCTAAAACAAAAAATAAGGTTGTCACTTGATTGATATATATGTAGATAAGTTTTTTATACCAAGGCATTCGACCTGTCCGCGAAATATTAACGTTTTCTCACGTTTCCAGGTCCTCAGCGCATACTCATATGATTTTATTTTTATCTGTTCTGCTTAGAATTTCTCTAGATGCCATATTTATTTTCAAGAAAAATTATGCTTTCATTTATTTTTAATTTATAAGGACTTTTTCTGTAATTAACTTTCACACTTACTACGCAAATTTAAAGTAATTTTTTACATTTTTCTTGGCAAAAAAGATATGTTTCATCAATCGATTCAATGAAATTGGTTTACTATTTAAATTGTTCATTGTTCGCTTGAAAAACATGTGATTACACAATTTGTGAATATTTGTTAATCATAAGCTATAAATCAAATTCCGAGCACAAGAAAACAAATTGAAAATGGCGTCAGACATTATCAAAAAATTAAATTAATCAGTAAGTAATGAGATTTCAAAACATTCATTATTGTGGTCTTGCCAACCACATCGCTTTTATTTCACTAGAGTACTATTATTATTTAAACCAATAACGCAAGCATAACTGGCTTAGATTTGAATCTTACAAAATATTGAAGTTTTGTCCGCTCAATGCCCATGACACCCTATTGAGCAACAGAGAAAACATGCTCTTTTCTTCTTTTTTCAACAATTTCGCGTTTCCAAAAAATCTCAACGTTGCAGTACATGCTTAATTGAGATTTAAGAGTGATGAATGAGCTGTCTTGAAATACTCAGAGAGATGCATGTTTTTTTCTGAAGCAAATCGCCCTATTTTTTCACAAGAATAACAATTTCCTACTCTTACTACTCGACAAAAACATTATTTTTTTTCTAACCCAAGCCAAAATTTCTATGCGAATTTTGTGCATTGGTCTTGAACAGTGATGAAACACTTTTTCTGCCAATGGGAATTATATGTATATAGCGTTTTTTTCATTTTTTTCATATTTATATTGCAGAAAATAAAAACTGCTTATGAATATTTTTTTCGATATTTGGATGCTTCATTGAATATGGATAGATATTACATATCCGTCATAAAGAGCTTACAAGGATTTCGATAATCTCTACTTCTTAAGTAATGACTAACGACTATGTATTGTGAAAATCGGATTTTAATTCATTCATTCAAAATTCTGACTTATTATTTTTCGCATTGTTTGACATATAATAATTAAAGCTAGTGTAACAAAGTGTGCTCGAGCAGGTGCTTTCGAACCCAGACATATTCCTTGATCGCCTCCCGCCATCGGCTGCTTCTCCAGCATCTATGCGTTTTCCTTTCTTTTGGTGCGCTATCGAATCCTTGCTCGCATTTTGTCCTCATTCCTTTTTTTATTGGCTACGACGCGCTTCCTGTGAAGCATACATTTTCGTGTTTATTGTATTTGATTCTGTTTCATTTTTCTCCCTAAGGTTCAAAACAAAAACCTTCTGCAAAACCGCCACCATGCATTTTATTTTATTCATCGTTCAATTCATTTTTTTTTTCACGTTTTGCGATGTTTGCTCAATGAGGTGTTTGCCAAAAACTTTGCTCTTTTTTTCAACGCGTCAAAGAAAAATGAGAAGTAAGAATGAGAAGACAAGTCTTGACTGAACTGATTTCAAAGTTTCCAATAAAACTGGAAAGAAAACCTACAATCTCTTTAATAAATTTGAGATGGCTCGCAATTTGAACCTGTAAAAAATAAATAAGAAAAAGCAGTTTCTATCTCACATCGAATGTGGAAATGTACGTACTCACATGCTCGTTTTCTATCTTATCCATTATTCATTGCGTAAATTGCTTTTTTTTATTCATTGCAGTAAACGTAGATATCTCCTCATGAAATAGTAATCAATGATCGCTCCACCATCGAAACTTCGACGTAATAAAGCAACAACATTTCAGCCAGCCATTCCCAAAGGTATGTGTTTCAATGAACTCTCTGCAAAATCATTTATACATCTAATTATATAGAGGAACTGAATTAAAAATCTCTCAAAGAGATCCAATTTCTTTTCAAAACTTGGCAAAATTCATGATTAGGTTTTTATTGACATTCTCTCCTATCCTCTTTTGACAAAACAACGTCTTATTGTTGCATTATTTATTCTGCCACCGAAATGTCTAGTCGTTGAGGGTCGAAATGAGCACAGAAAGGCAAATACCAATCTCGAGTAAATTGTGTCGAGGAATCCGTAAAGTTTGTGTTTTAGCGGTGTTCGATCTCCAACATCACTTTGTATTTTCGAAGCAAAAAGCGCCAATCGATGGGATAGAAGCTATCAAACGCGATGGAGCAGTTGTGAGGTAAATCACGAGTTAAACAGCGAGATAAGATGCTCTGAAAATAATCACAATTGAATTGAATTTCAGCTGTGCGCTACCGCATGTAATAACAAATTCAAAAATATTTTATAAGCTTTTCAAAAAGTTTTCTAGCATCCATAACAAATTTTCCATTCAGGATTTTTTGATTTGCGAGTTGCAGAAAATCTGCTGACGTTGAAACGTTGATTAAATTTGATCAAGCGCATAGTTTTCCCACGCCGATTTTTCGAATATGCGATTAGAAGCCATTTCGGCGGTAAAACTAATTCCTCGAATTTCTCGAGTCGAGATAAAAAAAATAGAAAAGAACGCTCTCGTTTTCTCAATGGCTAGATTACAGCGAGCATTCGGTAATAAAATATGTGAACGACGAGCGGCCAGATGAGTCTGTGGACGATAATTTGAACGACACGTTCAAAACGGTTTTGCGTGTCGGCATTGGTAGGGAACAATCCAAACAAAAGCTGAAAAAAAGTGGGTTTTTTTTAGCAGAACCTGAAATGGTGTACACGCAATTGTTGAAACTCTCTCAGTGTTATGAAGCAATGGCTAGAAACAATAAAATAATTGTGTTCACAGATGACATTTCGGTCCGAAAAGCCTTTAATGGTCTTGTATATAACTGTAACCTACATTAGAAATAATTAGAACTCTCGTGAATATTTAAAGGCATGCGCACCGGATTAGTTGCTGATAAACGTACAATGGAAATTACCGGGGTGTTATCTGTTACTGATTTCATTATGGTGCTAATGATGCTATGGAAATATCGAGAAAATCTCGACGAACTCAAAGGAACACCTCTCAGCCATGAAGACTTTCGACGAATGGATATAGCTTTCATGCCAATCATTAAATGGAAAGGTTTTCGTACAATTGTCTTTCAATTATTATTGTTCAATTAAGAGTGCTTATTTTCTAACGGACAACTGAAACCATTCATTAAAATTGGACTTAAAGAAAGGTAAGGAACGTTTGCAATTAACTCTTCTCAGTCTGCAGAGTTTTAACCTGCGCAAGTAGAGCCCAATTGATTTCTAGCCAATCTCGTTACAACCGCTCAGTCAAAACTCCACAACAAGCATTTGCTGCACACACATGTGTTTAGTGGAAAAAAGTGAAAGAGGGAAAATGTGCATTAACATTTTATCCAATGGGATGGGCATGTAAATAATAAAACACATTTGTTGCTTCAAAAGCCGAAAACGTTGTTTTTAGTATTAACGAGTTATTTTTAAATATCCAAGTCTAATTGCTGCAGTTAACAACATGCATTCTATTCTTCGATGACCTTATTTTTATCATCTACATATTTTTTTTGGTTTTTTTTTAAAGTTTTTTAGGTAGTTGCCCATATTGTAAAACAACGTTCCTAAAATGCGTAATTTTTATTTAAAAATGAAGTTGTCTATTATTTTCAGCATATTCCATGCTGTCGAACTACTTGCCCAATATAGGATTCATCGACTTCCAGTAATGGATGAAGACACTGGAGACTGCGCTTATATACTTACGCATCGTAGAATTTTGCATTATATCTGGAAACATGTAATATGAAGGTTACACGATGTATGTAAGACTATAATTTCAGCTTGCCCTTTTGCCGAAGCCGTCATTCCTTAATGAAAAAATAACAAAATTGAGTATGGGTTCCTGGCAAAATTTAATCTATGTATGTTTTCCTAAACAAACACAAAAATATATTATTTACAGGCCACAGAAGAGACCCCATTAATTGACTGTTTAGATATGCTCATCAATAATCAGATCAGTGGAATTCCTATAGTGGAAGCTGATACGCTTAAGGTTTGTTAATCGTCACGTTTTATTTTATAGAAATCTATTGTAGGTAGTTGAAGTTTATACTCGTTTTGACGCCGCCTCAGCTGCTTTCTTAAATCATATCGATCTCAGTGTTCCGGTAATGCAATCTATCGCTGAACGCGATAAAATTTGTGTAAGAAAGATTTCGAATCCCATTTTAGAAAAAAAAATATCTTGAAGGGTATTCGAAGAGACGGTGTCGTTACCGCCCATTATAGCTCAACATTTTGGCAATTGATTGAATGTTTCATCAATAAGAATGTTCATCGGATTTTCCTTGTGGACAGCAACAATGTGCTAAAAGTGAATAGAGTTATTTATGTTTATGCGAAGTGTAACAATTTATTCAGGGAATTATCTCACTATCTGATGTTACCGAATTTATGATTCTTCGCCCTCCAAAATCTCGCGAACAAACTCCACAACGTTGAATATCGGAATTTATTGTATATCTGAAAGCAACACCATAATCATCTCATAAAGAATCAAACAGTTTCTCATTTTTTTGTTAAATTAATTAAAAGTTACAATACTTTACAATATAAGCGTAGAGACAACTGTTCCGGTTTTAATTGAACTCTGATTTGCTCTCAACATAGTTTTGCTTAGCCGTGCGGCAGCTTTAAAAAAGCATATTTTGATTTAATAATTACACATAATATCCATTCCACATATTTATGTATGCTAAAATAGATTTCGCTCAAAACTTTTAGCTTCCCTTTCGTATTTAGGGGAAACGGAAAAGGAAACAACGAATTAAAGTTTCGGCTTGAAACGACTATAAAATATATTATTCATAATATGCGTCCAAAAACAAAAATGCGGACCCATGGAGTCCACGCTCTCTTTCGCGCACACTTTCAATAAACGCGACGGCGTCGAATCCATTTTTTATACAATTTGTCATTTTTTATATATATATATATTATTTTGTTTTTTTTATCACTCTAGCCACTATGTTCATATCGTTTAAAAAACTAAATGTCAAATTATAAATATGTTGGGTAACGCCCAGAAAAAAAAACACGGAAGTAATTTTGTCGATTTCTCACAGGGTTTTTAACAATACAAAAATTGTGTGCGAACGCCTGTAAATTTTCGTTAACAATAGAATTACATAAACAATGTTAAGCGGACATGTCATTTTTTGCAAAAAATAGAGGTTAATTGGGGGGGGGGTTGGGGAAAAAGACAATGGAAATTTTTCAAAATAAATTTGTTTTATTTACCGAAATACTAACGAAATGTAACTGAATATAACGCAACAACAAGAAGTATAAGAATATCTCATATGCGAGCAGATTATCATAATTTCATAACCTCGATAGAAAAATGCTCTTCAAATCGAGAGTCACGTCAAGCGCAAAATGAAATTTGGTTTTTAAAACTGGACCCGACGTGAAGTAAAACTAATTTCTTTTGTGAGTGCTTTTTCAAAGTCTGCCCTTTTCACATATTAGACACATTTCGAGTCACCGAAAATCTAACATAATTTCCAAACCACCTAAAATCCGTCACATGATGTTTTGATATTCGATCCTTCAAAATTTATTGATTTTAGTATCGTTTTCAAGTCGCACATTTGCACCATTTTATTCCAATGTCGGCACTTTTCATCACACATAAACATCAACACAAGTACCAATTGTCAATTTGCTTTATAACCTCGTGGATGTTTATTTCGAGCGCGTTGAACGCGTACCGATATTAATCATCAGTAGTTGTGCAATTGTTCAAAAAAAATGGATAAGATAATGGAAGAGCGACCCAACAAAATTTTTCAAAAATACGCGAGTAGGCGTTGCATGTTGAGTGAAAATAAATCAAACAATTTTCTGAACAGACACTCATTTTCCCTATTTTTTTTTCTTGCTATTAGCTTCTGAATAGTTTTCTTTTCAATCATTCGTGTTCACAAAAAATTTATTTCCAGCAGTTTAATAAATTTAGAAAGGTTTTTCCACTTAAAAAAAAATAAAACTACGCACTTTCCGACATTTAATGGTTTTTTTCAAACAAATCTCGAAATAAATAAATCTATTTTTCGAATTCTTGAAATCTTGAAGTTTTTTTTTTATCAAGAAATTATTATTAAAAAAGTGAAATTAGAATAAAAATTTGTTGAAAATGAACCCGAATATCAACAATTAATACGCATTCCATTATTTTTACAACACGATCTCTGCGTCTGTGTCGCGGGGTCCGATCGCCGGTTCGATTTTGTTTTCAATTCGTTTTGCGCCTTTCGACTAAATTTCCGGATGTGATTTCTGGCTCTCACACTCGACATATCCATCCATTCGTCCATCCATCTATCCAATTCTTTATCTCATCACGGGCACCCGTTTCACAAATGCAAAAACTCGCCGACAAAATAAGATACACCGTTTTGCTTCTGGTCTTTTTTCTCTCGCCATCTCGTGCTCCTCGTTCATATTTTGACATGTTTCTTCAACATTACTCAACTGATTGTCATTTCTGCACCATGGTTCTGGACCCACAATTTATTTTCAGCCGCACAAAAAGAACACTAGCTAATAATCCTAGCCATCAGCAACCCCCGTCCCAGATTTCATTGTTTTTCTTTCAGTTGTGTAAATTTCTGAGAAAAAAATTAATTATTTGTGTTACAATATTTTCGACATGACATCGACAATATATTCCATGCTTCCGCAAGGATTTAATATCCCCCTTCCTCGTTCCAGACCCACTTCTGAATGTGATTAATGGCCTAGCTGGTATATATTTAATCCTGAAAGGGCAATCAATCATACAAGATACTCGGTTTTAAAATTCTCCAAAAAATGATATTTCTCATTTTTATGAATATCTTGTTTTAATATTTGACAGGTGAAACTTTAGATAATCAAGTTTGAAAATATTACGTAGAATGCGCTCGATACGTAGCTTTTTTTGTCAACAATTACTTGTATTATTTTCACAATAATTGTAATAACATAATATATATATATATATATATATATATATATATATATATATATATATATATATATATATATATATGTTAACAATTAGAAATTTTGCGATAAATAGCTGAAAGAATTTTTTCAACGAAGAATTACATCGAAGAAATAGCTAAACAAATTTCGAATATTCCCGTTTCTGTCGAAAACTCAATTTGCTGTACCGTAATTTTTTCCCGAACATTCGTGCAGCACAAATCAAAAAGCAATAATGAAGAAGTCGAGTTTTGAGAATAAAACAATTGAATTGCGCTCTTCAGAACAAAATCAATTTCAATCTTGAATTGTTCTGTTTTTTTTTCGTTTCGTTTCTTTTCTTTTTTCTCGTTTTAAATTGCGAAGCGTTCACAAATACAAATTATTTCCTTCTGGTGTCTGCTCACTAGACATCAGATAAATTAAAAAGAACGTCTCCTTTCAGTAATTGTTCGATTCCGAATATGGTGAATTTTCACTAGATCAAGCCATGCGTTCAATGACATAAATCTACTTTAAATTATTCATTTTTGGAGAATAACCTGTTTTAGTAATTAAAAAAACCACGCATTTCCATTAATTCAAACGTGCTCGCAGGGAAAACATTTTTTGCGTTGATTTTTCCGTCCGCGATATTCACTATATGGGAACAACTCAAAATTTGAATCCGCTCCAAAAGCTACTTCATTTTTTTCTTCGTCGTTTTTTTCTTTCGGATTTGCAGCTTATTTTTTTGTCCTCAGGCACATCTCTGCGAATTAATCCAACGTGTTTCACAAAACTCTTTTCATGCAATCCGGGCTTTGTTTTTTTTTTTCATTTTTTTGTTGCAATTCGCTAGCTTTTTCTATTCTTTTTTCTTTTTTGTTCCATTTTTACTTTCTACATATGTTTGCTTCCGGCTTTTTATTCTAATTATTGTTATTCTTATTAGTAGTTGTAGTCATTAAGGAGCACATGATCAAATTCTGCAAATTTGCGTGCTAGTGAGCATATACCATTTCGGCTAAAACCGGAATAGTACATAAAAGTATAACAATGAAATACCCAAGGCAATTTCAATTGGAGTTCCTGCCCTCGTCCTCACGTTTTTCATTTTATGAATGCCTTTGAAAAATGTGTTTTTCTTGCTCTTCATCGCGCTTTTTTTCTCGTTTCCCTTCACTTGTACATCATCTTCCATTTTTCCTTTTTACGCTTATTCTTTCAACATCTTAGCTTATTTGTGTCGGAAGGTTTCCACTTGCCTTCACATAAACAATCGCCATCATCGTATTTCTGTCTCGGTTCTTTCTTCTTCATCGGAGCTCACTCGAGCGCCAAAATTTGCTACAAGATGATGAGCTTAGTCAGTTGCACTCCGTAATGGTGATTCGAGACCATAGGATGCCGAACCACCAAAAAGGGAAAGAGAGAAATCCACCTCTTTCCACCCCAGTGGAAAAAAATGCATCGGAATAGTTCATTCAATAAATCAACTTGATGCTCTTTTTTCGAGTTTACATACTTTAGCGGGCGCTTTCATTTTCAAGATTTATTGAACAAATAAAACACGATTTATGTCAGAGTGTTTTATGTTGTAAGTTAATCACCATTATTGAATACTACTTAAAAAACAGCATCTGCATATATCCCAGAAATGAAATTTTCGTAAATATTCTCATTTTAAAATTGAGAATTTTTTGTTTACTCAGGCTTTCCCAGCATCTTTTTATTTTGTGATCACATGGAAGATCACAAAATGCGTTGAGCTTGCAAAATTTTGCATGAACCCACTTGCTTCCGTTTATTTATTTTTGTTTTGAAAAATTTTAATAAAACAATTTTTCAAAATACAAAAAAACTCTCTCTAGAAAATTTCGGTCAAATGATTTCCAAAAAATTAATTCATTCAGTTTTTCCTTTATATTCAGAAACAAAATTCAAAAAACTGCTTCTGTCCCGTTTTTTCTTCCGTCGTGCATATTTTTCCATACAAATTGATTCATTATTCACGCAGAAGGCGTTTTTAACTAATCGCTCTTATTTCGCCACTTTTTTATATGAGGAACATTCTACATTTTGCTTTTCTTTTCTTTTTTTGAACGTATCATGTTTGTTTCGTTTTTTCGCCTACAAAAAATAACAATTGCTACGTTGTGATGGTATAAACAATTTTCAATTTTCTAGCCGAGAATTTCAAAATTGACTGATCAAATACGCGTTTGCACTATGTTACACCGTTAAATTCCCAAGTCTGGCTCTCGTGTAAAACATTTATCAAGTCATCAAAGTTGTATCGAAATCAGATCGGTGCCCAAATTCGGCGTTGTCATCCTTCTTCTTCATCTTCTTTTTCTTGGAGACATCCATCCGCTTCGCTCTCAATCCTAATCTGACGCCCCCGAATAAGGCGCAATTCGCGATCCCAGGGGAGCATATCAGGCGAGAAACGGGTATGCCGATTTTACGCTCGTGGAGCTTTGAGCTTCTCGAGTCACGTTTTTTTTTTGCGTGGCCTTCTTTGGGCCGGTTGCGCTGCATTCTTGGTTATAACGTTGTACACCGGATAATACCAAGTGCTCGATAAGCATATTTGAATGAAGTTTTTTTTTCGATTTGGTAACACATTTCCTTCAAATAAATTCAATTTATTTAGAATTTTCTATACGAAAAATATGAAATTTTATAGAATAACCAATCGGTTGCCAACTATAAATAAAAGAAGCGTTCATAGATTCTAAACATGGAGTGGATTTTTCTCAAAAATTTACTCTTTTTCGCCAAAGTAAATGAAATTATCCGAATGCTGCCGTTGCCGAGCTCAAATTTTTTGTTCTTATTGATGTTTCTTTTCTTGGTGCGCGTTTTGTAGCGAAGGTAATAACATACAAGTAACAAAAATAATGACATTTAAGATTATAAAGCTGTATTTAACAACTATTCGAACAAGTTCATTGTGCATTATTTACTCAAAACTTTGTCCAGTCCTACCTGGCCTCCCATAAATATTGTAGACCAGAATATTGTCGGCTTCAAAGTGTTTGACGAAAGCAAAGTGTTTTGTCTGCTCAATGCTCGGTCTTTTAACTGGATGTGTGAACCTTTTTCTAGTGCGATTGTTCCCTCTTTTCTTCTTCTGCGTATGAGAAAAAAAAAAGTGTATCACATTCCAAATTTCCATAAATTGCAGTGTTGCCACTAAAAACCGCAATTTGATTTTTTTTCTAATTTCTTTTTTTCTTTTTTGGACGCCCGTTTTTCCAATGAAACCCAATTTATGAATAATGTATATTTGTCGGACTTTGCCTCAAAAAAGGGGCATTTCTCCAATTTCGCGATACGTTTTGTGATGCCTTCTTTCCTTTTCAAATAAGTGTCCAGAATCCAACTGTTATTTTTTTCAGATATGATATAGATGTTCCAAAAGCTGCTGATTTGCTGGTTATTATGGGGAAACGTGGTATGGGCCTCGTCCGCCAGTTCCCCGGTGACACTGCACATCGGTGGAACATTTCCGATGGAATCTGGCTCTGGTGGATGGGCCGGTGGAGAAGCTTGTCTTCCCGCCGTCGAGATGGCATTAGAAGATGTAAACAGTAGACACGATATACTTCCCGGTTATGTATTAAATATGACAAATCATAACTCAAAAGTAATTCTTATCAATCAGTCATTTAAAAATAAGGTTTTTTTTTCAGTGTCAACCGGGTTTAGCAATGCAACAACTTTATGACTTCCTTTATCAGCCTCCAACCAAACTCATGCTTCTCACCGGTTGCAGCCCAGTTACAACCGTGATAGCTGAAGCTGCACCAGTTTGGCAGCTTGTTGTGGTGAGTAGAAAATGAAATGAGCGTCCCAGTGAAATATGCAGTGGTTTTTACCGACGTTTGGATGATTGATGATTTAGCAAACTTTTTTTGCATCCCAACAGAAGTGTTTCAAACAAAAAGAAAAACAGAACATAAGCATAATTAATGTACACTCTTCAATCACGTTGAAATATTGAAGAGACATGTCAGCGGACATATTCCAAAAAATATGGACGGATGACAAATTATTTATGAAAGGAGAATAAATAATGAATTAAAAGACAAAACATCATCTTTGAGAAGCCTAAAGTTCACCTTTTAATAAAATTAATAATTCTCGAAGTCAATGCTTGGAACAAAATTTTAGAAAAACACTAGTTTCTCTATGTGGTACTTCCAAATATTTCGTTATCGTTAGTTTCATATAAAATCACATTCAATGTTTAAAAATTGCTTTCCATTGATCTATTGTTTGCTTTTATATTGTGAGGTGTGACGCGACAAACTCTTTGGGGATTGGTGTATCATCTGATTGATGAGTTTCCAAACTTTGGTGTCAACGCTTGCACGCATATACAAATTTGGTCTTTTGGGAATAAGCATGCAGCTTATCTGATTGCAAATAACACGAGAATTTGTTATAGCTTTCCTATGGTGGCAGCTCGCCGGCGTTGTCAAACCGTGAGCGGTTTCCCACACTATTTCGAACGCATCCATCGGCGAACATGCAAAATCCAACAAGGTTTTCGAAAGGGTAGAAAATGCGAAACTTATAAATTGAATTTAGAATTCGTTTAATGGATAAATTCAAATGGAAAAAGTTTACAATATTGATGTCGGTTGAAGAAGTTTTTGTGTCAACTGCCAAGGATTTAGAAAAACATGCAAGACGCAACGGTATTAGAGTTGATCGACAAAGCTTCTATGGTGATCCAACCGACTCAATGAAGACTTTGTTGCGTCAAGACGCTAGGATTATAGTGGGCTTGTTTTATGTGACGGAAGCAAGAAAAGTGCTATGTCAGGTAGCAAAGGAATAATAATTTTTTGAACAACTTTTTGTCGTAGGCATATCATAATGGACTCTATGGTCGAAGATACGTATGGTTTTTCATTGGCTGGTATGCTGATACATGGTATATCCCGCCACCAGAAGAACACTTAAATTGCACCGCAGAACAAGTGTGTGAAATCGAGCTCGACTGATATTCGTATTGGTTTTCAGATGGCCAAGGCTGCAGAATTTCACTTCACAACTGAAAGTGTAATGTTATCGCGAGACGAAACTCCAGCGATTTCGAAAATGACTGGACCACAATTTCAAAAAAGACTTACAAAATACTTCAACAAGGATACAGCAAACGTTGGAGGATTTCCGGAAGCTCCCTTGGCGTATGACGCCGTTTGGTATGAAAGAACTTTGAACATTATGAAGTACGAAAATTGCTCATATTTAGGGCCTTGGCGTTGGCATTCAATTGCACTCGGCATAATTTGCCGAAAGGGGTGAAATTGGAAAATTTCACGTATGAGAATAAAGCGATTGCTGATGCTCTATTCCAATGCGTTAAAAATACATCATTTCGTGGAGTATCGGTATAAAAAATTATTTATAGTTTTTAAGAGTGCCGATATTCAGGGAAGGGTGATGTTCTCAGATTCGGGAGATCGTATTGCTCGTACTCAAATTGAGCAAATGCAAGGTTTTCGATTACAAAATTATTATTAACAAAATATATATTTTTTTTAAATTAAAGATGGAAAATACAAAGTAATGGGTTTTTATGACAATACAAGCGGTGAACTTGAGTGGTACAATAGAGAAAAATGGTTCGGTGGTAGAGGACCACCACCAGATTCTACTGTTGTTAAGAGACATGTCATCACAGTTTCAAACAAGGTACAGAAACCAAAAGTGCAAACGTATAACATTTTTTAGGTTTACTACCCAACTATAATAGTATCTTCCTTAGGAATTATTTTATGTTTATTTATTTATTTATTCACAAAGAAACATAGGACACGATTGTAAGTGCTTAAGGAAGGATTTAAAAAAGGTTTTTTTTATTATAGAATAATATCACAATCTCAATCGGAATGCAATAACATTTTAATATTTGGATGTTCACTTTGCCTTTTTTCTTTGTATCTTCTTGGATTACCGTCTGATGACATAGCGATTCCTGAAGAAGCCTTTACATTACTGTGCCACGTGGGGGTCTTTCATTATCTCTAAAACTCAAGTTTTCCCATTTTAGGCTAGAGTATCAATTTTACTATTTGGGTTCACATTTGCATACGGGTCGATGTTCGCAAAAGTATGGATTGTTCATCGAATGGGCGCTTCCGAGAATCAGCAGCTTGCGAGTCGTCAAAAAGATGAGGTAATCTTTTAGTAATGCTAAACTGCCACTATGAACAGTGTGCCGTGGAATTGAAATGAAATGAATCGCTTTGGTTCGATAAATATTATAATTTCCAGTTTAAACCATTGTTGAGTAATTACTCCGAGAAGGTAAGTGGAGAATGGGAATGAAATTAGAAGCAAATTTACTATCATCAATTTCATTATTTCGAGAATTAAACAAAAAATTCAAAATTGTGACTTTCGAGGAAACTTTGTAATGAATTTGATGTCAATAGTACTGATTGTACTGATTATTTAAATTTCATTCCATGTTTTGTTACCATTGTTGATTCATCTTTCTCATTTTCCCTATCATGTTTGAAGTCTTTATTTTCACTTTTTCCTTTTTCGCACTCTTGTAGATTTTTCCCATTTACTATAAATAAAACAGAGGTACTGTATCAACTATAATTAATAGAAATATGAAAAATTTGCACGGATATAGTATCTTTGTCATAGTGTTGGTCGTGGTTACGGGTTCTGGGACTTTTGGGTTAGAGGGGGAGTTTGAAAATATATCTAGCATGTCAATTTTTTGTAATGCGACTAGAACTGAGTAGCGAAATATAGTATGAATAAATTGCAAAAAATTGGAATTCATAGTAATAGCAAAATTTTTGCATTTGAGCACTTCAACAATTTTCAATTTTCAAGCACCGTTGTTATTCAACGAATGCACCCCGGCCCAATAAGATAACTATTGTGATTCATTCAACCAAATATTATTCAAAACTTCAAAATCCAATCGATGTACAGGAAGAAAATACTCCTTGGGAGGGTATTCGTGCACTAATTTCAACTATGGTCGGCCGCCAAACACTTGTTCGTAAATCATCCGGACAAACCTACGGGGCTCTGCTCGAAAAAAGGAACGCAGTACTCAATCAGGTGGTTAAATCATCCGATGCACCGATAACAAATTAGTATATTAACTTCTACTAAATGTGGTACTAATATGGAATGCCGATAACAAAACATATTAATATCAAATACGAACTAGGATTTTGTTTTGTGGCCGTTTTTTTCGCACTTCTCATCACTTTTATTACGTTATAATATGGTATTTTTATTTGAAACGCCGAGTCGACAAAAACATTGAGACTGATCCGGAACCGTAAGCCAAACTAATATTCATTTCACCACTCATCATTGCCTTCTTGCTGTTTTTGATTTGAGCAACTTAAACTAAATTGCATGTAGATCGCTAATTTTTTGCACATTATTCTTCTACATACATAACTCTTCTTTCTTTTGCTGTTCTTTTCTATCCGTTTCACCTTTTTTTCTATGCATGGGAATGAGTACTGGACTGCTGATGATGAATGCGCACAATTTATTTATCTCTAATTATTCTTTGAACAATTCGTCTCATTTCAGCCAATCGCTCCCGCAAAGTTCTACATCATAGTTTTGGCATTAATCGGAGTTGATTTATTCATCGTATCTGTTTGGATAATTTTTGATCCATTACAGTTAAAAGAGCAAAAGTTCCCATTGCATGTAATTTGTCCATCCTCGTTTTCCCGATAATTCATATATTTTCAGGCGCCTTCAAAAGGAGACGAAGATGAAATGATACTCCCTGTTTTACAACAATGCCAAAGCAGTCAACAGGAAGTTTGGATTGGTGCGCATTTACTTCTTTCTTGCTCTCTTTGACAGCCGTTACCAATCACATTTCAGCGATCATCCTTGGCTACAAATGTTTGCTTTTGGTATTTGGCATTTTTTTGTCGTATGAGACCCGCAATCTGAAATTACGTTTTGTGAACGATTCGCGATTAATCGGCTTGGCAATATACAATGTTGCTGTGGTGTCGCTAGTCACGGCGCCCGTAGTAACGTTGTTCATCCATGGCCAAGCGAATGCACATTTTGCATTCATAGCACTAACAGGTACAGAAATAGAAACAAAAGACCAACAAAATGTGGTTTCTTTTCCAGTTTTGATTTGCACGTATATCTCAATTTGCTTAATATTTGGGCCTAAAATACACAATATTGTGAAAGTGCCGCCGGGAAATGAGGAAATTCAACAGAACGGGGCTGCCCAGAGCAGGCTGTCAAGCGCGGATCAAAAACGATTTGATCTTTTAAAGGCGGAGAATGAAGCATTACAAAAACAAATCGAAGAGGTGACCCAGAATAAAGAATTAAATCGAAGTATGAGTTTAGAAGGAGAAACGAATCCATCAATGTCGGGAGCGTCTAGACTTCCTTTCAAGTCAAGAAGAGACTGAAAATTTGAATGTTCCGTTATTAGGAAGGAAGTTATCCGGAAAATCGCTAGCAGGTTAGAATAACTTAAGAATTTGTCAAAACACTCTGAAAAATCTTTAGAAGGCAAGGCAGCTTATTCGAATCCTTCTACTGCAACAACCACAATTCCTTTAATAGACTTACAAGGGCATGGTGCCAACCCGGGTAAGACATATTAAAATAATTTTTTGAACATTTAAAACGATAGGTCTTATTTCCGAAGAAGATGACCGATGCTCTACATCATCGGACGAAATTTTACTCTAAATAAATATTCACTCTGTCATATTTTCAATGTGATTAGATCTTATATGTTTCTATTTGATGCTTTGATATTTTTTCCCTCATTTATTTTGTTCTAACCCTATTGATTTATTCTCTTTCAAACAAATAATGAATTGATCTCGATTCGCATTGAATTTTGGTACTTGGATGTTAATAAATGGTTTATCAAATAAACAAGATTGAACGCGCTCATTTAGCAACCACACCCTTTGACACCGAATTGTATGAATACGGTTTTGTTGATCAAACATTACGGTCAAATATCTTCAAATTGGTTCTTTGTCGTCGATAAGAACCCGAATTTGTAAATCGCATTCAATAATCTGACGTCGTCTACTGTACGATTACAAAAAACCTTTTAATTGGCCCAAAAAATGTGATGGCATTCGGCATTTGTTTGCCGGCATTGAAAGAATAACTTTATTCAATGGTGCGCCTGCGCGTTCGTTATTTCAGACAAATAAAACAATGGAAGGAAAACAAATATTGAGGGCAGAGGGGGAAAAAAAAAGAAAAACCTTGTACCCTAAACACTTTGTAAATCCACCGAAAATTAGAATTTTTTCATTTGTTAAAGCTTCTTTTCAAAAAATGTTATTAAAATTTTTAAGAACCATTACTTCACTTTTATTTTAATCGAAAAGTTCCATCAAAAGTCCAATGTCCAATTCTTTTCAAATAATCGCAAACAATCATTTTTTCACACATCAAGGTTTTTAATTGCATGCCCATTCGCATTTTCGTAGAAAAGAATAAACAATTTCTAAAGGTTTTTTTATTCGGAATAGTATTGGCAAAACTATTATAATACACATTACATCGAAGACTAAACACTTAAACGCCTTTCCTAATACTTCTTGGTATGCTCAGTCTCTCTCGTGAGAAACGAAAGTATAATGAAAAGACTGTCTTGGATTTTTGAATTTGGATGAAATTTCGAATGGAAATTTTAAAGCAATGCAGAAAAATTTCTCATACATGTTCTCTTTTTATCCCGAAAATTCAATTCGTCGTAATCCATTTTCCATATTTTTTTACACGCAAGCATTTTCGCGAAATTCCGCAGTTCGCCAAACTCAAAACCGGCATATACAAGAAAACTCGTGTTCCGATGAAAGTTTGAATTACCGACATGTGTTCATAGATCGTGTCATATTTACATTCTTTTCTTCGCATGACGACATTTTTTATTTTCACAACAAATTCCTATATTTTGTAATTTTTTCTAACTTTCTGACGAAAACCAAACAGAAAACGTTCAAACAAACTAAATAGCTGCAGGCGGTCGCATTGCCCCCTCTAAATTTTATAAAATAATTTATATAAGTATTTTTTATTAATATGTTTATATTATATTTATTATGCAAAAATAATTAAGGAGACGTCCTTCGCTCTTCATGAGTTAGGTAACAGTGTTTTAAAAACTGCCAATTTCCTGAAAACTGATTAAAAAGGGAAAATTTACTTACCATTTTCTGATAATTAAAAAGAGCGACTAGCGATCAGGCTGGCAGTGGAGGTAGCCGTTGTCAATTCATTCTTGCAACCAGCTAACCACACTGCCTCCCGAGCACTGTCATTTTTAGAATAATATGTTAAGAATATGATTCAATAGCATATTTTGTTCGATTAAATTACATTATTATCTGTTTTAATTGCTCATGATTGGCTTAATTTTTTGAGGAAATTTGGATTACTCATAGACTTAAGTGACGAATGTCGAAGAACTTGAATGTGTATTTCGCGTGATTTCTCTTTAAGAATGCGTCGCAAGAAACATTGCAAATAGAGAAAAAAATAATAACAATTATTTTCTGAAAGCTTCCCGGCCATCGGAAATTTCAGATGATCATGTGAAAGTTGCACATGATGTTCGCGCATTCTCCATCTGCCGAAAATCAATAGAAAACATCACGACGATTTATCGGCACGAGTTGCTCACGTGACGGGGCAACAGCAAAAAAAAAGAAGAAAAATAGAAAAACGACACATAGAGAAAAAAGGGTGCGAAATGGATAGACGGCCGGACAAAACAGAACATGAGAACGCCAACGAAAAATAACTGGACGGGAGGCGAACAGAATGAATAGGCAACATTTAATAGTGAGTGAGTGGTTTTGTGTCATTACAAAATAACACTGAATGAAACCTTTTTTGCCGTGGTCGCCAAAAACAAAGTATGACAGGCAGGCAGCAAAACCTGCGCTGAACGCACACTCGAACAGATAGAAGAGAACGGCACAAAAATCTCTCCACCTCCTGAAAGTTCGAGATACCGCCCCTCTCTCCCCCCCTTCCCCTCAACTACCTTTTTCCCCTCGATTCTTTTGCCGTACGCGCCCCTTTTCCTCTCTCTTTTTGATGATGATAATGGTGTCTTCGGTTTGGGTTTCGTTGATGATGATGATGGCGATGATTAAGATCCTCTCTCAATGAACGAATAGAGAATGAGGTGGATGTGAGGCAAAAAGGACCACAATCGGGACAAGGTCTGCGCAGAAAATCGCGCCATCGACGCCGCGGGAGGAGTGCGCGCACGAGACTGGCACATGCGATCGAATGAATAAACGCAAGACTGTCGGACCGAATTGAAGGAATGACAGTCAACTGCTCGTTAATAAAACATGCGCTCGTTCCATTTGATTTCTTCTCATTCTCGTTTCATCGCCTGAACAGCCTGACCGAAAATTGTTGTTTGTTTCCTATCTTTTGAGGTGACGACACCCAAAAAAATTATCAGCAAAACATATGAGCATAGTTTGTTGGCAATTAATATGCAATCAACAGGCGATGGAAAAGAAACGCTCGGTTTATAATATTTTCATCGTATTCTAGAATGTTTATGGAAATAAAAATGTTAGACCTATGACGTATCAAAATGTTATTTGTATTCATAATCATGGTATTTGATATCAATTTCATTGCAAGTGTTCATCTTGTGGTAATGTTAGATCTTTTGTTCATTGATTTCAATTTTGCTATGATGATCATCTAAACGGAAGTGTAGTCAACGAAACATGGAAACGATTCAAGAGGAAAGCTGATAAATCTCAATTCTTGTCACCAGAAATCGTCGAAAGTCATACAGCAACACTGGTGTCGCTTTTCTTATCCATTGATATGAGAGGAAAGAGGCTCAAAAAACCTTTCAGTAAACATCAGGGGCCCCTACTAAGAAATTTCGCGAAATTGCGAAATAATGTGGAATCACGTCATATCAGAGCAATATGAGGCAAACATTTTGTAAAGACGTTTGGCGACATCTGAACAGGTAGGTGACAATCGTTCGTTGCGTTTTCTCTGCTAATAAATCAACTCACGTGAATACATTTGGAATGTTGAGCCATGAGCAGTTTGGCCGCCGTTTATGTTTGTGCATATGAGTGTGTGTATGTGGAACATTTTTCAATGCTTGGTAGGGCCAAAAAAAAAAGAACGAGCAGCACGCCAAAAAAACAAGCAACGCGCTAGATGGGGAAAACCCTTGTGACAAACACACAAATACCGAGCCTCCATTCAGTTTTGTGGCCGAACGATCGATCAATTTTTCCCCCGTGACCCGCCCGGTGTTTTCACAATTGGTTGAAATTTAACCTAGTTCCAAGTGGTCAGAAGATTATTTAGAAAAAAAGTTAAAACGGCTTGCATCGAACTGAAAAAGAAGCCAGGGCCGTCTTCATTTTCAAGTTTATAAAAAGTGCTAATGCACTTTAGATGCAAAATAAAAGGTCGTTTAACATACTAGACTTGAGAAAATCATTATTCCAATTTAAATATGCATATTCTATAATTCATAAAGCAAATAATACTTGTGGTTGCTTCGAGATATTTCGGTATCGACAAATATCTTTTTTTTTTTTGGGTGTGGTCGAGGAAAAGGTCGCCGCGAGAACATGTTTGGTTATTGTGGGATATAGATTTTCTGTTTTTTTTTTGTAGGTAAGCGATTGGAAATCGCCCTCCAAAAAACCACGATCGTGATATATTACAAGCAATAAAAAAAGACCTTCGACGGTAGACTGATTGGGAATGATTCGTTTGCAGAGAATGTTTTTTTTTTTCGATGAACAGGCAAATATTAGGGACAATTAAATTGAAATTCTAAAAACTGCGAACAGTATAATCTATTTATAAATATAAATAAATGCATATATAATTTGGAGAGATGTATTAGAGTTTCTAAAGTAGAAGTATAGATAGAGAGTTAGGTCCAACGACGACCATCATTTAAATTGCAGCTTGCTTCTTTTTTTTTTCTAATTGAAAGAAGAGACGTCGGAAATCTCGATCAAAGAATATTAACCGCAAATATGGTACCTTTTTGCTCTATTCATATCTATTTACCTAGCCAGGTCATACATACCTTAGAAACTAAAAAGGTATAAAACATTTTTTCGTCCAAAAGCAGAGTCAAATTTCACTAAAATCAAAAAGAATTTCTTTTTTTATGTGCCTATTTTTGAGCTTTTCTGAACGTTTCTTTTCAAACGAAAAGTTTCCTTGGCTACAGATATTTTACGATCGTATCCTCATGAATAATGGCTTATAAATTCCCGAGAAAATTTTCCAAACTTTTCAACTAACGAACAGTTTTTGTTTTTCCTGGCAATGTAAGAAAAAAAATATTGACGTTCTATTTTTTTTCGTGAATAATATCCGTTTTATCTTATAAATACATACGATATTCTCACGTAATATTTATCATGATTATACATGTTTATTAATAGATTATCAAAAATTATAATAAATAAGGGATTGCAATTAAAAACTTCAAAATAGATTGAGCAGTTTTTTGATGAAATTTTCTGAATCAGTCCACTTCACAATTTCGACACCTGTTTTATTTTTCAATTCGGCGTCTGTCGGCAACGGTGGCGGCCGCAATCCGATTATTCCATCAATAAACGTCGGCGATTCGATTTTCGATTCATTTTCGCCGGTTGATAAAAATGTTGTGTTTGACGTTTCGGCACTAAGCGAGTCGTTCCCCTCATTCGACTCTGATAAGCTTGCTTCACTCGTCGACTCATTTTCAGAGATCACTGATCCGGAACTTTCAAGGATCGTGTCTTCAGTAAAATTCAAATCATAATCCTTCTCGGTCAGTGGAGATATTGATGACGCTTGAGAAAAGTTTTCCTCAAAAAAATTTTTCGATTCTTTAGACATAATTGTCTCAGTTGAGGGATTCGATGTTGTGTCTGTGACGGTCGATGTTTCCAAATTTTCGTATGCGTTTTCGGTCGTCGGCACAAGAACAACGGTTGGTACCGGAGTTGTTGGAATTTTATCAGCAAACACGGTTGTTCGCTCGACAACCACCGGAACTTTCGGTTTTGGCTCCATTGTTGCGATGTGATGAGGAAGAATTGGTCGAATGTAACTACTTGGCCTTCTATCTGGGTACTGCGTGGGTGGGGTTGCATAACTATCCTGGCTCACAGTCAAGGAGTAAGAATTAGAATAATGGGGAAAATACACATCTTCCCGCGGAAAATTGCCGTTATAAGAGTTATATCCATAGTTTGGTTGACGTGATTGTCCATTCTGAAAAAACAAACAATAGTTATTTCATGATGTGCCATTCCCTTTTATGTGCACTATTGAAAGTTCATGTTTTCATAGTTATGCTAATTAAAAAAATCCCTCATGTTTTGCTTGTTATGCCGGAAATTTGGAGACCATCTTATATAAATGACGACACAAATATTCTAAAATAGAATTTGACGCGTAGGCGGTTACAGAAAAAAACAACAAAAAGAATTTTAGGAGGTGTTTAATTGGTTTTCCTGAAAGGTTTGTTTTATTGAAATTATATTGGAAATAATTGGTTTGAATATTTCAATGATATTTGGAGAATTGAAAATTCGTCAAAAATCGTCATGAATGTGTCAATAATTTTCTATTCAATGTTTGCAAAATTGTCGAATTCGTCATTTTTATTCAATTCAATCTACTGAAATTTGTCAAATTTGATTGGAAATGAGTTATTCGACTATTTTATCTCACTCTGATATATGCTTATTTTTTTAACTCGACAATGAAAAATAAATAAATTAACTGCTAAACTAACTGACTGATACTTAAAATTGTATGGTTATTGCAATTATTATAATCGAAAAAAAGACAGGCACACAATCGTATGTTTTTGACGCGGCAATTCAAATGTCAAGTTAAATTGTCGGAATTATGGTAGAGTGGTTCTAATACCTTCAAGAAAAATTCGCTGATATTTTTTAAATAAGAATAACGTGCTATTTTTTGTAATTGTAAGGAATAGCGTAACTTTAATAAATTTATTGAAATCGTTTACAAGCAAACTCACTTGGAAAAAATTCGGAAAGAACGAATCGCGTCCCCAATATGGTTGTTGCCACTGACTTTCTTGTCCATTGTCAAACCAACCATACTGCCTTCGGAACCTGAAAACATTGATAATGGTCGAAGAATTATTCGGGATGGTATCATTCTATTTGATTGATCATAGTCATGGGATATTATTCTTTGGTTTCAATTTAGTTCCGCGTTTTTTATACTTCATCTCAACAAATGAAATCAACAAAATATGAACTACTAGAAGGCTAACCTACTGTTCAATTGTTGAAAATTGATAATCATATCATAGAAATCTGTTTGTTCGACAGAGACTAAAAGATTTTAGCTGATGATTTAAGGAGTTTTAAGATTGGAATAGAAGAATAATTTTTTCGGCCTACATATGAAGTAGAATGATGATTTTGATATTATTCTGTTGTAAAAAATTCAATAAAAACTTCAAATTTTCATGAACAATAGTTATTTTTCAATCTAGCTTACTAACAAAAAAAAACAAAAATGTCATCACTATTTTTTTGGGTTCGGAATTTGAAATAAATTCAAAACTGGTTACAATGACCTTTTTTGAAGTTTCCATTTATTATCTGTAACGATCAGTTCAACATTTCCCAATATTGAGAAAGTATTACCTTCTAGGAAGTCCTTCAATTTGGTTAACTGTAATGAGTAGCAGTAGGGCGAACTGCATCATAAACTATAAGGCTAAGGATTCGCAACAGGAACGATTTCGAAAAAATGAAGAAAACCCGCGAGGTTTTGGTTGAAGATAGACTATGTCAAGGTTGCGGATTAATGACAGCATTTATTGTGCAAAAATAACCGCGAATCGTTTATGAGACATCGTGTTTTCGGAACAATTTTCCGATTAATGAGTCACCATTCTTTGTCAAACACAAAGTAGTCAATTCAGTGAACACTTCCCTTCCGTAGCAGTCATATCGTCGCTGGTCAACGACCTTTTGATATCAATACAGCGTATCGCAAAAAAAAATCGGCGAGAAAACTTGAATAGTTTTCAATAAGATGATAGTTGACTGATTGTGGCCCGCCTTTCGATTCGATCGAATTCATATATAATAGCAAATCAAAATCTCAACCGCATCAAAACGAAAATGACCACTTCTCGATTATTATTCCTCACCATCATTGGATGCGCCACTGCCTTGCCACTTCTTCGGTACTGCACCTATCTTTTTTCCAGTTGAAATAAAACGTTTTTTTTTTCAGAGAAAAACGAGGATCCTACGGGCCACCTCAGGGATACGGACCACCACAAGGACAGTACGGTCCACCAGTAAGCAACTATGGAGGCTATGTGAGACCAAGCGGAGGGTACGGAAGACCATCAGGAAGTTATGGACGTCCTGAATACGGATCTGGGGGATATCATGGCGCTGGTTACAATGGCGGACAGCCAGGAGGATTCGGCGGACAACCTGGAGGATTCGGAGATAATTCAGCCGGATTTGGAGGACAACCAGGTGCATTCGGAGGGCAGCAAGGAGGAGGATTTGGCGGGCAACCGGGCGGGTTTGGTGGACAACCAGGAGGATTCGGAGGACAACCAGGTGGTTTCGATGCTCATGCCGGAGTTGGAGCTGGACCAGCAAACGATCCAAACTACTCAACTGTTGGACAAGCCCCACCAGCAGCGCCTACTGATGCTGGAGCTCAATTATTCGGTGGCGGTGCTCCAGCAGGTGGATTTGACGCCACCGGATTTGCAGCTGATGGTAAGCCAAATCCGGCTGTTGGAGCCGCTGCTGCTGCTTCTCCAACATCAGATTCAGTCTCGGAAACCTCTTCAGTTGGTGCTACCAGAAAATAGATAACAACATTCGTTTTGAAACCTACGAGCTTTATTTCCAATTCATTGTTCAAATTATACGGCTTTTTTTTCAATAAAAATAGTGAAATTGAATATGTATTTCGTTTCTTTCAAATTTTCATCAAGATTTTCATTTAAAAAATGAAAACCTCCATGGCTCAATTAAATCTTCCCGCAGCATTCTTATTATGCTATATTTCGCAAGAGATTTTTTCTGCTAATTTGGACAATGTTTAAATCGTTGAATTTTCAAAGCGATTAGATATGAACTGAAACTTTGATGAAAAGAAACTTCATCTTGCTGTTTTCGGAAACCAGTAATATTTGTTTCCACCTATAAACAAAATGAAGTTGCCACCATTTCACTAATTATGGTGATGGCGTCATCGGGAACATATTGTGGAAACGATTCATTCGTTTTGAACGTTCGCTCACTCAATTAATCGATAGCTATAGTGGATTAGCGATATATAGTGAGGTTCTGAAGATTGACATTTTGAGTTTTTAAAAACATTGAATATTTTTGTATTTATTAGACAAATACTCATGTTCCTATCATCGATTTAATCTTTTTCAAATCTTAATGTACAATTTCTCGTGATTTATACAAGTTATTTTCAGTTCCAGGCGAATATTTATCGAATTCAATTATTAATTATAGTGAAAATGAAACTTTCGTGAAGAAAATGTTTTTTTTTTCCCAACTTGTTGAGATTTCACTTGCATTCATGTCAGTTTCATTTACGTCTAGTCATTGTAGACATCAGACTTTCATCCGTGTAAAATGTAAAATGTTCAAATTCCAATTCCGTAAGCTGGTCTCATCCCTGTAATGTTATTCTAAGAAAATTCAGTTCATCCAATTTTTATTCCATTTTCAACAAAATTAAATTAGCAATACCTCGTCGAGCAGACAATATTCCGCGAAAATGAGAAAAAAAAGTTAATGCGTTTATGTATTGTTCAGTCTCAATTATTATGAGTCAGAAGGGGAAGTAATACGTGCGTCAACACTTCGCTTCAACAAATTATTTTGAAATTTACCAAATCAAATCGTTCAGGCTATAAAATCATATTTCAAGAAAACAACGTTAGGAATTTTCTTAATGTATTCATGGTTAAAATCAATCGTCGAAGTAATTATTATATTTCAGTTTCCTATGTAAAACATTCAATAATTTTATTCTAAACGTTCATATAAACTTAAAATATTTTATGATGGAGAGTTTAAAAAATTGTTTTTAATCTTTAAAAATCTTATTAAAAACCTCACGTTGCATGTTTTTAAATTTAATATTGTTTTAAATTTCAGTATAATGAAGATTCTTTCTGTTTAATCCCATATTTTGTTAATCCGTATCAGATTGACCTACCCAAGGTCAATCTGTTTGCGTTTATGGTTAAGACCAAACATCTCTTTGAAATATTATTTCAATGATGTTTTTTTTTCTTTTTTAAACAGTATGTGAATTTGGCATTTTTTTATGTTTCAAAAGAGATCTTCGAGTGGACGATAAAGTAAATTCTCTAGTTTGATTTACATTTTTCACATTGGCGAGTTATAACAATAGTGGGTTGTCAAGCAACCCTGCCGAAAATGAGTCTGAGTTGAATATGATCTGATTGGGCCCGTAAAATGCAGGTGCCACTTGCGTGTCTTTCGCAATCCGGACATTCATTTTCCTCCAAAAATGTTGATATCTGATTACTAATGTGCGAGTGCGCCTCTAATTCACCAAGGTAACCGCTAGTCGCCATTTCTCTTCTGATGGGAAAAGCGTGCAATGGGCGGGTGGTGTGAGACGGCATTGTTGTGGCAGCGAATCCTTTGGATTATGGCTAACAATAGTCCTCAATGCCTATTTCCATTTGCTATCTTCTCCTTTTTTAGAACTTCATTCGATTTCGTTGAAGTTTGTTACAATTTTTGAGGTCCCAACAAAATGAATACGATTTGCTTGTAAAGCGTTGAGGATTTTCTTAAGGTTCTTGATGATATGTGAGCATGTCTGTGTGCAAAATCAAGTGGAAAACGTTACCAGTCAAAAAATCCTAATGTCTAAAGTTAAAGTGCCAAACCGCCGTTTTCCAGCAATGTAACACTCTCAAAGGTTCACATCAGCACTTTTATGCCCCAGTAGATGCTAATTACGAGCTAGAGGATGAAAAGACGCAGAAGAAGATTCACCGTTCTTCTGCATCTTTCTCCTCAAAAATTGTTATAATTTGTCACATTTTCGCAAGATGCCAACTTTTCGTGTCCCAAAAAAATTCAAATGTCTCTCAGGAAAAAATTTCAAACAAACAATAACGGAAATTTGTTTGACGGTGATTAAACCGTTCAAACAAATTTCTCCTATTATGACTAATTGAACACGTTATTATGTTCGATATTAATTTTGCTCGAAAACGTTTTCATAATGTTATTTTCGATAATAGCAAACACCTAGTTTATAAATGTTCTTTTTAGGATTTTTCTTTAAAAGTGGTCTTGTTGTTTCATTTGAATCCATTTGAACGAAAGTTGACTATATTCTATTACTCCCAAGTTTTTATTAATTGTCCCTAGAGATCCGAATGCGTCAGATTAGCAACGTCACGAATAAAATAACAATCAAATGAGAAAGTTAATTCCTTACGTATTTCAAAGTTAATAATTCAGAGACCGAATCGTTCGATCAATTTTCAGAAAGACCAACTTTCTTCACCGAATAAACTATTTTTTTAATGCACATTTTTTTTAACGTCGATTACGGTAGATTTCATAAGTTGTGTTATAAATAATTTATGCTAATTCGACAACAAATCGAATCCAGGTGAATTATTTTCTGGCTTATGACCAATATCTCTATTTGATTATACATATTCAACGAGAGATTATTTAACTCGTGATGCAGGTGCTTTTATTAGAATCCGTGGTTTTCCGGTTGATTATGCTTTTCCAGTATCCTATGCTACGATACCGATTTTAATCATGTGACTGACACATAAAATCACTCGGCATGTTTTTAGTTGCATCCGGAAATTGAATTGATACATGCGCTAAACCTTATTGGAAAAGCTTTATGTCCGGTGTGGGTGGAAACGGAATACACATTCAATGTTGTTTTGATAGATAATAACTGTGAAGGCTATAGATCCTATACAAATTTCGTCTTCAAGATGACAATAAATTGGAGCTTTTGCGCTACGAATTCTGTATCATGTTGCCACAAGAAGCACGCCTCTTTTTCAGTGTTCCTGACACTTTCCAATGAGTCTTATCATTTCAATTTGTTGGTAATTCAGTAGCGAATTATTTTCACTGTTTCATTTCTTCCCTTTCAATTGCAAACTCAACGTCAAAAATTATATGACTATAGACTTCTTTCATATTCATTAATATTTTCTCACAGGATGGTCAAAGGTTGCGGCAATAAATGCATCAAGTACTTCTTCTGGCTTCTCAACTTTCTGTTCTTCGTAAGTTTCATAATATTTTCTAATTAAATTGAAGATGTTAAGGTTCTTGGAGGAATCATTCTTGGGCTTTCTATCTGGCTCCGTATTGACTCAAGTTCATTGACAAATGTAGCGAATTCGGTTCAATTAGATGTTCGGTTTTTGGAGAATGTAATTATATAAGATACTGGAAAGTCGTAATAAGAGTAACTTCAGTTCTACTACTTGCTCTATGTTACGATTGGTATTGGTGCGGCTCTTCTGATCCTTGGATTCTTTGGATGCTGCGGAAGCTGCTGCGAAAGTGTATGCACGATTTCAATCGTGAGTTTTTAAAGAACTTCAAACCGCTAAGATAATAATTTCATATTTTTTTGCAGTACTTCATCCTCGTTCTCATTCTGTTCGTTGTCGAGATTGTCGCCGTTGTTCTTTATTTTGTTAACAAGCAACAGGTTTGCGCTTCTGAAATTGCGTATGTAAGTATTGACGTTTACAGCTTTTCGAAGGTTTCTCCACGATCTTCCGCAACGAGTTCGTGGCTCATTATAACACTAACGCCAATATTCAACAAATTCTCGATCAAATCCAAAGAAATGTAATCAGAAACTCTTGAAATAGTTTAGATAATTTTTGTTGATAGATGCAATGCTGCGGAGCATTTGGATGCAATGACTATCTTAGCTTTGGAGCTTTCCCTAGTTCGTGCCAATGCGCTACACTCACCCAGGTAATTTTTTTTTAGATTTTCTTAAACATTGTTGTAACATTGCAGCCAGGATGTGCTACTCAGCTTTGGAATACTTTGGAGAGCAACTTAATCTACGTCGGCATCGTTGGGATCATCGTTCTTGTTGTTGAAGTACTTACAACATTTCTGTATAATAATTCATAATAATTAAAATATTTTCAGATTTTCGCAATGATCTTCTCTTGTGTCATCATTTCAGCTGTGCGAGAGAAGAGAGCCAACGCGTAATTAATCATTTCAGTAATATTTCATTGATACTATAAGAGAATGTCCGTGGTTCCTTCATTATTCAGTTAATTTTTCCTCCACATAGAATATACTAAAAAAAAAGCCATACGTTTATCATTACTTTTGCATAGAATTCAATTTCCTCTTTGAAAATGAGCAAACTCCTATATACGCATTTTATTCAAACTCTCTAATGTTCTCACACTTTTTACAAATACACTAATTCAAATCAAGTCTTGAATTTTAAACATTGAATAAATTTATTACGAATATGGGAAAAATCTTTCGAAGGAAGGAGAAATGATAGTTAGAATGTTGAAAAAAAGAATATAATAAATTCTTATGCTATATATGTACTTTTATATGTAGATTCAGAACAATGAGAATTCAGTGAAGGGAATCATCACTGAATTTTGCAATCGCTTTCGTCAACCAATTCTTCATTGTTACTTTTCTCTCCGTGCCGACGCATTTTCAGTGACAAATGCTTGGTGCGTCTGAAAATTGCAATTTCAATTTTCGGGGAGCTTCTCGTTTGAGATACCTTATGATGCTGCTGCTACGCGAAAGTTTTGTGTCGTCATCGGCTTTGCGATCAGTTTGTTCTTTCTCTCTTCTTGGAGATCTCATCTGAAAAGCATGGATTTTTTTCAGCTCAGACAAATAGCATGAATTAATATGCTTAAAAAGGCATATTGTTTTAGTTTTCACCTATTGTTCAGGAAATAGAGGTGAGGTGTTCAATAAAAAGGAAATATTATAGAAATATTGGAAAATAAAAATTTCAAGTTAATGCTACGAGTTTGTTGAAAAAAAAAACAGTTTGGGCGCTTATCAAGTCTTCATGTTTGCCATTTCGTCAAATAAAAGGATGAGTCCTCAATTTCCTAGAATAAATTGATCGTACCACTTTAACGTGTTTCATAACTATGAATAATCACAATTTCCGGTTTGTAAGTGTAAAAAATTTAAACTTAGAATAACTGCAAAACATCCCCCCAAATATTAAATATTGTCCAATAATAGATTTTGCTTTTGAGGCAATTTGACAAACCCGAAGTGACAAGTTTCGCTTCAGATCGCTCATCATTGGAACAGCAAGAACTGGATGCGATACTTGTTTATCCAAATGTGGCTGTTGAGATGAAGAGGTCGAAATTTCCATTATTTTATCCTATTGTAAAGAAAAATGAGATTTAATCGACTCATTCCTGTGCTCTTATTTACTTCTTTGGAATCCTTTTTCGATTTTGCTCTCACCGTTTGCGCACGTCGCAACGAAGGGCTTCGATCTTCATCCTCCGGTACGTCATCCAATCTCCCGCCTCCGGCCTGAAAAAAAATGAAAAAAAAAATAAAAAGATCGGCTATCATCTGATGCAGATTAGTCACTTTGCACTTGGGAAATCCACTAAGCTCGAGCAGGGTACGAAAAATCTCCGTAATTCGAATGTTGTCCTTCGCAGAAACTTCAATATAGCGCACATCAGTATTTAGGCGACTGGTAAATGCTTTTGCAGTGGCCTCGTAAATCTGAGAACAGGAAGTTTCTGATGCGAATAACACAATTTTCCAACTTTTTTCGATGGCACATCACATTTATTTCCGACTACAACGATGGGCAGTTCGTTAAGATCTTGTCTGCGAGAGCATATCTCCTGCCAAATGTCGGACATCTTCAAATCGTGAAAATAGTCCCAACGTTTTGTTGATAGACAAACCTCCTTGAAACTCGTAACGTCGTCAACAGCAAATACCAAAAGAAATGCTGAAGCAGAAGTGATCGCGAGCCTTCTCATATCCGGAAAATTGAAATTGGTATCCAAAATGTCCAAAGGAAGCGGAACGCCCTTAAAGTTCATCTCGTTTGCAAAAAAATTGTTCGATCCTAATTCATCAAATCTAATCAAATCCTAATTGAATAACAATGTTTCCAGAAAAAAAAACAATTTTTTTATTTCCTATGATCTAATCTTCAACGACGTCATTTAAAAAAATATAATCGACCAGGAATGAAACTTGAATTCAAGAAATTAACTAAAATGAACTTTTTGCCTTTTTGATCGCACTGCTTCTTGCGTTATGCTTTGATTTTTCATTTCACATACGGAAATTCTTTCATTTTCTTCCGTTGTATTGAATTTTGATTAAGTCTATTTGGTTACCTGAATGCGAAATTCTCTTGAATGTAAGTCTTCGATCGTCTCCTTGTATTTTGTCGAATATTCATTATACAAATATCGACGAATAATACTTGTTTTTCCAACTTTGGCAGAGCCAAGCACCACAAGTCGATAGCGCTCTTCACACATTTCGGAGTCACTCACCTAGAACAAATAAGGAATACAATCCATTTGCTTCAATTTTTTTGTGGATTCCTATTCAGATATAATAATAATTAATATACGATAGATATAAAAAATGAGGGTGAAGTTAATACGCGCGGAGAAGGGAGAAAAGAATAACAAGAAAATCACACATGAATAATTTGAATATTGTTTGCCAAGAAAAGCGGGGAAACTTTGATTTATTAATGCAGTTAGTAACTGAAATGAATTTTTGTTCGCCTTGCTACATTTCATAGGTTGCCCCTTGATTCAGTTCTAGTAATTGGATATTTTCTTGTTCTTCCGCTAGCTTTATTGACCTTTGTTAGTTTTTGAGAGAAACACCTACCGTTAAATTTGTTGTCGTCGCCATCGTGGGAAAATTATATTTTTTGAGATGATCTATGCGAGGGCAGAAAACACGAATGCTGGTCGACACCTCTATTTCTCTAAGCTTTTTAGAGTTGCTGGAAGGATTAACTATGCCTCCAACAAAATCTCCGTATTATATTCAGTTAACACTCTTTTTCTCTCTCTCTCTCTCTCTCTCTCTCTATCCTTCATTAATACACAATATAAGATAATATTTTTTTAATGGCGAAATGAAGCAAAATAATTGGAAACTTTTAGTGAAACATAGTGAAATAATCACGAGAGCGTTTAAAAAATTACTGACGAAAGCTTATATAGAAACATCTGGCGGAACTTCAGATTGTTGATTGACATTCAAATGCATGAAGCTCTGCATTCAAATGGTAACAAGATTAAATCACAATCCAAAACTGAATAATGGAGGAATTACTCGCACACCTTTATCCACACCTGATTTGTGCAGCTTAGAATATTACAATATGAGCATACATCTTTCAAAATAATAAAAATGTTAGTTACACATAAAATGGAAAATTCAATTTTATGGCTTTTTGGTGGATACACACACATCACACTCTCTATCCCTTGCTTCCAAAACACGGACCACATTAAAAACGGGTGTTTCATAGCCCTCAATATGATGAACACACGGTTAATCAAATGTAATGAGCATCTCCTATGCAGCTCATGCTCATGTCGCGAACTGCAATTAAGTAAATGAAAAGCTATGGAAAAACACAATTATTGGAAATGAATTATTCTCACCAAAAGCCACCTTCAATTTCAAAATGAGTTTTTGACTAAATGGAAAATATTCCAATTTTTTTTTTCGTCAAAATGTTGAATCATCTGAATCGTGTCATTTGTGAAAGTGAATGATTCTCCCGAGAACTTCTAAAAATTTAATGCTTGGAAAAAACTTTGTAGATTTTATTGTCGCAACTAAAAATAAATTTTCTAGAAAAATATTCCCTTGGTTACTAGTTTGGCAACAAATTCGAAATTGTATCACAGCACATTTACAGAAGATATTATTACGGTAAAGTTTCTGTTGCTATCATCGATTACTAAAACATGTAATATTATATATGTAATAATAGAATAAACAACACGCTTATGATATTGGTATTAGTATAATATAAGTATTCCGGGAATCCGAATCACAAGACAAAAGAGCTTATCCGTGCAGCTTTTTAATATTCCAGACTCTCGGATATCACGAAAAAAACACATTACATTAAACGGGATATGAGAATATAACTGGACGGGCGACTAAATCATAAGCCGAAAAAGTATGGTTTGAAGAAATAAAAAAGAACGGCGGATGGCATAACCAATAAGCCTATATATTTTAGAATAAATTAGGTTTTCTGAAATTTATGGGCTTCCAACGCGAGTAGCAAGTCATATGGCTTGTACTTTTTCATTCGGAGTCCCATATCTAATTTAAAGAAGGCAGATAAAAAAGGGAATACCAAACCATCCATGCTAAACAATTTTTTGGAAGGGAAAGAAAAGAAAGCCCAATTTCAAGCTTCATTAGACATTTAAAAGAATGATGGAACCTTATCTTGCAATTTTCGCAATTTGGATCATTGTTCGATACGAATGTTATTGTGAAATGTGAATGAGAAGAGTATCAGCCATTCTTCTGATTATACCGATGGATTTGTAGCGCATATTATACTTACAAAAGCTGTACCACTCACAGTAGATGAGGATTTGCAGAGAAAAGAGAAAGGTAAGCTTGCAATGATGAACCTTGCCTTCAAATTCATCAAATATTCAACAAAGTCATTCTGTTTTCCTTTTCAAAAAAGTGTAAGCTCAAAGAGTTGCTCTAACCAAAATGCGATTACTATTTTAGCGATCAAACTTGTTTATTTCGATTGTTCGGTCCACTTTGTGAAAAATATTTTATTGTGGCCAAATGCAAATGATTATGGTTGTATTCAGTTTAAATAGTAGCTTTATAAATTCAATTCATTGTTTGCATGTTTTTTTTTCAATTCGGATGTAATATATTTTCGCATCCACTGCAGAATTGAAACAAAGAAAAAATGAATTTCAATCCAAAAAAACCAATGTGGAATGCGAGAGCATCAGTAAATACTGGAGGACGTTCAATTATTTATGAAGGAGCCATCAAGAGTTAATTATGAAAAGGATTAACACAGGCTTAAAGGTGGAGAAGTCAAACAGAAATTGACTTGATTTTGCTTAAATCAATCAGGCATGTACATACGATTTATTAGTCATTTTTTAATTAAATCTCGAAAATTGGATAATGCAGAGAATTGATTAGATAGGCAATATACTATACCACGAACAAACTATAATTCTTATCAAATTGAGTTTGCGCGTTTTGACGTTGTTTGAGTTTTCAGCTGTTAACTCAAAGTTTGGTTTATAAATTTAACTGACTGTGTATTCTGGCGTTTGAAAATGAATGAATGTGCTCTTAAATTTAACCATGTTAAACAAATTAGATGTACAAACTGCACATTCTATTCATTTAAAGTGCATATTTTTCAGAGTGGAAGCTTTAAACTACAATAGTTGGTAAACGATTCTCAATAAACATGAAATGAAATAGTGAGGTAATGGAGAATTTATAAAAACGTTTTTGTCATTATGCAAAAAGAATGCCATAAATTATTTATTCCTTCCTTGACTAGAAAACTTCTTCGAAATGAGCACTTGCAATATTTTCTGTGATAGAAAAATTGAAAAAATTAAATTATTGAACTTAGGATTATATTTCCAATAGAAGAATATAAATTCCTGAGAATATAAATCAATCCGTATTCCAGCAATTAATCTTAAAGGAGTATTCCGTCATGTTTTCTATATTCGTTGTGTTTTCTATTGAGATTCCGAAAAAAATCCCGCATTATTATGTATTATGTTTAAAGAACGCCAAGTTCTGTTCTTTATGCATTTACAAAAACCAATAGATCGCCCTGACATTGCATTTATAAGTTCAATAGACATAAGTAACCCACAACTAATAGAGGGAATGAATCACTTGGAGAATTAAACTACCAGAAGTATAAGATGAAGCATTGGTGAATAGTCTGACACGTAGAATAACGTGAAGCCACATGTGCAACAATTAAACTTGAGTATAGTTAATAAAATGCTAAAAGAAAGTGTGAAAAGAATAGTTTTTGGTTCCCGGTTCGGGATTATCAAATCACGGCTACTTCGATTCAACAAAAGATTGTTAAAGCAAAATTATAAAGATGGGCGAATGTGGTATGAAGCTTAGGCATTCTTGTCAACAAACGCCGGCGAAGCTTGAACAACATCTTTATGCGGCTCGGTAACGATATTATCGTCAATGTTTGACGATTCCTCACTACCCGATTTGGTCCTCTCCCGCTTCGCCTAAACCGAATATTATTAATATATGCTCCCAGCGGCCAAAATATATTATGCGATTCTCACTTCTCCATCACTACTATTCGACTGGTCCTCATCTTCTTCCTCTTCGTGACAGAATGTCTCGTTATCATTCAATGTCATACGATTCCAACCACGAACTGCAAACATGTCACACAATAATAAGAGTTACAAGATTATCGAGAAGTTTGGGACAACTAGAGTTACACATTTTTAGACTTAAAAAACAAACTTTGAGATATCTATCACCTTGTTGGCCAACACTTTCTTGTCTATCAAGTGTATTGGCGCGGGATCGAAGCGTGGCAGCATGATCAACAGTTGCCTCATGAGGCATACACTTCATTGGAGCACGGAAATAATAGAACGATGGATAGTGAACGAGATTGTAACAAGACGCCGCGTAGACATCGGCATATCTGTAACAATTAAAGTACTATCCATTCCTAAATGACGGCTACCGTTCAACTTGTGAGGCAAAAAATGTGGTTCTCCCACCAGTTCTAAAAAGACTTCCAAGAATTCCATACTCCTCGTCCATTTGAGTAGTCAATTTCTGAAATCAGGCACAACTCGTTAAGTAATGTTTGATAAATATTACTCGGATTTGATCAACAATATCTTTCACCACTGGCTTATGACGTGCCGCACCATCTAAATGTTTATAGATATCAGCTAAGCTTGTTTCAAGTGAGCCAAGTTGCTCAAACAATGGTTTGCTGTCTGTCCACACAGTGAGTTCATTGATAAGCTCTGGAACTACAAGGAACGTGCGCCATCCTCTCGACTTTTTCGATCTGAACGCAAACAACATCGGCCGTTTTAGTTTGAAGTACAAAGTTACCTCAAAACGTCTCCAAAAATGTGATCTCCTACATACAAAACTTCCTTTCCGCGACATTTCATCATTTTTTGGAACGCGTCACACGATCCTAAATCACATAAAGCAACTTTTTTCTTAACGATTCTATCTATGTTGTCTACCTCCAGAATACACAACATCTTCTCGAAGGGGACCAGTGTGGATTCCTAGTTTATACGATCCGGTTTCAATGTTAACCTGTAAAAAAATCTTAATTTTTTTTATATTTCAGCAGTTGATTTCGAGTTTTAATCGCTATTAAGCTAATATAAAATAATCTTTGTTCACGTGCACACTATCGAACTGTTCCAGACAGTACATAAAATGAGTGCTTCACAAAAGAAATGTCAAATTAATTGTTTCACAACGACATTTTGAATGACATTTTCTTGAGACCCCTCTTCAGCTATGTATAGAATTTGCACATGGGAAATGCAATTTAGGACGTCAGTAATCTAACGAAAATTAAATTTAGACTACAGAATACATCGTGTCAAGTTTCTAATAAAATTTTTTTAAATTACGGATAGAAATAGTAGAAAACAGAAATCCTAATATGTTTTGATTGCCCGAATTGGCTGACCTCTCTGAAAACACTTCCTTCAGCGAACCATCTCGGCTTACAAGCATCGACTACAACAACATTAAAATATGATCGCCACTCGTCTCCAAGCAAAAATGTCATCAAAACCTAAAGTTAATTTAGTACTTTTATAAATTGGTTTGTGTACATAATACATTTGTATATTTCCAATCACTGTTGGTCAACAGGAATGTCTTCTTTCCGTTCTCTCTCAATTGTCTTAAGAATTTCGATGCTCGGTCATCCGCAATAACATATTTTTCAGGGCTTGCCATGATTTTCGTTTTCATGTCGCTCTAAAAAATTAATTCATCTTTGACGTCTTCCAATTATTCTACAAACGTCAATATGAACCCAATCAATAACTCGGCGAAGATCCTGGAAAATCGATTTGTACGACATCATAACTTCGCCGCATCGGACACCAGTTCTATCTGGAAGCCTAGAAAACCGGATTCTAAAAATTTTACTAGGATTTCATACTGAGAAAAGTCGGGATGTTTGTCGAAAAAGTCGATGAGTTGGCAGATGAGATGAGTTTCAGGAAGATTGAAAAGTGTATTCAGCACATAAACACGGGAGTCCGACAAAGGAAGATATTTGTTTGGATAATGTTCTTCAATTTCCGTACTAAATTTTTGTTATTTCATCATTTTTTCAGTATATTTTTTTTCATAAGAGCGTACGATTTCAAGAATCGAAGTCCATGGATTCCTCCAAGAATGTTGCCGAATCCGTCGACTTTAAGTAAATTGCCATATTGCATCTCGAACCATAGTCCTAAACGCACAACACGATTTTAAACTTTCGATTTTACTGATAAGAGATTCTTCCAGGTTTGATAAAAAGAAGCATTAAAAGTTTAATGTTCCATTAAAACAGAGATAAGATTGGTTTGCACTCTCCAGCAAAGAAAAAAAATGATCGAAAGATTTTGGTCACTGATTGGCATTAGACTGAAATTAACTCCAATTGACCTCTAACTGGAAAAATAGGATCATATTTGAACGTCTTAATTTCAGAAGGGTATCCCGTTTCGATTAAACGATCAACTGCCATATCAAATGCTAAGAATTCCAATTCCGGAGATTTATATTCTAGAAAATTTCTGAATTATTTTTCAAATTTTCGTTTTATGAGCTTACGGATCAGCGTATAATCCATGTCAAATCCAAAGTGGGTGATCTTTTCAAGACGAAGTGGCCGATTGACGAAAACCCTGAAAATGAATAAAAGTTACGAATAGCTGAGGAATTTTAATTTTGGTGCGTCAATTACCTTTCCTCGACGTTATTACTGAACTCGGGCATTTTTTGAACCTAAACACTATGAGCATACAATTCAGGAGTTACTTAAAAATTATCAGATAGATAAAGATAGAAAATGTTAAGAATCAGACAGTTTCTGCTGAGCGATGTTTCTTGCAAATTGACAAGCGTAATGGTTCGAAAACTAGTCGTCATGCCATGTTTTATTCTTTTTTTTTTTCAAAAACCCAGCCTGTCCTGGAAATGGATGTAAATTTATTACTATCAGCAATGACAGTGGGGGAGGGAAAATGCGCCGATCAGACTTTTTTTCTCTAAATGCCTTCCAACCTTGAATTTTATTGAGGTGGAAAATTTTACTCACATTTTATTCGTATATTGTGAAATCGATTGCATGAAATTTTTAATATGATATACGCATGACTGACGGAAGAGGATGAACAATTATGTGGATTCAAATTTCTCTGCGAAAATAACTACTGGTATCTGCGTCGCTAAGTTCATTTTTTGAACATGACGGAACAAGATGACTTGGGTTTCTGAACCGATACCATTGAACACATTCTTTTACGATCCTTTTAGCAAGATGGTATGTCCTAAAGCGCATTAAACAAAACAAAATGACTTGTTTTGAGCCCGATGTCTTGCGACTATTAAAAAAAAACGTCGAGCGGAAATTAAATTTCACTCCACAATGCATTTTGATGCCAAACCAACCTTTCCGATGGATTCCGCTTGAACACCGTTTTCCTAGTTTCGCTGCTAGTCGCCATTCTATAGCTCTGAAAACAACGCGAAATCATACACGAAAAATGTGTCAAGAATGAAAGATTAGCAAAGAAGTGAAACTACGACAATGAATCGTCAGACATGTTTATGATACAGATTAAGGAGAACATATCTTCTTATCATTGTGAAAATCGGGAAGATATTCCCAACGCGTTGAGAAAGTACGTCGAGATATGAATTCGTTGCAAGAAAGAGCAGTACGTGAGAATGAATGACCCAGTGATCAAAATGTTGTTGTCACGCTAAAAACTTTTCGCGGGTCTATCTTTTGTCATCAGGTCAAATCACAAAACAATGGCATCATATCACACACGTTGTGAAAACAACAGGCCTAAGCGGATTGACGAGCAATAGTTTTCACGTGATGGTTGATCACAGTACGCACCGCAAATCGATATGTTGATTTCACTTGTCGTCACATCAAAAATGTTTCAGGCCGCGATGCATTGAAAAGCAGGCAAAATATGTTTCTGACGCAGTGCAATGACATTTCTCAACATTCTTTTACCCATTGGAATGATGCAAACAAGTTTGAAAAAGCGCGAGGAACGTTGGAAATGTCCTGTGCGAAACATATCACTAAGCCCAGATGTTTCTCGTGCCGAGCACGAAAATCTTTGCTGAGCAAAACGACGTGCCTATCATTATGCTCAATGGCGTTTATTTAGTGTACTTCTTGCAGAAAGAATATCCAGTTGCAATAACCATCACTGGAAGATTGAAAAGCTGCGAAGGCTCAATTTTGTACAATTGACAAATATTTCGAAAATTCTTTATAGGTTCTAACAAAGCCAATTTGAGAAAAAATAAATACTAAAACCTATTTACAAAGAGGGAAAAGAAACGGATGAATACGTTGGACGCAGACGGAAAGCAGAGAGGCAAACACAGCATTTAGCTAAACATCATGGGAGGAAGGTTTCGCTATATGTATTTTCCAGTGAGCCGTCTCATTTCCACCTTGCTCCGCAAAGCTGAAGAAAAAAATGAGCACAAAGGAGTTTTTGTGCGAAGAAATTTCTTTCCAAAATATTCGAAAATGATACAGAGAGAAATGTGAGCGGTTTAATAATTTGAGATGGCTCTTTTTTCTCCGACAATGCAAACATCAAATATTAGCGAAATACGGCGATTAGATTCATATTCGGACGTTATCGGTTGGTGTAATCAAAAAATAATACTGAATTTGATAGGCTTTTTTGTCGGCCTGGAACGATGTGCACTCTAGAAGGTGCGAAACGTGAGCCCAGCCTACGACAAAAAATCGATCAAGAGGCAAACGCGGCGAAGTGACGCACAACATGAACCGCTTGGGAATTATCCGGAAATATTGCATAACGGGTCACTGACATGACAAATGAAGTGTGTGTTGTACCATTAATAATAATTCCAAATTTTCTTAACGTCCATATTTTCCTAATTCACGCTTTCAAAAAGCTCACAATATTGCGAAATAGTTTACACAAATACGAGAACTTCAATTATTTTAACCATATTTTAACTATTGTTTTCTAATAAGCGAAACGAAATTCTTTTATTGGGAAAATAAACGTAAAATCTGCAAGGACAGTCGCTACAAATAATGAAAATTAATGAAAATTTAATGAAAATTTTCGAATAAAACAGAATGCAAATCGCATGAAGTAAGTTAAGAAATCTGCAGAAACATAACACATTATGGGAATTTTAAATATATTATTTTGATATTTCGGTTCGAATCGTTAAGATCATACTGTAATAATTATGAGTAGTATGTTTGTTTTTCTTCATTTGTTATTATTAACCATTAAGGGCAATATATTTTTATCAATATTATTTCTAGTTCAACAGTAATGCATATTTCATAAATATCACATTTGAATTTGACAAGAAAACGGGAAATTAAAAGCAAAACAAATGAGGGTTTAAGTTGTTGATACAATCTCATTGAAAAAGTAAAAAAAATTAAAAGCTGAAAAACGAAAAAAAAACAAACATTATGAAACTAAGACCCAAGGCGGATAATGCTCACAACAAAATTAAGTAATCACTTGCAAAAATTGACTATTTCGACATAATTAAGATGAGTTGAGATGACGGTGACTAGTAATTCATCAGAATATGTAATAATTATAAGTAGGAAAGATTGAATTAGAACTGACATTTTGGAGGGAACTGACAGATCAATATTACTAGCCAAACAAAAATTATACATATATCTTATATATATGCAATTAATTACCCCCAAAAAACATCTATTGGCTCACACATTGATATACATGAAAGTGATTGATCTACAAATTATTAATAAGAATACAATGTCATTGTTATCACTATTAACGGATGGGTCAATGAAAAAGTTCGGTTTTCAGCCGAACAAGGACAATAAAAGTTTGGCTTTTACATCAGAGCAGAATGTGCAAAAAATACTGGACTCTTGTTGTTTGAACCCAATATTAAATGAATATTACTCGTTTTAACAATTATTACAAGACAACAATGGGTTAAGCATTCTCTGGCTACTGGCGATATCTACGATGAAAACAAAATCAACAAAAAATTGGGAGAAAAAAAATAGTTCCACCTATTGACTTGACGATTCGGGATCGATCATTCTTAATCTGCCTATCAATTGCTCGCAAAGCAGTTCAGATGTCGGTGAATCGTTCGATAGAATCGCAAACTCGACGTGTGATTTCTGTTCGGGAGGTAGAACGGCAACACCAATTTCGACACCAGTTGGCAATGAGAGGCGTCGCATTTCTACAATACACAAAATTTAATGCATTGTGTTATACGAAAATCGAAAAAGCTTCTTTGGATTTTTTCTTTACTAGGATGTTTGTAATTTTGAAGCTAATAAAAAATTACGTTATAAACATCATTTTCTTTATTTTAGTTCGGGTTTTTCAAATAATTCCCATTCTTGAAAATCAAAAATGTTCATCTCCCCACTCCTCCCCTGAACACTGGATTTAAAGTGTTTGTTAATAAAATTTCAATCGGTTTATCATTTGTTTATAAAAATATTTATAAAAGTTTCAGATTACAGGCTTGATGATGTTATATCTTATATTTCAAACATCATAGGTTATATTTTATGTTCTACCATAACGACCAAAGACATATTTTTAAAGCATCGAATAAGATGATTTCGCATATAGCTTCGTATTTTGTACAGCTAATGCAAATTTTGTGAGTTAGACGAGCCGTGTTCAGAGAACAAGTTATTCAAATAGCTGTGTTAAAGCCTTTGAAAAATATGTGTGAAAAATAATTATATTAAAATAATTATATTTGTGCAAATGTTATGCAAAATAACACTAAAATACTTCTCAATCGAAATGTGTCCCTTTGAAAAATGTTCGTCTCATTTTTTTGCTCAACGGTTGTCTCAAAAAATATTTTATCTGTTGTGCAAATCTTCTTCAGTTTTGCACGCAATTTCACTGTTTTGAAAAATTTTCGGCGACACTTTTTTGCTGATAGCGATCTCGCACACATGTGAAACGTTATTGCGACTTCTTTGACATCAACTACAGGTTGAGTGGTTTATGAGAAAAATCTACGTTTGATTTACGTAATATGACATTTGAAACAATTCATATTTTTTCTACGGATCGATTTGTATGGGATTAACAAAATTCTCTTTTCAATCCCTTCAATTTCCATTTTTTTGTTGACATTTTCGTTAGCAACAACATTCTAAACCATTTTTTTGGTTTTTCAAAAGGGAAATGAGGCGAAACTGAAAATGACGAATTCGGAATTGTCTCCAAAATGAAAACAAATTGAGTCCGGAGTCCAGAGAGCGAAAGGTGTATTGAAACCTTTTAATTAGATTCTCGCCGAATTAAATTAATGAATTTTGAAAACATTGGTGAATCTCATTTCAAACCACAATTAATAATTTACCATGATCTTCAAAAACGAGCTCATTCGTCTCCGCAAACGGAATTTTTAAGCGATTCAGACTATTCTTCAACTCTTCAACGATTTCCGCAAACGGAAGTGACGAAACAAAGCTTTTAACTCTGTCATCCATACTCCTAGCTGATTGTTCCGGTGTTGACGTGCCAGAGAACGACGTAGATGAGAAACCAATTGCTGTAGCAGGCCTCTGACTGAAAACCATCTCATGAGCCTGAAATGACGGTTATTGTTTTGGCATTTAAGAATGACGAGCCAACCTTCCGCTCGAACATATTTACAGGATCAAATGACGAGGCGGATGGTGCGATGTTACGCTGCCGATTATACTCATCAGTGATCGATATTTGCGGACAAGCCAGCAAACTTCCCTCGTTCGTCGTTTGAGATTGAGCACAATTATAGTAAAGCTCTTTGAATTCCTTGTGTAATTGCTGAAGCTCATTATGTTCTTGAAGAGTTTCCTTGAATATTTTTTCCAGATGATTTTGTTGCTGCGACGATAGTGTCGGAGAAGCCCAACTACTTCTCCTCTCAGCCGGTGGCGCTTTCGAATACGGAGATCGATGGTATCGCGGTATGGGATTAAGAATCCCTCCACCCATCTGATTTCCTAAACTATGCACAGTATTTCGCTTTCCTCCATATTTGCTCAAATATCTGAACGACATTGGCAATTTTCATTTAACTGTTTTCACTCTCACGATATTCCTTCTTCTTCAACGGTCTCGGGAAACCCTAAAGATGTCGGAGGCAATACACTCATATGCTTTTGAATGTCGAAGTTTGTCGGAAACAAGTTCTCGCCCGCGGATGCTCTCCTTTCATCTTAAGCATATTAAAGTATTAAAAATTTATGCACTGAATATTTTACTTTTTGGTACTGGCAACATTTTTGAATAATCAAGCATCGGAATATTCCCGATGCCTGGATTCATGTATGGCGAACTGAACTCCGCTGTCTGTCCCTCGGGCATTGCAGCGAAACCAAAGTTTATTGGGAAGTTGTTCATTAGAGGTGATGCCAGTGGATATTGCGTCAATAAATTAGGGGATAACAGTTGCTCGCTTGCACATAAAGTGTGTCTTCTAAAATAACGCGTTTTTTTAAATCAATTTACGCCATGCTGGCGATTTCTTACCGATTTTCAAACCTAGAGATGGTGTTCGGATCGAGACCAGCGGGTAGAGCAAATTGTCGATCATGATTAACGGGGCGAAAAGAACTAGTTGAAGAATCATCACAGAGATCAGAACTCGAAGAGTCATCGGAATCCTGAAATACTTGTATAAGTAGAAATTGTGAGAAACAGAAATAAGGCGAAGCGTTTAGAACTCATGAAACGTGTAATTATGCGCTTTACGTTATTTTTTTCTGATTTACTGATTTCTGAAGTTTTTTTCAGAATGAAAATGCCAATTAAAACACTTGCTTGCATCATGCTCATTGTTTTTTGATCTTAACATTTTTAGTAATTGAAGATTTTCAAACATTCTGCAAAAATTGCGGTAAAGAAACATACACAATCTGGGCTTGATAGATTTAGTTGGGCAAGCTGATGGGCAGATATCGTTGGTGTTAAAGGCGGCTCATCGACGTTAACTTTTCCGCTAAGAATTGAACCTCTTGACCCCCGTCTTGGATACTCTTCCATTCCTTCCGTGCTATTTTTTTTCACCTTGTCGGCAAGGAGTTCATAAGTTGAAAATATTGAGCTCTCATAGTCTCGACGCATTACCGCCTGCAAATGATCGCATTAAATTTTAACAGCACCTCGTGCCTGAGAAAGTTTACATCAACAATTTGCTCCTCAGTCCACTTTCCATGTTGCTGCATGAAGAGCATAATAGTTGGGTTCAGCTTGTTTGTTTGCTGACGAATGTCTAATGAACTGGAAGGAATTGCGTCAAGTAACTGAGAGGAAGTGTTTCTTTTGATATCATTTGTGCCATTCATCCATCTAAAAATTGGGCAAAAAGTTGTATTAAACGAACCGGAAAACATCAAGTACCTGTGTTGTAGCACATTGTGTATGGAAAATCTTTTAGATGGGTTGAGCACAAGCATTTTTCGTATAAAGTCGGCACATTCTTAAATGTGATTAATGAAAGAAAAAACGATCAGGAAATTGTTAAATTCTCACCAACGGAAACCCAATAAGGAATTTTCACTTGTCCTGAGAGAACTGCACGTTTGAGCTTATTTATTGATTCGCTGGGAAACGGAAAACCCCCGGTGACCAAAATATACAACAGCACACCCATCGACCAAATATCTGCTTTCATCCCATCGTAAGACTTGCCTAAACAGAAAAGAAAGTTGTAAAACAATTGTGTTGAAAGAGGAATTACCTAATAATAATTCCGGAGCTGCATACGGAGGAGAGCCGCACCACGTATTCAGCAATTGATCAGAAGTTTGATAATTCGAGAAACCAAAATCTAAGAAAAATAATATAGTAAACTAGAAGGAAATGACGTCTTGTTTCCATACCGATTAATTTGATCACAGAATTTTTCGAAAGAAGGATGTTTTCCGCTTTCAAATCTCTATGTACAACTCCTTTTCCATGGAGATATGCTACTGCGGCGGCAGTTTGACAAAACCATCGTCTTGCTACATCCTCCGGCACTCGTCCTTTTTCAATTAGCGTCTCTAAAATGCGGCAAAAACGTATTCAGTTTTGCATTGAACACATTATCGTACCATATAGCTCACCCGATCCACAGTATTCCGAAACGATGTATATCATTGAGCCTTGCCGCATAATCTAAAATATTACCATATTTTCTTTTCAAGTACTATGTCAGAACATAAAAATACCTCATAGGATTTGACGATGTTGGGATGATCAATGATTTTCACAATTTCAACTTCTCTTTCAATTTTTATTAAATTCTCTTTATCAAGTTTCGAACAATCTATACATTTAATAGCAACCTGCAAAGATGAAATTCACGATAAATTTCGGCAATCGCTCATAAAATCTGCCGACAATCAAATGATCGTTAGAATCACCTTTGTTTTTGCTATCGTATGCCGTGCTATTCGAACCGTAGCAAAATTCCCACGTCCAATTGCTCGCCCCACATCATATAATCCAAGCTGAAACAAAAGCAATAAATTTTATCCCGAGGCCTTTTTGTCATCTTCATCTATCTTCTTCATCTTTCGCGGTTTTGTCACTTATTGCAAACTCCCACGCAGATTAAACTAATCATCACGAGATGTGCACGTAATGAGCCTAATTTTTTAAAATTGAAATTAGCCAATGCGTCAACTCGCACAATTAATTATAATTATTCGTTTAGAAAATTAACAAAAAAGAACATTTGATGAACTCAGCCCAAATGATTCAAACGAACTCTTTCATAATTAAGTCCAATCAACAATTCACATTCAATTTCTCCTAAAAACAGCATTTAGCAAATTCAATTGAATGTCAATAAGAATTTGATAAATCAAATGATATCATCATTTTTGGACAGGTTTTAGGCGGTGTATAGTTATACAAGGCATATTTTATTGAGAAGGCATCACCAATTACAATTGTGATTGTTATAAATCATTGCGCTGGTTTTTATCAAAAAATGTGAAAAATAAGATGCATGTCACTTTCTATTTTTAGAATCGCCGGCCAATTCGCCGACAAAAACTGCTAAATCTGAGTAAAAATAATATAATTGTTGACCAAACATTCTTTGAACTAAACATCTGTTTCCAAAAATAGATGCAATTTATAATCGAATAAACTCATCTCACCGTTTTCATTGAGTTTGAAATCAGAATAATGAGTGATTTGAATTGTTTTATATTATTTATTATGCGTGGTTTATGTACAATATCAAATTTCAGTGTTGATAATGGGAAATAATTGACTCACCTTTTCGAGGCCAACCCGCCTAGTAGGCGAAGCCATGTCGCTTATGGCGATTTCACGACAAGAATTAGTGCCGTAACTTAAATCGAAGAGTGCATAGAGAGTTGTGCTCCGCTACCAACTCACACACTAGAAGAAAGCGCACAGACTCATATGCACACACTAGCACTCACACACAGAAATGCGCTCACACGCAAGCGAGCGCTGAGGAATGAAACCAGCTGCTTCTTTTCCGTCTCTACTGTCCGACTCAACTATTCAATTTTCGCGCTCTCATACCGCTTCCATCTATCTTCAAACATTTTTCTCGGGTTGCGCTGCGGTTGCGCAACGCGTTTTTCCTGCCGCAAAGTTCATAGGCGCACTGGAATTCGTCAAGAAATAAGAAGATGTGCTGCATAAAAAAAAGGGCGAAAAAAAGATTCTGACTTCATTATGCATGTTTTGTCCGCCCTCGGTCTGATTCATCTCTTTAAAAAAAACTATAACACGCACATGCAATCTATAAATAATATACATGCGTGTATGGATCAGGGATTTGATGACTTATTTATTTCATTCAGAATGTGCATACGCGGATAGACAAATGCCAAGTGGATTATGAGCTAGAATAGCGTGGAATTTATTGAATTAACGAATTACAAAAAAATGATGCGACCCACGAGACAAATCTGACGAGAATATTATTACTTTTGTAATTATTCGCTGACAACTAGCAAAAAAATAAGAACAAAAAACAAAATATGAAAATAAAAATAGATCTCGAGAGATACCAAACTCGAACCCAGCAATAATCGAAACAGTAAAGAAAGGAGGAAATAAATTTAAGAAAACAAAACTAATTGCAATGAAAGAAAAAAGAAAAATGGTTATTCTCCTTTGTATAAAATCCAAAGACGTGGGCTCTCAATGTGCCCTGAACAAATATGAATTAGGATTGATCGTTCGAGCTTTAAAAACATACCTGTTACCCGATCGGATGCTAGGTACCCCCCATGATCAGTTAGTGTGTGGTGCTTCAAATCGGACCATTCCGCAACTCTGGTATGACAAATTGAGCAAACGTAACCGTGCTCATTTTTCATATGTTCCTTTAAACAATTCTAGTTATTGATTAAAATTGACCATAAAAATACCTCCATTTGGATAAATCGGTTAGCTTTGAAATCGCACACTTTGCATTCAAATTTGATGATACCCGTGTGAACACGTTCATGAGTCATCACGCCAACTTCGCTGATGAAGATTTCTTCACAGAAATGGCATTGGAAAGTTTTTGTAAAAACATGAGCCATCTTTTTATGTTTCCTGAGTTTTCTTGGTGTTAAAAACTTCATGTTGCAGAATGAGCATTTGAATCCAGAATTGACACCTAAAATTCGAAACGTTAACTTAAATTTGAATTCTGCATTAAACCTCTATGGAACTTTCTTCTGTGATTGAGGAGTCGCTGGTCTGTGACCAAGTTTCGTATAGGGTTGCATTCGAAGCACACGTACGTCTACAATATGTATACCATTATAAGAACAATGACAGTTTGATTTAAGTTACCAATTCACATTCATGGTTTTTCATTTCTTCATCATCTTGAACACACTTATAACACTTGATGCATTGTTGAAATTCTCCCATTTCTTCATGTTTTTTGGCAAAATGCTTCTTTAGCGAGAATTCGTTCCGGAATCGTTTGTCACAGAACGGGCATTGTGGAGAAACCTGAGAATTGTATATTGAAATTGAGGTTGGGGTCACACTCGAATAACCTTTTTTCGATATGGTCGTTTCACATGCTTAACGTTTCCGTAGTTATCATACCGTGGAGCATAATTGTTGTAATTTTCGCCTGGCAACGGAATCCTAAAATTTCTCTTTGAAATATAATACTTACAGTAATATAGTATTAACGCAATAATGTCAAAAATATAATTTCAACAACAGGATGCTTACCCCTCGGTTAAATAATCAAATGGATTATTGTCGATCTCATTTTCAGGCGGAATGAAACCGCCACTGGTCAATTCCTCGATTCGATTAGCTTCGATCTCTTCCAATCTTTGTGTCTCAACTTCTTCCTCCTAAAACTTGCGGAAGATTCTAATTTTATGAAGAATTTTTTTTACCTGTTCTTGGATATACACAGCATAATCTTTAGGGTGTTTGTCACGTAAATGACGTTCGTATATATTCTTCTCAATGAATCGATTTTTGCATTTTTTACAACGCAACATTTTCTGACGTATAAGTTTCCGAACAACACGAACATCGGTTGGTACATCGTGAAGGAGTGGTAGATCGAATCCGTCCTGCGAATCCGATAAAACAACACGTTGTTGCACTTCAGCTATTCGACATTTCGGAAGTTGATTCCTTGGTACTATTTTCAATCCATACTGATCCAGAATGATCCTTTCCTTTTGTGGAGCAGGTTTGTTCTTGTTCCTCAGCATAGTCAAAAGCTCACCTATAATCAAATAAATTGATTACATTCATTTGTGCTTAAATATCCTTACCAACTCCGGAGATGCATTTCTTTTTTGGTTCATCCTCTTTTCCCAAATTATGAACAGTCGTTTTCTGATCTTGAATAACACTCTTCTGGTCTGTATAATACGGATTGTATTTGCATTTCTCTTTGTCATCATCGTCTTCCTCATCCTCATCATCATAGTAACCATATCCTTGCGGTTGCGCGCTAAAAGGGAATTGTCAGTTGGTTAGCAAAATTAAATTAGAAAGATAAATGATCGGTATAATAAACCGGCAAATAAATATGGTAACACGCGTAAATGTTGGACATTTATTTCGAAATACACAATTTCAAAGAGAAACATTACTTCTTGAAGAAACACCCGTGATGCAATCTGTGTGCATTCTAAAAACGATATTCCTGGACTTACACGTAATCATAGTATTCTTCCTGTTTCATTTCTGTTTTGTTTGGAATGGGTGATTGTTCCATTTTGTAATTTGCCGGGTCATATTCCTAAAATCCGAAATTTTATCGCTTAACAATTACGGATTTACTTACATTTGCCGCTAGGCTATTATTTACATTGTATTTATACTCGACAACGTCGGTGTAACCTCGATCAGACATTTTGGGTCAATGAAGAATGCCGAACAAACAAGACAAATGCTAAAATTTCGAATAATTTGTAAAATAAAAACCGCGACGCGTTACGCGTCGCGTCATTCAAATTCAACTAAGAACCCTGTATTGTGCACTGGGTCACACTTGCAACTGGGGTGTAGATTTACAACAATTAGGAAGCCGCTATTATATCATTCAATTCCTTAAAAAATGTAATTTCTATCAAAATTTCGTGATATTTTTCTAATTTTCAATTCAGAATTACAATATAATTTTGATGTGATGTTATCATCCTGTTTGTGTAAAAATGTTCAGTTCAATTACATTAAAATTTTATCTGTTGCATCTCAGAAAATGGTTTGATGGTATAAATCATCACATCGTGTGAAAACGTTATTAAAACTATCATGATTTCTTTTTCCCGTTCTACAATAATTAAATAACATAAAAGCATTATGTTCAATATTTGCTAAACATTATTACGTACATATTGAACCATGCTTATTGAATACACATATATTTGATAGGGAGAATTATTATGAAACTGAACATAAATTGACGAATCTGACAAAAAAGAGGGGTCGAAAAGAAAATATATTAAAAATATAATAAAATAAATTTGTATGTCGATGTTTTTTATTCCAAAATTAGAATCGTGATCAAAATTAAATTTAGCGGTTATTTTATTGGCAAAAACGTAATAAATATATCTTAAAAAGTGATGTGTCAATTTGTAATGTATACAAAATTTTGGCCAATTGTAAGGTAACTTTTTTTGAGTTTTACTTATCCAATTCAAATTTTTTTCGAGAAGTTCTGGAAAACAACTTGCGGAAGAAACTGCACTTGAATAAAAAAACCATCAATATGAAAAAAAAAGTACAACACAAAAATGCATAATAGACAACTGGGTTAATTGAAGATCTACTCAGTGTTTGCAAAATTTTCGAATTTCCAATTTCTATCCAATGCAATCAGGAATAATTTCTCAAATTTGCCATCATTTAATTATGATCTAAAACAGAACTGGAATACAACTTACTGAATCGACAGCTGTATGAAAAAATGGTAGGCAATTGCTATAGCCGATCGATTGCTCAATACGCGTCCTTATGGTGCTATGGGAATGTTTTATTTTCATAATATCGACGGCAACCACCTGTTAATATATACGATGTTGTCTTTATATCATTGTCTCAGTTGTTCACCGATTGTCTGGTCTTCTTGCAATGTGAGGAAGTAGGTATTCTTTTAGTTTACGAAGAGTCATGAATGCTTTCGCATGGAGAACGAATTCTAGATGTTCTGCTGATTTCGAGTCAATAAATCTTCATTCCAGCACATTATGCGAGAGTCTGAGAACTTCTAAGTTGCGTCTCTTTGTTAGGCTCTATTTTGCTTTTCAGTATCATATTGCGAGAAAAACAGCTTAATTTAACAGATTGGAAATTTGGGTAGCTAAGAGCATCTTGAACATAAATGCCGCCTTGCTCTTCTCCTTCGATGGAAGCAAGTACATACAATTTTAATTCAAAATCTGTTATAATTATTTCTAGAATTGTTTTATACTTATCTAATGAAAACAGAATCACTGAACGTGTTAAGAAAATTTTTCGGGCTCTGGAAATTCAGTGACAGTTAGTTCAAAAAAACTGCTCACAGTGTCTCAACACGCATTAGTATAGAAAACACAATATCGGATTACAGAAGGCAAGCTTGTAAGTAAATACACTTATAAAAAATAAGAGAATAAAAAATGGTTTTATTCGTACATTAGATTAGCTTAAATTGTGTTTTTGTGTTATTAATGCCTGTAATGTTTAAAGACCTCTTATTGAACGCAAACTTCATTTTCGGATATCGCTTTTTTTTTGGACGCGATGCTCTAAGTTTGCTGACGTTCGGTCATTTTTGCGCGCGTGAGGTGCATTTGGTAGCGGGAGCTGTCAAGAAATTGCGCGGACACGATTATTCGACAACAGTTTTGACAAGGTTTGCGTTTTGATCCGCTCATCATTTCGATTTGATCACAACTGACCGCGAGGTGTCTTCACAGATAATGCGAGTGATATTCGTTATATTTTTATCTATGATTGTCTCATCTGATGCTTTTCTATGGTTACCATTTGTAAGTTATTTCATTTATTACTGTTGTATGCCTACGTTTTAGGCAAATCTTGGGTCAATGTTTGAAACGTTAAAGGAATCGGCATTTTCCAAAACGATAGACTTTAATGAGCCCTTGTTAAGTAGTCATGTATCCATATTTGATACTGGAAAAGAATTTTTCAATGGTATTGCAAAGTTTATTTCCTCGTCATTTGAAGATGAGGAGAAGCTCAGCATCGCTTCTAGTATAAGGAATATTTTCAATTTAACCACAACTTCTCCAAAGCCGCTAACAGGTATAATCAGATCATCAATCTATGTTTCACGTAAATTTAGTAACCATGAGACCTCCGAATCGTTTTTTACCCAAGATAATTCCTGTGGATCGTCCAACTACACGTAAACCAGCTGAACCAATTCCTCAGCCATTTTCTACTCCGTACACTCCGCCACCATTCTTTTTCTCGACAACTCCTCCGGATATTCCAACTACTTATAATCCGATGCCTAGTTTTCGATTTACCACAACAACAGAACCAATTATCATCAAATTCGTCAAGACCCCAAAACCAACGACAAATCTTCCAATCGAATTCGGTAATAAAAATAATATTTCAATTCTAATAACTGACGTTTTATAGAAACATCTACTGAAAGAACAAGATATGCAACATTTGCGCCAAATATTCGAATCACCACTACTGAGCCAAAAGAAGCATACCACACGTTTTCAACTATACCGGAGACGACAACTACTACATCTCCATCGACAACAACAACGACAACCACAACAGCGACGACTACTACGACACCTCAGACAACAACTACGCTAATTAAGACTCCAAAGAATGAAGAATCCCGTGTTTTCACAAAACCAATTTATCAAATTTGGCCAACAACTTCAACCACTACAACAACACCAACTCCAGATATTGACTCACATGGCCGGTAAGGTTTTCAAGGGGAACAACATTGTTATTCAGATTCAGATCATACAGCCTTGAACACACACCACTCTCGTCAATTATAAGAGCAATTAAAGTTTGGAAACAAGTGACTCCATCGCTTACACCAGACCATACGACGAGCATTGTTACGAATACGCATCCTGCTGAAACGACAACCCCAAGTTATGAATCTAGCACATTGGACTCTATGTATTATTCTTCCACTGCCGGTATTCCTTATATCATCAAGGTGAATATTTTTCGAATTAGAAACAAATGTTTTTTCGTTTAGTCAAAGAAGTTTACACGACCTCCGGTCAATGAAAAAATCCTCGTGACACCTCAACCACTCGAGAATAAATATGATACCTGTGGTAACTTAATATCTAAGAAAAGTGCGAAATTAAGGAAATTCTTTCAGTAAGCGGTCAGAGATGTTCTTTGAAACTTAAAAGTTTTGAAACATCAGACCAATTATTCCAATACTGCTATAGTCATTCAACTATGATTGATGAGCAAATTCAAAGCCTTTTGAAAGACACACAAACTGCAGCTCTACCTGTTCATATATCTTGGACTCAGTCAGTAACACCAGAAGTTTTGACTCTGGTTCAAACATTGATGACCATATATAGACCGTCAAGATGTCTTGTGATAGGTCTCACATCCCAATTATATTATTAAATCACAAAAAAATCGTTTAGGAGTTTTCACTGGTCTTGGTTTGTTGGGAATTGCAAACCATGTCGACTCTCGTGGAATTGTTGTGGCACTTGAGCATCCAGCATATGCGGTGTTTTGGGAGAAAGTGGGCCAAAAGCACGCTAAAAGAGTATGCGAGAGATTCGGAGCATTTATTGAGAATTTATTGATTTGTTATTTCAGTTAAGCACCGCGCAATTATCAAGAATACAAATCCGTACTTCGGAGAGTATAGAAAAGTCGCTTCCCCGACTCGCTGCCAATGAGCCAAACACATTCGATTTTGTATTTATGGTGAGTTTTTTTTTTAATAATGAAATTTAAAAAACACTGTTTTTTCAGGATGATTTTAAACGAGAGAATTATCTTGACGATTATGAGCATTCAGTACGTCTTTTAAGAAGCGGTGGACTCTTGGTAATCAATCAGGTTTGCTGCTAAAATTGAGTCATAAAATCCAAAATGTGTTTAGGCCCTTAGTGGTGGCGGTGTCCTCTCGAGCGTTGAAAATATGACAAATGACGATAAAGTAATCCGCAATATGAATATTAGAATAAAACAAGATTCGAGGGTGCGGAAAAAAAAAACAAACAAAAAGTTACTATATTTTTAGGTCATTGCATCATTATTGCCATATGGTGGAGGTACATGGATCATATCGAAAATTTAATCTTATTCAATTTACCTCAAATTGTTCGCCAGTGAAATGGTGTTTGTATTTATGTTCTTGCAGATTTTTTTGAAAATAAATTTTCTAAACTCAAAAAAATCGTAATTTTACTGTGCGAAATAACGCCTTAAAGAATTTCAAGGCATCACACAATTTTTAAGATCGTAGATCAAATCTAAATTTTATTCTTTTACTGATTCCCAGACAGCTATGTTTTTTTTTTAATGAACTTCTTCTTGTCGTTGGAATCACAAATAACGAGATTATCAAAGAATGAGCTTTTCTTTGCTATTTTGTTACATCACAAAGACATTCATATAAAGATGAATAAAAACGTTATAACTGCCCATAACAATGTTTGCTATTTTACCAACCCCTAACTTGCATTTTCGGTTTTATTTTTGACTTTATATAACATCAATTAAAAGTGCGCCTTTAGATGTGTATATAATGAATGACTCACAAAAAGCAGAGAAATTTAATTTCCGGTCTTACCCTTGCCCTTGAAATATACCTAATTTCCCGTTTTCATTCCAGCCGTTTTAGACGTTCTGTGTTCAACACATCAAACCTGAAAAATGTTGAAACAGTCATAAAAATTGAAGAATCGAAAAAATAAGAAGGCAATATTATTAAACGTTTCAACGACAGTTGTGCCAAAAAATGACAAGCAACAATTCAAATTGTAACTATTACATATATATTGTTTTCCACATTTTCGCATTGTTTTTCCGCACATCATTTTGAATACTTTGAAGATCTTTAAAGTATTAGTATCAAAGCCCCGCGCTTTTCAAGATTTCGGGTTCCCCTTCATGTGAACTAAAGAGAATCTCATAAGAATCCTATAAATTATCTAAAGTCAGGCTTAAAATAATAGTTTTTCGGGATTTTCAAGAATCAGTGAGATTAGAGTGAAAAAGAGCTCACTTGTCTTAAGCATGTTACTTTCATTCTTGACTTCCTTTCTCATTTAAGTGAGAATTTTGGTTTTTGATTCGCTTTCTTCCATTATGTGCAAATATAAATATATGTCAGTTTAATGTTTTTTGAAATTAAAATTAAAGTACGTTATAAATGAAAAATGATTAATATTGTTAGACAAATATTATGCAAAAAAAAACGAAACAATTAAATTTCAGGAATAATTTTTAAAGAACGTCACCCTAATTTATATTTTAAAAGTTAGTCGAATTTCCCCAATGTTCCTTCATTCCGTAAATTTGAAAGTAGCGTTCTAGTAATTTGAGCGAACAATTGTTGACGAACAAAATTTGAAACCGCTGAATATTTTTTCTTTCTTCTTTCTCTTCACATTGTAATTTTTTTTTCAAAAATTGCAACTATTAGGTTGCGTTCTCAAGACATTGATATCGCCAATAAACGATGTTCCCTCAATCTTCACGAGCCCGTTGGCTGCTCACCTGTCACTTGTTAATTGATTATCCCCTATCCCTTATTGTTTCACCTCAATCGGTTAATGGTTTTTGCCTTCATTTTTTTTCACAAAAACTTTCGTGCCACGTAATTCGCGGTTTACGCATGATTAAGACATTCTAGGCACCTTATGCATGAAAGAGTTTCATTTAATGTTTCCGGAAATCTTTATTGTCCTTAAGAAAAAGTGTTCCACCCCCGCCGTGGAAACTGCTTGGTTGAAATTGTTCTGTCTGCTTATATTTAATTTGTCTAACGATTTTTTTTCATTTTGGAATAATTATGCTAATTTCAGAGTTCGAAACAAAGACAAACGTCACTCATAGCAATCAAACATGTGTAAGTTTTTTTCCCCGGCGATCCTCCATTGACAGGAACAGAAAGATGCAAACCAGAAAGTATTTCTTTCAACAGAACATCCAATAAAAATAATAATAAAATGGGAAGATAATTTAATAATGTGTCCGAATGTGTTCAGATATACAACAAAAATTGTCTAGTGTCTGTGTTATTAACAGCTGATTTCTTTTGAAAGTAATATCTATGTTGCTACATTTTTGACTTTATCGTGTTCAAAAAATTGTTATTTTTCCATCGTAAAACCCATACAATAAATGTGAACTAGCTTTTTAGTAGTATACGAAGTTAACCCAAATAAAAAGACGAGGAAAGATAAAAAAGGTCATTTTGACCTCATTTCCATTAGGGTTGTTGTCTTTTCAAATGAGCGCCGTTTTTTCTTTCGATGAACCACTCGATCTCTCTATTTTAATTAAAATAGTTCTTTCTGCCTATGACCCTCCTATTACAGCTCTTAGTTTTATGTTTTATCGGAGCATAGAAAAAGAGGGTTAACCTCGTTATGTGCCCTCAACCCAATGTAGTATCAATGAGTGGCAATAGTGACTGAATAAAAATTCGAGCCGTTGTGAATAATAAAATGGTAATTAGGCCTCAAAAATGTTTTCTTCCATTTCGTGCACCACCCTTTCATTCATCATCTCCAAATATTCTAATAATGAAGTCTGCACACAGGAAAAGAAATTTTCGAATAACAATTCCTAGGATGTTGAGCGATATTTTCGCCTTTTCAATCCTTAGCTTTTTCCAAAATTAGTGGTATAATCAGAATATAAAACCGATAGAATTTACTAGGTTTTGTAAATCACGAGTAAAGTGGATTGCTTTATGACGTGGTCTTCCTTATAGTTTCAATGAAAATCCGTAATTTCCGGAAAAGCACGCAGAATGCTCCAATGAATACCGCCCACCGCCATACACAAATGAGTACGTGGGTTTTGCCATAAACCTAATTGAAGCGAGCATTCCCAATATTTCCATCAATTTCTGCTTATAGCGAACGATGACTCCCGAGGCGATGTTTGCCTCATTTCTCAAGCGTGAAAACAAGTGTGGCTTGTAATTTGATCCAGACTAAGTCAAGCGTTATAACCTAACTAAATTCCATTAAAGATTTGCATGTATCTTCAAATGTTTCACAAAACATAAGAACTTGTTCATTTTGAGGGGTATTTATATTTGTCCCCGTGAGGAATGCATGCTTTAATTATTCAGTCCTAGGGCTGGAAAATGTTTTAAAACTGTGAATTACTGCAAAAGAATTGTTTTTTATATGACTAATCGGATTCTGTTTTCCGTCAACACCACCATGTAACAAATGCTTTCCCACTGTTATCTTGCTGGAACAAATGTTCATAAAAATAGGAAAAAATCATTTTTTTGTCTGAACAAAACCGCTTTTTTATTTGAAATTGCACTCATGCTAAAGTACAATTCCCAATAATTCATTTATCGTCTTTGTTTTTGTTACTCAAGTGACTTCACTCGCATACATCTTGGCTTGATAATTAGATTGTTTCCTCAAACGAGGCAAGCTGCGAAGCTCCACCCATCAAATTTTCGAACAAAAAAACAGAGACAGAGCGACGAAGTTCGAGTATTCGATTCATTAACACCTCATTACTAACTCTCCAATTTTCTCTTTTCCAAATGTTTCTCCTTTTTTGGGTAATGGCTTAATTTTCTGCAGCAGCTTTGCACAGTTATAGGCCATTCTAAGTAATTGTAATGCAAAAAGAAATAGAGTCAGTGGATTTTTTTGTTTTGATTGGTGCGATGATCACAAATCAAAGGTTCTCAAATATGATATCTTGTCTTCCTGCTCATTTGTCATCTATGCTCACACAAGACACTAGAGTTCATTTTTTTCAAAAAGTCCTTCCATTTCTCGTCGTCTACCTTTTAATTTTTGCAGCTATGGCTTTAATATACGCGAATGCCGTTAATAAGAGAATGCATCATCATCACGGATCAAGAATGAAGAAGAGATCCGATTGTCATGAGGATGACGTTGACTATCGCAGAAGTATGAGTCGCGATGCACCAACTCGCAAATTGTGAGTTTTATTGCAAACAATAATGACAAGAAATTCATCAAAAGGACATCACTATAAAATTTACTACAACGCGTTGAAAACCACAAGTCTCGAGGGAATAGACCATTCCTTTTTATAGTCACGAAATAAGAACCTGTGAAGAAAGAAAGTCCATACAGAAAAAAAGTGATGCACCTTAGATAAATTTTTCATGGTAAAAAATTTTTATCAAAGATAAATTTTGTAAATTCAACTTTGAATAAATCTATTGTTAAAATTAATTTTATCGAATTGAATGATTATATTTATGAACGAAATACTAATAAAAACTAATGAATCTGTATATGAAATCTTCTGCCACATCTTGTTATTTTATTTTATTTTTTTATAGTTCGGAAAACTCTGCGTACTTTTCGTCTAGTGCATCATCGAATCATTCTTTGTCAAGCGGAGGAAAATCCGATTCAAAACATCGTCCCGTTCAACGTAGTAAGACAAGGTAGAGACAACTAATGTTGACGAGTTTGACAAGATCACATATGTGAATTTTTTTTCAGCTGTGGCGACTTGTATTTGAAAAAAATCGCAGAAGATGAAGCGATTCGCAAGGTTTCCCAGCCTGTTATGTCGTTGCATAACAAGACAAAATGTTCGGAAATGAATAAACCCGAGACTTCGAAGAAAAGCGTTGTCAATGTAAGAAGCACCGTATTGAAATGAGATTTGAAAATGTCGAAAAAATTTAGAAGTATGACTTAGAGCAGCACATTAAGAAAGATTCAAAGAGCGACTCTCGTAGACGCAGCGTTAGCTTGGATCCGCAACAGTGGAAGGAACAAACCGATGAAAAGTAGAGAATAGCAGATAGAGATATTAATTAGAGAGAATTTCAGAGAGGAAGAAGGTGCATTCACAAAAATGAAAAGAAAGATCAGCAAGCTTATGTTCAACTGAAAATAATAGCACTATGCTCCCGCTTTGCTTTTAATACCACTCCGTGATCTCTGCCATTACCGCATATTCCAGTATTCAAGTTGAACTTTTGATTTTTCATCTCCGATTGACACATTCCAGTGTTTAGTGGGAATAAACTGTAAGATATGTATGATAGATTCTATTTTTGGTATCATTCATTGTTCAATATTCCAGTAGATGTAAATGATCATTTTGGAAAGCGTGAATATTGCAAGTCAGCTGTTTACAATCCTGCTCGATTTGCATTTTATCGACTGGTCCTACATTGGTCTCGCATTTTTTATCGTTTTTGCTTCTCTTAAAATTCATAAATATTTGTGTGAAGATTGATTGTTGATTTTTTTGGTGAGAAACGGAAAATCCAGACTGGCACGTGCCTCATTTGCATTTTGTATAAAATTGCAGTAAACTAAACTTTGCCCCATTCAAAACAAATCGCCAACATGATACAACTCGTTTCACCACGTAAGTTTTACTTTTAAATTCCTTTACTGGAAGTTTATTGACGAGTATAAAGTTAGCACTTCAAACTTTCCAAACTGTTATATCAGCATCATATAGATTAAAATTAAGTCGATTGCATAAATGAACTCTTGTATGGAAGCACAGACCCAATTATCAATGTAAACATTGATACAAAATGATGAAATTGGTGTTGTAAATTGGCCTCCGCTTTTCTACAAGAAAAATGACCTTATCAACATCAAACGATCATCAGAGGTTTTTATCACGCACGCTCCGGAAAAATTTATTGTTGATAAAAAGAATACAAAACGGGTGCTCGCTCTCAACTGATATGGTACGAAAAAAACAATTTTTGGCTAATTTGCGGCCAATTCGTGTTGGCAAATGATACAGAATGGAGCACACAAACTCGGGATCGCGAGTCTGCTTCTTTATTTCTAATGTAATGAACAGTGTATCATTTGGTCTCTGATAAGAGTGGACCGTATAAAAGTGGGTGGGCCAAGAACACAACAATACTTTACGTCAGCTAGCAGGTCGTGTCGTCGGATCGATAAGGTCTGTCTTATGCACCCAAAATATATAGTATTCAACTAGTGTCGCTTATTTTTGAGCAAAACATATCAATGTATATATATGGGAACGTAGTGAGTGTTTAGAATTTGAGAAATGGTATATTAGTTCAAATATTATTCCTGCAATAGATTGTTCTCATCTGTATATTTAAAGATGCTACGCAGATTTTTTTTAGAAAAAATCCGAACTCAAAAAAAAAACGTATTAAACGAAATTAAACATATGTAATTACAATGTTAAGTTTTAATAATAATTATCGAATCTAAAAAATGAATATAAGCGCATTCATATAAAAATACAATTAATGTTAAAATTGTTTAAAAAAGAATCTCGATTATATTAATTAGAAAAATTACCAAATCTCTCTTTGAGACGCATTATCTAAATAATAGAAAAACAAATTTAAAATCTGAATAATAGGATCGAATTCCTCTGAACTACCTAAAGTGTATTGTGATCACCTGAGTAATGGTTTTTGAGCAGTGATGAATTAGTAGGAATCCTACGTTATAAAAAATTTACCGCAGCTTTTCGTAATGTGCAAAAAATTATTTAATATGTAAATTCCTCATGTTGTTATTTTTTCGAAATTATAGAATTGAATGATATCATTAGGCACAGTAAACGATTTAAAATGAGTTCACTAAATTTACTAGAATAATTAACAAATAACTCATTCTATGTAGTAACTTTCAAAAATTATTATTCCGCATTTCGAGAATCGGATCACTATTGTAGAACCTTGTTCGTGATACTCTTGAAATCATTTTCGGAAACCTTGTTGAATCTAAAATCAATGATTTGAAATCTATACGTATTCCGTTAGTGATTCGATATTAAACATTTCCGAAACAATTATCCTAAAAGAGGTTTGCTGTTCTTACTTTGACAGAACCCATAAAAATTGTTTCGATTTTCTAATGTTGTCAAATTTCTGACAACCCAAATCACTTTCAAAAGTGATGTCGTTGAAATTGCATTGACAACGGTTAGGTGTCGGACTCGTCGAAATTGCAACGAAATTTGGCATCGGGTGCAAATTGAACTATTAAAAAGCGACCGGAAACGATTTAGTTGCTATTAATAGCTGCGCGACTTAATTGATTTGATTATAACGATTAGGCCGACAAATAAACCAGCAGTGATCTTTCTAGAAATATCTCAGCAGATATCAATGCTGTTCATTTGAGACAACGCGCAATTTTCGAAATCGTTCACGTGGAAAGCTTGTGCCAAATTGCATGGTATTAAAAAAAAACAATCGATCAGAAAACTATGTCGCTAATACCTAGGATTAAAAGGTGAATGTTCTTTGCGTTTGACAGTTCGGTTCGATCCGATTTAAGGTGAATTAAACTTTGATGGGTTATTGAGTTAAAATTAATTTTACTTGTTAATACGTTTTTTTAATATACATGAGAAATGTTCGGTTAAAGACCACATCGGTCTCCTGATTGGTTTCTGCTTAAATCTGACATATTTTGTAATTTTTCAGGAACTTTTTCTGAAAAATTATATTGCAGAATAGCAAATTTTTCTTGACAAAGATTTCTTAAAAGTTTTAAATATTTTTTGTCAAATCTACTTGACTTTTAGAATCTGTAAAAATTTGATGTTGTCTTTTGGTCTTCTTAGCAGTATGTCTTTTATTATTGAAAAAGAAATATCAATTCCCAATCTATGATTTTTAGCAAGTATGATATAGATTTTATTTAAATCACATTCCTGTTTCATTATTATACTATATTTTTGACACTACCCGAAAATACAATAATTTTACATAAATTCAAACATTCAAAGATCGATATCGATGTACTTTCATGTTTTTCAAACAAAGAACCTGTTGTTATCACAACTGATTCAAACAATAATATTTAAGTAAGGATTTTCGATCAAATAAAAATTGATGTTTGGAGTTCTCAAATGAAGTACTGTATTCAAAATAGTTTTTGCATTGAAGTTTCGACGAATTTTAATTAACGACTTCCGGTTCTCTGTGTGTTTCAAATATTACAACCATTTTGTTTCAGAAAATTAATGGTCAAATACAAAAATTAATTACGTAATTGTCATTTATCATAATCGAAAATGATTATTTAAAGTTGAAATGAAAACACTTGCTTATCAGTTTTGAAATTACTCTTATTTTCAACAATCATTCTTCTTCATTAACTTGAAATTCGCTCGTCAGAACTAATTCGAAACCACCTCAAAGAAAATTTATTGCAAATAGAACAGACATGCAACCAATGCGGTGTCACCCCGCCCATTCGTATTGACGTTTCGGTGTTTTTAAGCCCTCCCAACGGCCAAAAGATAGTCTCAATTTCGCCTTAACACGAAATCTCGTATTATTTAAACGTGTGTTAACATTTGTTTCAAATTTGTATTGACTCGCGGAATTCATGTGAGAAGAAAAACTTATGGCGACTAAATAAACTCGCCAACTGTGTTGACTCTTCCACTTGCCAATCGAATTTTCTAGAAGCATGAAGATCACGTTTTTTTTTAGATTGACTTTGACATTTTTTAATTAATTTTTTTTTGCTTCCGTATAAGTCGCAACCATCTTTTTAATGAGAACTCACATGACCACCTGCTCTTATCAAACATTCGACTCTGTTTCTGATTTTTAAAGCCCAATGTCCTGCAGAAACCTTTCGTAACCTTCTGATAACTGGCATTGTTTAAATAGTCTTAAATCATTGTTGTCATTTCATTTCCTATCGGACAGCTCATAACAACGTGTTTGGTTTCAGAATCAATGGCGTTTATATCACCAGTCATTCGAAGCGAATTTAATCTTTATTATGATCGTAAGCGACCACAATATCGCCGAACTTCTCGTCCTTCGGTGCACCAAGTCTCACCAAATCCCAGCATCAGTTCGTTTTCGCAATAAGTTTTTCCTTATAACAATGAATTTAAGGCAATGGTAGCAGCTCTCTCGACTCACTTCTAGAAAGACATCAACGGCTTTTGCAAGCTAGAGAACGTACTCAGCAAAGAAGGTATTCAAACGATAAAAAATTATTGTTTGTATGGAACATTCCAGAAGAAACTGCCGCAGCAACACATTGTTGAACGTACGCAAAATTTCGGTCATTACGGAAACCGATGAGGAAAACGAGGATACCGTTGAGAGCATCAACAAGAAAATATCTTCTGTTCAAACTCCGAAATTAAAGGTTAGTTTTTTTACTCGTGACACGTTGAAATTCATTATTTTTCTGATAAGAACATTTCTCTAATTTATGAACAGATTATACGTCAATCAAGATGAAGTAACTATGTTTGGCATTTTTAACATTAGTATGATCAGAAATATTTTTGCTGAACAAGCAATTGTTAATTTGGTTCTCATCGATAATTTTACGTTGTAGAGTATTGGCGAATGCTCAGAAGAAGAGAACCATCCTCCAGCAGAACCAGATGCATCTTCTAATACTGAAGAAAAAACTCCAGAGAAAAAAAAGAAATCATTTGTTGAGAAAATCAACCACTGGGTTAGAAGCCACTCAATTCGCAAAAGGAACAAGTCCAACGAAATGCAGTAATCGAATTCGAAAAACGTGGCCTACGAATCAAAACGCTAACCCTAATGTATTGTAAATACAGGAATTCTTTCACGGGTTAAAATAATTTTGATTGATATTGTTGCACACGTCCATTCAAGTTTTACTTATCAATGAAATAAAGATTGTGAACAGCACGCTAAAGAATATTCGTGTTTTTTCTATGTATATTTATCTTTCGAAGAATGATCATTACTCGAATGATCTTCACATGTACATAAACCTGTGTAGGTTACTAATACCCTTTCGCATTAAACTGAATTTATACAATTACACGAATTACGGTCGGCGACTGTCAACTTTCAACAATTTCCACAAATTTCACGTATTTCAAATAACTAAACGTTCACTGCACCCAGAAAAATGTGTTTTCTTCATTTATCGAAAAAAAAGATCATAAAACGGAAATTTAGAAAACGTTTTTGTTAAAATGTTAGAATCTAAAGAGGATGAGAAATACCTGTAATTGTTAACCGACATTTGATTGTGCATAATGTAATAGGAATAACTCAATATGTAACATCTATGCAGTGACTACAATGGAAAAATATATGTATATTAGATGTACAATCAAAAGTGAACTGGATCCGTTTCGGAAGGTTCTTGTAAATTTTTTTCAGCATCTTTCAAGTCGTCAATTTGGAATGAAGAAGTCATAACCATTGATCGGGTCATAGGCCGCCTATTAGCAGGTCCGCGTGGGCGAGCCTTAACTTTTTTGATAATACTAATCTTGAAATATTAGTTTCTAACCTTTAAAACACCAATCAGTCCGTCTTGAACCTTTTCAGCTGGTTTTTCAGTCTTCCCAGCGAGTTTTGGTTTCATACCGGGCGGACCAGAAAGAAGTATATTGTTAAGTTTATCTCCAATTGCTCCTACATTAAGCTTCACTGGAGTTTTCTTTAGAGATCCTCCACCAGTAACAGTCTGAAAATTTCCTTTTAAAGAGAAATTTAGTTTTATTACAGGATTTTACTCAAATCCCGATCCAATGCTGCCAATTAATTAAAACGCTAACTATAAATTAAAACTGCGAAGTTTACAATTATTTGTATATTTGTAAATCATTTTATCCACCATCGTCTTAACTGCTATCGCCCAAATGTTCTGACGATGTTATCGGGAATACCTCGTTTTTTCAACGATACGTGTTATTTAGAAGATTACGTTGTGCATAATATTTAGATAATTCTATGAAATGACGCAATTATTTGCACCAGCACTTTGTACAATTTTATGCGCTTTTGGTCCTTCAGTAAACAAAAATGGCTGAACGTTCTTCAAATTTCAAACCAGAATAGTATGAATATATATTAGTTTAACAATTGAAATCATTTTACACAAGTCGTTTATCAAAATACCTTGGGGGAAACTGTAGTCGAAAACGATATCTTTTCAGTCACCAAACACGTCGGTTTTCGGGGTTCGCTAGTGGCAATTCTTGACGCTGGTTTGGCCGGCGGACCGGCAAGAAGTAAATTGTTGAGTTTTCCGCCAACAGCACCAACGTTTAATTTCCCAGGCGTACGATTACTCATTCTGACAATTCGAAGAGCAGAATGGCTGGGGAAAAAAACGAATGTAAACGCGGAATGAGTTTGGAAAATGAAACGGAACGAGGATGCCAGATGTGAAAAGCTGTGCCAGTAAAAAAAAAAATCAATAAATCGAAAGAAGAGCAAGCAATTGAATAGGCGGCTAGACAGAATCGCACGGCGTATGTGACAAATGTTCGCTCATCAATATGTATTTATGTAAAACTACACAATTTGCGAAAGGATCCGAATACAAAAGAAGTATATGTAGTATTTCAATAAAATATAGTCAAGTATTTTGGCAAATGTCGCATTCGAAAAATTGTGTTCTTCGTTTTATAAAAACAAAAACTACAGAATAAATCGGAAGGGATACATAATTTATGTCAAAAATTACTGAAACTTCTTGTCGTTTTTTTCTGATAAATGTTCGTTAAGTAAAAGACAATGCAAGCTTATTCGCAAATTGCTGCAAAAATTGTGTAATACGCCCGCGGGGTGATGCATTCACCCACTTAATTTCTTTTTTCCTCTGAGTTAATCCAGTGTTTCTCGACGGTGGATATGCAAGCGAAAAAACTATCATTTTCATCTCATCATACCTCGCAGTAATGGTTACGCTAAAATGCAAATGTCGTCTTTAATTTGATTTCCCTTTCTATTTTCTCAGTTACTTCTTTTTATTTCACCAATGAAACTGGTTGTACAAAATGGCAAACCGTTCTTGACTTCTGGACTTGAGATTCGACGTCAACTATCATTCCATTTTTGTCTTTGGTGTTATGAAATTGTTTAATGTTTCCTTCGACCGTTATCATAATAATCGTCTGAAAATACCACATAATTATCTTAAAGCAGAAAGATAGATTAAACAAAAATGACAAAAAAACGCGGTTTGTTTAGACAGCATGAAAACCAATATTTTATCAAATATTTGATCTGCTTCAGAATAAAATCCAAAGTCAAACAAAAATGAAATTCAACGGATATAAATGGGTATTGTCGAAACGCAATCGACGGGAAACCACAACAATTTTCCCACTCATTGTTCGGTATATCCGGATATTCCAGTGTTTTTGTAGGTCAACAGTATTTCAAAGTTGTTAGCAACACAATTTCTTTTAATAGATTTGATCTCGATGTCGATGCGAAAAAACAAAAATTCAAGTGGGTAACCTCGAAATTTCATACAAAAATCACTGGAAAACTATTTCAAAAATGGAAGTTGAAAGCATAATTCTTCAAAGACAAATACGTGTATGTATATATACATATATATGTATATGTACTAGAAATCCTTGGAGAATTGAACTTCGAGAATGGGAAACATGAGAATAACAGATATCTTTGTTCTAAATTTTCCGACTTTTCATTTCCCTTTCTACATGACGCAATTTTACGATTCTCAAAGTAATATTATTTAAAAGTCAAGTTTTGAAGAAAACAGTTTATTTTTTAAACGAGCTTTTGGTCCAACTGAATAAGCTATTCGACTTTATTCATTTCAACCCAATTAATCAGTAAGGTTACAAAAGTAATTATCGTCCCGTTGGAAATATTTATGAAGGACTATCACATACAACATCTTACCGGTCACATAAAAGTAATGAGAAAAAAGGCATTTTCGTCCTATTAAAAATTGTCACAACATCAAAAGGTCGCCAACCCCAATAATTTAAATTCACATCTACTCGTAAGAAAATCCCCTCGAGTTTAAGTTTGGCAATACAACTAAAATGAATCACAAACGCATGAAATGTGAAAGAAAACAGACATTTAAAAATTCAAACACATAACATAATATCTACGACACATCCTCAGTGTGATTTCCTTCATCATTAATTGTTGAAGAGATAGAATTTGAAGATGTACGACCCGGACGACGTTTGGCAGGTCCACGTGGACGGCTCTGAATAAAAAAATTAAATAGCATCCAATTAAAATTTGAACCTTTAATGCTTTCAATAAATTATCAGAATGTTCTTCAATATCTTCAGCAGTTGGTGTCTGCACCGGTTTTGTAATTGGCGGACCACGTTGAAGAAGATTGTTCAATGTATTATTGAAATCCGCCGAATTTGGTTGTGGGGTAGAATTGTGCTTAGTATTATTCTGTATATAAAAATTTAAAGTTTACGAAAAAACTTTGAAAACTAACGTTAGAAGGTTTAAAAGTCTCTTCATCTGAACTGTCGTCGAAAATTGAAGATTTTTTCAGTGTCGAATTCATATTTGTTTTATTGGTTGAACTACCAGGTTTCGTGGGAACCTTTTTGAAAATGCTTGAATCATCATCTGATGACGAATCAAACAATGTTGAGATCTTTTTATTCTTTTCCTTAATTCAAAATAAAAACCCTTGAAAGACGTTTTTCCCAACCTCAGATGCAACTTTAACCTTCGAAGCTATTGAAACCGGCGTTGGGCCTGGATTTGCGTCTCTTGAAACAAATGAAGAGGGATTAGATGGCTTTACTGCTACCGATTTTTGTGTGGAAGGTCTTGAGTCTTCATCTGAAGAAGAAGAATCGAAAATAGAGCGTGAATTTAATTCCTTCTAGAAAAAATATCAGTAATTAATAAAATATTTTTAATAAAACCTTCGGAACGAAAACATCTTTCTTTTCAGTCGATTCCTTGCTGAATAATGATGCTTCAGAGAACTTCACTTCAACAGGTTTTTTTTTGGCATTCTAAATATTATAACTAGATGAAACATTGTGCGAAGATAAATGATACCTGATTCTTTATCGAAGCAAAAATGCTGTCATCATCGTCCGAATCCGAATCAAAAATTGATTTTTTCACAATTTTTTTGGAATTCGTTTGAGAAACTATTTCCAATGTGGAAGCTTTTCCTAATAATGGTGGAAGCGGAGACGTTTCGCCAACTGTTTTCGGCTCAACAGTCTTCTGAAAAACATGAAATTAATTGTGGTTTAAAATAAAGACACCTTATCAACACTTGAAAGCTCTTTTGCTAACGAAATGTGCGATTTTGTTGGAATTGAATTTGCAGTTTGAACATTTCCATTCTTAAATTTAAATTCAATTAGAAATATAAAATATGTTTTTTAAAGACCATTTTTGGTGGTGGAAAATGAAATGTCGTGTCTTCATCAGAATCCGAATCGAATATTGATTTCACAACAGTCTGCTTGGATATATTTTCAGCAGTTTTCGGTATATCCACTTTTCTCTCCACTTTTACGATTTGCTCGTCTTTATTTTGACTATTTTCATCGTATGAAAATTTATTTTGTTTCTTAAATGCCTCTTCAAGTTGCTGAAAATTTAAATCATTATTGAAATGTTATACAGAAATAAAAAAAACCTTTTTAATATCATCTCTGACATTCGGAATTGGCCATAGTTCGTCCGTTTTTTCTTCTTTTTTGCCTACATTCTTTCCTCCTCTTTTCAAAATCGACCCTTCTTCCGTTTTCGCAATTTTCGGCTCGTCATTTTTTGCAGCATTTGCACTTTGCTCCTTTACAGTCTTTTCAACTTCCATTTTTACAATTTTTTCTTCTTTGTTTTCTATAATTGGGCTTTCTGCAACTTCTTCGTCGCTCTCTGATTCAAATAACCGCTTTGAATTTTCATCAACGCTTTTTTGAATGTTCCTGATTTCTTTCGCAAGTTCGTCTTGAATCGAAGTTCTGATGGGTTGTTCTATAACAATATTATCATTCCGACTTTTCCGTTCTTCATTGGATGCTTGTGAAGCTTCATGTTTTACACTTCTAATGTTTTCTGAAATAGAACATCCTAATAAATTTACGAAATATAAAAATTGCCGATACCAGTTGCAACAGGGCTTATTGGTGAAGGAATCGGAGAAATTTCACTCTTATTCGTATTTGCCGGATGAAGATCGTTGATTTCCACTTTTTCGTTGATACGATCTCCTACAATAATCGGAATGTTCAGCCTCGAAACCGCATCCATCGATGAAGCCAATTCAGCGATTTTTCGGATCTGATCGTCCAAAGACTCCTGTTCATCGTGCACTTCTATTTCTTCAATTTTAGGCGTTTGAAAAACCTGAAACGCACAAATTGGAATTAATATATGAATGACACAAAATTTAATCCACGTTCTGATTAAATTAATTGAAACATTAATTGTTTTTGACTGATGGGCAAACTTTTATTGAGACGAACTTGCGCTGATTTGTTAGTTATCACGGTTACCGTATGACGCATGTGTACGCTCAGAAATTCATTTCGGTTTAAATAGAATGACTGGGCTTTTCGATATGGGAGTATTTATTGTAACAATGCGATCAATCCGAATCAGTTTCACACTATTAGTATTTCAAAGAAGTTCCAAAAATTAATACCTGTTTTACCAATCTTGTTTTTCGTAAGTTCGAAATGTCGTTATTTGCACAATCAATTTTTGTGACTGCTCGAGTGCATGAATTAAGAATTTGTGAAGCGCGTTCGGATATTTTTTGCGATTTCGCAATAATCGACATCACGGCATTATCAACTCGTATTGTGAGCTAAATAATTGTCTAAACATCTCTAATTTTTTTATTATATACCTCATGATCCGTTTTTAACGTTATTGGGCCTTTGAACGGTTCAAACTGTTCCATATTCCATGAAATTCAATGCAAAATTTGCAAAGCCTATAAAATTAATTTTTAACTTTCATTAACAATCAGAATTCGATGTATACAGAAAAGAAGAGAAGTAATGCAATAGTCTTATTGTTTACAACAAACATTTCTTATCTCATTGCGTAAAATGACACTTGATTACAAAGTGTGCAATGGAGCAACTTTGTTCACTCGTACTTTAGTGCTATTGATTCGCATGCAAATTAGCTTTTATTCGTCGCCCCTCTAACTATACATTTCTCTTTACTCGAACGGTTTTTCGACGTCAAGTGAATATTTAAATAGGGGATTACCAGAAAGATCCAAACGCGGTAAAACTTTGGTTTAATTCTCACAGAACATTGGTTTCTCATGTTGTCATGGGAAACCGAAACATATTCTTCACAAATACACATTTTCGAAATATGGCTTGTTTGTTTTTGAGAATTGGGATATATAATTTTGCAATAATCCGAACTTATTCATTTCACTTTCACAATGTCCTAAAAAACAATGATTAAGACACAGACACAATACAATTTGAAAAAAAAACCGCAAACATAGAAAAAACATGAAAAAGGTGGCGCGTTGCTTTACAATCGTTCTCAATTTTTCGGCGACCTTGCAGAGAACAATTTTTTCCCTGCATTCACCTTAATACAATTTTTATCATTGAAATCATTCAAAATCACATTTTGACAAGTGTCATTATTCTTTTTTTATATCATATTTTTTATGCGTAACGATTTTCAACATAAAATTAATTCTTACTATTCATTCTATCTAGAAGTATTTGTTTCAGATACAACATTTTTGTTTATCTTTTAATCATAGCTTTAATTGTTCATTCATTTAATTGACCTTAAACCAATATTCTTGTTGTTTGTTTGCTATAAATTTCCAAAAATCACTTGACAGTTATACAATGGCACCAGGAAACGATCTTTGCTTTGAAATCCGTCGCAAGAAGACCCATTTGTTTATCGAAATCAAAGAAACCAGCCGCCTTGGTGATTTAAAAGAAATGATCGCTAGAATTCTTTCGGTGATAACCGACAGCAAAAATGTATTCGAATTTTTAATTGTAGGTGGCTGTGGGTGAGCAAACCTTATATAAAGTAGAAGAAGATGGTCGGCAAATTCTTCTTCAAGATGACGCGATATATTTGGTCGATTATGGTTTTAATGAAAGAAACTGCCAGGTATACATGTTTCTTTTTTATTTTCTGTAATTTTTGTTTTAGCCACACGAGCCTGCTATTATTGGATTGAAGTTGGTTGAAGATGAGCGGCTGGTCATTGAAGGCATGTCTGATCCACCAGCATTACGAGAGCTTCGAGGTGGATCCGATCGAAACAACATCCCAAGAGAATAATCATTGTTAATAATAGTTTTTATGCGCAATCTCGTCTTTTGTTATGTTTGCCAGTGCTAAAGAGATTTTTTTTTAGAAAATTACATTAGTGGTACCCTCATACCAGTATTCATTTAAATTGTTATTTTTCCTGAAAATCTAATCATGTTCTACCACAAATCTTGTTTCTTGAATTCGTTTTGTTCTACATATCTCGAGACTTTCTCTAAAATAATTGAGTTGTGCACAAAATAAATAATGTGGTTTGCAAAAAGAAACCGATTGAGGAAGTTTAGACCGAGCAAACATCCTTTTTTTCGACAAAGTCAATATCACGAATTATTGTTTATTTGTGATATAGTTGCATTTCAAAAAAACATTTCAATGGTGTTTTTTAATTTTTTAATTTTTATATCGTTTTTTTATAGCGCTGACAGATGCGGAAAAAACAGTGTACGTTCGAATATATGATTTATGATCGTTTTAATGTAGTTTCCCTTCGTTTGGTTCCAATAAAATCGGGAAATTACAATTCTTATGGGATATGCGTTCATGAGATCGGATGTCCCTGAACGGACAAAAAACTGCCGAAATTTAATATCTACTTGTAAAGTAAATTGGGCGAAGAACTATGTTTTTATGAAATCAAAGTATATTGAAAAGGAGGACAACGGACATACTTAATATGCTTACTCATTGTATAAGTCACAAAAGATTTATGAATTCGAATTAACCCCTGACTCCTTTTCGAGAAACGTCTTACAAATGAAATAGGCATTCAGTGAATATCTTTTTTCCATAATTTTAGGCAATTAGCAAATATCTTTCTTCCCATAATTTCAATTGTTGCCACAAAATGACAATGTTGCGAAAACACGTTTTTGGAATGAAAGTGATTCCTTATCTGAGGACAGTGACCTATTTCGTTTTTCATTTAAAAAGCGAGTCCGACTTGTTTCCTTGATCGTGTTTTAGATCAACTTTCCCATTGACCGGCATTATTCCGCTCACATCCTATTCATCCGTAAAATTGGACACCAAAAAACTGGGTCAGGTTGCAGGTTTTTTTTCAAAGTGAGGCGTTTTGCGCGCGCACATAACTCTCACAAGTGTCTATCATTGAGGTCAAATTTTTATATTGTTTGCTGTCGCCCTCTATTTGTCGTGGCTTACCGATTGACCACGGTGGCCGAGGCCTGCGCGCGCGCAGATTTTCCTCGTGGTCATTCCTGTGTTGGCGCCAGCGCGTCACATCGTACTAGCCGCGTGCTGCATTTGAAGAGCCTACTGTTCGCATCAGGCTTTTTTTTGGGGGGCGCGCGCAATATAATGGATGTGGGAGGAGTCACAATCCGTATACCATACGACCAATCGTAATTCAAATAGCATTCATTCTTCGTTCGACGTTCGGCCTCAGCCGTCATTCCATATCATCGACACAACACCTTTGTCCCTTGGTCAGGTATATTAGATGCATTTTTGTAGGCTAACTATATTCCTAATTGAAAACATATTGAAATAAATTTTAGAACCAATTACTATTCAGGGTAATTCCATCTGCCAACTAATTTACGAGCAGTTTCTCAGTAATGTATAACATCAAATTATTCGTTGAGTCGTCTTCTTTTCCCAACACATTTCAAAAAATTTTGAGAATAAATATCCCTCCTAGTTCATAATAACCATAGGTAGCCATTTTTGCTCATGTAAATTTGTGAGCGAGCTTCTGTTTCTATATTTCATTTTGGCCTCACTGCTTCAATTCGGAGTGCTGTGCCGGCTCGCACCATGATTAGTTTCATTATCCCCATCGTGCAGTAAATGTCAAGCGGCACATGGCACGAACGGCTGCCGGCAGGCACCGTTCACAAAGTGCAACATTTTACACAACTCAAGCCCGCCTCAAACTTGGTATTCACCGCCGGTGTGGGCATCTGCACACAGCGGCGCCGGCAGAAACGAAATTACGAACGTGTACGTACGTGTTAGGTGGTGCTGGGAGGGCCGTGGGCGCAGCCGCAAGTAGCCGCTTGCTCGCCCTCATGAAACACGACGCGGCAAGAGGAGCAGAGAGGCACCACCACGCAAGTGAGCGCGTCGAATCAAGAGTGCACGATGAATGGTCAGCACGAGTAGGAACGGGGGAACATGCTTAAAGTGCACTCGCGTAGTGTTACGAAGTGTTCGATGGCGTGTTCGAATGTTTCATTTCTAGATGAGTGAGTGAGACAGCGGGCGCTCCGCTGAGGTTTCCGCCGCTGCTCCCGATCATTGCGGACCTTGCGCCGCGGCGACGATGATACGGTGCCAGGAGAGGCGGCGGCGCCAAGCACGGCTCACCCTCTGCGGACTCGTTGGCCCTGCCCCCCCCCCTCCCTCCCCCTAAGCACTTCACTACGCAGCCAAGACAGCACCATTTAAACATATTCTCACCGTTGCGGTGCGGTCGTGTCCTTTGCCCTGGATCCACTCCTTTCAGGTAATCCTAGGTACATTAAGATGCTTACTAGAATGATATAGCTTCTAGGTAACTATGTACCGTGTTTATGTAACATCTAACTGATAAAGCACTCGCACAGAGTTGTGATCCCAAATTAAGTTATAATAATTAATGAAATCGAGTGCCATCTAACCTGTGAGAAATATTTAGTTGTGTGGCTATTCAAAAAGCTTTTATTAAAATCCTAATAAAAATGGTGTAAGCGGTTCTCCCACGAATGCATGTCCTACTGGCGATATTGCTCAAAGAATGCTTTTGTGGACCAACATTCTCCTATATTCTACAGCTGCTTGAAAAAATTAATAATTCGACCTTAACATAGACCTACAAAGCATTCAAGAGCATTCCATGTACATACAGTTCACACAAAAATGCACATCTTGCTTTTGGTTATTTTTGCGCTTCTAAGTTTCCTCGTGGTTCGAACAAGGGCAAACTAACTAAGTGCACGAGAAAATCTAAATCGACAAGAGCATTCTTTGAAAAATTTTTCGTCGAAGATTCTCTTGCACAGACGCCGTAGAGGTAGTAGGTTGTATAGTTACGAAATGTATCAAGGTGAACTATGCAGCTCTCTGCCTCGACGGTTTTGGCTGCGTTTTTTAAACTCAATCTTTCGGAAAATTTTTTGCAAGCCATCGCCAGTCTGTAAATTTTCGGGAAAAAGAAATTCAAAATTTCGACGTGCGTTCGCGGGGGTTCCAATAATTTACAATAAGAGCTAAGATACCTGACCTAAAGGAGTAGGGCTTATTCATTTATTCATTTTTATTGCTTATTCCTATGTTTGCCCAAAAATCATTTTCATTCGAATTATATCGGTGAGAAATGTATCATGGTGGAAAATGATTTTGGTGGGTTTAAACATTTTTTTTTGAAAAAAAAATTGAGACCAAACTTCACAGAAGCGATTGAATTTTGCAGGCCTCTTTTTTCATCTACATCATTCAAACTTCAGACACACAGCAAGAATTGTATTATTGGCGGCTGCTGTGTAATAGATCATATGTTCAATGTTACAATTTATTTCAATAAATATTTTTTTGCAAGATGTCTTCTGTATTATGGCGTCAATGAAAAGAAAATCGCATAATGAGAAATGTATATCCAAAATACGCAAATCAATTAAAGATTAGATAAGATATGAAATTTGGAATAAGAAGAAGATCTTCTCAGAATATTATTTCAACATTACCAACGATTTGAATATACACCCACTATTTAGCACACGCTTAAGCTCTTCTCTGCTTCTATTTCTCTTTCAGTGTCTTTCCGCAGGCTTGATGGGCTCTCTGACGCGTAACGTTGAGAATGAAATATGTTCACTATCCAAGAGAAAAAACTCTGTTTTAAATAAAATTCAGCTTATTTTAATTCTTACTTGTGGCATATTGAAAAAACATTTATGAGATTTCAGTAAATTTAACTAATGGTTCATTCTTCGTTACTTCAGAGCCCAAAAATGGTTTTCATTAAAAAAAAATAAGTTCCGCGTTTTTATTATATGGGATCGAGAGCTGTTTACCTAGAGAGTTCAAACAAAATACAAAAGCGTTCTCTCGATATATACCGGACACTATACTACACACAACAATAGTTATTCCTTGCAGATATTTTTTGCATTGATATTTCCGTTTTTGCTTATCATTTTATTATGTCATAATTTTTTAATAAAACATATTTGAAAAAAAACGGGTTTGTATATATCTATATATATATATATACATATATACATATATGTATATATATATATATATACATATTGTTTTGAAAAAATTTAATTTGAATTTTTATAAGTTTTTTTTGAAGATAAATTGGACTGTATAAACTTATCATGATTATAAAGAAGTAATGCAAAAGAAAATTGTAATACTAATAGTCGATATGTAGCACTGTCGTCAATGAGTTTCCTGTGGAAATTTTTACCACAGATTATTTGAGAAATATCACTTATGGTATGAGAAAAAGTATTTATTCGAGTGCACAAGATAGAGTGAGTGAAAATATGTGTAATTAAGTAAAAACACATGAATCATTTTTGGTGAAAAAATACCACAAGGAATGGTATATTTTTCAAACGCTAACTATAATCTTATTCCATTGACTCACTACAGCTACATCTAAAAGATATTTTTCGATACATGATACCCATTCACAATTATTTGTCATTACAAAATTGACGTGACGTTCGAGAAAAGATTTTCTGAATTTTGTCGTTGTTGCACATGCCTTCATCGAAACATTTCCTCGTTTTTGAAATTGCAAAAAACAATAATACGTTATTATTAATACTTATTTTTGGATCATTTTGTCAAAGCAAAATTGATTTCACAGTCTTAAAAGTTTCAACCAAAAATGGTTGGAGACTATGATTTTGAACACTTAATCCGATTTATATAATATCTTTTTAGTTTCAACTTATCAAATATTTTCATGTTATGTCTTAAATGATTTTAGACCATCGTATTGCCTGAACCCAAGTCGCTTTCTCTTTACTTTTACTCGAAATAACGAAATAATTTATTTGATAAATGCAAACAACAATTGGGCTTCTCTATATATTTTAAACAACGTTTACGGCAGTTTTCCATTTGCCCATTGACAGAGAAAAATGAGAACTAGTGAGACATAACTTGCATTTTTCTCTAACACCAAAAATGTCGATAGGCGTGGTTTGAAGAACGAAGAAATTGAAGGGAGAAGGCGACCTAGCGCGAATGTCTACACGTGGAAATTTCTGCTCGTTATCACATTAGAATATGGCCGAAGACGAGTATCGAGTGTATCCAAAGCGTTGGATTTATTTGCTAGCCGCTTGTTTAATCAACTTCTCAAATGGAAATGTATGTTTTTTTTATTTATTCAATAAACAACATATTTATTTCATTAAAACAATGATTTTATAGTTTAAAGCATTTTGAATAGTCCAATAATTATTATACATTATTTTTAGACGTGGATCACATTCGCCGCAATCACATTCTATACAAATGACTATTATGCAAATAATAATGCAGCCCTTCTTTTTAATGTTATCTTCATGGTGTTATCAATTCCGGTCGGATTTTTGGCTTGCTGGTGGATAGACAAATTTGGATTGAGATCTGCGGTACCTCGTATTAAAAACAATTCAATTTGAATTTTAAATCTCAGTATCATATTGGAGCATGGTCAAATTTAATTGGTAACATCGTGCGATTAGTTGCATCTGGTTCATTCGTTGACCCTAGTCTCAGGTGAAAATTTTGCCATGATATAACGCGTCAATTTCCATCCATCTATCAAATCATCATTCGAGGCCGCAAGGCCTTAAAAGGCTGCAAGTGAAAGTGAAGTTTATTTTTTTTAGGTTTCCGATTGCATTCACCGGACAAGCGATTGCAGCATTTGCACAGCCGTTCGTGATGTTTCTACCGACGAAATTAGCGGCGTATTGGTTCGCGGATAACGAGAGAGCTACCGCAAACACACTCGCCTCGATGTCTAATCCGATCGGAATAGCAATTATGTACTCAATGGCACCTGTCTTTGTGAACAAATCCACACCGGATAATTTCTTTAATATGGTTGGTGCAAAGCTTATTATCAGATTAGGAAGGACTAATGATGAAAAATGTGTTTTCTTATAACACTTTAAAAAGTTTATTATCAAAGAAACAATTCGGCTACCGTACTTAGGATAACCTTCAAATCAGACTCACCAAATAATTTTTCAATTTGTATCGAAAGGAAATGAGATTTTCTATTACATGTTATGGGTTTGTGAAACCATACAAACATTTATAACCAAAACCTGTTGGAAAAAATAACATTTTTTTCAGAATATCGCTGTAACTGCTGTTGCAGTAGTTCCAGTTTTGTTATCATTCTTTGTTAATCGATCGAAACCACCAACCCCATCAACTCCTTCAAAAGGAAACGACATTCAATGTCCATCTTTTCTAGAAGGCGTTAAAATATGCTTCAAGTCCAAAGCGTATATGGTTCTCGCGTTATGTTTAGGTAAGCGAAGTGCCATCTATTGAGTATTTATACAAAGCAATTTATAGGTGGCGGTGTTGGCTTATTTAATGCTTTATACAATAATCTTCAGCCAGCTCTTTGTGTTAAAGGATATAATCCTACATTTAATGGTGGAATGGGAACATTGCTTATTTTATCTGGTTTCGTTGGGTCTGCAATTAGCGGTATAATCGTTGACAAATGGGGAAAGTTTGAACAAGTATATCGAGCAAAGTTGTCATTCCAATCAAAATGTTTGTTGTAGGTCATGAAGGTTGCTTTCTGTATTGCTGGCGTTGCCGCTGCCTCATTATCAATTTGCATAAACTATGAAAACGTGGAATGGTGGGTGATTGCCTCGATATTTGTATTTGGCGCCGCGGGCTTCTCAATTTTCCCGATTGGATTGGAGATGGGAGTCGAAGCGACATTCCCAGTAGCTGAGGCCACTTCAACTGGTCTTATCATTATGATAGGGTTTGTTGAAGAACAATGGCTTTGAAACAAATATTTTCAGACAAGTTCAAGGTGTATTTTACGTCCTCATGACAAATTTAGCAGTTGGAAAACCAACACCTCATGACCTTGCTATTCAAACTTGTGTTGATTCGAATCAGAATATCAATACAGTCTTGACGTGGAAATGTAACAGCAGATGCAATAAAAAAGAACATCGAAAATTTATGACTTCCAGATCCTTTTATAATATGGCTTGCGTGTATCTCAGCATTGATTATCATTTTTGTTTCATTATTCTGGCCAAAATACAAAAGACGGAATTACGAACAAGGTCAAAAAATGCAACGGGAAACAATATCCAGTGATCAGACAATAACGCATTTTGATTTAGAAGTGCAACGAACAAAAATTTAATAACTATTTGTTGAGCTTGTACATATTTGTGATTATTAGTCATTAAATAGTTCACGTATTATTGTGATTTGTGAGAATCGTTTTATTAGGCGGGTGAACCATCTCATGTAAATCGAAATTTAATTTTCAATGAATATTTTGTATTTCGATTCATTCATTTTTATTTACCTCTATCTCGTCTAGTTTAAACATTTCCCAACATGATGATAAGTTTCGAGCATCTCATGTCAACTATCAAAATTCTTGGTATGACTGAAGAATAATGGCCACTGCTTATCGCAGAATAATTCATTTCCTCGTTTTTAGAGTTGATAAAGTAAAAGACGAAATATTCATCATGAAAGCGAAAGACGCACAAAGTTACATTTGATTACAAATTACAGATTCAATGAAAAAGCATAATTTATGATTTTCAATCATCCAGCATGTTTTCCTTGTCGTGTTTGGCATCAGTGATCGCTTTGTTGATCACGTCAATTGATTTTTTGGCATCTCGATATTGATCATCATCGAGGGTTCCTTTTCCAATAAACCTTGCTTCCTTAGCAAAAGTTTCACAAATCTAAAAATTAGAAATGTTGTATATGCCTAGTGGGTCCATAATACTTTGAACGAATCTTCGTCAGCGACATCAAAGTAACTTTTGACAAGCTTCGCATAATTTACATAGATCTCCAATGCCTGTGGCGAATTTTTCTCCTTCCAGACTTTTTTCGCGGCCAGTGTAATCTCGTAATAGATTTCCTGAGAAAAGTGATAAATTTACCCTCCAATAAATAACGCCTAGGAAACTTTTAGCCGATTCCAAGCTTCGTTTCGCTCTTCATCTCGGGATCCTCTGCATAATTTGCTGAAAATCTCGTAAACAGCTTCGTTGTAAAGCTCGAGCCAGTCGGCGTTTTTTCTACAACAAACACAAGATGTTTCTGAATAATCAACAATGTCACCATACACCATTTTGACGCCTTCTACCAAATCGATGCATTCTAAACAGGCGGCTTTTTTCTCTTCAAATGATGAGCTATAACAATATAATATCATTAGGAATAAAAAAATTCGTCTGAAAACCTTGTGACTTTCTCACAAACAATTATATTGACCGTTTTCATTTCAGAGAGCGAGTACTCGATTCCTTCTTGAGACGTGTACCTAAGGCAAATACATAGTTAGAAATTGAAAACTTGTATCAATTACTCGGCAATTGCTTCCAATGCGTCATCAATTTTTTCGCTTTCGGCTAACTTTCGTGCTTTCTCAAAAGCTTCTTCTCTTGGATCCATGATTGTGTGCTCTATGGAAACGAATGCAATCAATCAATTAGAATAAATAAAATGAAAAAGAAAGTTCAAATTTGCATCAGGCAAAAAAAAAACAAAACTTTTTGCTGGCGAATCTGATTAAAAGTCAATTGTTTGAGAAGAAATGATTCGGATCTTTCTCTCTCTCATCGGGAGAGTCCCATTTCTTCTCCTCCATCATGTTTCTCTAAAACTCATGAGCTGGGATGACTGTCTCCGAATCGCAGGTGTTTTCATGCACGTCGGCCTTGTCCAGAGTGTAGGGAATCACGTCCTACGATTGAGTGGGTGTGTTACACTGTCGCTCCTGCACAAAACCGTTTAGAAATATGGGGTTTTACAAATGGAATAAGCTTACGACCCATTTGCGTCATGATATATGGCTATGGAGGAGGTGTCAGCATATAATTGAGAAAATACACATTTCAATTTACTGAAAAAAACATTCACTTCGATGAATCCAAATATGAAAAAAAAAACTTAAATTATTTCGCTTCTAAACCGCTAGTTTCAATTTTCGACCCACTACAATTTTTATGTTGTGCGGAAGTTGATGATTGTAATGTCTTCGGAGTTTACTGAACCGACATCCGCGAGGCCATACAACTCATAATAAAAAAGGGGAAACGGAAAAACGAGTTGGAATATGCGAAGTGTAGATGATCACAAGCCGAGATTCAACATATGAACCCATCTATTATTTTCATTTCGAGACCTATATTTTCATGTTTATATTATTCCGCTGAGCACGCACGTTTTGTGAAAAAACAATCTTGAAATAGTTGAGAGTCTTAAGATATAAATATCCTTTTGAAGACAACATCCTTGACGACACTAGTCGCCAAAATTATTTATGTAGCACCAGTCAAGCAACCGGCCGACTGAAATTTCAATTATATATTTTTTAAGCACTTTTGCATTGTATTCAATTACCTCATCACATTTTTTATGTATAAAAAAAAGAAAAGGCATATATATGCAAATTGGTTCGGAGGTAGGAAATGCGCATTCGATTTGTCTCGATATTACGTTTCTTTGACATTATAATCCATGACTATGTCATTTGTTTCACAATAAACTTGTGGGTGGCTCAAATACATTAGGAATTCATTGATATCTTGCATTTCCATGCATTCATGTATAATAAGCCATAGCGAATGGATGCCGAAAGAACTCGTTTAATAAATTATTAACAACTATACACATATGGAACAGCGCCGAAGTAAGAAAGGACATATTTTGAAGAAAAAATTGCCGGTCTATTACTATAACCCAACTCAATCAAATAATTGATTTATTTGCCTTTTTGTTGCGCTATAGGTTTGTTCAACTCCAAATTTCTCTCTTCGTTTCTTCAATCTAGGCACATTTACCCAAAAAAAAATTGGGCGCAACATTGTTGTACTAGCACAAATGTAATTTATCACTTTCGCGTAAAGTTCAGCTAATTGGTTCTCACATCTGCCTCTTTGGAATGCTACTCAAATTGATCCATCAACATCTTCAATCTTTTTTTCCTATCAAAAACCTCTTTACCACGTCTGCTTTTTATTGTCAATTGCTTTCAATTCCTTTATTAAGGCCAATGCGTGTAGACAGTGATGAATACGGTACACATTTGCGGGCAACAGATGAGTCAACTCCTCGCCGCGGAATTCGGAGGTTTCTGCTCGGCGAGCAACAGCAGCAGCGGCGGCATCGGAAACACGACGAGCTAGCACGCGGATCTCTGCGACACGCCCACGGTCTTCACTTGACACCGAATTCACGCCGCAAGATGGGCGCTTGCGTAAAAACTCTACGCTCGTTGGTTTTTATTTTCAACTTCATTTTCTGGGTAAGTGTTTTTTTAAGTAATAAACACGATTTAAATAAATTTAAGGGATAAATTAAATTATTTCTATATATTTCGACTCTATATGCAAGCTCGTTATAAAACATTTCCAAAGCAAACCAACATATTGAAAAATATTTGAAGAAATATTATTATGTGAAATGTGATGCTTTCCAAAAAACTATAAAACAAATGTTGGGCAAGTTTTTAGAAAAAAATCTATTATAAAAGTAGTTTTCTTGATATCTTTAAGTTGTTTCCACTTATTCATTAATTAATATTTTTTCTCTTTTTATTTTCAGATTTTAGCATCTTACTTTCGCTTAAAAAACATTTCTAAATTTGAAGACATACGATAGGGACTTGTTTGTTTTTTGCTCTTTCCATATTTGTCTTCTTCTATATCTTCTCTAAATTTGGTACGCAAGTGAGCGCGTTTATTCCATTCGAACATCAATTGGAGCTCTTGAGACTAGAATTGTAAATGAGATTTTGAAGCACAATAGGGAAGTTCCCGAATCAAAATAAAAGGAATGGATAACGAAATCAAAAAACGAGAAATTGCCTCTTGGCTCCTAGCACTATTACTCTTCAAACATCGACAAATGTGAAAGAACGAATCAATCAATTTTGTGATAAAAATTTTGCCGCGAAAGATGATTAGCTCAATTGATTTATTGCAATTCCGTTCTATCTTTATCGAGAAAATCTCGAGCTGGAAATTAATACAAATCTCATCTGGATTAATAACTCGAGAAAGTTCCAAAAGTAAACAATTGTATAGATAGTTTATATAAAACAAACGCGAAGGATATAATGCCGTCTGTTGTCTGGCGGTTAATATATGTATACATTAACTGAAGCGCAAATTGTCAAGAATTGTGGAATATTCAAGTGTATTGTTACTCATGCGTTTTGCAGATTTCCGGCATTGTTATCTTTGCATTGGGATTATGGCTACTTTTGGATTCGTCTGCTTCGGATTTCTTCGCTCTCCATTCAACTCATCCAGGTAACTCCTTTTTTAACAATGGAAAAAAAATCCCCATTTTCTTCAGGTTCGTTTAGGATAGTCGGATGGCTTCTCATTGCTGCCGGCGGAATTATGGCGTTCATTGGATGTTTCGGATGTTGCGGAGCATGGAAACTCAATCAAGGCGCCCTTCTCGCGGTAATCTTATCTGACGCCAACGGGCCCTCTCGGCGTCGCTAACTATTTCGGTGACGGGTCTGCCGTCAAGCAATGTTTTATCTCACAAAAAAATCAGCTCCGACGGAGAGCCCCCAGATTTACACCAGAAGATGAAAAACAATAAAGACATGCATGTGCAAAAAGCAAGGCCACGCCGAGTTGAAGCCAACAGCTGTTTCATAGAGGAAAAACGCGAGAAATGAGTTTTTAGAACCTTACACTGCAGCCGAAAATAAATATGACATAGTTTAACATCAACTCGGTATCAATAAAATTGCGGGACCGGAAAAAAACTGTAAAGTGCGAAACACACATTCTCGACATTATTTAAAGCAGAGCTTGTTTTGCTTAGAATAATCGTTAAAAAGATACGTTTGGGAATATAGCTCAAAAATGCATAAAAATACTCAAAAATAAACAATATGATTTGAATCTATTCTCTTCCTTAAAATGCTTAAAAATGCCTGAAAATTGTTACTTTACCCTCAACCAATTAGACAAGCATCTAACACTCAGAAAATTAGAACAATTTCGTTTTCACATAATATATTTTCCCAGACAGTAGTCATTGTATGCCTCTCAACAATGCATTTTTTAAGTTCTTCTTCGTTCTCATGCTTGTCTTCTTCCTTGAACTTGCCGCCGCAATCACCGCTTACAACAAGCAGGAACATATTCGGTGATCGTACAGACCCAGTTTAATGTGATGAATCATTGCATTTCAGAAATTACATCGAAAGTAGCATGTACGACACGATCAGAAATCGCTACGCCTCAGACACCGCGTACAAGACGGCGTTTGACACTGTCCAAAACGAGGTTGGAATGTGAACTTTGTTGATAAGAATTTTCCTTGAAATTAGCGAATTTAATTAAACGAATAAGAAAACGATTCCTAAGGTTTCATTGTTTTAAGTTCCAATGCTGCGGAGTGAAATCTTATTCGGATTGGCTTGGTGCTAGTTGGGACCGTCGCGGAACTGCACATCTTGAAGAAGAAGAGGGTCGAGGAAGAATGGAGCACGGAATTGGTGCCGTCGGTGGAGGCCGTGGAAATGGATATGGTCAGCAGACCCAATATTAATAATTTTTTACGACACGTCATTTTCAGGACGAGTGCCGTCATCGTGTTGTAATGACGATGGAAAATCTGCGTACCCCAGCAATTGTGGAGTATCCTTCAATCAAGCACCTCTCTCGACCTACTCTCAGTTTATTCATGAAAACGTTGGCGAGAGGAGTTTTTGAGGGAATATCATATTATAATTGCAGGGATGCTCCGATGCCCTATATGATCGTATCTACAATCATCTTGACTATATCATTGCAATCTGCGTCATCGTCGGATCTCTTCAGGTAAACCTCGACACTTAAAATGCTCTAGCTGAAACAAATTTTAGCTTTTGGGAATGATTCTTGCCATGGCTCTCTGCTGCTGCGTAAGCAAGGAGAACAAGAAATATTCAAACTATTAAGAGTTGTTTTATAATAGTTTATAATCTGCTTTGAAATTTCCAACTGCTAGAAACTTCGAAAACCGACGGGTCTGCTGTTCTTCTTATTTTAAGACCCGGTTTGTTGGCTTTTGTACATTAACTTTAATAAATATGCTTAAACAAAAAACGATTTTTGAAAATGTTTATGAAAGAATACACGACGCGAGCAGTAGTGACGACCAGTGTTTGAAAATGATTCTATGAAATGCATAGATTACAGAAAAAATGAAAACAGTGTACGACATTGGAAAGGTAGATTCAAGATGATACTGATGAAATATAGGCAAATATTGATTGAATTTTTTGAAGGTAAACGTATTTCAAAATTGATCACGCGTGGAAACGAATTTTGATCTACATACCTGATAATGGCTAGAATAACAACAAGATCATATTTTAGTGAATTTGAAAACATAAATTACAACAAGAAAACGCAAAATACAAAAGTCACAACACGGAGAGATGGGATTGGAAAAATGAACACAACACGTTTACCCATTCGAAAGAAACTTCACAGCAAATAGACAATAGCCAGAAAAAGAATAGAAAAAAAAAGTACTCGTTCGAAAAATTATTTGGAATATATACGGAATTACAACACATAGCAATCGGGATTCCTATTCGGTGACATCTTGGCGTTGGCGCATCGGAATCCGCAAAAAGTTGAGAATGTTCCGCTTGCGGCCATTTACATTTTCACCGGTTTCGGGGGCTTGTAAAACACCAAGCTGTTGAGGTGTCAATAGGCACAAAGACGAAGCAACGGCGAGACCGGAAGTGCCACTGGGTGTTGTCGCGCGACCTCCGGTTGGAAGTCGGACAGCAAGCGTGAACACACCGGCACGGTAATTACTGCACGGTTCAATCGAAAGCGGCGTCGGCCCACCTGCGGAGGCCACCTGGTTTGGAGTTGGTAATTCCATTTTAATTGAACCAAATGGTCGTGAAGCCATCTGCACATTATAAAATTTTTACATCATCTGAATAGTAATTCAATCAACTCACGTGTTCAAACTCATCGATTCTTCGCTGATTCCTTCGATATGCTTCGATTCGCACTTTGATCATCCAAAGAATTCCCGCAACCACTAATAATACGATGAAACACCTATAAATAACAAACAATATCATTACTCTAAAATGTGGATTGATTTTTGGCAATAATCGTATTTGATTACATTTTTGATAACAAAAATGACTGTTAAACCTGCTTGTGGGCGTGTTGATTATTAAAAGAGCGTAAACATTTGGAAACTTATCAAAAGCGATTAGGAGGTTCAGTAGTATTAATATTCTTTTCAATAAGTGCGTAATGGAAAATTTACTTACGCCGCAAATATGACAAAAAATAGCACCCAATTGATTGGCGGTGACTGCGCAAAACTGACGATTATTTGTACTGGAGTATTGAAGTTGTAAACTCGAACCTAGAAATATTTTAATTTGGAAAATGGAATAGCGATAAAACTTACAAAGAATGTTGTATTTGCATCGGGTCCGAAAGGATAACCTTTGTCAGATGCTACATAAACTCTGCGGAATCCTTTTGAATCGCAAGTCGTGTTGAACTGAACCCATTTTTTTTTTCAAGAATCATAATTGAAATTTTTACCATCATCATCTGTGTTCGCTCTGGAAGGCCATCAATGAAAGATGAAGTCATGTTCAAAGCGACAAGAGCATTTCCATTCGGTGATTCACAACTGATTTGGAATGTCACGTCCGTATCCTTCTGTGAAAACATGATATTGAATAATTATCAATTTGCAAACCTTATATGGAATGCTGTACAAGTAAATCTCATTGGTGTGATTGTCCTTGTCATCAGCCCTCAGTTTGAATGTGAATATGAAATCAACGGCAAGCTCATCTAAAATTTCAAACGATTAAATGTAATGGTTGTAATTTAGATACAATAGCATGGTGTTCCATTTTTTGGTGTTCCGCTGTATTTTGATTCACATCTTTCGCAATGATGACCGGTAACTCCTTTTGTTCGACAATAACAGTAACCAGTGGCGGGATCGCACATATCAGATTGGCCATTGCATTCGCAAGCTGAAAATTAATTAGAAGGTAGAACGCATGTGGTTATTAACATAGCTATTACATGTGAAAAACAAATCAAAAGTTCGTTCAAAGAACTATTATAATTATTTATGCCCATGTTTAATAACAAAATAATTTCTACTAATATTACTCACGTGAGCAGATACCGCCATTTCGCGAATCCCCAAAATATCCAGGTGCGCATTTTTCACAATGTTGTCCCGTTGTATTGTGTTTACATTCTTGACATTTCTCAACAGTCACTGGTGGGAATGAGCCGACAGAAGTGACGCATGTTGAATGACCGTTGCACTGACAAGCTGTAAACGCATGTTTCATGAACATGAAAAACGAACTTATTTTCCATACCAGGGCATTCAATAAAATGCCATTTCTGGTTTGATCCCGTTTCATGCAATGGTCCCTGCGATGTTCCTTCAACGCATTTTCCCAAACCAGTTTTTGAATCATCAGCTAGCCATCCGCATTCTGGTGAACGCTGACATTCAGCGCACGTCTTGTGCTGCGAACAAACACCCGATTCTAAACCGTGTCATTGAAGAGATAATTGAACAATCGCTTTAATTAACCTGCTTGACATAATCGATCAAAGTTGTTTCCCGACGCATTAGTCACCCAAGAACGACATTGTCCATAAGCAAATGACAGCGTGTAGGCTTCCAAATTAATGCATCGGTTTGTACTCGGACACCACATGCATTGATCTAATGCGATGCAGTCAGTACAATTTGAACGCTGCGAACACGGTAGAGGACATTCGGTTGCATTTCGAGAAAAGTGTCGGCTGAGATTTGTGATGAAATGCGGCGTTATGCGTGTTCTATCGAACATTGCCGCTCTTCCTTCATAATCGTAAACAGCTGCAACTGAAATATAATGGTGAAACCAAAAATAGGTTGGTTATTAACTCATACGCAATTCCTCCTTGCTCACACAAGGAGTACTTCGATCAGCAGTATACCAAGAACATAGCGAAGATAGGCGGCAACTACCGCAACTTTTCTCCATATGACAAGGACGAGGAGAAAGAGCCAGTTGATTATTTTGCGGACATTTTTCCCAAGAAGTGAGCATTCCCTGAAAAAATAGTGTACTTTTAATGACAAATATGGTTTAATTACTGGTCCATCAACGCATTCTTGGTCGTTTGGAAGGCACTGTTCACCTGATGAACACCAGCCACATCCAGATTTTGACGCGCATGATACACAGTCTTTTTGTTGTTCACACACTTGCAACGCTTGCCTATAATGGGGGGTGTATGTTTGGAAATCGCATTGGTCGCTTCACTAATTACCGGTATGGTGTGTTAGTACATTCGTCTATTTGCTTTGGGCTGTTCTCTTTGACGAACGAGACAAAATTCGGTTTGTATGAAACATTTGGATCGTATGGGACGCAATTTTTCTCAGTGAAAACGCATTTCACACCATCAGTGATCATGCGACACTCATCCGGTCTAATCGTCGAATCGCAGCGTGCTTAAATTAAGGCGAACTTTAAAAACTGTGATGAAAAAGCAATTCGAACCTGGAGTGAATGTCCAAATATCGTTCAACATTTTGCCATTGAAACCACCGTAAATGTAGATTTTTCCTTTCACTACTTGCGCAGTATGTCCATATCGCTTCATTTCTTCTGGCATGTTTGTCATATTTGTCCATTGCTTACACGCAATGTCATACGAAAGGACCACATTTGTGAAGCATTGATGTTTTCCGTACGTCGAACTATTATATCCGTTTCCGCCAGCTACTATCATTAAGCCATTGAGATGAACAGCGGTATGGAGAAACAATTGAACCCCAGATTGAGGCAGATTAGTCCATTTTCTCGAAGATGTGTCGAATTGCATTAAGGAATCAGCAATTGTGTTATTGAACATGGTACCACCATAGACCAAAATTGCAATTGATCCCTTAAATGGATTAACTTTTTTTAAAACAAAAATGAATTAGAATGTTACTGTTGATGTTTCATATTCAATTGCGGAATGTTTGAATCGACCATGAACGTGATCCGTAGTATTGGACAATGACCACGTGCCAGTTTCAAAGTTATAAATTTGAACTTGATACATAAATCCAAAGAATGGATTATAGCCAAATATTACAAACATTTCAGATCCCGAGACATGGGCAGAGTGTCCAGCAACAGCGAATGGGGGAGCCTATGTATAATATTATAACGTCATAACCTCAAAAACTATTCTTACGATGATTGTCTCATTCGTGATTTCAATCTGCTTCCACGTATGCATTGTCAAATCAAACGACCACAATTCGTTGGTGATGTTTTGAAGAGTTTTGCTGTCGTCTCTTCCTCTAAACACTCCTCCAAACATGTACAACTTGTTCTGGAAATTGGTTTTATGTTATACATCACTGAGTTTTTTTTTCAAACCTTATATTTGACAACTGTATGGTCGTAGCGAGCAGTTGGCATTTCTCCATTCACATTGATTTTGGACCATTCCCTGCTTGTAGTATTGAATACGTCGATAGCGTTTGGATCAACAGCTCCGTCAAAATATTCTCCACCTAAAAATTCAATGATTTTAAAAATCCATTTGGTGTTAAAATACCAATGTTCCAAATGCAATCATCAATTACAATTGAAGCATGAGAAGCTTTTCCGTCTGGGGCATCATTCTTTGGATGAATTCGATCCCAAACTGAAGTAGACAATCCAGCTTGACAATATTCCCCTGAAAGTTGCTTTCTACGCCAAACTATTTGAAAAAGATAATTGGTACCGTGGACTTTTTGGTTTGAGCATATGCATCTTCCATTCTCACATTGCCCTTGGTTGCAGGGTCCACTTGCAAAATCCACATCTAGCGAACAAACTTCATTTTGGCAATATTCTCCTGAAGGAATCACGCTTTAAAAATTGTAGGTATTATGTTTCGTTTACCAGCGAAACCAGGCGTGCAATTGCAAACTCCATTTGAACACGTACCGCGATTTGAACAGTTATATGCACATCTGCAATATTATGAACAATTCAAAAGTTCTCCATGAATCAATAAAATAACACATTAGAATTTTTACACCTACCTATCATACTCGTACGAAATAGTGAACCCGTTGAGATTCATTGCCAAATCACTGAAGAAGTAAACTAACGCTTTACCCGATGGTGCAGTGAACTCTTGTGGAGCTTGATCTCCGCTGAAACCATTATTAGTAATAAAGTTGAACGATTCATGCAAACCATAATGCAGCTAATTGTTTTCCGTAGACGCCATCACCATCGTAAATGTACAAATAGTCCCATCCACATTCGGTTGAAAAACTTTCTATTTTAATGGTTAACGGCCTTGATTCTTTCTAAAATAAAAAGTCAACTAATTTCATAAGTGTAAATTTCATACCACTTCGGGTTCGATTAACCAAGTGCACTTTGAAACGGAACTGTAGTTCAAAGGTCCATCGGATAATTGACTGCTATTTTCGCTTAACCTGCAAAACTTTTTTTTTTGTGTTTTAATTGGTTAGCTGATTTATCGTACTTTATTCGTCCAATACAGTGATCGCATTGAGCTCCGAACCACCCTTTTGAACACACACATGTTCGATTTAAACAGACGCCGTTGTAGCAAGGTTTCTCACAAGAAGAGAGAGACTTAAATAAATTATTTTAACTGATTCTTGCAAATTGGCTGATTTTAAAACCAAATTGAGAAATAGATGCGATTTTTCTATTTTGAATTCTTTTCAAGTCATAAATTTCGGTCATAAAACTGTTATAGCTTTTTCTCATTCATTTTACCTTCTCGAAATCAAAAGTTGCCTGATTGGCGATGACGTGTGCTGCATTGATGATGACGGTAAGGGTTAATATGGTCCATATCAACTGTATTGGGTATGGGCCCCTTTGTGAATTCATCACGTGCTCATCAGTACGATCTGAAAATTTCATGAAAATTTTAATGAAGAGTTGAAAGAATAATAGTTGCAGACAACAACAAGCGGCGTAAATTGAGCAAACATGTTTTTATATACGCATATTTTCAAAATATTTCCTTCATCATTGCGAAAATATTCATTGCCGACAAACATTGGCGAAGTTATTTTTCAACATCAGAAAAAAAGAACAGTTATATTATCAACTATTAAATGGGTGTGGCAGGTTTTATTATCAAACTGTGGTTCATATTTCTTGAACGTAATAAGACAGATTTTCGAAATAATTTCTACAAAAAGAACTGTGAAAAATCCCAACAACATCAATCAGAAGATTCGAAATAAGGAAAATCAGCGCGTAATGGTAATGCCTGGGTATGGTGAGGGTTGCTGCGTGGGGGGTGTTGATGACTAGCTAGGTTAGAGAGGCCGCGAGACGAGAAACACAGACCTAGATCATCGGTAGTGAAGAAAACGGATCAATCGATGAGAATGCGAGGAGAAAGGGACGGACGCGAGGTGGCCGTAGTTGTATTCGCAAGGACAGGGAAGCGATGCGGAAGAGAAGTGGAAAAGCGAGGTGAAGTGTTGTTTGGGGTCTACAGCCAATAGGTCGGCAGTCCAACGAGTTTGGTTAAGGCCCAATACGCACACGACGCTCGGCCAGTATTATTTACCCGACTGTTCTCCATTACGATTATTATTAATTCTTTTTTAACAAAATAATTCTATGAATATTACTCGTGGTGTGTTTAATATACATAAACAGTATTGGTTGATAAATTAATCGTCCTACTTTTGTTATCATTAAAGTTTCACTCAATTCCACTTGATTGCAGAAGATAGATTTTGTTTGTGCGCGATTCTTTTTTTTAGAAAACAAAAGATGTATTAAATCCGCTTGCATGTAAAACAATAATCGTTGTTTTCACTATTCCGACTATCCGTTTTAGCTATTGAAACAAACAAGTATTTGAGAGATTTTAAGAAATAAATTGGTTAAAAACTACTATTTTATGTAAGTGTTTAGTTATGCATAATATTATTATTACCAAAATGAAAACAAACGAGAGAAACAAATCATTTACGTGTTCGCATATTGTTAAAAAGGTTAATTATTTCCTCTTTCTTATTAAAATATAAAAAAAGAGGAAAAAATTAATTCAATTTATGTTTTTTTATTTTTATTATTGCTTTATGAGCTCGTAGAAGATATTTAATGATATTATAATAAATTTCAATACATATTGGAGAAAAGCGGAAATGTATAATTGCACATACATAGTTTTGTGAACATGTTTCAAAAAAACAAACAAATGCAGTGAAATGCAATAGCGGCAAGCCTGCTCCATTGGTTTGAAACGACAACTTTTCATGTTTGATGAATAGAGCGAAAAGGGTTACTCCTGTGCGCAGCTCTTTTCAATAAGAGTTTTTCATCATTCATATTGACTAAAAAGGCAGGATACTTGAGAAATGCTCTCACTAATGAAATAGCTTCTGAGAAATTCGATCATTTGGTCAAATAGATATATGAATAGAACGAAAAATTCGGCAAAATGACAAAGAGTCTTTCCTTTTATCAAATTTTGAACTAATGTGAATCGAACGTTGCTTTTCAAGTTTATTTGAAGGATCGCAAAAAAGTTTGTTCGATTGTTAATACCATTCTGAACAAACAAACACAAAGCCGAACACACTTTTTTGCTTCTTGAGAACAAGAAAAAAAACTGGCCACATAACATCTCATGAGAGAACAATTCCATTTCATGCGCAGCACTAATGTTTTCTTGTGAAGCAAATTGAGCTATGCATGGCTCGGCCTAATTTTCAATTTTGAAGCCTCTATTTAAGCTAGGATTAGGAACACGCGCATTCCGTCGCTTTTTTTTTCTTTATTACGCTTATCTATGAAATCTTGCTGACATTTTACATCACTTTAAACATAAGTAGAATTAACGCGGAAATAAGTTGTAGACTAATGAAAAGAAAATGTCACAAAAAAAGAGTTCATTGTTTCGGAAAAGCCCGGAGAGGCACATTTTCCTCCCAAATATAACAAACAAAACTTGCCTCAAGTATGGGAAAATTGGAATCCACCTAATCTGAGTGGAAATTTGCTTTGAGCGCTACAATTTTTTTTTCGTAAAGCAGCATGATCATTTCGATATGAAAAAACGAAAACTTGTAAATATTGGCAGAGAACTAATAACGGATATTTTTAATACCCATATTTCTAATAAAAGTTAGGAATATATATATATATATATATATATAAATTTTAAGTAAATGTGTCATGTGTTATTAAAGAAAAATACCCTAGATAATCAAATATAATGCAGGTGGTATGCATTATTATGATTATTTAACAAAACTTGTTATTCTTATTGGTTTACTACATATATTAGCATATTCTCAATAACAATGCTATTTGAGAAAAATCAAATAAACTCTCTAGAAAATAACTTATAAAATATTTTATTGAAATATCACATTTCGTAAATGACATACAAAATGATATTTTATAAGAATTAAAACTTTTTTAATTAATTATAATTGTGGAAAAACACTTTTAAAATAAAAAAAGTTATCTCTTATTTCTTTATTTACAATAAAACGCATTGTTAGATTATGATCATCTCATATTTATTGACACAAGTATTTATTTTTCTTATTACATCTTAAAGTAAAAAAATGTTTCAGATATAACGGTATCTTTAAATTGTAGTTGTCCCCTAATAATTAAAATTTTATCTGTTATTATTATCATTACTAAGCTACTATGTATTTATGTAGCACTCGTCAATTATCTAAAGTGTATTATGTGGTTGGTTATCTTATCTCGAATTCTTAGTACGTTGGTACGCTGGAGTACACAATTACTGTGCCCATCAGTAATTTTGACTCCAAATCACAGAACTTTTGATTATTAACCGAAACTAGCCGACTTCTTTTCGCGCCCAATTTTTCTCGTTTCTTCGGCAAATATTAGCGATAAATTGCTATTTTGGTAGCCCTGAGGAGGGCAAACATTATGAGAGCTCATAATTTGCGCATTTTTAAAACTTCCTATCACGCCACATTTTCAGTTGTCTTTTTAGAACACCTCAATTAAGAATGACGTGTTAACAAATTGCGTTGATCACAGAAAGCACATGACACAAACTGAAAATGACTCACATTTTGAACAATAATCTTTCCGTTCATTCATGGGAATATTTGGCTAGTTTTATAGTTTTTATGAAAAAAAAATGTCATTTTAGGACGTTTTTTTTTAATAAAAAGTTGACAAAACGTCAAATATATATATGAATGGATGACATTTTTTCAATGAATATCACATAGTTCTTCAATGCTTTCATCGAAATTAGTTCAGTTATCCTATTGAAATGCGCCAGTAATATATTAATAATTCAGCCAATTTCTATCTCAACCCAATCAACTATTAAATGAGTCTCATATTTAATTCTCTATTCTGCGTTTATTCTCCCAAAAAACTAATCATTATAAAACATTTGATGCTCCTCCCTCCTCCAGTTTCAATTTTTTTCATTAATGTGTTGCGTGTTTGTCAGTATATGCTGGGTCCTGCGAATTGCATGAGCTTGGAAAATGTGTATTTCCTTGCTGGGATTTGAAAAAAAAGTGGACATGTTTTTTTCGATTTTTTTCAAAATCGCTAAAACGAACATCTCAAAGCCGATTCAGCTGAAAATTGTTTATGCGTATGACATGTGAAAAGTTAATGGAAATGGAAAATCTCTATTTTCACGTAGTCTAGTTGAAAATTAATGAAGTTGCTAGTAAATCGTTCCCCATATATCTGGTGCATATTGATTTTAAAATTTATCTGTAAATCGTTATTGAAATATTGGTTTTTGTGAAAAAAACGAAATTTAATTTTTTTTTCCTTCTCAAACCTCGTTTTTTTTTTCTGTTGCTATCCATTTTCTTTTCACTCTCTCATTGAATCGACAGAGAAACGGATATCACAAGAGCATCAAATGCTTTTCTATTCAGTTATGTGTTTTAGTCGGTTTTCGTTTTTGGCTTGAAGTCTACTGCCATCTAACCAAAAGCATTCGCTGCGCCGTCGCACGTCGCTATTGATTGAGAGCTCAGCCGCCGGCTGAGCAGCGTGCGCACCACTGCATGCTTTCCCTCCAAATTCGTGCGCCTTTTTTCTTTTTCTTCGGCTTCTCATTTTAGACGCTTTTTTGTCGAGCTAGTCTAATAATATTTAAATTACTTTCGGCCAGAATATCTGGAGATAAATCGCGTTAAAAGTTTCTCTTCTGGGGCATAATGTAAACTTTTAATGCCGGATATTGACGAAAAAAATGTAAAATTTCTACGAAAGCAACAAATGAAACAAGTTTCGAAGTTATAAGGCGCGACATTGATTGATAATAACAACAAGCGCAAGTGCGCTCTACGGGAAACTCGTTTCCTGCGACTTGTCATCAATTGCTATTTCTTATTATGTGCACTTAACTTGTACTCAACAATCTTTTCAAGGCTGCAATTGGTTATAAACATTCGCAATTAAGTTTCGAAACACCTCAAATATTCGATTTTCCGCGGAATCGTTTAAATTCCATTCTGTGTTGATCGCGTTTTCTCGTCTATCTTACGAAATTTCGTGGATAAATTAAATAAAATTCTTTATGCCCGTTTTCCTCTCCATCATTTTTTGCGATTTGGCAACGTGATTAGCTGCTTCATTCAGTTCTTTTGACATGCTTAGTTGGCGTAGATGGGATCACAAGAAACCCTCTGGAAGAAAACCCGGTTTTCGTCGACCATCGCCATCCTTCTCTTCTATTCATTTCTCCGATAATATCTTTTTTCTTTTTCTGTGCGTCAGCATTCTCCATTTTTTCATATTTGCCATTTCTCAAAATTGAGATAGGCGGCAAAAAATTTTGCACTTATTTTAATTCGTCGTGACCAATTGGATTAAAGTTTCAATCTTTTTGAACTCGTCCAATCTACACATCACAATTATACTCAAAGTGTTTCAGGTATGTGCTAGAAATGACTGTCAACGGTACAGAAGGCAGCACATTCATCCGGTCGGCGTCCGCTCAGGGCCTTGCCGGGCTTTGTACTTGGGCGGCTCTCATTATTACAAGTCATCAGGTAACATTTATCATCTGTCCATTCATCTATCACTTCTTGTTCAGATCTACCAACATTTACGTTTCTACTCGTGTCCTGCTGAGCAACGCTGGATTGTTAGAATCTTGTTCATCGTCCCAATTTATGCGTTCGACTCTTGGCTTTCGCTCATTTTCTTCTCGGACAATGTCTACATTTTCTTCAACTCGATTCGTGACTGCTATGAAGGTACATATTAATATTCCGTCTCATTGTTTATGCGCGTTTTTTTTCAGCATTCGTGATTTATTCGTTCCTTTCGCTATGCTATGAATATCTCGGTGGCGAGAGCAACATTATGGCCGAAATTCGTGGAAAACCCATCCGCCCGACAAACTATTGGACGTGCACGTGCTGTTTGGCAGGAAAACAATATACCATTGAATTTTTACGCTTCTGCAAACAGGCGACGCTCCAATTCTGCTTTATCAAACCAATCATGGCTGTGATTACATTGATCTTGACTGCAATGGGCAAATACGAAGACGGAAACTGGAGGTAATCAATCACGCTCTTCGATAGTAGCATAATGGAAGGGTTTCAGTGTCGATCAGGGATACATCTACATCACTTTAGTGTACAACGTCTCAATTTCCCTCGCTCTCTATGGATTGTTCTTGTTCTACACGGCAACCCGCGAACTTCTCAGCCCATATCGTCCAGTTCTCAAGTTCCTGACAGTGAAAAGCGTGATTTTCCTCTCATTCTGGCAAGGATTTCTTATTGCTATTCTCGGCGCGACTTCGGTTATTGATCCGGTCACTGACGCTGACGGAAATGAAATTATTGAACGCGGAACTGTTGCTGCCGGATGGCAAAACTTCTTCATTTGCATTGAAATGTTTTTCGCTGCTATTGCGCTTCGATTCGCTTTCAATGTTTCAGCTTACGCCGATGCACATAATTGTAATAATTCGAATCTTTTATTTGATTTTTATCATATTATTTCAGCAAACACTTCAAACGATGGAAGACCAGTTACTTTGCAATCGATCAGCTCTTCGCTCAAGGAGACAATGAACCCTAAAGATATCATGCAAGATGCTATCCACAACTTCCACCCGCAATACCAACAGTACACTCAGGTAGGGAATAATATTCTTCTATTCCAGTCAACACCAATATTTTTTTCAGCATTCAAACCCGCAACGATCGGTCAGTGGTTTAAGTTCAGGTTCCTTTGCCGCTTTCCCTTTGTTTCACTGAACTCAATGTTAACCTCATATCCTAATCTATAGTATTTGTTGCACGCATAGGGTTGCATCCACATTGTGTTATGTTTCTGCGGAGGAGCTAACCAACTACTATAAGTTCGTTTTCGTCGTCGTTGCAAGCATGTTCATCTGATTGCTGTCAATGTGTTGTTTTCATCTTCAGGGCGAAGCTCCATCGACCTCGGGATACTCAGCGACAGCGAGCTCCTTTCCGGCTCAGATATCTACTTTGTCGGAAGAGAGAGCAATTCCTCAAAACCTTCAACCGGTTACGGATCCGTCGCCCTTCACGCGCCGAGTCCCAAGATCAGACTACAACCCATTGCTCTAAGCGAAGACGAACTTTTACCTCCTTTCCACTAAATTCATTTACTTATTTTTGTTTCCTTGTTTCGAATGGTGAGTGGTTTCGTGAACGAATGCTTTATTCCTTTTTCGTTTTTCTTTCATTCAACTGGAGTTTGAAGCTATGACCCGATTTGGAATGAATTAATCATCAATTCCATTTATGCATTTTTTTCGTTTTATTTAAAGGAAATGGATACGGGCATACTCCCTTCTTCATAATGTCGTTGCCTCAGGTGTGTTGTGAAGTCTTCTTTTCCTTTTTCTGTTATTTCATTAGGAAATGGGAAATGCCGAGAATGATGAAAGACACCTAGCAAGTGTGTATGTTCAGTGACGCATCGCACATTTGATGAGATAAAGATTTCCCTTTTAAACAAAGCGAAGCGGATTATCTATTGCATATTCGAATGAATCCAACGAAAATCAGTAAATCCAATTATTTCAGCAGGCCGGAACGAGCTCCAGCACTGAAGACCAGCGAATGGCTAGCGGTTCTGGTACCAATTATTCAACCATGGCACACACTGGTGCTCATGGAAACACAACCCCAACCGCCAATGTTCCTTCTGGAAATCTTCTTGATGCTTAAATATTTGCCAGAAATTTAAAATTTTGCTATTATTTAAATAACTTTCAATACGCATACCTACCAAGAGCCGCTCTTGCATTTTTTATGCCATTATGACTGTTTGTTTTTTTTTTCTTCTATTTTTTCTCTCCTTTTCACCCAACTTATTTTTTATTACAAATGTTCAGCAATTGCTTATGAGATCTTAGAACACTCTATCTTTACGTGTTGTCATTTGTATTATTTTCTCTTTTCTTCCCAGTTTCTATTGCTTTCAATCCTAACCCTTACAAAAAATCGTACATAATTAAAAACTTGTGTCTGTCCATCTGTCGAAAAATGTTTAATTTGACGTTCCTTACTATTATTATTATTATTTTAATCAAAAATCGAAAAATCAATTGTAGTATCGAACAATGTCATATCAAAGATTTCGTTACAATCAAAGTAGAAAATCGCCTGCGTTTCGCAAAAAAAACTCATTCCATCCGGTTTGCTTACTTATTTATGTTGAACTGTATATCAAACTGCTTCATCATTTCATTTAGTGGATGTTGGTTTGTGCGATTAGATAAAATTGACTCCTGTTGAAAGTTTTTTTAAAACGTTGTTCTGAATTTTTAGGAATCAATTTGGCTTATGGACTAATTTGAACTAATTTGGTAAGATATGAAAAAAAGTGTTAACCTGCCAATTTCCATTGATAATTTGTTGCCGTTGTTTTCGATAAGGCATTCGTGCAAGCGAAAAAAACGTATGCCCGTCCTCGTCGTATAAAAACGGTACATCTGGTTCAATGCGACTCGCCCGCTGCTACCCGCCCTCATAGATTTTTTATTTTCTAAGAAGTATATTGTGTTGACGAAAGGACATATAAATAAATATTTATTATCTCTCTTTTAATAAATTATTATTGCATAGACTGAAAATTACCTTCAGAAGATACAATATAAATAAATTACACTTCATATATACATACAGAAAACAACAAATACAATGTATTTAAGAGTAATAAGTACATTGAGCTTCATAGTTGAGTTCCTCTGGCATTTGGATATCAAGGAACAAGGCAAATTCTTTTTCCTTAGTTTTTTCTTCAATCATCGGCTGAGCTGTGGTGGTCACATCAATCTAAACGCGCTTCACTAGTGAATTATATTTTTTGAGAAAATTACATACCACTGTGGTAGTTTCGGTTGGCTTCTCTGTAGTGGTTGTCACGGCTTCGGTGGTTGTTGCTTCAGTGGTCGTAGAAGACTCTTTTCGATCGCGACCAAATCCGCAAACCGATCGAAGTTCTTCGCGAATTTCCTTAGAGAGCGATGCCAAAAACGATTTCTCTTTCATGCGCAGCTCTTTCCATGTTGAATAAGCTGCCTTGGCTTCTGGCGAGAGAGCCTCAATTTTTTTGGCTAGCTCGGCCTTGCGCGTTTGAAGCTCTTCCTCCCATTTGTTGAATAGAGCGAGCTGAAAAATAATCAACGGAATAAATATTCACCAAAAAAAGCTAATTACCGATTCGCCAGAAAGCAACGAATAAGCCAATTTTTTCAATGAAAGCTCTTTGTCCTCGAGAGAAAGACGATGATCAAACCTAAACGAGAATTTGGAAAAATTTTTGCGAAGAATCGCATACCAGACAGCGCGGAATTCCTTTCTGATAGTTGACGAAACATTACGAAGAAATGTTGGTCCGCACTTTCCAGCGAAAACTTTCTCCCGTTGTTCATCTGGTAGCTCGCGAACAATATCTCTGAAATTCGGATAAATAGACGATTTTCTATCTGAAAAATTAGCTAAACCTGGTTTGTTGGTGTTCCTTGTCACAGTCATCACTTTCTTTGTAGTTTGCCCAAATAGCCCGAACTTTATTGGCAGCTTCTTCAGGAAGGTTATCAACGAATTTTGGTAGTCCGCATGGTGGACCCTAGACAACATGCTTTATGGTTAGAAAATTTTTAATTTACTAACTCTTCTGTGCCATGATCCCAAAGGATTGAACGGGTCTCCATGCCTTGGTGGAAAAGCAATGGCTAAGCATGGAAGAACAATCAACGCACTCACAAGTTTGTACATTCTGCAAAAATAAAAGAATTGAGAGCAATTGAAAAGTGAACGGCTGAGTCGTTGAAGTGCAGCGATTGTACATGGTTCAACTGGAGAACGGTGCTTTTATATGTGGGCGATTGTTGGCGAGGTGGGCAAAAAATCGTATTATCTCGGATTCTCTTTAATTTGTTTGACCTCTTGCCCGCGAATGACCAAGGGCACCGCCCAAGGCGACTGGCCGCACAATGAGCATGCAAGAGGCAACCAGCTAGAGAACGGAATGCGACGGCGCCAAAGGTAAACAGATTGAGCCGGTCACGATCCGGCCACCCTTGTTATCATCATATTCATCCTTGTTCAAAAACGAAAGGTTCGAGACAATAAGGAACGCATGATAAATAAAAAAAAATACAATATTTTTTGCGATAGCAGCAAATCATTTCTAATTTTCAAATATAATATTTTTTCAATGTGAACAAAAAAGTTGTTTATTTATCATTTATACTGAACATTGAACTTAAAAATTATAATCTGTCAAAATTTTCGATCAATCGGCCAATTTGGAAAAAAGTCATGACTGAAAATGTGGTTTTGGATAGAATTATGGCTAGCACTGTATATGGATCATATGTAGAAAAATAAAGTTTTCAGATGTTTTTTAAAATAATTTACTAGTTTTATAATGTTTTGCTTTATTCGCATTTGGTTGCAGACATAATTCTGGTTTTTCTGATAATGTCTTGTTTATTAAGGCACATTTATTGGCATTTGCAAAACGTCCAAAAATAAACGTCAATACGGGTGCGTCTCGTTCCGTAAAAAATCCATGACCTGTCCAGTTGCACACACTCTTATTTGTTTTCGATTTTCTCTAACAGATTGCAATCTGACCGCAATCGGTTTCTTTTGTGTATTTCAAGCCTATTGTGCGATTCTTTTCCGGAATAAACAATTGAATGCCTCCTCTCGAGCAAAGAATATATGAGGAACGCCGAAAAAAATCCGTCTGAAGTCGATAATCATACTAATGGTAATGGTTTTGAGTAGATATTTGCGTGAATGTTCTTTGATGCCGTAAAAGGCTCCAAATGCGCATATGTCCTTGATTTTTGTATATCATGACGCAAAATTATTATTTATTGCAACGTTTGTAGTGGATCGGCTCGGTCATCAGATAAGATGGTATCTTTAATAATGATCCACCTCCTGGATAACCGCTCGGTGGTCCTCATTCCGCAAGATGAACCCCACCTGTGCGGCCTTTCTACTCTACCTTCTTCCCTTGGCCACAACGGTTTGATTCCTTGCAAGCGTTCTCTTCAATTTCCAATATTTTTTTCAGAACAGCCTTTTTGCTGACTTCGTAAATGGCAAGGGACCGTACAAACAAGAAGAAGCGTTGCGTTTCCTCGACAAGATGGGTCGGCTGAATCGTCTACAAGCTAAAATTCTCGATGTCAATGTAAACGTTTCTGATCCGGCAATTAATTTAAAAGTGGATTACTATTTCAGATTACCTCAAACGATCAAATCGAAACAAGAATTGCTGATGATAGAGTTCTTAATAAGCCTGATGAGATTCCATATTTGTTTGAAGGAGATATGGTTCTTACTGACGAACAATTCGACGAAATCATTAAGTAAATTATGTCAGCTTCAGAATAATTCGAATAAATTATATACAGAAATGTCAACGATCAACTCTGGGCCAGACAGGGCAAGACTGGACAATTCTTGTCAGCTATCCGAGGAAAACGGTCGATGACGTCAACATTGTTTCTCCGTTGGTCGTTTCCAATTCCATATTACATTAATACAGCAAGTGGAGGTAATAATGCTTTTGCAATTTTCTTAAAAATACACTAACGGATCAATTTCCAGCATTTCATCTATTTTTATAAACTTTATTTGCAGTTGATACATATGCTGTTCTCGCTGGTGTTCAGAAATGGGAAGAAGAGACCTGCGTTAGATTTAGCAGACAAAACTCTCGAGTGTACGGGAATGGAATCGAATTCTTTCAAGGAAGCGGGTACGATTTTTCATCGGTTTTTGGTTTTGTTTGAATTTTTCTCTTCATTTTTGGTTTTCTTTTTTTTCTGTTTTTTTTTTAATTTTATTTTTGTTATCTTTAACTGCGTGCGGACGTACTATTTAGCAAAAAACTGAAATGCATCCTACCAAGTTCGGTCACACCTAAAATTTTTTGGACAAAAAATCGGGAAAAGTGGGCGGATACAAGAGTGTAGATTGTTACACTACACAGTTTCCATTCCAAGTTTCGGTATAAAAGACAAGTATTTCGCAGTAAGCAGTACCTTTGTTCAAATACCAAAGCATGGGCAAACTCATCTTGGTTGGGTCAGTCGCGGTTTCGGCATGTATTCTTGTCACGGTATTCACTATGGGATCTCTTATACAAGAGATCAGCGACATTCAACTTGAAGTCGAGGAAGGAATGACCGAATTCCGAGTATGTTCAAAGTTGTAATAATAGTTTGACCTGTCATATGAACACAGGAGATCCACCAAGACACCTGGAACCGCGTGCTTTCTAAGCACTTGAACCCAACCGGTGCTTCAGACGCTCCTCCAACATTCCAAACTTTGTTCGGAGTACGTAGATCTCGTCAATCTGGATTCCCAGAGCAGTGCAACTGCGGACCACGATCGGAGAACTGCCCACCTGGACCTCCAGGAGTTCCAGGAACTCCAGGAGAGAAGGGAGCACCAGGACCAGATGGAGACGATGGAACTCCAGGGGCTCCAGGAGTCGTCGTTGCTGTTACTCACGATATTCCCGGTGGTTGCATCAAGTGCCCACCAGGAAAGCCAGGACCACGTGGACCACCTGGAGAGGTTGGACCAGCTGGACCTTCGGGAGGCAACGGGCGCCCAGGACCACCAGGACCACCAGGAGGACCAGGAGAGCCGGGAGAGGGAGGAGACGCTGGAAAGCCAGGAAATCCAGGACGTCCAGGACCACCAGGACCACGCGGAGAACCAGGAGTCGAATACAAGCCAGGAAATCCAGGACGTCCAGGACCACCAGGTCCACGCGGAGAGCCCGGACCAGCTGGAAATCCAGGAGCTCCAGGAAACGATGGAGAGCCAGGAAAGAACGGCAATCCAGGACGCCCTGGACCACCAGGACATCCAGGAAAGAACGGTCAACCAGGAGGCCGTGGAGAGGACGCTGCGCCAGGACCAGACGCTGGATACTGTCCATGCCCATCCCGTGCTGCCTACAAGGCATAAGAATGCTCAATTCTTCGGATTTGAACATAAATTTAGATCATTTTATCAGTTATGTTCCTTAATAGCCACTATTTCAATAAAAACTTTTAACGTTTTTTTAAATACATTTTATTAGCACTTCAACAATCAAGAAAAAGCGGCTTTGGAAAACATGTTGTGGTGTGCTATAAAAAATTAATTAATTACCTACAATAAGAATTACAACACCGACATTCGAAACATTTCGTATATTCAGATGCTGGTCGAACATTGGTAAAGTTGGATACTCATCTCAACAAATTTCCATTGGATATGGATGTAATTCACTTGGAACCGTCACTCACGAAATTGGTATTTTATTAATTGTCATAATTGTATTAATATTGTCCTTTAAGGACATGCTCTCGGATTCTACCACGAGCAGGGTAGATATGATCGCGACAACTATGTTAGAATTGTGACCCAAAATATTCTTTCGTGCTATCTAGGCCAATTTAGCAAACAATCGTATTCATCGATGGTTGATTATGGTGTCGGTTACGATTATGGATCAGTCATGCACTATGATCAAACGGTAAAAACGATTACGACAAAGCGTAATAAAATATTCCCAAAATGCAGGCTTTTACATCGAATGGAGGAAACACTATTGCAACCATTGATCCAAATTACCAAGCGACAATCGGACAGAGAGCAGGTCCATCATTCATGGATATTAAAAGAATCAACTTTGCTTATTGCAACTGTAAGCGATAATTGAAATTTAACAGAAACTATGCCATTTTTCAGCTACTTGCTCGACAGACCTAAACTGTCAGAATGGAGGTTACACCAATCCAAACGACTGTAATTCGTGTAAGTGTCCAACTGGTTTTGGTGGAACTCTTTGCGATCGCGCTGCTATTGGAAGCTCATCCTGTGGGACTGGAGACCTTACTGCGACCAATTCTTTGCAAACAATCAGCGCTTCAGGAAATATCCAGTGCAGCTACGTCATTTCGGTAACCATCGTAGAATTTCGCTTGTTTCAAGCAATATTGCTTTCAGGCTCCTGCTGGTACTAAAGTGTATTTCCAAGTGACTGCTGCAACATTCTCGCGTTATGTTCCATGCGACTCCAACTATTTGGAAATCAAGTACAATTCTGACATTACAATGGCTGGAGCAAGGTTAGTTAATCGTATTTATTTTCGCTATCACTTCATATTTTCTGACATATTAAACATCTCTTATCGGTAAATGTTTTTGGTTATCTCTCAACTTTTTTAAACGAGCACCTCGATAAATGTTATAACCTTAAAGAAATAGCTTATGTCAAAAGACGTCAAATATAATATTTCAGATTCTGCACGTCCTATCCAACTGTTTCCCTTTCGGAGACTAACAAGCTTGTCGTTATCTACCAAGGTTCTCGTGGAACGCGGTTCTCATTGAACTTCAGATATGATCCAATAACTTTCACAACTGTTCCGACGGCACCACCAACAACAACAACAATGACGACGACGACTACCACTCGTCCTCAAACGACTACAAGGGGGGACCGTACAACTACTCGCACGACTTCAATACCTTCGACAACTACACGTCAAACTACTACAACTCGCTCTACCACAACAAATCCTAAAGGCTGTAGTGCATGGACAACATGCTCAGCCCAATGCGGTGGTTGTGGAACTCGCTCCAGACGTTGTGGAACGTACAATGAGACTATTTATTGTAATACTAAACCATGTAACGGAGGATACTGTTGCCGGCCATTCTTTTATGTTACTAATAATGGAGTAGGATATTGTAGAAGACCACAAGCCTATGATTCATCGGAGGTTAGAAATAATTAAAAATGGTTTATTTAATAAATATTTGATTTTATTAGGATTCGGAGATGTATGAAAAAGCTATTCAACCAGGCCAAAATGATAACACGAACAATGATATTTTTGAATCGATCGAAGACCATCCAAAAGCCAGAACTTCTAGCAACAAGGGATTCGCGATTAATTAAAAATTCAATTTAAACCAAAGTTCATATATTCTTTTTTCCTATTGAACAATTCTTTCTTTCAATATACATATATATATATATATATATATATACTAATAAACCACTGTACTCGAAGTTTATATCATAAGAAAGATTTTTCGGACCTCCCGTCGAAGCGAGGCAATTGCGAGATAATTACCTCAGTCACACCATGCACAACTCGACCTTATCTAACCAACGCATCTGCGCACGTTTTGAAGGTTAAACGCGATTCGTTACGCCATATTGAAAATGAAAATCGATTTTTGTTATAATCGAATTAGCGAATGAATGAAAATGATATATTTCGTCGAACACAGAGATTCAAGGTTATTTAAGACAAAAAAAGATAAAATAAAATAAACTGATACTCATTTAAATTGTTGTCAATTAATAACTATCAATTTATAAAATTCGATTCGAGTTCATGTCATAAAACTATGTTTGCTTATACTTTTACCCTTCCGCAAAGTGTTTCGATCACCTCATTCTACCGTTTTACATTTTGAACACACTGCAGTAACGACATAAGAGACCTAGACAGCTGACAAATATAGCGATTTGAGTATTGGGCGGAGTCTCGGGTCATCAACAATTGCTGGTCGAACGCAAGCGTCAATCGGCTCACCGCTCGCCACGATGAACCGTGCCATCCTTCTTCTTCTTGCATTGCTTGTATGTGTCTCTGGAAGACACTACGTCCATCACCGTCATCATCATCACCATCATCACAAGAGACATACGTAAGTATTTCATCACAGTTATTATTATTATTATTATTGAAAAGTTAGCGGATGCCTCAGTTTTTAGAACACTCTCGTTTTATTAACATTTTTGAGAGAGAAAGAACTGGTCACTCACGTGAGCGCTCAAGAACAATTGTTTATAACCGTTTTGCGAAAATAGATCCAAACAGCTGTTTATTTTTCAGCATCAGCCTCACGAAGCAGGCAACTTTGAGAGAAACTTTGGTGAAAAGCGGATCTTATGATACGTTTGCGAAACATCGATCATCCTACGGCAAGAAACTGGCTCATAAATATGGATTCGAGCGCTATGAGAAAAATTCAAAGGAACTTCGAGAAATCGATGAATTGTTGAGAAACTATATGGATGTATGAGGGAAATAAAAACATGGGAAATTTACAACAGATTTGCAGGCTCAATACTTTGGAACAATTTCAATCGGAACTCCAGCTCAAAACTTCACCGTGATCTTTGATACTGGATCGTCGAACTTGTGGATTCCGTCGAAGAAATGCCCATTTTATGATATTGCTTGCAGTAAGTTCTTATCGCTCCATTTCTAATTGACAGAAACCAACCAACTTATCAACAATCATTTCAATTCGTTGATATTTGCAGTGCTTCATCACCGTTATGACTCCAAGGCCTCCTCAACCTACATCGAAGATGGTAGAAAAATGGCGATTCAATACGGAACGGGTTCTATGAAGGGATTCATTTCCAAGGACAAAGTTTGTGTATGTGAACCAAAGATAGAGATATTTCCGAAATGGAAAACTTTTTAGGTTGCTGGAATTTGTGCTGATGATCAACCATTCGCTGAAGCCACTAGTGAGCCCGGAATCACTTTTGTTGCTGCCAAATTTGATGGAATTCTTGGAATGGCTTATCCGGAAATCGCTGTTCTTGGTATTCATTTTTCGCAATTCGAGAAACCGTTTAAGCCTATTTTAGGTGTCACTCCGGTCTTTAATACTCTTTTTGAGCAAAAGAAAATCCCATCCAACGTCTTTGCTTTTTGGCTGAATAGGTAAATCCGAAGTCAGTCAATAAGAATATTTATTTCAATAATTGCAGAAACCCAGACTCCGAACTTGGAGGAGAGATTACGATTGGTGGTATCGATTCAAAACGTTATGTCGAACCAATTGTCTACACTCCTGTCACTCGCAAGGGTTACTGGCAATTTAAAATGGACAAGGTTATTGGGGAGAACGTCCTTGGATGCTCTGCTGGTTGCCAAGCTATCGCCGACACTGGAACTTCATTGATCGCCGGCCCAAAAAACCAAATTGAGGAGATTCAAAATTTTATTGGAGCTGAGCCTTTGATGAAAGGAGAATACATGGTCCCATGTGACAAAGTTCCATCCCTTCCAGATGTTAAATTTGTCATTGCTGGCACCGAATACACGCTTCAAGGTCATGACTACATTTTGAACGTTACAACAGCTGGCAAATCCATCTGTCTTTCCGGATTCATGGGTATCGATTTGCCAGAAAGCGTTGGAGAACTCTGGATTCTCGGCGACGTTTTTATTGGAAGGTGTATAAATATCTTAATTAAAAAAAATAAATCTAGTTTTAGATATTACACTGTTTTCGACTTTGCTGAGAATCGTGTTGGATTTGCTCAAGCTCGCGCTGAAGACGGCGTACCAGTAAGACCACGTCCGCGTGAATACCTCAAGCGGTTCCCGGAATACAGCACGAAATCATCGGAAATCCAAGACGATATGATTAACTAATAATGTATTGTTTTATTGTATTATTTTATCGTTTATACATAAAGTTCTCTGAAATGCATCATAAATGAAAATAATTAATTTTTCATTCGACCGAGAAACTTGCAAATATTTAATAAATAACAAATGAACAACTTTTTAACTAATTTATATTAACGTTGTGAATACTATCGAGTTATTATTGAAGGTCACCACAATTCAATATCGCAAGGTTAATTATTGTATAGAATCAACTTAGCATTTTTATTGGTTGAGTATACTACGATTTAAACCAATGGGGAAACAGTTCAGTGAAATATTAAAAATAAAATTATAGTACTGCACTCTAATAAAATAAATGATTCATATATGTTTAAATTAAAAATAATACTGTGTTGCTATATATTCTACATATATTGAACAATTGGCCCTTTGGTTTTTGGTTCCTTTTACAAAGGCTCTAAATAAGTTATTGGTATTTTTCCGCGTACTCCTCCCTTCTCAGCCATTACATATTCAGGATCCATTCCCGGAAGTCGGTAAACAATTAAAACCTTAATTTGCTCATTTATTGTTGAACATTTTTAATGCCTCACGTCATTTTGCTTCACACTAATTTCCGTTCCCAACACCGCGTCATAGTCCATTATAACTTTAGCTTGTTTAGTCCCCATGTCATCCGGAAGGAATGCCGCTGTTCTTTCTGATTTCGTCGGAGCTGCCTGACTGCGTCCATTTGGTGGATCTGCACTACTTTTAATTATGGTTGCTGAGCAGCCACGGAAGGACAAGGTTCTGAAATGGAGTCACAGTTTGATAATTATTTTGGAACTAAAAATTCATTAGTATTGTCTTCGATTCCTTATTACATCGGAAACATTTATCAAGTTAGACTAGTAAATATCACGGCAAACAAATAAATAAAAAAATAAAATAAATATACCGCAAGCAAGCTATTACAATAACACAACTGAATAATACAATTTCTATGCACAAATGACTACAGAATAATACATTTCGGGGGAAATTTTTAATACATAATATTTTAAAAGCATAAAATAAATGTAGGAAAATCTCAATTTTGGCACTTTGAATAGAATACATAGATTTGGTTTGAAAAATTGTGACGGTTTTGCGTAGAATTGACTTCAATGACACATCAATTAAAAAAATACATTATAACTTAATCTTAGCACATTTACAATACCGGGAGAATCATGAATTTGTGTTCATTGAGAGCGTCGCATCGGAGAGAGACCTGAAATCACAAACACTATCACAACAGAAACGTAATCGATGACAACATCCAAATTTGCCAAACTCGGAAAAATTGTTTAGGAATCAAATTTTGACTTGTGAAAATCGAATTTAAAAAGGAGAAATGCTTCAATATTGTTTGATTACACGCATTCGAATCTGGCGGAACAAGATAAACTAGGATTGCAAATTCGATTGGGCTCATGAAAAACACTTACCCGCTAAGTTCGCGTTGCAAATCTGCCATGAGCTGATGAGATTGCGCGTAAAACGACATCTGAGCTTCCACAAAGTCGCGCAAACATTTCAATTGGTTATTCTGAAAGTAAAGTTCATTCCATGAACATATTTCGTATTAGGATATACGTGAGCAGTTTGAATTCCTTCTAACAGCAACTTTGTGATCTCAGCCTGTTTGTCAAACTCGGCCTGGGCGACGCGAACATCCGCTTCAGCCTAGATTCAATAACATTGCGAACTTTACAGATAAAAAAATATAATTTTATCATAACCGAATAGACAAATAGTTTTTGAACCGAACAAACACAAGGAAACACAACACCAGAAACAGACCTGCTCCACAGTTAATCCTGATGCAGATTTCGTCTGAACAATTGGAGTGATTAGAACCCACTAGTCTTTAAACAAATAGAGGAAATGTAAATTTAAAAAAAATACTAATTCGCTTTTTGTTCCAATCCTCATTTCGCACATTTTCGTGCTCATACTTACATTTCCTTGCTGTTCGACGTTTTTCGCTTTCTTTAACCGATTCTTGCAAGCGTCCAAATCAAGTCGTTTTGTATTCAAAACCTTTCTTTCCTTCTAAAGCAGCCAAACGTCATTTGTCAAAAAATGTCAATAAGCGCACCTGAATAGTCTTCATGTCGCCTTCAAGGAAACGCCTAATTGGCAATAGTGTGTTTGTAGCTGCTTGGTGGCACAACTCTTTCTCGGCCAAACCAAGTCTCTGCTCAGTTTGCGCGACTTTGATTAAAGCACTACCTAAAAATCGTAAATTGATAAACGAAATTAATAATTATCATTTACCATAGGGCGTTTCGGACCCAAACTGTTCGCCAGCTTCCGACATAGCCAAAGCGAGATGCTCAAGATTGTTCTGACGCGCTGGACCATCTTTTTTGAGCTCGAGCTTCTCATAGAAAACTTCTTCCATACGAATAGCTGAGAAGAAAAAAAATATTCATCTTAAAAATAAGACTAATTACTTGGATTTGGTTGTAAATATCCTTCAATAGCAGAGAGCAAACGTCGAGTATGCTCTTCAGTTTTATCTGCTCTTTGGAGGAGATTCTCAAAGTTTGCATCGAGTTCCGTTCGTTCCGCCTTGAGAAATGTTTCCTCGGTAAGCTGAAAACCGAAAACATTTTTTAAAAATCAAATGAAATAAAAAATACCAACAATACCGAAAGACATAAAAATGATACCTGTTTAGCTCTGGTGAAAAATCCACCGGCTTCACTGGCAATCTTTTTGAAGTTGAAGTCCATTTCGAGTGTGTGTTGAAAACCTACAAAACGTTACGATTACTTTAATATGCAAACATCGCGAATTTCCAAAATAGCGAGAAAACATGAACGGAACTGCTAGGACCTCACGCTCGTCGCGAAATGAAAATCGATGCGCGAGGGCGCGCTTGCCACCAAATACATGAAGACAGGAAGAAAAAAATAAATGTGAGCAAAAGCAAAAAAAACATACGCCCACAAAACGAAGGAAAGAGGATGTGAAAAATTGAAGACGTCGGAGCACATGGAGCACAACTTTCCAAAAAAAAATGCCTTGAAAAGTTACTCGTTTAGGGAGATTATAGAAGTTTTTCCTCAATCGATTTCTTAAAATTGCAAAACATCAAAAAGAAAATTGGGAACTTCATGACTTTATATCAAAATAATGCAAATTAGAAGTTATTATTCGAAAAAAGTCCTATATTAGCCATATCACATTTGCACCGAAAGCGCGCCAAGCTGTAAACAATCCGGGTCAATGTTCTTCCCACATGACGCCCATATGTAACAAATAACGTAACATCTTAACCCCTAACGTATTATTTTGATCCAATAAGATAGAAAAAAATAGAAAAGGAATAGATTTTAAAAAAAATCATAATTAAAACGTTTAAATAAAACCAGAAACTAAGCTGATATCCATGTGTTCTCAATGGAGCTTTTATGCAACAATACAGTTATTTTCGTATGAATTTTGATATATGCGAAATTATATAAACAAACATATATATATATATATATATATATATATATATATATATGTTTTTTTTTCCACAAAACAACCAAGAAAGAAAATGCATTTTCCAAGATTGAGGCTAGTGGGAAAATTTACGAATACGAGTCTCGCTTGCAATTTATTCCATTAGGCTCGATGCGCGCTTTAGTATCCAGCAAAACAATTTGGATTAGGGAGAAATATCGTAGTATAGATGCAAAACTCGAGCAAAGCGATTATTCATATGAGCGGATACTATTCTCAATATTTGCCTTTCACTTTTTTTACAAAACATTTGTTCAAACCACAAAAAATGAATTTGCAAAAATTTTTATATTTGGACAGCTTTCATTAAATTTCTATGTGTTAAAAGGGTTACATTTGTTCATTTCTCGTTAGTTTCCGCCATGAAAACAGTAACGAAACTCATATTTGCAACTAGTTTGCTGGTAGTTTGGATTCAGGTCAGTTAATTTCAGAGTTTTCATTGAAGTGATTTTTTGCAAATTTCAATGACATCTGATTAATTTCCGATTTAAATTAGATCGTTTCAGAGCAGCAGAACGTGTCAGATATTTCCTATTTTCAGGCTACTGAAATTACTTTCAAGAAGAATAGAAAATATGACAATCCGCCTTTCTGTTTTGCATATGTGTTCCATGAAAATGGTAATGTTCGAATGGAACATTTAATGTTTATTAGCCTTTCGCAGATTCCGATAAATCTGTTCAATGCTATGGATATCAATACGACTGTTTCGAATTTGAAAGTGATGTTAGAATTGGGGTATTTTGCGCAAACAATTTTCTAAATACCTAACAACAATTGTGTCTAGGGAGATATTCCATTTGATTCTTCAAAATGCCCAAGCTACGAGGAATATAGAGTGTTTCTCGATGAAGACTTTAAAAAGAGACTCGAAGAATTCAAGGCAACGGCAACTACCAAAACTAATTGATTCGCAGTCTATCGGATATACTGTTAACAATAAACTTGTTCTTAAGCATATATGTTTATATATTAATATGTATATAGATAAAATATATATCATTAAACCCATCAAAATACTTATACCATTAAAATGTTTTCATCGCAGATCAGATGTCTGTTGCATGATGAATCTCTATCATTGCGGGAACCCATGTTGTGTTTTTCGGTGCTTTCTTTTCTCTCGCTGCTTTTCTCGTTGTAAAATCGAGCAGCAACGCTGACATCTTCTCAGTTTGTGTGGGCGCTCTCATGATCATGCTCTTTGCATTGCGATGTTCTTTTTCCACTCAATATTGATCCAATTTTTCATGATCATTCACATTTTATATGCATCATATACGTTTCGACTTAATCTAGAGTACTGATATTTAGTATAAACCTTCGGTTTTGCAGAAATATTATTGAAAACCCACAGATTTTTAATATTTATTTTACCTCAAAACAAAATTAACTTTTACTTGTTTTCTAGCATTCTTGATTTTTGAAGTCTAGTATCAAATTGTTAGCAAGTCGCTTTTTCATTAAGACTTTATATTTTTAATATATTAAATATGTTTCATGTTTTAAATGGCATTTTAATAAGCAATTGCACTGCGCCGAAGTAAAATCTTAATTGAACAAAACACATGCGCACAAAATTTTTCCAGCTATAAAAGGCCAGCAATTTTCATCCATTAGAATTAACTTTTAAAAATCTTTACACTTTTACAGATGCTATGAGTGCAAGAAATAGATTACCAGGGTCACCAATAAAAAATCCCATTAAGAAGTGGAGACCTCCTTGGGAAGAAGACGAAGAAGAAGTTGCCGTGGAAGATGTTAAAAGAGAAGAACCGGAAAAAAAATCTGCAATTTTGAAAAAGAAAAATAAATCAGATGCAATTTCAAAAATTGAGGAACCATCATCATTACCTTCACCTGCTCCAGTCAAGAATCCAATTAAGAAATGGAAACCACCATGGGAAGATGACGACACGCCTGCTGAAGAGGTGCCACAGAAAGAACCTGAGAAGAAAACACCGACTCTGAAGAAGAAGGAGCCCGTCCCCAAGAAGCCGGCAGATCCAACTCCGGCCAAGTCAACTCCAAAAATTGAGGAACCATCATCATTACCATCACCTGCTCCAGTCAAGAATCCAATAAAGAAATGGAAACCACCATGGGAAGATGACGACACGCCTGCTGAAGAGGCGCCACAGAAAGAACCTGAGAAGAAAACACCGACTCTGAAGAAGAAGGAGCCCGTCCCCAAGAAGCCGGCAGATCCAACTCCGGCCAAGTCAACTCCAAAAATTGAGGAACCATCATCATTGCCATCACCTGCTCCAGTCAAGAATCCAATTAAGAAATGGAAACCACCATGGGAAGATGACGACACGCCTGCTGAAGAGGTGCCAAATAAAGAACCTGAGAAGAAAACACCGACTCTGAAGAAGAAGGAGCCCGTCCCCAAGAAGCCGGCAGATCCAACTCCGGCCAAGTCAACTCCAAAAATTGAGGAACCATCATCATTACCATCACCTGCTCCAGTCAAGAATCCAATAAAGAAATGGAAACCACCATGGGAAGATGACGACACGCCTGCTGAAGAGGTGCCAAAGAAAGAACCTGAGAAGAAAACACCGACTCTGAAGAAGAAGGAGCCCGTCCCCAAGAAGCCGGCAGATCCAACTCCGGCCAAGTCAACTCCAAAAATTGAGGAACCATCATCATTACCATCACCTGCTCCAGTCAAGAATCCAATAAAGAAATGGAAACCACCATGGGAAGATGACGACACGCCTGCTGAAGAGGCGCCACAGAAAGAACCTGAGAAGAAAACACCGACTCTGAAGAAGAAGGAGCCCGTCCCCAAGAAGCCGGCAGATCCAACTCCGGCCAAGTCAACACCAAAAATTGAGGAACCATCATCATTACCTTCACCTGCTCCAGTCAAGAATCCAATTAAGAAATGGAAACCACCATGGGAAGATGACGACACGCCTGCTGAAGAGGTGCCAAATAAAGAACCTGAGAAGAAAACACCGACTCTGAAGAAGAAGGAGCCCGTCCCCAAGAAGCCGGCAGATCCAACTCTGGCCAAGTCAACTCCAAAAATTGAAGAACCATCATCATTGCCATCGCCTGCTCCAGTCAAGAATCCAATTAAGAAATGGAAACCACCATGGGAAGATGACGACACGCCTGCTGAAGAGGTGCCACAGAAAGAACCTGAGAAGAAAACACCGACTCTGAAGAAGAAGGAGCCCGTCCCCAAGAAGCCGGCAGATCCAACTCCGGCCAAGTCAACTCCAAAAATTGAAGAACCATCATCATTGCCATCACCTGCTCCAGTCAAGAATCCAATTAAGAAATGGAAACCACCATGGGAAGATGACGACACGCCTGCTGAAGAGGTGCCACAGAAAGAACCTGAGAAGAAAACACCGACTCTGAAGAAGAAGGAGCCCGTCCCCATGAAGCCGGCAGATCCAACTCCGGCCAAGTCAACTCCAAAAATTGAGGAACCATCATCATTGCCATCACCTGCTCCAGTCAAGAATCCAATTAAGAAATGGAAACCACCATGGGAAGATGACGACACGCCTGCTGAAGAGGTGCCACAGAAAGAACCTGAGAAGAAAACACCGACTCTGAAGAAGAAGGAGCCCGTCCCCAAGAAGCCGGCAGATCCAACTCCGGCCAAGTCAACTCCAAAAATTGAGGAACCATCATCATTGCCATCACCTGCTCCAGTCAAGAATCCAATTAAGAAATGGAAACCACCATGGGAAGATGACGACACGCCTGCTGAAGAGGTGCCACAGAAAGATCCTGAGAAGAAAACACCGACTCTGAAGAAGAAGGAGCCCGTCCCCAAGAAGCCGGCAGATCCAACTCCGGCCAAGTCAACTCCAAAAATTGAAGAACCATCATCATTGCCATCGCCTGCTCCAGTCAAGAATCCAATTAACACGCCTGCTGAAGAGGTGCCACAGAAAGAACCTGAGAAGAAAACACCGACTCTGAAGAAGAAGGAGCCTATTGCCAAGAAACCCGACACTGAAGATCCAGCAGAACCCATTAGTGCTCCAACACCGAAGGATCCAAAGTTAGCAAAGAAGGCCCCTGCAGCCAAACCCAAGCCAGCAGAAAAGAAGCCAACACCAGCAGATAAGAAAGACCCTGAACCAATAAAGCCAGCTGCTGCTGCTCCAAAGCCAAAAAGATTCGTTCCACCCTGGGAGGATGATCCAGATGAACCAGAAGCTGACTTCACTGTTCCAGCTCCTACGAAACCGGACACCGAAGATCCAGCAGAACCCGTTAGTGCTCCAACACCCAAGGATCCAATGTTAGCAAAGAAGGCCCCTGCAGCCAAACCCAAGCCAGCAGAAAAGAAGCCAACACCAGCAGATAAGAAAGACCCTGAACCAACGAAGCCAGCTGCTGCTGCTCCAAAGCCAAAAAAATTCGTTCCACCCTGGGAGGACGATCCAGATGAACCAGAAGCTGACTTCACTGTTCCAGCTCCTACGAAACCGGACACCGAAGATCCAGCAGAACCCGTTAGTGCTCCAACACCCAAGGATCCAAAGTTAGCAAAGAAGGCCCCTGCAGCCAAACCCAAGCCAGCAGAAAAGAAGCCAACACCAGCAGATAAGAAAGACCCTGAACCAACGAAGCCAGCTGCTGCTGCTCCAAAGCCAAAAAAATTCGTTCCACCCTGGGAGGACGATCCAGATGAACCAGAAGCTGACTTCACTGTTCCAGCTCCTACGAAACCGGACACCGAAGATCCAGCAGAACCCGTTAGTGCTCCAACACCCAAGGATCCAAAGTTAGCAAAGAAGGCCCCTGCAGCCAAACCCAAGCCAGCAGAAAAGAAGCCAACACCAGCAGATAAGAAAGACCCTGAACCAACGAAGCCAGCTGCTGCTGCTCCAAAGCCAAAAAAATTCGTTCCACCCTGGGAGGACGATCCAGATGAACCAGAAGCTGACTTCACTGTTCCAGCTCCTAAGAAACCGGACACCGAAGATCCAGCAGAACCCGTTAGTGCTCCAACACCCAAGGATCCAAAGTTAGCAAAGAAGGCCCCTGCAGCCAAACCCAAGCCAGCAGAAAAGAAGCCAACACCAGCAGATAAGAAAGACCCTGAACCAACGAAGCCAGCTGCTGCTGCTCCAAAGCCAAAAAAATTCGTTCCACCCTGGGAGGACGATCCAGATGAACCAGAAGCTGACTTCACTGTTCCAGCTCCTACGAAACCGGACACCGAAGATCCAGCAGAACCCGTTAGTGCTCCAACACCCAAGGATCCAAAGTTAGCAAAGAAGGCCCCTGCAGCCAAACCCAAGCCAGCAGAAAAGAAGCCAACACCAGCAGATAAGAAAGACCCTGAACCAACGAAGCCAGCTGCTGCTGCTCCAAAGCCAAAAAAATTCGTTCCACCCTGGGAGGACGATCCAGATGAACCAGAAGCTGACTTCACTGTTCCAGCTCCTACGAAACCGGACACCGAAGATCCAGCAGAACCCATTAGTGCTCCAACACCCAAGGATCCAAAGTTAGCAAAGAAGGCCCCTGCAGCCAAACCCAAGCCAGCAGAAAAGAAGCCAACACCAGCAGATAAGAAAGACCCTGAACCAACGAAGCCAGCTGCTGCTGCTCCAAAGCCAAAAAAATTCGTTCCACCCTGGGAGGACGATCCAGATGAACCAGAAGCTGACTTCACTGTTCCAGCTCCTTCGAAACCGGACACCGAAGATCCAGCAGAACCCGTTAGTGCTCCAACACCCAAGGATCCAAAGTTAGCAAAGAAGGCCCCTGCAGCCAAACCCAAGCCAGCAGAAAAGAAGCCAACACCAGCAGATAAGAAAGACCCTGAACCAACAAAGCCAGCTGCTGCTGCTTCAAAGCCAAAAAGATTCGTTCCACCCTGGGAGGACGATCCAGATGAACCAGAAGCTGACTTCACTGTTCCAGCTCCTACGAAACCGGACACCGAAGATCCAGCAGAACCCGTTAGTGCTCCAACACCCAAGGATCCAAAGTTAGCAAAGAAGGCCCCTGCAGCCAAACCGAAGCCAGCAGAAAAGAAGCCAACACCAGCAGATAAGAAAGACCCTGAACCAACAAAGCCAGCTGCTGCTGCTCCAAAGCCAAAAAGATTCGTTCCACCCTGGGAGGACGATCCAGATGAACCAGAAGCTGACTTCACTGTTCCAGCTCCTACGAAACCGGACACCGAAGATCCAGCAGAACCCATTAGTGCTCCAACACCCAAGGATCCAAAGTTAGCAAAGAAGGCCCCTGCAGCCAAACCCAAGCCAGCAGAAAAGAAGCCAACACCAGCAGATAAGAAAGACCCTGAACCAACAAAGCCAGCTGCTGCTGCTCCAAAGCCAAAAAAATTCGTTCCACCCTGGGAGGACGATCCAGATGAACCTGATGATGATCCGCAAGAAGTTGAAGATGATCCTGAGGAGCCTGATGCCGATTTTACTGTACCTGTGCCAATAAATGGAGACGATGATCGTGATAATCCGGATGAAGAAAAACCCAAGAAAAAACCAAAGAAAAATAAGAGAAAACCAAAAAAACGTCCGTTACCAAATACGAACGAATCGGACCCAGTTCCCGCGAAGGAACCAGAAACACCACAGAAACCAAAATGGATTCCCCCAATCCGGCAACCCGAAGAAGCGATTCCGATGCCTCCAAAAGAAAAAACAATAGCTGAAAGAAACAAAGAAGAACGAATTCCACCAACCGTCCGATATGCTAAGAAGCCCAAGCAATTGTATGCAAGAATTAATTTAATTTCTAGTTTTCTTTAATTTATTTTTTTGCAGAGATGTCTTGATTCCATTTGTGATTCCTTGGGAACAAACTCCAGCATTAATAACTCAAGAGGGAATGGGCGCATTTGGAAAAAGTCGAGAGCCTAATATTGACGTCAATTTCGGTTCGAAACCCCTTGTACAAGTACATTATTTTCAATCATTTGTTTTCGTTAATTTCACAAAATATTTTGTTTTTCATGAAAGTTCTGAGTATTTTTTCAGGGAAACATCGACTCAAAAACGATTATTCCAATACTGAATGACGAAAGAAATTGCGCGAATAGTTCGGGAATGTCGCCATTTGGAGGGAAACGTCTTACTGTAGAAGGAATTGTTGATAATCATAAATATAATAATGAGGATGTAAGTTCTTCTAAAAAAAACTTTAATATTTATTTTTATCTTACAGAATGGTAAAAGCGAAGGCATTTTACCATTATATAGTCGAGGCGCAATTGCTTATAATAATTCTGACTTTGGAAATCTGAGAAAACAAGTGAGTCAAATTTTATTTTATTTTAGAAAAATCTCAGTTTTAATTTTAGATAAATATCAGTTTTAAAACAACATATTGATTAACTCTCAATTATTTATAATGCTGTTGTTTTTGTAGACAGTTGACGTCAAATACAAAGAGGATATGACTCCTGGGATGGAGCGCGATTCGCATGGATTCATATCACGCCAATTTATTTCAAACAGCTCATTGAAGGCTGGAAGTCACATACTCGACAAGAGAAGAGATATAGTAATGTTTTCAAGCAATGCTTCAAATTTATATTTGCAACAATTATTTCTCCATATTTGCATTGAGTAACATCATTTTTCTGTTGTTATCTTTCAGAAAACCTGTGCCCATTTTAAAGACGCATCATTAAAAATGAAACGCAATGTTTGATGACAAATACTGGGAATGTTTGCAGGTTTCAAACTCAATTCCTATGTCGAAAAACAGCGAGAATATGATTCCATTAATGTTCGACGGTCGATCGGTTGAGACTCGCGAAGGCTCTGAATTTGGCTCGTTCCGCCCATTAATAATTAACTCGACGGGCGGTTACGTGATGTCATATCAGGACGAGCTGAAATGCCGCAATATAATACCGTTCCAGGTATCGCAGTTTCTCGGGAAAAATATAGTTTCAAGTTTCAGACGGCGCCGTCGCTGGCAACGTAGGCTATTCTTCAATTTTATAGATTATCTGCCACTTCTATTTTCCAATTTTGTTGAGTATACAAAAGAATTACTATGCGCTTTTTTAATAGCCACTCTGAAATGGGATGCGTTTTGTTATAAAATATGTGTTGCTTAGATTTTTTTATTATCTATAAATAGAATATTCGATTATGTATCACAATTTCGAAAAGTTTCATTGTAATGCATTCTGTTTATTTAAGGGCTTATTGTTATACAAACGCTACAAAATTGAGAGAAGTTTGAACATAAAATCTTATAGAGTTTACTGCAAAGATATATATGCAAATATAAATACAATATAATCTTGATTCCAAATTTTCATTAGAAGATGTCCTTATCGTGATAATCTATTCGCGCAAGTTATCACGATGGTGTGATTGATCAAAACTAGGCACGTGACATTACATTTATCATAACATTTTCATTTTCGGTTTGACAGCCATTTCTTTCTTATTTGAATGTACTTATAATCAATGTTTATTTCGTTTGGAAAATACAAACAGACTGACAAAAAAATGGTTCACAAAAATATTTTAAAAAGGAGAATTAGTTAGAAAAATAGAAAAAAGACACGATCAAATGGAAAATCAAAAACACACAATTGCAGAATGAAACAGTTTAGCAAAAAATGTTGATGGGCAATAACCGGTAGAATGTTGTTCACACGGTTTCGAAATGAATAATGAATTTTAGCAAAAAAAACCACACAATAAAAAATGTTTCCGAAATGTTGAGTGGGATGCATGATAGAACGAGGATTATAAAAAAAACAAACATTTGGTAAGTTACAGATCAATTTTTTAAACGACAATTCAGTTCATAGAAGGAGGATGATAAATTGGTATTAATAGAACTACTCGGAATCAACACATAGAAGGAAAGTATTCAGTTTCAGAACAAAGTTAGGGAAAGAGGAAAAAAACAGATAGAACAAGAGAAAAAATTGGTGCCATAAATCAAAGTAACATGTAATTGGTTCATAGAATCAGAATATTGAAATGTATTTTTAAATTACCGTTATAATAGTGAATTAGAGCTACCACAATGTCTAGAACAATTAAATTATCGAGCAAATCACAATGATGCAATAAATATCGAATAATAGGAAGAGCGACAGGGCTCGATAGAGATGAAATTGTGGTGTGCATGGCTGAAGTAAGTTCTATGACTCCATGTTAAATTTTTGAAAAGCTTTCACAAATGAAATCAGCTTCCGAACCAGGTCAGCACACAAATAAAAACAAATCAATGTGAACTCGTGAGTGACTACAAGTAATTGTGCTCTATGGGCACAACATAATTGATCATTAAAAGGTCAAAATAAACAAAGATTGATGAAACCGACAGCTTTTTTTTTGAAATGGGTGCATAGAAAAGGTATGGATGAACAGATGATCGAATCGTTTCATATGAAACTTAGGGTCTCAATAGAAAAATTGAAAATGAGGGTGGCAAACAAAATCAAATAGATTAATGAAATGGATATTTTCAAAGTTGCTTAGAGATCGATCTATGTGCAAAATTTGATGCACAACCAACAAGATTAATATCGACGCATAGAAAAAATAAACTGTGATTAACATGCTCTACTGCAAAACAAATGACGGTTCCGACTTAATTGGCGACATCGATGGTGCTTGAACGGGTGCAGATGGAAGGGTGTTGGCGATCTGGTTGAGAGCCAGCACCGGGTTCAAATGGGGATTGAGAAGAGTGTTAGCAAGTGCTTGATGAAGGGTAGTCACTGGAGATGAACCGTTTTCACTTAAGTTCTGAAGGGACTGTTGAAGAAATCCTGAGAATTAATTTCATTAAATTTAGAATGCTTGATTCAGGTTACCAACCATTCTGGTAGAGAAAGGCTTGGAGTAACAAGGCCTTGTACTCAACGCTCATATTGCTCAAATTGCTGATCAAATCCAATCCAATATAAGACGGAAGCGGCTTCGGTAAGTCGTGTGGAGGACTAATCGATGGATCCGATGGACTTGGCGAGGTGTCACCACTTCCCGAGCTAGCCCGGTCACCATGTGAGAACGTTCTTCCACCATCACTTTTCTTTGATGAAGTTCTTGCCTGTGCACGATTGCGTCGTCGAAGGGTTTGCTTGTCGCTAAGCTCAGGGACCACAGTCCAATAGTGTCCTGAAAATGAAAATGCTTCTGCTGGTGTTTTTGTCTTTGTTTGAATCTGGTATGTGTTTATGCATTTATGTGCATTGCTTTCCTTGCTTCTTTCTTTTTGACACCAACAAAGTAGTTCTCTCTCTCGCTCTCTCTCTCTCTCTCTCTCTCTAACTATTTATATTCACATCAACGATGTAAACAACTCATTTTTGCGAATATTGAGCGCGGGAAAAAGAGAATAGAAAAAAGAAAACCAACAAAAAAGTTGTTTATGTAATTAGGACGTTTGGTTTCTACCAGAATTATAAATGTCTTGAGCAATATATCATATATTTGTGAGACAGCGTTCAACATTTTTCTCCTGTAATGTAAGCGACAAAACTATCATCACAATTTTTTTTAATTTTCCGTTTTGGACATTTTTAAGATTGGCCCAATTTTGTGCACCAAGCATTTATTGAAGCACAAAATTTTCTGCGACGTGAATAGTTCGCATTTTTTTTAAAGTTTGCCAACAATGCAAAATACATAAAACATCGTAAACGAATAAAAATATTTCGCATTATCGTTTCATAATGCAAACACAACAATGTTTTACGGTTTTTGAAACCATAATCTTCTCCTTTTCTTCTTAAAAGAAATTTCTGAATGACTGACGTACCAACAACACCACTGGCAGAGGTCTGTTTTAGCGGCAATTTGACGAAACAGTCGTGAAGACTCAAGTTGTGGCGGATCGAATTCTGCCATCCCCATTGATCCGGTCGATGACGATAGTATGGATGGAGAAGGCGAATCACCTGCAAGAAGAACAAACATTGCCAGTCGTCGGTTCAAAGTTTTAAACGTTGGGTTACTGTAATCGACAAACAAACAACAACACACATTTTTTCATTCAATCGGTGCCACAAGAGCAACCTCGAAATGTTTGCTTTTAAAGTTTGTTTTTGGCATATTTTTTGTTTGCCCTGATACTGAAATTTCTCTAGAACATATTCCTTCATTGAAACCCTATACATTTGAGAGTCTGCTCCCCAACCGCTTCTTCACTCAGAAAACGAGAAAAATAACCATATCCGGAGGACACAGCGTTTTGCAACGTTGCTCTGACAAGAAACATCGTTTTGGTCAGGGTTCTTTTGGAGTGTACACGGACCAGCAGAGCCGGCCTGCAACACCAACAGAAAAAAAACGGCTGAAGCAGAAAGCTCGAGTGTCAGACATGGATACTTGAATGAAGGAGAAGAACGTGCGTATGGATGGAAGCGTGTGCTATTCGCGTCATTCATACATACTGACTCAAAAGTACTAACGCCCTTTCTTGGACTCAATAAACATTTATATCCATTCTTTCATTCGTTTGAAAATAAAGTTCGCCAATTTTAAAGATCTATGAATAAAATGATAAATATGAGATAAAAAATTTTTTACGAGATCTCAATTACAAACCTGATAGATTTCATTAAGTTTCAGACGCTTCTCCGGGCTACTCTCAATCGCTTCGATGATCAAATCCTTGTAAGACAACGACGGCCTTTCAATATTCTCTGATGTCGATGAAGCCACCGGTGTTGTCAAATGTTGCGTCACTGGTGATGCTTGTTGAGAGCTCACCGGTGTGCTCGGTTCGGCTGGAGCAATGGATTCAGAAGCTGATGATGCTATCGAGAGAGTGGACGCCAACAAATCCATCTAAAAATGATAGTTGAGATGAAAGTGAGAGTCTGTCGCGTGCAACAACATTATCAAAAAATAACAACGAAACACCTATCAAACCGTGCGATAAGGTATCGCTTATCGGAAAAGAGAGTGAAGCAAGAAAAAAAGGGGTGGAGTATTGTATTATGATGTTTTGTACCGTTTTCACTATCTGGAGAAACTCGACAACCAAAAAAAAGGGGGCGGGGTCGGGGTGAAAAGCAAATCAAAAAGAAACATATCGTATGATGGGGCCAACATCAAACAATTTTTATCACCGTTTATGGCAGTGCAAGAAGATAACGCCGAAAGTGGAAACGTAGTACACCGTTTAAAGGCTCAGAAATTTGGCAACATTTTCACGAGATATTGATCACAAAATCGAAATTTGATTTATCAGGACCGAAATTCCGGAATGTATTGATAAGAGGCAAACAATTTCAGAACTTATTGCCAAGAAAATAAACGCTTTCGAAAATTGAATACATGCTAATTGAAACGAGAAAGTTTGCGAATTTTCGGTAATTAAGTATATTGTATCTCCAAAAAATCCGGCAATTTTTCAGAATCGCGATTTTACTGTGGTCCTAAAGATCATCATCCCATTGAGCGTGAACGTGTGAACATGTTTAAAAATAAAAACAAGATGCTTCACAAAAAACGGAGAGTGATATAAAAGAGAAAAGTGTGCCGTAGGGGGTCCCTTAGGGGTCGCGTGGCGTTTTTTTTGTGTTGTTGTATGTATGTATGTGGGAGGGGGTAACAAACGTTTCGAATTGCTTTTCCGCCACATACATGAACAAAACAAACATTCAACAACACCAAAAAATTTAGACATTTTTTAGGGTTTCGATGAACATCATCTCCTTGCCAAATTTCCTGTTAAAATTGTTAACAGAATTGCAAAATCTCGCAAAAAAATGTTTGAACTTCGACAGGTGAAGTTTTTGGTTTCATGATAAACGGAATTGCATCTTGCGTCACAAACAGTCTCCAGATGAATAATACTGAAAAAAAAATCTGGCCTCTTCGGTGCTATGTTTTGTTAAGACCAAGATATTGAAGCCGTATCTCATGGGAAGGCCTACAATATGTAAAAATAATTGCGAGTGTGCTAAAAAATGGCGCCATAATGAGAACACAGAAACTGTTTTAGAACGAAGTTCACGTTGGGAGAAGAACAATTTTCTTTTCGCTCAATGAGATTCATCGGAATGAAAGACGATGACGAGAAGGTTCCGCTTATTCTTTCTTAGACGTCGTCTCAAAACTAATAAGAAATGAGAAAGATTTCCTTTTTTTGCCTCTTTTCAACAGAAGTGAGTCTGAAAGAAACACAAAAAAGCGCACGAATGGAGAAGCAAAAAAGTACTCGAGCTTTCACAACTTGGGGAAAAAAATAACAATGAGAACAACATGAGTCGAGCTCAGTGAAAACATTGAGGGGGGGGGGGAGCAAAAAACGACGACGGCGGGAATTGTTGTGCTCCTGATGGACGCTTCGACCACGCCTTTTCACGCTTGAGGGTTTTGTGTGGTTGCAACAGAAATTTTTAAATATTTTCATCGACTGTTAAAAATTGTTCCAAATGCCAACAGTAAGAATATACGAAATTTTTACGTCTGATTAAAGAACCTTGAGTTTTTAAATATCGAATAATCCCGATTTGCTCCAACTGTTGCACTTATTGAGATATTATTTTTATTTATTATGCTTTTTTTATTCACTTTAAGTTCATGACCAATTGCAAAACAACATCGTATGAATCAGAAAAGATTGAGAGAAGGAGATGAGCAACAGTGTTTTCATGTTGTCTGTTTCTCCTTGAGTAGTTTTTGTTTTGTTTGTTTGTTTCTAATTTCGAAATGCATGAGACCTCGATGCCAACTGTTCTTTTCGATTTTAGTCGAGGATTAACAAAAACAACATTTTTTCAAAGTTTATGTTAGTATGTTGCGTTTTTCTTTCCCTTCATGCTTGATCATCATCATCATCTTCTTATACTTCTCGCGTTCACCGGAACGTGGCGAAATAGCATATAAGAAGATGATTCGCAGCAATTAATCGAAAGTGGAAACGAACAAGATGAAGTCTAAAATAGGAAAACACACAGAAAATAGCTGAGAAAAGGAAAAGAGAAAAGAAACATTCCGCTCGACAACCGGAAATGTTGAGTAATTAGGATGTTTCTTCTTGGTAATAATGTGTTGACTTTCTTTTTAATGTCTCATAACAAGTTTCCAATTTGGCAGACACTTGTACAGGTAATTTTGAAAACCAGGTAAGTTTGCAGCCTAATTTTGATCCTCGCATCTATGATCACTGAATGACAAATTTGCAGATATTTAAAGTTTGGGAATTGCTAAAAATGGCAAATAGCGCAAATCTATTTGAAAACGAGATTATTTTGATCAAAAGCAGAGATAGCGGAGATTTTCAACTTTGATTTTTTTCGTAGTCGCTTTACAATCGCATTTCCATTACCGTAACTCAGGCGATCGATTGATCGCAGAAAATCGAAACGAGTCTAACTCTCAACCATTTTTTTTCAAGTTATTCAGCGCGATCAGACAAATATTGCGACAAAACAAACACTCTGCCAAATACACTCGATTATGACGGCACACAAAACACACACGCACCTATACATACATTCAAGTTGACAATGGCAATCCTCGGCGCGGATGGTTTGAGGCGCACGCAACAGCATGCAAAAAAAAACACGTGGAAACATTTGAACAAATATTCAAAGTGGATTACACGGAAAATGTGGTGACGGAGGGTTTGTTGGATGCTTTTATGTCCTAGTTGCTCGATTTTTTTTGTGGGAGAAAGCACAAAAAAACATGGGACGAAAGGGACAATGTTGCAGACGGAGATTGTTGATATGGTGCAATATGATCCGGTGGCTTTATGGACCGCCTGGCCAAAACATGCACGCATACGCAAGCCCACTCTCGATGAATCTTTTTTATTTCCGTCTTATTTTCCACAAAATCTCTCACATGTCCGTTTTTACGGCATATTTTCATGTTTCGATATAAAAAATTTGATATTGATAAGGATTATCGTCGAAACAACCTTCTCGTGACGTTTGCACCGACGAGGCGCCAAAATACAAAAATACCAAAATTTGTAAATGATAAACGATCGCAAAGTTGTGCAGATGCAAATGCCGAAATGAATTAGCGTGATGGTGCAGCAGAATTGGAATGAAATTCGGAATAGAACTTAGCAATTTTTCTTAGAAGGAAGGCAAAGAAAATACACAAATTTAAGCCCCCTTTATACATACAAACACATACATATTAGGATGTTAATTGGAAAGAGGCTCAAGGATGCATGTACAACGCTTAGCAGTGTAAAAGGTTGCCAACAAGGATGGGAAGGTGATCAATAAGGATCAAAAAACATAAAGTAATTGGAGAGTTCTGCATTATCGACACAATGACAAAATGAAGCTTGCGCAATCAGCAAAACACTAGGACTTCAACAGTCCCGCCCAATAGTTGTACGCTGTGCTGACACAATATCTCGCTCGGCGAGCATGCTCCGCGGCACCAACGTGTACTCGCGCACCGGAATGCCACCAGCGCACGCTAGCTGCTCCGACCGTGCAACAAAAGACACACAGAGGCGTGTTTTTTTTTGGAGTGGAAATCTGCCGCGCGGCGCCTATGCGTGGCGCTTGGCGCCTACGTACGCGGGGCTGCAGATCACGACTAGTTTTTGTCTTGAAAAAATAATAAACATTTCGAAACACACACACACACACACGCGCGCACATCTACACGCGCTCACGCAGAACCCGGTTTTTTTTCGGGGGAGGGAGATGCGAAGAAGGGCAGACCATCATGTACTCTACCATCTCCTCCATCCCAATCTCCATCTCTTCCTCCACCTACCGGCCGAATTGTCGGTCTGTCCTGTCAACTATTTGGGAGGCGGAGAAAATGACAAAAAAACACGCAAACCCGCGCAGTCTTCTCTAAGCGAGTAAAAGTCTCACGCATAATGTCCACGTCAAATAATCAAAACTGGATGCGACCTGTCTAGCGGTCGGTGCAATTGGCTTCAATGACTAATGCCCCGAACCATTACATTTGAATGGCTCACCGGCACCATGCGCCGACGGTCGGCAGCCACCATTTGTTTTTGAATTTATTCGACGACATTGGATGGCAGTTGGATAAAAAAGAAACTGGTGTGTATTGTTTGCAGATTGGAAACATGACATGTTGTTAATGAAATGCAAACAAAATTTGCATGTTGATGACACATCAATTTCTGGAATTGTCTTATAAAACTAGATATAATGTTGGAAATAATTAATCACGGTTCGGAATATTCAATTGGAAGAAAATTTGTGAACTAGAACGACGTGCGATCATCTTAATTAAGTCATTTTCTGCATGTAATTCGAATCTCTTTAATTCGGATATTTTTACATCATCAACTTCCATGAGCTTTAATCTTTAAAGAAAAAATTCAGTTTGAAAAGAGGACAACTATTGTAGACTAGTCAGTTCGCATGAACGCTTCTTTCGTAACAATGGACAAAAAAGCTCAAAAAAATAGACATAGAAGTGTGGGTGAACTTTGTGGAATTCCAAAACGAAAAGCAAGATGACTGTGACTCACAATGGGTCAGATTGTAAAATTTTCAACTTGGAAATAACATTAATAATGGCAACGAAAAACAAATAAGTCTAAATGAATGGAAATTGAAAAAAACAAAAGAGGATTACGGTTTCCGAACAGGGAGAACAACAAAATAGCGTGCAGGTTTTTATAACATCATATTACACACATGCGTAAAATGACGGTAAAGTACGGCGATTTTTTAAGCCGAACACAGAACGATTCGGTTTACTAGACTTGATCACCGATGATTGCCATTATGCAGCAGTAGAAGCAAAAAAAATAAAAGGAAATGATGAATTCCGGACAGAATGATACATTTTTACACAATAACATAACAAAGAAGAGAATG